TGACATAAATTCCCTTGAAATATTTATCCAACGACTCCAAATGTTAAAATGCGAAATTTTTCCTAAAGAAAAAATGATATTTTCAACTGTAACAACGTGTAATATATTTTCTTTTGAGCTTTTTCTTCTTTGTTACATTTACTGCGGTTCGTGTTCAATCAAACAGTCATTTCTTTTTTTGTTATTTTTAGTCAGGTCTTTCAATCCATTAGTCAGTCAAGTAGTAGGCCCGGCCTGTTCGTCGGTTGGTCGACTGTTCAGCCAACAACCCAACCCACCAATTACTACATTAATCATTCGATTATTTTTAGACAGTAAGTCAGTCAGTCAGTTATTCAACCAGGCAGTCAGTCAGTCAGTCAACCAGTAAGTCAGTCAGTCAGTCTCTCAGTTAGTCAGTTAGTTAGTTAGTCAGTCAATCAGTCAGTCAATCAGTTAGTCAACTAGTCAGTCAGTCAGTCAGTCAGTTAGTCAGTCAACCAGTCAGTCAGTTCGTCCGTCTTCAAACAATCCATAAATCAAGTTTATTCCAATAACATAACACATCTCCACATATTATTTATTTTTAAAACAGAATTGGATGATTAGTCTCCGGTATCCAACCTTGAAATGAACCATTCAAACGCTGATTGGGCAACGCCCTCTGCCCAAGAATAAGCTGCTCCCTTCCTTCAAACAATCTTACGAAATTAGCTGCTTTATTGTCGGGAAACCCTTTCAGACTGTCCACGAATAAGTTGAGGCTGCCTTTCGGGTATTTCTTACTCAGGCATAAGTGATGCCAGTGACCGTCGTTGATTGGTGCAATGTAGAATGCTCTATGAATGAAAAGATGTAAAAAATATGAACCAAAATCGCATATCTTACAATTGAACCACATTATCATCTCAATTATGATTGGTTAAACCTTTTTCAAGCAAGAAGGATAGATATGTTTAACAACAGTTCCAAATGGACGACACTTATGTATGTTAGTATTTTGCGAAATGAAAAATTCAAATAGAAAAATAAAGAGAAATAAATAGACAGATAAAAAAAGAATTTGACGCTTTCTTCGTGATGGACTCATTATGAATAAATCTTTAGTCTCTTTAGTGTAAATTCTATTTTATCACTTGAACTGTGATGTGTTATTTTTAACTGCTTTCCTGGTTTTTGTGACAGAAGCTCCAAGAGCAATAAGTGGTGTGTGCGCAATGTCTTAAAATCTCATCATTATCATTATTATTTTTATTTTTATCATTATTATCACTTTTATTATCATTATTCTTACAGGATAGAATGACGCTATTTTCTAGTGAGAAGTGATATGTTGCTTTTCCGAGTTGTCCATCAATCTTCGAGAGCTGGAAATTCAAGATATTTTATCGAGGGGCGGGAAACAACCTCGAGAGAGAATCATGCAGCGAGAAAATACTCTAGATTTGCCTTGGAATATAAGCACCAACTCAAGGCTCTGTTTATCGCATACAATAAGAATCATAAATACCTCTCTTTTCCTTCAGTTACCAAGACGCATTTTCCAATTTCACTACACTGAAAATAAGTTGCTGATCCGTACGAAAAAAGAGTCAAGTTGCCTTTTTCTGAGGTCTGCAGCCACAAACAAAGTGTGAATGTTTCCAGTGGGTTGATATTTCCAGCAAAAACAACAAAGTTGGAAGTGTTGTTGGAGGGAAAGTGAAGGTTGAAATGATCGGCATCAGCTAAAAAAGCAGTCGATAAAATATGCAAACATTTTGACAATGTATGGTTTAATGAAAGTAGTTGGAGGGTTTAGTGTTCTTTGGCGAGTTTTCGAACTCATTTTTGTCGCTTAAGGTCAGCTTCCTCAGCTCGACTAGTTCAAAAGTAGAACGGTTATTGTCCCTAGTATTCTGTCTGTGCGTTGAGAGACGTGCAGAACAGAGCTAGGATTTCGCGACTTAGGGACGATTACGCCGAATTTAATTTCACCCGCTTAATAACACAAATGATGTTAAGGTATCAATTAGATTTGCGAGGTGTCTTCTATCAGCATGCGAAGTCGTGCATTTGTAATCTACTAAAGAAAACATAAAAAGCCACTCAGTTGCCATGGCGCATACAGTTTGATTCAGTTTTGTTGTCAACCATTGTTAATGACTTATGTACCCTAACAAGACACCAAACCTGTCCAGAATTCGCAGCGGTCCCCATATGTTTTCCTGTGAGCACATTCACACTTGAAAGTTGACTCTCCTGAACAACTTTCAAAACAGCGAGCTAGATTCATGCAAGGAGAGGACAAGCATCCCTGCAACAAATCAAAAGAAATCATTTGTTGCTAAAGAGAGCAAGCATGTCCTTTCTGGATATCAATTCATATTGTTTAATTGAATTGATTGATCAATTTTGGAGGATTTCTAGTTTGGTGGTGCGGGATTTCCCATTGACATCTCCCATGATGCTTCTCTTCACCCAGTTATCGGAAATGTTTTAACGAAAAATGTTTGTCGACCCGACCCAAACCCCCTTCGTGCTTTCACTCCTTCTTCACTATTGCATCGTTTATCATGGCGCTTCGTTATGCTAACTGAACGCTGGGCTACTATTTAAACACTTTCCTTCCCTTTCAATGATTCCTAGTTGATACTCATTTTTCTCTTGTTTACTTGGGAAAAGGAAGCTTAATTTCTGTAGCCTGCAAAAAGTTTACAATAGGGATGTGTAATTGGGAAAGGTTCTTCTACTTTCCTGTAGAATTTCTCGTTATATTATACTTTAGTACGGTCAAAGCCTTTATATAATGTCTGAGTAAGTCTGAATCCTAAACAGAGTACATCTCTTTTTTGCATAAAAACTGGTAATATTTACTAACCAATTGGCTGGCTTCGTAATACGCAAGTCCATCAGACTTTTTGCACTCAGAAGGTGAGCATATACTTTGTGTGGCGTCATTCAGCTGACAGTTACCCTGCACGCTTTCATTTGAATTAAAACTGAAAGATCTGCATTCACGAGTCGTTGCACATTCCATTGCACAGTCCAAGGACGAGACAACTGTCACCCTTTTGATCTCATGATTCAACAAGGCAAATCCTAGGTTAAGGTATGGAAAAAAATTCATAATTACTCCTTTCCCTTCTTTCATTTGCTGTTATTGTTTAGGTGTTTTTTTCAATCCTGAGGTCATTCCAAAACGCAGCTTCGAGTAATTACAACAACGAACAACGGAGAAAGTTCTCTTTAAATTGTAAAATGGCCAAGAAATTTTGAAAACATCATTATATTTATCTCTGAATTTTATAAGAATAAAAAGCAGATCTGTTTTGACTCAGATTATTCTACCGTTACCGACAATTATAGCCTAGTTTTGAGACAAAAAATACATGCAATTTGAACTGTATATAGTTGCATAACTAAGTATGTTCATCCATCTTATTTTAAATATCTTAAAATGTTCAGACAATAACATTCGCTTACCTGTTCCAACAAGTTCAAATCGTTTGGCTTTTGAGCACGATCCCGTGAGAGTTCGAACTGCGCACGGGAAAGTCAGAGAGAGGAGAACTACCATCGCTACCTGAAGAGGGAACATATTAAAATGATTATAACACAAACAACTTGGTGAGCACAATATATTGTCATGCCTAAGTGCATCATTGAAATAAAGGCGATAAGGCTTTTAATATTGAGATTAGTGATTAAGAGGGTGACGATTATACGGTGAAAATTAAATTCATTTTGTACAATAAGTGTTAAAAAATATTTCAATAGTTTGATTCCCAATTGTACTCTGGCCCCATTTTGCTCTATAGCTCTTCCAAGAAGACAAATTTAGGTGATCCGGGGACAACAACCCACCTCTGGAAGGCCGAGATTTTCAAGTACTAATGAATATGATCGCGCAAAAAGAGAGGTTAAATTTTACGTTATTACAAACAGGCCAAAAGTAAAATAATTGCAATCTGATTCGGCCGTTTTAAGACGAGTGAAAATATTTTCTGTAGCTTAAACAAGTTATTTTTCGCTATTCTTTTATAGTGAAGATTTGGAGATTTTGTGAAAAATAAGTGAAATCCGAGTTTAGCTATTTTGTATGTGTTTAAGCACGCAATCATTTTGCTTAGAATGGCCCAATGATGGCCACTTCTTCCAACGACATTATGCCACGGAATCACAAGACAGCATTACCAACTCTATTTGTTTCAGTTATTAATGATTGTATTTCATAGCAAGTGCTAATGGATTTTTTGGTTAAAGAGAGTCATTTGACTATCTTAAAGGCAACAATTACAACCGAAAAAAGCAATTTTCTTCATCGTTGGTTTTGTTTCATTTTTTTTACTATTTTATGCTCGGAAAGAAGGGAAATTGTACCGTTGTTTAGTAGTTTTTGAATGTGAAAATTGTAATGCAATTACTGATGACAATTTCATGGGAAAAAAATCCGTTAGGTCTCTTGTAGCGGAGCTCGCAGAGCGTAGCCCCATAATTATACAAAATGGTAGTAGTAACCCATCAAGCCAGAAAATTTGGACTTATGACCGTACGACAGTACAACCGACCGTACAAGGTGCTACTTTTAACATGCGTGGTCAACTGTACCGCGGGCACGCCAACGCCAAGGCTTTGTCCAGTAGTCCAGTGGTTAGTGCACCGGGCTCCGAGTCGGACGACCCGGGTTCCAGTCCTGGCCGGGGCGAGGCGTTGTGCCCTTGCGACATGCGGGAAAAAAAGGCAAACTCCGCTTTTAGGCTTGGCTAAATCTATACATTATTTCACTTCATTAGGGAAAAAACCACGAGATGAGGAATTAGTAATTATTTGTCTCTCAGAGAGGGGGATGGGGTGGGGTGTGTTGGGATTAGGATGTTGGTGGATCACGTGGTTTTCCGAGGAAACGGAGGGGGGATCAGTCGTCGCCAACAGAGTATAGAAAATTAACTACCTATTAACTGCTAATGAGTGGGGGAGGGATTGGGGGGATTGTACAAATTTGCATTATACAAATTTGGAGTAATTTTCATCTTACGACCAAAATCCTAAAGCTTTGCCCTCCCACTCAGGTGACAAATAACCATCCGTTCCTTTATATTGGTGTAGCGCGAGTCAACTCACCGTCTCTCAAACGTCAAACAACCTCGCAGCGTGGGTTCCGCCAAGCGTGTAGCGCACGACATAATCCCGATACTCGCGCACCACACACTCGCTGCGTTATGTGCCACGAAATTTTAAGCACTTGTCTGCTATAGCCGTAGATTTAGTTTCTTTCGGCTCCTAAATCTGAAGAAAACAAAAAATAGAACATAACATTCGCACAATGGTAACAAAAACATCTCGGTAAGGACATTATGCAGAGTTCAAATCTAATTAGTCTTACTGACGTGTCAAACTGGCACTAAAGTTAGATCAACAGGCATGGAAGTCGGCTAAAAGCGTAGAAAAATCTCCTATTTAGGAAAGATGAAGCGTTAGTTTCTGTTCACTCCAATTCCTTTAAAGAAATTGTCCTGCAGCGGACAAATTAGTAAAAATACATTTTGCAGAGTTCAGTTCTAAACGGCATGGACTTACATTAAACTTTTCAATATTTTCCCCAATGTTGGTCGTGTCAAAATGGCGTTCAAACGTGTAAAACAAATGTTGTCTTGTGTAATCTAGAAGTCTGACCATGAGCGTAGCAGAATCTCTCAGGTTAAGAGAGATGTAGCGTTGGTCTCAGTTCTCTCCAATCGCTGTGAAATTACGTCGCAGGGAATTAATTGATGGCCTAGTAGCGTAGAAAATTAAATTAATCAAGCGACAACGTAACATCAGCAACAGCGGCAGCGAGAATGTGCACGTGCGTTTGAAAATGATCAATTTCCGTGCCGTTCATCGCAAAACAACAACCTGGAATAATCTCAATTGCGTTTATTTTGGTGAGCAGATTGAAAACTTTTAAAAATATATCTCGAATATTTTTTGAATACAGTAGTCGGAAAGAAGAGACATGAAAAAGGCTTGAGCACAAGACAGGTGATCTGAAGGCTTGTATTCAAAAGTATGCCCCATTACATGTTTTTTTCACTGCTGAGCACTAAAACGATACGACATCGATTTAATGAAAACGCTTTTATCACATTTAAGCCACGAATGACATTAGAGACGCTGTGAAGGGAAACTAGGTATGAGCCAATAACACTGATTAATTTTGATGGTATAGATAGAAGGAACAGTTATGGTAAAATCGACGACAGGAATTTTTTGAATCGGTTTGAAATCGCTTATAAAATTTAAAGAGATGAAGAATGGCGAACAGTTTTGAGCTTTGATACTGTTTCTAATTAAACATTACGCAGAGAAAAAAATGGCAATCGAATTCACCCAAAAAGGATGAATTACCGTTAATACATCTCGTTTCCCATTCTGCGGGAACGTGTGAAAGATTCAGTCGGTGAGGAGCCAAAGCTTGAAACGTCCGGCAGCTTTAGCGTCTCTTTACATGGGTTAATTTTCATTATCAACTCAGTCAATAAAACCAAATAATTTTTCTACATCCCTATCGACGGAACACCACAGTTTCTTTAGAAACTTTCTCCCTTTCATCATCAATTAATTTTTCAGGGACAGGGAATGGAACGTGAACTAATAATTTTTTGCGTATTGGAAAACGTATCAATGCAAAATTAAACAGGAAATGCTGAACATTTGAATGATTTGACACTTTATGTTTGAATTACGAGACCATTTGCGAAAATTGGATTAGAAATATTTTCTTTCTTGTTCTTCGTTTGCAATAAAGTAGTTATAAAGTAGACAAGGTAAACGGTAGTTTTTCTTCACCAAATGGCATCCTTTTACCTCAAGAAGAAAAAGCGGTCAATTTTTTCGCATCTAAAACTTAAAACTCAGCAAGAAAAGTTTAAACGTTGTTTACGCTAAAGTTCGATCGAATACGAATCATCTGTTAAGTCAAAAAACTTATTTCGGACAAAAATCTCTGTACTTTACATGTCTTAATTGTTGTTATTTTAGAGCGATTGCGGAGGTCTTTCGAAAAATAAACATTTGGTCAAAACACAATAACTACAATGTAACAGGAAGCGCATCCGTTGACCAGTGCTATTATAAATATATTCGAAATAAAACGGGAAAAACTTAGTTCTAATGACATTGTACTGTTGACACAAATGTCACTATCGTTTTACGAATTAACTCCGCTTCCTCAAGAATGTTTTTAATTAATTATATTGTTTTATCTTTTGGAATTTCGATACACAATGATTTTTGTAAAATATTAAGGGCGTAATTCCTTGGGTTATTTTTTCCAACTGACCTTTTTTCATAACCTGGCTGTTTTGACGCGCGAAAGAAAGGTCTCACCGGGATGATGGCTGTTGAGGCTGAAGGTTAACATTTTGACGAATTTTAGGCTTATGGAAACATCTTTCAATTGTTGTCAACTGAATTTTTTTGTCGCTAACTTTTTTAACGGCCAACAGTTACAATTTTTCAATTTTTACGCCTTACGGCTAAATTTTTGTGGCTGTTTTACGGCTAACTCCGTTAAGCCCCTCCAGAAACATATCCCCTGTGAACCGTGTACGTATGAAAAATTTACATAAGGTTAATCAATGTATTCAAATATGCTCTTCCAGAAAAACGTAAACATAATTGCTAATCGAAGTTTTCTCAGCGAATATCAAATGAAATTTTTGCTTGCGGTTCACTTTTCTTGGGAATAAAAAGTCTCTCATTTTCGTTTCATCGTAAGGCCAAAAATCGCGTCTCTGTTTTCATATTTTTAGATGTCAAGAATTGTCAGTTGCTATTTTAGCATAGCTCTAGTCCAGATTTACGATTGCCAAGTACTGACGTATTAACATACGCTTCAAAACTTGTAGCGACGCGATTTCTGCATCTGCAAAATCGATAAAATTAAGCTTTATAAATCCTTCCCCGACTAAGAGTTGTTATTCCATAACTGTTCGATTACGAAGGTTGATCGAAGAAAGATGAAGTCCATTTTGCTGTGCTTGTACCTATTTGCGCTTGGTTCGCTGGCTGCGGACATTCCAACCGAAATAAACAGCGACAGTGTCCAAGACGCGAGCACAAAATCAAATGGCAAGGAAAGTTTTGATCCCGCTTCGGGTAATTCCATAATCACAAAAAGAGCAGCTTCGAAGCGTAAGTAGATCATCAGCTGTAATTGCTTTTGTCTTGCGACATCTACTGAATTTTTTTCTGTAACTTTTCAAATTAGAATCTGTTAAAAATTTGAAATTTTACTTTTTCTAGGGAGAATTTATAAGAGCCTTACATTTTTTCCATTGAATCACCATCAGCTAAACAGTCATGAAAAACGTGCCATGAACTTGAAGTTTTGAATTTGCGAGAACGAAATATAGCTGAAGATGCTATCTCTAAAACAAGAAGAGTGAAATGGTCAAATTTGAATTGTTACAGAGAGTCGGAGGAAGTGAATATTTTATAATTCAATCATCGTCATAACCTATTTTAATATCTGGCGCTTTTTTTTTTTTTTTAATCCACAGACGGTTTCTATCGACTGAACTTCTCCCCGGTGTGTTTTAGCGCAAGGGGAAACCTCTTTGGCACTGTTACGATGCCATCCGCTGGTAGGCTGGCTGCGATGAAATTGGTTCACCGTTACGGCTACGTCACCTGCAACAAGCACAACCCCATTTATTGGTCTCACTGGGGTTGTGGTCATTTAAAAGATTATGTTAACGTTGTCATAACAACATCACTCAACAAAATCCTTCTGCCACCAAACCAGTTCCTCAAGTTTAATTATCAAGCGGGAAAGTGGTCTAAAGTTCCCGGATACGGCGCGAATTCCCCAGAGCTCATTCTGTCGTTCTTCCATCCTCGTTATGTTTACCGGGGACATCAGCTCCGTGTGTGGTATGGCGAAGACTTGATGAATTGGTACGAAGGAGATAACGCTGGAAGGGTCTGCTTTGATGTCTATGCCAGCTACGTCTGAACAGTTCTACACTACCTCCGTGCAAGAACTGATTTTTTGCTAGCTTGCTATCATTGCTTTAAAGGCTTGACTAGTTTGATTGGGAAAAGTTAAATAAGCTGCGCATACTGCCTCAAATAAACCAGGGGAATTTGATAATTACAACAGCTGTCTGTTTTCATCTCCATTGCAGTCTTAATCTCTACTATTCACCTGACCCTCTCGTTACCAAACTTAATTGATACCAAATTCTAAATGTTAAGAACTTTGGACTCCAAAACCATAGCAAATAATCCATTCACGTAATGAACGCCAAACAAACAAACAAAAACACCCTCCCTGAAAATGTGGTCTTGTGAGTTCAGTTTTTTCTCTAAAAGACAAATAACTACATGAAAAGGGAGGGGCCCTTTAACCCCAAAATTTCCGGATTAAACAACCAACTCCCTTCCTTGAGAAATTAAATTTTGTTTGTGTCGATCAGTTCGAAGCTTCAACATCCTCCCGAGAATTTGAACTTTTAAAGATTGGTTTGATTTAAATTCCGCCCCTCGGGGCCAATGCAATGCCAGCAATGTTGTAACCGCGCGAAGAGTGGGACGAGAGTTCGCGCGTGTACCGCGCGCACATTAAACATGACTCTTCGTCGCAAAATGAATCTTTATGACGTAACGTTTAACGCGAGCTGTAAACAAAATGTGACAACCAAAATGTCACTATCAAACACACTGTCCCTGTTATTCGGCGAATTAGAGCCGTGGGTCGTGATAACTCTTGGCTTTGTGCATATTTTAATAGTTTCCCTCATAGTTTTGTACAGAGACAAATTGACAGAGAATGCAAAGCCTACGCCGCAGATAGTATTGACACCTCCGTCAACTGATCCATCAATTAATGAAAATATTGTGAAGGTAAAAGGAAACAGTTTGTATTTAATGTTGTATTCCGTGAAAGGTTTTTCGAAGGGTGCCGAGGAGTACTTTTTAGAGACATTACTCGCAAAACTGAAAAAATACATATTTCATGATGGACGGAAGAGCGGTTGTTTAGAGTTTATACGTAATTGGATAAACTGCAACAAAAACAATACGAATAATCTTCGCGAGCATAGGACGTCCAAAAATTAAGAGTCCACCAAGAAGACTTGCACCTCAGTCCTTTCAGACAAACGCCTTAAGAGCAAATTGCTTCTAGTTATTCCTGTGAATACTAATGTGATTCGCCTCAGTACTATTCACGCGTGATAGTTACTTAAGTCAGGGACAATGATTAACGTATCCACAACCGTATCGGTCGGCCAGTTCATCGTGGATGTCTCTTGAAAAAGGGCCAGCATAAGTTCCTCGAACACCAAATTTTCTGAATCAGTTTGCTTGAGAAACTGCGTAATTTCGCGCACAAATAATTAAAATTACTCATACCGCTGTAAAAGCTAACAGAACACTAGAGGTCATCATACACTGCTGTTTTTCCCTATAGGAAGAAAACAGCTCTTCAGACAGTGACATTGAAACGGAACCAGTCACTGCCTACTGCAGCAACGGATGTCAGGGCGCATGCGCTTGTCCAGCCTTGGAATCTCATCTGGACATCCAAAGGAAAAGTGATCCCACATTGACGCCGCTCTCTTCTGAGCTTCCCACTCCACCTGGTGAACGAACACTCGAGCCTCTTCTACAATCAGAAAGTCGGAGCATGCGCAAATTTAGGCAGAAAAGCACAGATGAAAAATTAGCTATCCAGTACTTCAAAGAGAAATCCCAGTGGGAGTCAATTGACGCCGGAAGTGCGGAAACAGGAGGTGAATTAGACACGGGTGAACGAAGGAAAAGCGAAAGTAAAGATGGCTACAAAGGCAAAGCAGCCAGCCGGAGCATGCCTATCTTCCGAAAGAAAAGCACGGATGAAAACAAATCAGTTTCATATGTTGTACATAAACTGCACCGGAAATCAGATGACGTGGTGGGTAGACGAAGAGATAGTGAATTCACCACAAGTGAGCGCAGAGGAAGTGAAGGGGAAAAAAGCACAAACAAGGGACGCAAGGACAGTTGGGCTTCAGATAAATCCCGCCGAAAGTCACTTGACACCGGAAGCGTACAATCAGGAAGTGAACTTGACGGAAACGAACGAAGAGGAAGTGAAGGGAAAAAAAGCACAAACAAGGGACGCAAGGACAGTTGGGCTTCAGATAAATCCCGCCGAAAGTCACTTGACACCGGAAGCGTACAATCAGGAAGTGAAATTGACGGAAGTGAACGCAGAGGAAGTGAGGGGTCTGAAAACTACAAAACAGAGCGCAAGATGAGTCGATTTCAGAAATGGCGAAGACGTTTGTCTGGAGCCAAGAAAGAAGGAAATAAAAATAAAGAGGACACCAGCATTGAAGTCACTCAAAGAAGCTCGAAACATGACACAGATTCTTCACAGGCACTGCAAGAAAATATCACCTCTGAGAATGAAACGAATAGTGAACAGGTTACAGGCATTGAGCAAGAAAATCTGACGGCCTAGATACGCTCTTTTATTAGGCGAAATTTATTTTCATATGTGCGATTCTATCTAATTGAAAAAACAAAGTTAACAAAGGTTTGTCTTTAAGTTATTTATTTTTTAAGTCAAGTCAGTCATTATGTCCATAACTTCGAGTTATTCTTAATGTTCTATGGCGTATGAAAATATTGTGAAAACAGAAAAGGACATTTTTTCCCGTCTTCCTTTACCTCACCTAGGTGTTTCAGTTTTTCCTCAGCTCTTTGGTCGATATTTTCAATCGGGGATGTTTCTTTTGCATATTTTCATCGTTCTAAATTTAAATAAATATCTTTAATTGTTACAGAAAAACTTGTAATCTAAGAGAGCTTTCCTCAAAATAAAATTTGGACACTACATGAGCCACTGAAGATTTACAAGACAATTAGCCTTTTGTCTTTAAAATCTGAAAAAGTCAATTCTTCCAAATAACAAAATATGGCTCCAAATTTTCATGAAGCATCGACCAGGAATTGTTTCGTTATAGCCGAAAGTGTCTTTGATGATCTACATTTCTTGCTAAACAGAAGCACAGCAACATGGAATCTAAGCGAGTTCGTTCCTCCGTCGTTATGCGCAAATCTAGACGTACTAATTCAGGTTCAGATACGTCCACCAATTAATGGGAATCGTCAGTTATTCTTTACAGAACAAGCCAGAGCTACCCAAGAAATTTGCATCGTTCAAGAACATAACCACCATGGCAAGAAGGGTACGAATCTCAGCTGCAGTTTGGGAGGGACATTCGAGAACCGTTTACGTTTACGTTTACTCAGCTCCTTAAATGAAATTTCTCCTTGGAAGTCTTGTTGTGTTTTAAATCGGAGGAGTAAAGTTACCCGGGATCTGCTAGGTCACTCTGACCAAAGTACCTGAGAAACAAGAAAATAATGGTGACCACAAACAAAATGCTTAGGTAAACAACCTAAAACAGTGAGCCGTCCTTGAAACTAGATCAAATCCAGTCTCACCATCATGTTTTCACCAGCAGCATAGCTCCATTTTCTGCAGGTGAACACACACACACAACCCACAATTCCTCCATTCGCTCTGACGAAGGGCTAACGCTTGAAACGTCAGCTTTGTAACTCTTCACGGCGGCTAATTAACGTCATCAAGTCAGTTGATAATACTAAATTACCCTTTTTATACTCTCCAACCGACGCAGCACCACAGTTTACTTAGAAATTTATCCCCTATATTCGAAAGTCTCTTTTACCTTCGACTGCGTTACGTGAACAAGTTGTATGGTAAATTGCCGACGAAAACTCCGGAGACGTTTTAAATGTTTTTTGTCGAGGTAGGGTTTGAAATTGTTTATTTCTGCAATGGAAAGTAATGACCGGCTTCTCATTCACCTGAGCCGTTGTTTTAAACCACCCGGCACCTCCTATAATATCCACACATGACCCAGCAAACAGCTACTAAGAATACTCAAACTTATCAGGTAGGAGTTGCTATCTTGACCTACCACCAAATTTTCGTAACTTATTTACAGGGAAATACGTAGCAGCTAAAGGGGAGGATTAACAATCAGATCTTGGGTGTTAAGGGGTCAATGAAAGCACAGAACAAGCGACAGCTCTTGATGTTAATCCTTTAACTGTAATGTTGGCGCATAACATAAGCGTAAACTTCGTGAACAAATAAACATCATCAGCGTCATACCTTGAGACAAGTGTGATCATTAGATTCAGTGGCGTTACCAATGGATGATAAGGTGACTCCTAGAAAGAAAAATAAAGAAAAAAAAAGAGAAAAGTCTTACTATCATTTCCTAGCTTCCCGCCTTTCAAACAGCTCAGAACTGATTTTTTTACCTGTTCAGTCAAACTTGTCAGATCAGCGAAATGCGTTTGATCCGCGCTCTCTTAACCCTTTCACTCCCATGATCTCATTAGAAATTCTCCTTGCTGTATACCATACGATTCTTGTGATGTTACTTGGGAGAATTTGGTATTAGATCAACTAATAATCCCCTAATTGATATTTTTCTTTATTCTCATCACTTGTCTGCTTGATGTTGTATTGATATTGTCAGGAGAAATTCTGCCTTGGTCACAGGAGCTAAATGGTTAACGCATCCATCGCCTTTGCTTGAGTTTGCATTGCTTTTTTTGAGCTTGCAATATGAAAGAATTGAAATGCTCGTATAGGGAAAAGCCCAGGATATTTGCTTGTATAAAATATTGTTTCTATCACACAGTGCATAAAGTGTGTATGTTCGCTGATGAGAACAGTAAAATTTCATGGGAATCAAGTTGTATCAAGTCTTGACTCCACAAAAGCTTCCTTTTTATTTACAAGCCTACGTGTACGATTCACTCTCAAACTTCCTAATCTTAAGCCAACTGTTTTCTCCGCTCATGTGAAATGAAAAAACACCTTAGCAGTTTAAGGAAATCTTGGCACAGCAGTCGATTCCTCCTGGCATTCTAAGCCAGTCATCGTTCCGTAGTATGACAGATCGATCGAAGGACGCGAAGACTTTGAACACAAACGCAAATCACACCGTTCGCTCACTTAAAGTCTTATTCAATCGGCCATGTTTGATTGTGAGTTAGACCGTCGCTCATCCCCTCGCTACAAATTTTAAAAAAATTATTCAGAGCTCATATTCAAAGCCAGAAAAACTCGGTGCTTATTTCCCGATGTAATCGTTCAATTTGCTCGCGAAGTTAATGAGTTTGTCAAGATAAATCGACAAACTCGCTTATCAGCCTTAATTTTGATTTGGGCGTGAATTTCTTCGCGAGTCCATGCGTCAAACAAAGTCGACCTTAAAGGTTGGGAGAATACATCAGGCATGTGATCTACAACAGCATGTTACTCTGATGAACCAACAAATTCTCCCCACTTTGAACAGCAATATCTCGTGGTCAACCTCATGAGATAGGCGCAACAGGTTATGACGTCAGTCTTGACTGTTGCCATGGAAACCACCTTGCATCGAAAAAAGTTAAGGAAACAGACTTCTCAAAAAGCAAAGGGTTCCACAAAAAAATAATCACCAGTTTTGAATTATGTAACAAACAGAAACTTTCCCTCGGAAATTTCTCAAATCATCCCTGATAGATCCAATTTTGAAAAAAATTTAAATCAACAGAAGTTGACATAAATTCATTTAATAGCAAATTTATCATACAAGGTAAAGAGAGAAATGCATAAATTTCACAAAATCGCTATTCCTAACTGACATAAACGTAATAAGAATACATTTACGAAATAATTTTCATTTTTGCTCGTTTGGCTTTTTTTACATGCGTATCTACAAGAAGTGAAAGAATTCTGTTACAGTGGAACTAACGCTAACGGGTTATTAAAGGAATACGAGATTATTTGCGCATTTTGATAAAGAGAAAACGAAAAAGCCTGCCATGTTTATTGCCCGAAAAACCCAAATCCCACGATCTCGCTTAATTTCGAACGACACTCGGTTAGTGACACCTGAGGGTAGTTTAGCCAATATATCGATTGGATTACCTTTCTCAAAGCATCTTTCATTTCTCTTTTTAGATTGCTCTTTATACCAGACACCTTGCAAGGTAACTTTCCCAAGGATTTTCCGGCATCTTTGCGAAAATTTCCATATGTGATTGTCGACATTCTAAGCCCTGAACGGTTCCAACGACTCACTGTGGAAATTGGTTGTATTAAGTTGTGTAACACTTAAGTCGCGTCCGAGTTTCCCCGATAACAGAAATCGCAATATACTAATCAGCACTTGAAATTTTTGAGGTGACATTGGAGCAAACCAAAAGAAAAAAAAAACGAGATAAGCATGAATTTAAAAAACGAGAAATTAAGCCAAAGGGAAAGTTAGTTTGTTCTTGTAATGTGCCATTTGATGACTATTTTGGTATTAAAAACGACAGCGAAATATTAATTTTTATGATACAAAGTGATATAAATGGTGCAGCACTGTTAGTCAGAGCAGTTCTTCATTTTGCCTTCTCCTTTCGTGCAAGATGGAGAAAAAATCCAGTGGTTTGAGAATGTCCTCGTACAACAGAGCAAGTTCCTCATTACTGAGCTTTTTCGCATTCTCAGTCAGTCGACCGTCGCCTTCCATGACGGCAGGATCAATGCACGGACAAGGAGCGCTTTGAATACGATCTCGTCGCTCGACGACTTGAGGCGCGCTTGCCGTTGGCAGGCTCGTCAACCGCCCGCGGTTTTTGATGCGTTTTATCATTTGCACCTGCAGTACGGTATTGAACCTTAGCCTCCTTCCATTTGCGTTGCTCTTGATTGAGTCAGTATCCTTGGCAGCGAGATTACGGAGAGTGTTCCATTTGTCTAACTGTTGAATTTCTCGCATTATTGACGACAAGTTCGGAAAATCCTCGACATGTAAAACCAAACTCATTTGGAAGCACGTATCACGTTTCTTCCTTGGATGGTAACTCTAACAGCGAGCACAAAACACGACGAAACGTGAGTAGCCTTAGCTTATGTAATCACTGCCTAAATTCTCGCTTTTAAGGTAAATGATCCCCTTGCAAACGCACACCGCTAAAATGTATTCTCCTCTATCTGGCGCAACACCTTGGTGACGAGATTTTGAGAACAAACCAGTAAGAATTATTGGTTTTATTTCGATGGAGCGAAAAATTCTCACAACTCTACCACTTGTAGAGAAGACCATTTGGTCCGTAAAATATAAAAACCTGTTGAACCGGATCAAAAAACAGGTTATGTTGCGTCGGCAACAAAAGAGACAAGAACAATGCAAAAGCCTTCGATTGGCGCACACGACTGATAATATTTTAACACAAGATTACTCAGTAAAGGGGCGGGTGTTTCGCGACCTTCAAAACAAACGGCCAATAGACCGTTTTAGCTATGTGGTCAAGTGGTTTGAAATGGGTAAGCAAGAATTCAAAATGGCTGTCAAGTACGTGCTTCAGACGACATTTTATAGAGGAAATAGCTTCTTCTCTTGCCAAAATTTCCATATTCACGGATAAATCGGCACTCTAAGACTGTGGTAATATAGAAATCGGCGACAAAAGAAATTGATAGAAATAAGAGAGATGGTAAATTTTGAGCTCGGCAAAGAAATAGAGAAGATGTTTTTCGTCTTGTCACCAGCGTGGGACTAAGAAAAAGTTCTGAGCCTCCACGAGGAATCGAACCTCAGACCTTTGGATTCCGCACTCCGATGCTCTACCACTGAGCCACAGAGACTCCACGGTGAGCGAGGTCTATTACGAAGTTCATATAACACGCGTCCTGCATACTACTAGGATTAGCAATGTCAATAGCGTAATGTTTGTAGATAGAAATAGGAGAGATGGTAAATTTTCAGCGCGGTAAAGAAATAAAGATGTTTTTCCTCTAAAGGAAATGGAGTTTGTAAGTGAGATTACAAAACACCACGAGCCGGAAAAAACAATTTTTTGAGCGTATAATCTTCATAGATCGCAAAAAAAAAAACAAACAAAAAAAAAACCTGAAATGGGTACTAGAAAGAAGCAAATTTATCGCAAAAAGTACTTCACGATGATTTTGTGATTTAAAGTTAGAATGAAGCTATATTTTGTTGAAAACTGTAAATTCTCTTTTTTGTTTCGTGTTGATTGTACACTCTGGTTATACGAATCGTATGTCAATCATTTGGTTTACGCTTTCTCAAAGTACGGGGCCTTGAATGTTGACACTTTGGAAATAGCGTGTGGTCCTGCCGATCAAGTTTCTTAAATAACTAGATGACCGGCAGTCGCCAATTTTTATGATAAATTTTCAGAAATGAGGGAACATATACAATCCAAAATACTAACTTTTTCTAGGGAGGGGGTGAAGGGGGGAGAGGTCATTTTGTGGTGTTTGTTATTCTGTGTTTTTTTTCTTCCTCGCTTTGTTGTTGAGGATCAGTTGAAGGCGACCAACGCTGCATGACCAAGGTTATGACTGGAGACAACATAATGTAGCGGTCATCTGGCGAGAGCGGAAAAGTAGCCGAAAACAATAGTTAAGTGTCGAGAGATTTCAAGTAAGGTGTCGAAAGTAATTGAAAATTTTAATGATTTTTCTTTCCATTTTTACATTCTGCGATTGGTCTGAAAATTGCCTGCTACCATCGAAAAAAACAGCTACCTACTCATTGCGTTTTCCCGCGCTTAAAGAAGATTACGCGTCGTCGTTCTGAATTCTAATTGGTTACTGAACATATATCTTTACCCTGATTCGTTTTCGTAAGTACTTTAGATTTGGTTTTGCGCCAGTCAGTCATGATAAGTTCGCTGATTAGCGTTAAGCATCGTACCTTTGAATTTTAACAGATCATAAGTACATACCAACGATGCTCTCAGGGTTGCGCAGAGTCTGGCGAGAGTGCGAAGTAGTGAGGTGGTTTCTGGTAAAAGTGGCTTCTCCAGACAAACAAGAAGAGCATAAAACCACTTCCCCTTTAAAAAAAATGCACGTGTAAGAATTATTTCAAGATGCAGAGTAAGAATTTGGAGGGACGATTCTGAAATTACGTAGATTTGCCATATCGGACAGTTCGCTGACGAAAAATCGCATTTAGCACGAGATAAATAAATGTTTCAAGAAGAGGATAAAAATGTACATCTTAGTAGTGGACGCACGTTTCTCTGACCGTGGCAATAAAATACACTGAAAAACAGTATATTTTCTACTCTACAGGCACATCGTTGGCTGTATGGCTTGATGTAAAGCGGAAAATTGAGCAGGTAGAACGGTGCTTTAAACTTTCGCGTGAAACGCGCAAAACCAACACATATCCAGATAGACGTTTAAAGTCCAGCCCGTCTTCATATAATCACGACTAACGACAAATTTAAATGCCACAAATGAAATAACAGTCCACTCATCTCCTTATTTTATGTCATCGCTAATTGGACCATACCGATTGTATTAGACCAATACGTCCAAATTTTGAAGAAAAGACAACAAAATTCTAGTTTGAATAGCTTTACCTGGTCATGAGAAAATCCGATTTCTTCCAGCCATTCAACGTGGAATTCTAAAACTTGCAGCAAAGTGGCCTGTAAAGTAAATGTAATTTCGACTAAAACAAAACAGTCTAGGAAATAGCACCTTCCAAATTGCTTGTAATTTCACAGTGGATCCGAGTTTTTCGTGATCTTTGTAGCGGACGCGTGTTTCTCTGTCCGTGGGAAGATTTGTGACGAGTCGGGAAGAGGGTTCGGTGGGAGTCTGGCACTAAAACCGAGGGCCTGCAAGGAAGCTATCGTTTTTTTGTTTTTTTATTTATTTATTTTATTTTTATCCCGTGTATTCTCCCACGAATGTAGCTTTCTGGTAAGTAAAAGATGACAAGTCCAGTCGTTTTGACAAAAACTAGCGCCAGACTAGTGCTAGAACCCTTGTAACCTCTCAACGACTCGCGTTGCACAAGGCCTATAATTTCCCGCGAGGGAACTGGGAAGAAACGGTGGTGCCAATGCGCTTATAACAAGGACCTACTCGCAAGGCTGTGTGGTTTTCTTCCCAACTGTTATTCTGGATGTCACACAACAAGAGCATTGCGTGACACCTACAGAAAAGCTGGAAAGGGATCTGAGTTCGATAAAGGTATGAAAGACGGAAGTGTGCACACACACACACATTCAAAACAAACAAACATACAAAAAACAGCAAAGAAAAAGAAACATCTCAGATATGGTCAGAACTCAATTTTCAAATCTTGCTGAGTTAGGGAGCTTCGACAAATTCATCGCTACGCCAACAAAGTCCTTAACACAACTTTACTATTTACGATATTTGTAGCTTGACTTACTTGATTAATTTGAAGAACAACACTCAATAAAGGAGGTGTCCCGTCCTGCAACAGGATTTTGAATAATTATTTACAAGCACCAGAAGTTATGCTGCACATTTTGAAATTGAACTTTGTAAATTTTATTGATTTGTCATTTGCAATCATTTGTTAGTCTTTTTGCACCTTTGCCCATCATCAGCTCTTTCAGCATAAAATGATGATAACAGTATTTGATTTATACTAATTATTAATAATTATTATAACACTGGTAATAACAATATTAAAATGAACAGACCTGATTGGTGCCTTGTGAATCACTACTTTCCAACAAATCTTCATCCTTAACACTTTTCTTGTTATCTTTTCTGTTCCAACAGAAACAGGGTAAATACAGGTATGATATGGCATCCAGTACTAACTGTTGCACAAATTCAAAATATCAATCATAGCTAAGAGTGTCTAACTAAAGCTGAATGCACATGAGGCAAATGAAGGTTTGTAATGAAGTGTGACTTGCTGCATTTTACTTTCTCCAAACAGTTCACCTTGCTGGAAGAAGACAAGCAGTCAAAACTTCATGACCAACATCAGAATTGACCACGGCAATTGAGATAACTTAAAACTATTATGTTTCTTGAAAAGTGTCTACAATTACCTGCCAAATATTTTCATAGTAGTTTGTTCTCCAAGACAAAAGCGGCACCATCCCATAGAATCAGATTTCTTTGGCTGTACAATATATAAAATAATAGAAAGCAATAACTACAGAATTGACCGACAAGTAAGAAAATTAAATGAATATCATGACTGACCTGAGCCTCCAAAAGCACACACAGTGAGGACCAAGCAAAGCATCCACCAGCTTCATGATCTAATTAGTTATTCTCCCATGTCACTACTTAAATATTTCTTCATAAAATTGGCTGGGAGAATTTTATGTTTGATCAAGATAACAACCACAAGTCTCTAATTTCTCTTTACCTTTTTCTGAATAATCTTTTGAAATTGTGAATTGTCAAACACTTCTAGGTGTAAAAAGTTTGATGATTTTAATCAGTAAATTATGCTGTGGGTTTACCAATGTTAACTTTGTGGAATCCTCTTTTCCAAGCTTTGATCGGTGATAAACAAGTTTCTGAAAAATTAGAGAGAAAAAAAGAATGTTGTGTTTGACACAACCTCAAATAGTAAAAGAGTCTCCTGTAAAATACCTTGTCAAAAATTTTTTCAAATTGAGTCTGAAGAAATGCTATAATGTTACACCAATGAATATCCATGAAAGCAAAAGGTGGAAGAAGATTATGCTGATTCAAATCAGGAGGAAGATGAAAGAATGAATTTGCCAAACTCTGACTAGGAAATCATGTGCTAATGTATTACCAGGCAGGTCCTTTACTGGAACCCCAAAAGTAAACAAAAACAAGGGACACAAAAAAAAGAGAAAGCAAATGACAACAAGAACAATTATGGGATGCTGTGACAAGAATTTCACCAGGCAGGGTCATGAGTAAATGAAATCCCAGAATCAATGACCTTAAGATCAGAAAGAAAGGCAAACTATGAATGTCCTAGGCTACAACAAAGTCTGAAGTGAAAGAAAATAAGAAGACAACAGAAGGGAACAAATCTTCTAAAATTGTGCAATGAGAAAGCTAAGTTGTAACTTATACACCATTGATTTTGCTAGTTTCAGATAGCATGGGAAGTATACTTATTTTTGCCAATGAGAGGAATGCACAAGTTTAATAGTAAGCACTTACTTGTCTGATTTCGGCAAAATCTGCAGCCTGTTCCATCTGCCAATCAGTAGAAGGGGCAAATCCAGCTGGAGCTGGTGACCAACCAGATCTCTGAGAAACAGATCACAACAGCCAATTACAAGAGGAGTAGAATACAATATACACTTAATGTATCTTCTCAAGGGAAACAGTTAGTTTTGTTTTCCTGAGAGCACTGACTTTGTCGTGGGAATTATCAGGACTCAAGGGAAAACAAAACTAACTAGTTTTCCAAAGGGACCATATATTAAGTGCTTTGTTATATAATTACTTAGACTTTCCCTTGAACAATCATATTCATGCAAAAACAAACAAATGTGCTGTTGTATTTGGCATGCAGGCAACAACTATGCAATTGTATCCCAGTCGGGATACATTTGAATTTGATCAGGGGCATGTAATCAAGAATCAATCAATCACAGTGCTTGTTGTGTTGAGTGAAAGTTTAGGTCTGTAACAATGTTTACTGTTGTCTCACAATTTCTATTAACTTATGAAAGGAGCAGAATACAATGTTTGCTGTTGTCCCACAATTTCTACAAAGTTACAAAAGGGGCTGTATACAACATAAGTTTATGTCCCTAAATTTCTACTAACTCAGTGAAAAGTAAAAGTGGAATGCAACATGCTCTTTTCTTACTATCTGTTTACATGATACCCATTGTACAAAGGAAGTCTTATTCCTAGGTGGCACTGCTTATCAGAGGGTGACAGTCCAACAGACCAACGGCAATGCTAATGGTTTACAAGTTGTTAAGTTGTTATCCAATATTAAATAAAATGAAGTCAAGCTCAAAGAACAAAATGGTGCTAGTTTTTTTTTCCATTTTCAGTATTATTTTTTTTTTTTTTTTTTCACACCAGAAACACATCACTGTGAGCTAATTTATTTCCAAAACAAATTTTGGTTCCTTTTTGAATCTTATCATGCTGATAAATTTTTTTTTTTTTTTAATCTCACTGTGTACCTGTGTGTCAGCTTGTTTTAAAATCAAAATATGAATTGCTTATGTCAGTTGTTTGAGCAAAATAGAACATGTACCTCATTAACATGAACAGTCTGCTTGCTTTGGAAGCTGTTAGTGTCAAAACTGGCCACTACAACATCAGGGCACTGCATAGCTTCTAACCTGGAAACAAAATTGTCTTCTTTCAACCCTTAAGCACCCAGAAGTGATTAACATGTAACTTCTTCCCATAATATCCATACAATATCCACCAAACAGGTATTGAGAATACTCAAACTTATGTGTAGCAGGTAGAAGGGAGAATTAAAAATCAGATCTTGGGAGTTGAAGAGTTGAGTATGCTGATGCAAATGTGGACAGTTGTGAAGACAGAGTGCAAAATATTGAATTCAAAAGCCATGCATGAGGGATTTTTCATGACATTTAAAACGATATTCCAAATTTTGTTACTTACTGAACTCTTCGGAGATATTCATAACCAGACGATGGAAGCTTCGATTCGTCGAATCCATCATCATTTTCCCAGCCGTCATGTCCAAAAGTTCCTAATACTGGCTCCATGTTTTCCTTAGCTGCCAACCGCACTTCAGCTGTGAAGGCGAGGCTACTAAGAACAGGAAGCTATATTGGTGTTATATGACATATACAACAGAAAAACCAACATGGAGGCCACCGGAAAGACGACGAGAATTGTTCTTTTTGGAGTTTGCTCTGCGTGTGCAGCTCTTGCAATAACATTTGGTCTTTATTATCTAAGAGAATACAAGGGAAAGAAGAAGAAAGGAAGTATCACAGATGTTTTTGAATCGTTGCACAAACTGCGCGAAGATGACAGTGGTAGTTCCTTCGTGATAAAACAAGAGTTGGCGGAAATACTAAATGAGAACGGACATGGCGAGTTTACCAAAGGAACGATGGCTTCGCTACTAGAGCTTCTTGAAAAAGTAGAGGATCATATGTTAGAGAAGCTTCTTGTTGCGCTTCTGAACTGCTCAGCGTTCACAACAAACCAGGTAGTACGCTAAACCGAAGAATTATTATACTTCATCCCAGTGACTACAAGTCTACTGTAGACTACAATATCGATCATGAGAGGCCCATATATGCATAAACGGACCACAGAAAAGGGATTTTACCGACGGAATGCTTCTAGTTTAAGATAAACCTTCCTCTTGATCCCTGTTTGAGGAGTTTTTGGGAGAAAAAGTAAAGATCTTTTGCCATTCTCATGATTATAATTTCCGTTTCCCTCTCTGCTTGTTAACCTCTCCGCTTCACTTTGTGCCGAATTTTGAAAGAATCGCACGTAAAAGTGAAAGAGCTAAGATTTCAATGTAACGGATCCATGGACGAGGAAAGTGTTTCACAGATGCTGGCACTGGCAGCCTTTTCTCTCTTCCAGTCTTCCTCCCCCACCCTTCAAGAATGCTCCGATTTAATCAGCTACTCCAAGTGTATAGTTTACAGGCACTACCAAATGATCCCTTAACCTACAGTCTTAACTATTCATTCCTTTTAACCCTTTAACTCCCAGATCAAACTTGTAACTCTCCTTACTGTCAACCATACAATTCTTATAATGTTAGTTCAGAGAATTAAGTATTAGATCAAGTAATTATCCCCAAATTGATATTTTTATCTATTCTCACCATATATCCAGTTGGTATTGTATTGATGTTGTAAGGAGAAATTCTCTGTTGGTCACTCATGGTAGTTAAAGGGTTAAGGACACTCATAGTGGGGTTGATTCAGGAATTTTTGAGAGGGAGGGGAGCAAACTTTGATTCCCAAAAGGCATTTCTCTCTGGATCTGCTATGCATATGTTGTGGTTCAACTTTATCCTTGGTTCAAATTTTATTTTCCTTTGTTTCAAACTCATTATCATACATTACAATACCCAAAAAACAAAAGAACATAAAATTTGAACTAGGGATAAAATTGAACCACGACACATACATGTACAGGTATAGTGTAAGCTCACAACAGGTTGATATTTGAGGCAGATTATTTTTATTTACTTTGTGTCTCTAGAACATAATTCGGGAGTGTGGAGGTCTTTCACGCCTTGTGACCCTTTTAACTCACCCTAAGAAGACCATCATCATCAAGGCTGTACAAGTGTTGTCCAACTTGGCCATGAATGAAAAAAATCAAGCTTGTTTAAAGGTATTACCCAGAGTTTTTGCTAAGAATAAGTAAATGCTCTCATACTTTGTTGTATTGATTCTTTAGGGAGGTTCTTTTGCCTGGTCTAAATTTTGCATTGATCATGATTGATAGGATGTTTTCGTGTTTGATGTATGTTTGTTTGTTTTTTGTATACAAACATTTTGTTATTAATGGTGCCTTTTTTCACAGGACAGCGTCTTTGAAATTATAAAGAACCTTGAATACTGTGATGTTCTTGATGATGATGATGTGATCACTGAGCATTTAAAACTAATGGTTAATTTGTCTGTGACAAATACGGCACATGAAGAGATCATGACAGGAGTGCAAGCATTTTTCGATATCCTCTGCCGTTCTCACTCAGAAAAAATTCAGGTATAAGATATAAATGAAACATATTGTAAACTTCAAATCCCCAAATCAAGAAGCTCTTGATTGTTAAACAAATTCTCCTTGTCAGCACCTCATGAGATGTAGAGAGAACAGTATGGAGAAGATGCACACTGATGTTAGGATGTGAAGGGCTAGAAACCCCTAGGTGTCTGTTATTCCCTCATACAAGAGAGGCAGCCAGAAAAAAATGAAGAAAGAAAGAAAGAAAATTCAACTGGCAAAGTACTAAGTAAATCATTTGTTATCATTAATGAAATAAAGTGTCAGTTGAGTAAATTAATATTGTGTTAACTGACTCTTTCACTCTATTTTTGTTTTTTAAGAAAGAAGTTTTGAGACTGTTGGTGAACTTGTCTTGTAACACAAATAATCTGGAAGGGTTACTAGGATTAAAGGTTTGTCAGAAGTAAAATCAAAAGTTGATTTTTTAAACTTTCTTTACATATTGCACTGAAATTTTTGTCTCCATTTGCAGCCATTGCTGATTTTGCAGACATTTATGCTCGCAGACAACCAAGATGACATTGTTCTTAGAGCTGTAACAGTTGTGGCCAACTTACTTTCCAGCCCAGATGGTTACACAGAGGTAAATAATTTGAAGAAGTGATAATATTAAATAATTTCAACTTAGTAACTATGAAAGCAATCTTTACAATAATGAACAATACTTAAGCAGTAGTGAAAATAAGGCCCTGAAAAAAAATTAACTTAAGTTCTGAAGATTGAAAAACAAAACTGTATTGGCTATGATACTCATGTATATCGAATTATTAAAATTAAGTCAACCCTTTATTGACTGAGTGGTGGGTGACTGACTGACTGAATGACTGGCTACCTGACTGAATTACTGACCAAATGACTGACAGATGATTAAGTGATTGAGTGACTGCCTGAGTGAATGAATTCTGACTGACTGACTGACTGACTGACTGACTGACTGATTGACTGACTGATTGACTGACTGACTAGGTGATTGAGTGACCGATTGACTGAATTACTGACTGATTGAGTGACTGATTAATCAACTGACCTTTTGATGAACTGATATAATGATTGACTAACTGACAGCACATATGGATGGATAGACAAATGCACTAATGAACTTACTAATTGACTGATAGTCAACAAAATGGAAATGGGTCAAGGACCAAAAAAATTAATTGATTGATTATTAGATACATCAATTACCGGTAGGTTTGATTTTTTTTTTCTTGTAGCAACAACAAGCTGTCATCACGGAGCATCTAAATGTACTGTATGGAGAACTAATGCGACTTTTAGATCACACTGATGAGAACATTCAGTCACAAGCCAAGAGAGCACTTAGAAGCATATTTGCTTTCAGAATGATGTATACAACATGACAGATACAAGGATTTAAGTTTGGCTGGCATAAAATCATGAGATGAAAGAGGAAAATATTATTAAAATTGCATTTATTTAGTTTGTGGCCTCATAGAGCATTTATACATGAACAGTTACGACTGCTGTAAAAAGGAATTGTACCACAAGTTGACCATGAAATTGAGATTGCATTAACTGCATTGTCATTTGACGTGCATACAACTGTTTTTGTATTTCTTAACTGATGTCTAGAATGACAATTTTGGCTCATGCTGTAGGGTTCCAAGAGACACATGTACCTTCAACTTGTCATGAATTTCCATCACTGTGGAGAAAAATTAATCAATATTAGTAAGGATGATCCTTATCTACATAATCATGGTCATCTGGGGGATAGTTTTTTCTTTTTTTTTTTTGAAAAATGAGAGAAAGAACCACAATAAAAGAGAAAGATAATTAACAATGTCATAATTCATTATATATACCCAGGTGTCTTAACCCTTTAACTTCCAAGATCTGGTTAATTCTACCCTCAAGCCGTTACACATTTCCTTGAAAATGTGTTGTGAGAATTTGGTGTTGGATCAAGATAACTTTGATAAGTCTGAGTATTTTTATTACATGTTTGTTGGATTTTATGGGAAGAAGTAACATGTTAATCTAATTCTGGAAGTAAGAGGGTTAACAAAAGTGGTTTTCACCATGGAGGAGGTAATTTTATAAAGAAACTGTGGTGCTGCGCTGATGGGAGAGTGTAACAAGGTAATTTAATATCATTAACTGAGTTAATAATATAAATTGGCCACTGTAAAGAGTTTTAAAGCTGACAATTTGAGTTTTAGCCCTTTGTTAGAGCGAAACACTAAAGCTCAAAACGTCAGCTTTGATACTGGCCAATTTACACTATCAACTCAGTTGAAAATACTGAATTACCCTGGTTTTCACCATAGTTTATACCAGGTCATTTGATCAGAGCAAATTAAAGCACCCATCATTAGGACCCAACTGTAAATTTTCCAGATTTACTCTGCTGCTGTGAGGTCTTGTTTCATTAAACCTTCTTTGCATGGGAATAATATTACGTACCCTAAGCTGGATGTTGCAGCAGCAAGTTTTACAACTTCTTGCATGATCTGTGATGGCTCCTTCTCTGCAAACAGAATTCTTTCTTGGCGTTCATCCACTATGAAATTAAAGAAAAGTAAAACAAAAGTAAAATCAAACACTCCAAATTAAAAATCTCCAAAACTGTTTTGACTACCAAGATCACAGGATCCATGCTCAAAGGCATAATCTAAAGGTCATTAACCTTGCCTAAGGATGTTCCCTCTTTTCTCTAGAGTTCTGCTGATGTTAATGGTGATGGATCTCTCAAAAAAAGTTGTTTGGACTAATCTTCAAGGAAGCCAACAAAATTTTGACCCTTCAGAGTACATTTTTCAAAGGGGACCAATGAAAAATCTGAGGTTTCAGATTCCTCCCATCTTTTCATGTGGTTAGGTTCAAAATGTGCATGAACATGAAACATGAAACATCCTCACCAAACCCCCTTGTACAATAGGATGATAATCCTCAACCCTACCTCCTATGAGTGACCACAACAGAATTTCTCCATACCACATCATTACAATATTGAGTAGACAAGTGATGAGAATAAGGAAATCTATCAATTAGGGGATAATATAATTAGTTGATCCAATACCACATTCCCCAAACTAACATCATAAGAATTGTATGCCAGACATTAAGGAGAATTCCATGTAAGATCTTGGGAGTGAAAGGGCTACAGTTCCAATGACACACTAGTATTGAAACCTTCTTTTGGAAAATCATAGACATGCCCTTGTGAATGTCAATACTTGCTGTTTAATTTTACCACCAATATAGCATAGCTGTTACTACTTACTAAATGTTATAAGGAGTTCTGCCTGTTCAGATTGATTTTGTGATCCTGAAAATTCAACATGTGGATTTTTAAACTTCAGCTGTGGAACATTCTCATAAAAGAACCGTCTGCAAGAGAGATAAAAGGATAATTATCTTAACTTCGTATGACTAGTTTTGGGAAAAATTAATTAAACTGAGGTAACATTAAGCCTCATGAAATGTAAACATCTCTTGAAATCATGGCAATACGTCTTTATACCAGGCAAACGAACAAAGGGGGTAAGTTTCTAAAGAAACAATGTCCAGGCAGTCAGACAGGTATTTGAAAATACTCCGTGCAGTCAGAAACTTCGCGGCGGATACCACTTACTTTGGTTTATAGGTCGACGAATTTTTTTTTAAATCACTTGCATCTATAAACAAGCATCGAGTACTTTTAATACGTTTGGATGGGGTATTACGTGGGAGTTCGGTGAAAATTTATCACTACCGGGCACGTTCTTAATAGACTGGATCATAGGGAGTTCTAGATCAGAATTGTTTTCTAGATGTTTTACGTATGCACAAGCTCAGAAATTTCCTCTACTAAATGATCAAAGTGAGTTTTGAAACCGCTTAGCATTTCTAAACAACAAGAACTTTAACAGAACATTTCAGGGGAAATTCTGACTAAATTTTTGTCTGCTGGACGCAGAATATATTCAAAATCCTGTCCGGCTGCCGGCCACTTCGAAATTTTAGTATATAGGTAGATAAAATTGTACTCACTCTGCGCCTCTTTGCTCAGGTTTTGGAATGTTAATCCTCATCTCTTTGACATCTTGATCTAAGACAACATTACACCTTTTTAAATGTTCGATTGTTCTCTGTACAGCATATCTGCCAATCTTACCGCTATGAATGTTCATGTATTTCAACGCTTCGCGGTAGAGTTCAGGGCTCTTAGCGGCCATGTTGGATTTCTCCTCTATAATGTTCAGCGGCATGCACTTTTCTATGAAATGAACTTCATGTAAAACATATTTTCAGCCGAGTGACCGCTGAAGCATTGAGTTTTCCAAGATGGTGGAAGAGTTGTAGGAACAATATGGCGTGAATAATTTGACTTGTAGAGATCGAACTTTGGGAGAATTTAAGCGTCCAATATGCCGACCGGAAAGTTTCCATTTCGCCGCACCTTCGAATTCCTCAACTCGGGAAAGTTAATATTAAAATCGGATGTGAAGAACGTGCTATTAAATTACACTACCAAACAAGAGAGTCTTGGCCTCAGAAATTTCATTTACAAAGATGTTCCTCAAATTCAGTACAAGAATCGTACTGTCCAGATTACGACGACGAGAAACAGATTAACCTATCCAGTGGTGCATGTATTTTTTGGTAGGTATTGAAAACTGTATGACATTATTTTATCACTGTTACATAAGCAACTGCGACAGGAATTTACTGTAACCCAGTTACTCCTAAGGTCTAATTTTTTTGTTTTTTAAATTTTTTCCTCTAGCTGCTACTCATTTCCTTGTAAATTATGTGTGAGAATTTGTTGTGAGGTCAAGAGAACAACTTCTGCCTTAAAGGGTTGAATGTTTTCATTAAATGTTTGCTGGATGATGTATGGACATGATAGCTAGGGAGAAGTTATACGTTCATCACTTCAGGGGGTTCAAAGGCTAATAGTGACAGAATTACTACTCATAGAGGTCAAAGCATATATGATATATGTATACATTCTGGGAGCCCAATTTCAAGCCTACAGGGTATAGGATTTTGCTCAAAAGTGATATTAAGGCTGGCTTGCTAATGTTTACCCATTAAAGTTTGTAACATTGAGGTGGACGGGATAAACATGTGTCACAGATGAACTGTCCTTTCACCTTAAAAACCTGATGAGGGGTGTGGGGCTGTCAAGTTCTTTGCCTGCTTAACTCAAGAGGGTGGGGGAAGGGGATCAGTAGTGTAGCTTTTTACTCTAAAATATGTACGTATTGCTTATTTTCTTCAGGTAATGGGAAAAAGGTGGCAATGGATGTGGAAAGTAAAACTGGGCCTGAGATTTTGGAGATGTTTGGTAAAGTGGCTGGAGCTACAGAAATGTAAGTAATGATACTAACATTCATTTCATTTATCTTGAAAAATGGACATTTCTTATTTGAACCTAAGGAGATTTCAGCTCAAAACAAAGCATGTGAATTTAAGGCATTTGATTATTTTTGTTATAACGTAGGGAGCAAAAAGACAGTGTAAAAGAAAAATATCCAGGCCGATTGAACCCTGCAAACTTTGGCCGGTTTGGGCAATGTTACTGTATCTGTCAGAAGCCAGGACAAAGGCCATGCACAGCTATTGTTCCACATCCTGAGGCAAAGAAGCCAAAATTCTGGCAACTCAAAGCAGATGCTTCTGCAGGATAACTTATTATTGATCACTTATGATGAATGGGAACAGATATTTGTAATAAAATAACCATATGAAAATGTTGTGAATTTCCTGCGTCCACATAAATAGATGACTTGTGAATAACTACAGGTACTTCTGTGACTTCTGAGTGCATGACGTGGTTCAAATTTTTGAGTGGTTTCATATTTTTCACACCAGTTTGATCTTCATTTTAGTTCTTCTTATATTAAGGAAATATAATTCTGGAACAAAGGGAAATCAAATTCTAACTGGTTTGAAAGATTTTATGAAACAACAAAATTTTGAAGCAAAACATCTGCAAAAGCCTGTGGAGTAATCAAAAAAAAGTATCTTCTTTTTAATTGTTTTGCATTGGTAGGTTTTTACAGGACATCTATACAGACTACTCCTATCCATTTAATTATGGAGTATTGTCTGACACTGTGTCACAAATATGGCAAATTTGATGCCAACACAGTGAGGCTATTTGTGTTTTTCAGACCATTTTAATTGCACCAAAACACAACATGTACTCTTGGATATCATTATATTCAGGGTATTCACATGATTTTATGCTAACTTGAAAATATTATCACAGCTTTTCAGTACACAGCTGCAAAAAAATGCTCTGGTTATCTTCAACAATTTTAACTAATTTGACAAGATTACTTTTCTATAAAAATACAAAAACAACAACAATTAAAAACTAAACGGAAATGAAAGATGCATTAAATTCAGTTATTAACTTCTTTGAAAGTATTTGTTACCCATATACAAAATTATCCCCTTCAAAAATATTTGCAAAGGATGCTAATAATTTGCTATCTTCCTTGATGCTGCCGAAAGTACTCCTCCTCCAGTTCCATCAGGTTTCTTTCAAGCATTTCAACTTCATCAAATTTCCGCTGTTGTTTGGCTTGCACAATGTAACTTTTAATAATATCTATCTGCTGCAGCATGGGGTCTGGGGAAGAGCCTTGAGTAATGGGGACTGGGCCCCAACCATTTCCCATAACAGACTCTGGAGTTTGCTGGGCAGTCTTAAGTTTGCTTGAAGGCTCATTTCTATTGAGGTCTCCATGTCCTTGTTGTCTTACTTTTGCTGCTCGTAATCTTTCTTGCATGGCTCGTTCTCTTTTTTCTTTCTCTTCTGCTGCTTTTCTAGCCAAAGCATTTGCCCTTTCTTCTTGAAGTTTACTAATTTTGTCCACTGAAGGCAGATTAGGAAGTGTGAACATGTTTTCCTGTAAGTATCCTGTAGCAAAAGTTCTTATGCCTTTTTGGAGTTTCATTGTCTGATGACTTGGTGGTTTCTCAGCTTGAGTTCCAAGAGCTGCAATCTTTTTACTGCAAATAAGTGAAAGGAATAAACTTATGAAATCATAATGGAAACAGATTTATTATTAGAACACACTCAGAGGACTCCCCCAAATAAGCACTATGCACTTAGAATTTGTGTATAGTCAAACTATTATTTTCCACCCCCTCCTTCAAAAACATATTGGATCAACATCAGAATTTGAGAAACTGTGCACCAACCCTTTCCCCTGACCCTACATTGGCCCAGCATTAACCCAACCTTGTTATCAGGTGAATATTGTTGGATTAAGGGAGGGGTAGGTGAGCAGTTGCTCAGATATTGAGCCTGGAGTGGTTTAGGACTGGATTTATAGTCTCCAGTTAAAGAAAGCTAGCTTCCTTCCTAAGGTATTCCAGTCAGTCATACTCTCTTAACAATAAAACAGTTGTCACTGACTTAGGCTATCAAAATTTCTTCAGTATCAACTCACCTAATGATGTCCACTGATTCATACATCCTCACTAATCTTGCACGCACTTCAGCAGCTTCTTGTAAATCATACTGAATATCACCTAAACTGTAGGAATAAACAAAGATGAAGATTCTTAACCCTTTAACCCCCAAAATGTTAATGTTAATTCTCTAGCTGCTACACATGTCCTTGCAAATCAGGTATAAGTAATTAGTGTTAGATCAGGATAACAACTTTTACCTGATAAGTTTGAATGTTCTCATTACCTGTTTGTTAGATATATGTATGGATATTTTAGGGAGAAGTTTTGTGTTAGTTGAACTTCTGGGAGTTAAAGGGTTAACAAGACTATGGATTGAGCATTCCTTACCTTCAGCAAAGTCCATTCTGTGGGTTCAATTTCATATCTGTTAGTCCTACTTCAGACCTTCTGCTTTTAATTGTATTGCATAATCTTTGCTAAGATTTTTTTTGATCCTATGATTGTAGTTTATTTCTGATTGCAAATAACAGTGTAACAGAAAAAAACCTATTGTTAATGTAATTATTATTTTATTATTATTATCATCATTATAATTTTAAAATGAACTTCAAGGTTGTTAAGAACTATAAAAAAGTCTAGGCAAGTTTTTATAATACTGACTTAATTGAATCAGCCATTTTGGTGTACGTGGGTTGTAACAATTCTGCCTCTGCCATAGAGCTCTTCATTTTCTGTAAGAGAAGAAGTCATGATCATGGTTAGAACATTTCAATAAGAGAGTGGTTCAGTGGACAATGTGTTTAAAATTAATGACACCAAAAAATAAATAAATTAATAACTAAACACCAATAATGATAAATGTAATTTGTGTAAATTAGAACTGACATATATTATTATTTTGCTGGCACGGAGAGGTGAACTAGGTTCTAGTGTAGTATGCATGGGACCTTGGTTAGGGGGTTTGAAATATTGACCGGTTAGTTATGCGTGTCATTCTACAGTCAGCCTTGCCGCGTCATCTTGCTTTGTTTAGTTTAGTTTTCACTTACTCTGTTAGCCTTAATCTCATTACCACCCGTAATGTAACATCTTGTTTTCCACTTATATTTATGTTATTAGGCTTCATTTTATTAGTTTTGCCTTATAATCCCAAAGATGACGCCATGGCATACATTTGGGTTACATGGTCTCTATTTTTCCAACAGTTGGTTTTTTCAGGTTTACGTGTCTGGCTGTGGCATGTTCTTAGAATTACTGTAAAGTGGAGTTTTTTCACATGAGTTAATAAAGTGTATCATGGGCCTGGCTGACCAACGTGCCCATGCCTCCAAGTGTTACTTTGTGGTTGTATAGCGGAGGCAAAAGTAACAATTATAGTTAATAAAAAAATTGATGAAAATCAAATGGGGGAATATGAAAGACCAGCAATACAGAAATGGATCAAGAGGGTTGAAGGAAGTAACAGTAAAAAATAAAATTAATTTTTACTCCTCCCTGTATAATTAAACTTACATTCACAATCATTAAAAAAAATTAGTCTCAAAATATATAAGGAATATGCAAAAAGTAAAAAGATTGAAGATTATCGTTGCAAATTAGCCTTTACATACACTGTGAAATGATATTTTTTCACGATTTAATTCATCAATTAAAATTTATATGAATAACTCAACCTCTAGCAATGCTTATTATTACCTCATACAATTGAACAACAGGGGGCTTTGTTTTCTTTTCCTTTTCTTGTCGATCATATCTGAGGAAAAAAAAACCAACCAAAATTTACATTTTAGGGCCTGAAATTATAAAAAAGATTATTTAATCACCTTTAAATGCCAAAGTGGTGGAAAATGGTTGCCAAGGGAAAAGTTCTAGTCACCCATTTAAAGACTGCATCTGTTTGAACCTTAAGTACCACAAATTTTAGCTTTGCTTCACTATATGATAAATGAATTAACTTTTTGAGATTCTGCACCAGATCAAAAGGAAGGAAGTGCCTCCCACAGATTAGTTTTTCTGAAACAAGTTAAAGCTGGTTTGAATTTGCACACAAGTATAGATGCAATGACAAAAAAAGTGAATGCCAATATGTGAAAAAGTTGCAAAAAGATAGTCTTGGAGGAAATGTATAAGAGAATGGTTTGCTGCCGAGTATCATGAACTAGCCATTGACTTTTTTTTGCACTTTTTAAGCATGGAAAATGGTAAAGTACAACTGTAGCTTACCTCTCCAAACAATCCATACAGGCTTGACATGCACGAATACCAGCTTCATCAGAATCATCTTTGGAGTGCCCCTTTAATCTCCTGGGAAGGCTTGAGCCTGTCTGATCCAGTTTTAACACAGAAACTATAATAAATGATAATATTAACATATGTAGCATAGTCTTGAAGCAAAAAGTTCTTTAAAAGTAATACATTTGGTTGATTCCACATTAATGTGAAATAGAATACTTGAAAAAAAAAATAGAAAAAAGCTATAAAGGTAACTAATTGAAATAAAACCAATGCATTGTTGCACAGACTGCATGCACAGGGCTCATAATAACAGCAATGGCAAATTGTCAAGTCAAACAAAAGGCTTTGTTCACTCAACTCCTGGGATGGCCAGCCACTAGTGTCTACAATTAGATAAAAGTGTTTGAAATTGGACACTAATGTCTGAGATCAGACTCTACAGTGTCTTAAATCAGGCATTAGTGTCTAAAATCAGACACAAATGTCTAACACCAGGCATTAGTGTCTAAATTTGGACACTAGTGTCTTTATTCAGACAATAGCATCTAAAATTGGACACTAGAGTCTAAAATCATACACTGATGTTAAGTGAGTTATTGCAAGAGTGAAGGGGTAAGTTCCTAAAGAAACTGTGGTGCTGCGTCGGTGGGAGAGTATAGCAGGTAATTTAGTGTTAACAACTGGGTTGAAAACATAAATTAGCCACCGTAAAGGGTAAAAAAGCTGACGTTTCGAGCGTTAGCCCTTCGTCAGAGCGATTATTGCAAGAGTGAGTTGAATGAGTCAATGCATATTTGTATGGCCAAACTTGGGTGGTGTCTTGATGTTTTGATGGTACATGTACCATATGGAAAATTATTTTGAGTCTTGTACACAAATATTGTGCACCTACATGTATGAACAGACACACAATCTGCCAATTAGATAACAGAAAACAAAAAGTGGATTCCGTCCTATAGTAGGGCATGAAATCGCATCTAATACAGGTGCCAATGCAACTAAATTTTTCACTTTGGCAACCAAATCCTGAAAAGTAGTCACCAAATTGGCAACTAAAATGCTTCATCGTAACCATACCTAAAGATATCGTGAATTTAAAAGATTTGAAACGTTGCTGTTGTAAAGCACAGATTGGCACAAATGAATTTCCTTAAGATAATTGTGTGCTTTCATTCATGTTATAAATCAATTATGTCTGACAGAACAACTTAAGTTGGTATATTTTAAGCATAGTTTCTTACCAGAAAAAGAAACAGACACAAACACTGAGCACTTTGCACACATTATTCCCCCACACAGCCTACAGTGATGCCTACGTCGAGCCACATTAAACTGCCTCTTGCAAAGAGGGCAAAACTTCACTTCACTGTCAGCAATCCATGGCACCAGACTTCTCTCTAAAGCTGTAAAGGAAATATTAGGTTGGCATTTCAGACTGTATGGATAAACACTAGGTAACAAAGGGCCTTATTTGGGAAATACAGGTCTATTATTACAGACTGGAATGACAGGTCATGGTTCTAAAACTTATGAGCTGAAAACTAAGAATGGTCTCATCCAGAGTCAATAATCACATGACTAAATAACACACAACCAGCTGAACAATTTCAAGAATTCAGCCCCACTCTAACAGCTTGGTAAATGAATGACCGAGTCATTCACAAACCAGGTAATAACGATGAAGAGTAAATTCATAACAATAAAAAGACAAACACAATGTTAATGGTACTATTAAATGCTAAATTAAACGTCTGACCCCTGAATGAATAGCCTTTAATTTCTCTTTACAGTATCATGAGTGTAAAAACAATCATCAACCACTTAAGAAGTTCTTGATTGTTATAATTTTTTTTTTTGTCTGCCCAGAGAAATGCCTAGGAAACAGTATGGAGAATATACATACTGATATTAGGATGTCAAGGGTCAAGGAAACAGATACCAGTACTCACATTTTCTTCCTGGTCTTGTGGGTAATGCAGGTGAATCTTTAACAGTAACTCCTGACCTTAAAAGCTAAAATCATTATAAATTCATACGTAAAAAGAAGACACATTCAGACTCATTAGTTAACAAAAGTTACCAGCTAAAAATTCCCAGCCAAGAAAATAAACTTTGGTCAGATAACTTTGCACACAAGGCAAGTGGTTCACACCAGCAACAGCTGTACCAAATTTGGTAGAATGATGTGCTACAGGAGTAATGAAACAGTCATAAATCTTTCCCACACAACGATCCCCATTAGTCCTTTAACTTCCAGAAGTGATTAACATGTAACTTCTCCCAATAACATCCATACATTACCCAGTCAACAGGTAATGAGAATACACAAACCTATCGGGTAGAAGACCTTATCTTGACCTAATACAAAATTCTCATAACCCATTTAGAAGGAAATGTGTAGGAGCTAGAAGAGAGAATTAACAATCAGATCTTGGGAGTTTAAGGGTTAATGCCTATCCTTCTCAATAAATGAATACCAGTCTGCCAGTATACAAAAAGTAGAAATAGAATAAGTAACTTCAAATAAGGAGTGCAGAAAGTCTTAGTTGTGTTTACCCTATTAAAAATCCTAGGTAAGCTTCTGCAAACCGTTAACCCTTTACATGTAACTCTCATAAGTGACCAAGACAAGATTTCTCCTTACAATATCAATACAATATCAAGCAGAAAGTGATGAGAATAAAGAGATTATTAGTTGATCCAATAAAAAATTCTACATAGTTATATCACAAGAATTGTGTGGCAGATAGTAAGGAGAATTACGAATTAGATCCAGGAGTTGAAGAGTTAACATCCACAGTGATGACTTTATTCCAAAAAGACTATGTACATAATTACCAAATTGACCATTGCCAAGTAAATACACATACCTTCTCCAGTCTGATAAGTATTTTATTAGTTTCAACAACGAATCTGTCAATCTCTGCATCTCGTCTTTCCCTAAATTCTCTAAATCTGCTTCTTGAGGCTCCTGTGTTTGAGAGGCAAAAAGAAGTCTGTTATTACTGATAACAGAATTGATGATGAGTTTTTCCTCTTCAATTTAACTGTTCACACCCTAACATCAGTATGCATATTCTCCATACTGCTCTTTATACATCACCTAAGGTGCTGACAAGAATCAATTTAATAGTCAGGAACTTCTTTAGTTGGTGACCATAACTGTTACTCTAGTTAGCAGGTAATTTAGTGTTAACAATAGGGTTGAAAATGTAAATTGGCCACTGTAAAGAGTAAACAAGTTGATGTTTCGAGAGTTAGCCCTTTGTCAGAGTGATCAGCAAAGGGCTAATGCTCAAAACGTCAGCTTGTTTACTCTTTACAGTGGCCAATTTACGTTTTCAACTCACATGTTCACACTAAATTACCTGCTATACTTTCCCACCGATGCAGTTTCTTTAGAAACTTACCACCGATGCAGTTTCTTTAGAAACTTACCCCCTTTACTCTAGTTACCTTAATGACTTCAACTTGGATGTGATATGGTGAGAAGAAATTAGATACTTGTCACTCTTAGGGGTCAAAAGCCAAAGGCTCTAGCACAAGGCACAAAGGCCACAAGTTGAAGAGCAAAACAAAATGAAGATCTACATTATTGTATGAAATTCCCGCAAAAAAAAAATTAGGAACCGACAACAAAGACAGTTTACAGTCTCAGCAAGCCGTACTCCACAAGAGTGTGTAGAGAAAGGCAAATCATGAAACGTAACAGAAATTGCCTAATTTCAAACAACTCCAAAGAAATAATGATGGTAAAAATGACCATAACAACGATTAAATGTTAAAAAAAAAACCAAATAGTAATTAATTGAAAAATAATCAGGGTGTAAAAGTGTAAAAATTGCTGCATTCTACAAGCGTGTGAATGATTCTCAGTCGCATCCATGTGGTTTGATGGAAAAAATGTAATGCCCAGAAGAAGAGCATGAAATGCGCAAGTCTTAAGAAACCATCCAATTGAAGCAGATAAATTGTGCTGTCGAAATTGGGGTATTCTGCCAAAAATATCGAAACCGACATCTCTTGAAATAACCGAGCAACAAGGGTAAATATTCGATTGAAGAATCATGGATGAAACATCGTGTTGACATAAGACGTCCACGAACTACCCGCAGGCAGGAAAAACTTTAAGGGAAATGCTCAACGAATGACAAAGCTTGCTTGATCGTGTAGACAACAAACAGTGAAAGTTAAAACGTATTCAGCTGATATTGTATAAGAATTATTCTCACCGAAATCTTGCTGGTCCCAAAGAAACGGATCGACTCCTCTGTTTACAGGATTTTCAACAACACCATCTACAGAATCTACAGTTACCCCGTCTGGTTCAGAACTCTCTATTTTGTTTATAATTTTTCTCTTCGCTTTGCCAAACGCCTCTCGCATTCGGCGAAGTGTGTCCTTGTCATCGGAATGACTCTCCTCGAAATGTCTTTGCAAAACCGAAGCATTTCCCAAATCCTTCATACATATTGGGCAAATGAAACCCTCCTTGATATCGTCGTTCTCCATTGCTCACGTGTTAATTAACAATCGAGCGACCCAGTTGTCCGCATTTGTGCTAATCACGTCCAAAAACCATAACATCTGCCGCCATATTGGGACCGCAAATTCTTGTACCGCAGAGAGTTCTGGGTAAGGGGTATGGCCCCACCCACAAATAGGGGTTGTAGGGCTAATCGGCGCGGGGTCAAGAAATGATATGTTCTGTCGGAGGGGGTTGGGAATCAAGAGGCGAGCGTGTTAAGAGGAATGATTTGTAACTGCAGCTTGAGAAGTGATTGATATGACGACCCCTTGTACGCTAAAACGGTATGACGAAGCACTGTAGTAATAAAGAAAACAACTTTTCAAAACTCCTGGAAAAAAAATTTGTTGTTTTACTTCATACTAATTACAAATACAAGCTTTGCATTGTTGACCTGAACCTGAGGGACAAGTAATTATTAATGGCCGGGGGGGGGAGGGGTGGAGGATTTTAAGAGACACAACCAAAATCCTCCCACCCACCCTCCCAGGTGATCAATAGTAACCTGTCTCTAACTTGTTTCAGAACCATAGTCTGTGTAGCAGAACAATCTTGTTCACGGATATGTTAAAAGCAGTTTTTGCTTCTTATTTTGAAAGGGCCGCTCATTACTCATCGATCTCGTTAAATTCCATGGTTCTTGATTGCTGTTTATTCACTGGATATTCCGAAATGCTAGAAAGTGATGAGATCTACAAGATTTCCTTTTGGTTGTGTCATGTGTTCAGGGAAGAAAGACACCAATGTATCAAACAACTGCAACAAGAAAACAAAAAAATGAAAGCTTGGCTTAAAGAAACATCCACTTTTCTCGTTCAGTTTAGCGCGGAAGAAATGTACAGCGTGAGAGCGAAAAATGACCGCGCAAAAGGCTGAGAAACCTCCACCGTTTCCGTTGTACGCTCGGCATTTAACACTCACTTTTTATTTCCCTTGCCAAAGACTAAGTTTAGAACACCTAATGTAATTATATCACCCACAATACAGGTTACATATCAAAGATCATTCGTGAAACATGTGTGGAAATGTACACTATGTTTGTGTAACAACTACCTGAGTTCTTCCAGCAAAACCGTCATTTAATGGCGGCGATAAAGAGTCTGAGGATTTAAGAGAAGAAAAAGAACATCAGGCGAGGGCAGATAAGCACAAAGACGAACGAACGAACAAATAGTCAGATAGCAGACATACAGACACTTCGTTCTGAAAAAGGGCTTACACTCGAAACGTTAGCTTTAGTAACTCTTTACGATGGCCAATTTACATTTTCAATTATGAAACATAACTATGAAAGATAACTCACCTGCGTCAGTTTCCATTCGATCTTGTGTGGAGACTGACTGAGAAAATAGACTGGATGCAATAAGACGAAACTGTAAACAAAAGAAAGGAATGCTTACCAACTACAACCATTCCACACGACATACCTTATTTAAGCGATTTGTAAATCTACTATTAAGAGGGAATTTTAAGTTCTCGTCCAGGGAAACACAAGGGCACTTGCAGATAACCCACAGTGCGCTTAAGTCTTCTGACGCGTAAATTAGTTAGAAGCTCGTAATCGTTCACTAATCGACCATATTATGCTCGTTTCGGGAAAAAAAAAAGAAAAGAAAGATAGAAAAAGAAAAGAAAAAAAAAAGAAAAGAAACGGGGGCTGAGGGGAGAAGGGAAAACTAACACTGGGTAACTTAGCTCATTAACTTTTAGTATTTTATGGCTTTAATCACCTCTTGACTCTCGTCCGGATCATCATGGGCGACTGTCTCCGAGAGCTCGTGCTAGGGAGAAAAAAGCAGAGTGTGACTCAAATTTGAAAGAGAGGGTAAGATTCTTCTTGGAGGTGTGGGGCGGGGATAAGCCCAGTCCCAAGGAGCGCGGGCTTATTTCCAGAACAGCGGTTGACAATCGATCTTTGGGCGGGGTAGAACAACGCGTCTTGTTTCTCGCGAGGCGCGTATTGAATTATGCTAAACTCGTCTTCTCTTTAGCACAGTCGTTTTGTTTCTTGCGAAGCGTAATCCGGCTTTTTGTAAACCAGTCTCGTCTCTCGCGTAGCGCGTTTTGGTACACGCAAGACATCTATGATTGCTCACGGGGCGCGTCTTGAATTTTGCCTGAAGTGTCTTGTTACTCACATGACGCTTTTTGTTTCTTATGAAGAGCACCCTGTTTCTCGCGAGATGCGACTTGCTTTTCACAAGAAATGTTCTCTTCACTCAATGTGCGTTTGGCGGTTTCTCGCGAGTAGAGTCCTCTTCTCTTGCAAGGCGCATGCTCCGTATTGCGCACGTGTTTTCTGGATCACGTGTTTCTCGCGAGACGCGCCCTGTTTCTCGCTTGTTGTGCATTTCATTTTGCGAGAAGTAAATTTATCTCAAGTAGTGCGTTTGGTTTCTCGCAAGACATAAAATTTTTCACGCAAGGTTGTCTAGCTCCTCACGAGACGTGTCACGTTTCTCTCGAGAAGCATTCTGTTTCACTCAAGACCCTTACTCCTTCTCACGAGAAGAGATTCACCAGTATCTGTGCAAGATACAAGTTAGGGGGAATTTAGAAATTTAATAAGTACCTGCAGATAACGAAGAGCTTCGTAAGGGTCACGAGCAGCCATCTCTTGAAACCTGAGAAGGAAAAACAAATAATAAGAGTGTCGTAAAGGAGGAATTTTTTGTGGCTTTACGCGTTCAGGTCGGGCGGGTCCAATACATGTTGATGGGATGAAAAAGTAAAGCCGACCAGTTAAATCAAAAGGATGCGGGATTAATGATACAAATTGGCAGTTAAAAAAAGGGGAAAAGCAATAAGTGGTAACAGTACCTTTGTTTACGAATTAAGTATCGACATCTTCTTAATAAGTGTTCTCTTGAAGGTCTTGACAACTACAAATAAACGGGAAATAAAATCAATGGACAGTATTAACAAGGCTAAACATTGATAGCCGCGTACCGAGTTGACCACTTTTTTTTGGGTCACGCAACGCAACTAAATTTTGACAAGGTAATTGCATGTTCTCGAGCGTAATCAGCGCATTCAATTCCGTTCCGTAAATGAATTTTGAAACCCTTGAAAAGTTTAAAAGTGTTTGTTACTCTCAGGTTGCAACAGAAAAATTTGACAACTAACTCACATCCAAATTGTAAAATAATGTCACACAAAGTAACATGCGCTGGGGTACTACGTGACAAACCCGGATCAGGCTAAGGGGTAACCTAGTTTCCTTGGCAGTCATTCTCTAGGATGTAGCGCAAGATGAGGGGGCGTTGCGTGACATCCAAGAGAACAGCCGCGAAGGAGACTAAGAGTAAACGAAATAAACAGATAGACAGTTAAAATTTTGAATCAAAGTCTGATTACCTTCAGCGACCAGAAGTCATCGAGTCTCATCTTGGGTATGCTGGATTTTCCAGGATTGCCACCAAACAGATAATGTACTTTATGAATATCATCATACACCAACTGATGTGCAAACCGAGGGCAAGGCTCTACATTCTGCATCTTGGTCCAGTACTGCTGACCCATGTTCTCATTCTTGTAAACACAAGACCTACAAGAAAAATAGTCATTAGAAGGATCCATAAGTAGTAAACTACAGATTAACTTTGTGTGTAGAGCTATTGAATTAGCAGAAATCGGATAGAACCTTAAGAAATCAAAAGGAACCGTTCGAAATCAGACGCTAACGTCCGCAATTAACCGCAAGCGTCCAAAATCGACACCAAGCGTCTGAAATTAGTCGAACTGTCCGTCTGAAACCGGACACAATTGCCCGAAATAAAACGATACTGTCCGAAAAAAAAAAAAACAGGACCTAAAATCAGACAAACTGTCAAAAATCGGTGCTCGTTTGGGTGGGGAAGGTTATTGTCAATTTTCCACGTTTTAAAATACTTACCACGACTTTCGTTCCATATCGTATACCCAAAAAGAATTCCTGACTGTTTCTTCACGTTTTTCCTTGTCCTTACTGAGACCCTAAAGAGATGAATGAACCCATCAAATTACAGCTCTTCAAACTTGATGTAACATCCAGTCCACTGTGCAAACAAAAACAAGGGCTCCAAAAAGCTCCTGTACAGTTGCAACTAATAAAAAGCACACAACGTTTTGTTGCGAACCTAATGACTTGCTTAAACTGACGAGGGAGGAGAGGAAAGGGGAGGGAGGGGAAGCGTAAATAGTGCAGCACACTATACGTAGCCACAAAGACCAGGGGTTCGTATTTTTCTGTTTCATCGCAGATGAATGTGCTCGCGTTATGTATCTGTAAAATATCGTAGCCTTTACTCTTACGACGAAAACTGCAGACCGTAATTACTGTGGGCTTACCACTACTGATACAGTCACGCGCGTGCGTGTACGAGTGTAAACTTCTAACTTCGCTTTTCGGACCATTGTCGCGAATGGGATTTTAACAGACGCGTACCGTGATCGTATGTGTAATGGTTTATCAACTACATCCTGTTGCACTGTACCCTGGGAGCAAGCCTTCATTTTTAGTTGTGGAGAGGTTTGCTAAGGGTTTGGCAAGCCCCTTGCAGACTCATGCTTTCCCGCTCTCAACTTTTACGTAACAAGAGAGACGGTGACGTAAAGAACTGCAGGCTCAAGAGAGATCTACTTACAGATAATACGTGAATTTCGTTGAGTCCAGGATCAATTGTTGCTCTCTGAGTAAAACCTGCTGCAGGAACTGTAAATAAAGAAAAGAAGGGTACTTAAACAAAACTCATAAATATCATTAAATCAACAACGGCTACTATAGTAATTGTAAAAAAGAAATGCAGTGATTGTAGATATACCTTGATCAGATTCTTTTTTGCTTCCATCGTATATAAATGATATTTCATGGGTGTCCACATTGTACGTAATAAAGTCACTGAAGGATAGGAAAAAAAGGTCCTAAAATTACTCAGAATGAAAAAAGTTTTGCATGCTTTAAGTAATTTGGTCATCAGATTAAATTCACTTCAACATCACTGCATATAGTACCTTAAAAATTCTCTTCCTCTTTGTCCAGCGAAAATATATAGAAGTCTTTTCTCCTGCGTGAAAAAGAGTTGCAAAAAAAAGAGAAACTGACATTGAGTAATTCGCTGGTGAGCGTTATTCGCCAAGCACTTAATTAAACAAGTGGACATTACAGTTTGATGGCTCATTCTCCCAGCTACAATAAATTAAGGTTTTGTTATATTTCTTTCAGTGCAAGGGCAATGTAGGTCAACTTTGCTTAACAAATAGTGCCTATTAAGGGTTTTCCATGGATAACACCCCGTCATGCTTGGTACCAGGGCCCCTCTGGATAACAGCCATGCAGCTGAATAGGCCACCACGGCCAGTGTTCTCCCTTATTTTAAGCATGACAAGTAAAGGTAAAGCAATCCTTTTACCCGTTGAATTTTAAAGAATTCCAAGCAATTTTAAACGGTAATATGAGGCACTACAGGTGGTAAATGTTACCGGTTACTGCCTGAAAAGGAGAACAATGCAAGGCTAAATAAAATTTACCTTACTCTTTCCTTGAGAGTGCTTTTCTGAGGACAATGATATTCATAATTAAATATTTGAAAGTTACACGATTGTTTTTCCTGACTTACTGGATGAAATAACATTGAGTGTCCTATCCTTGATCGCAGCTCAGGACAGTCGTCCCTACAAAAAACAACAGAGACAAAATCAGTCCAGCTACTGTTTAAGTCAAAATTGTACCATTAAAATGTGAGATCTCTGAAGCGTCACATTTGCATGTTGTATCGATACGATAATACGAATTTGTTGAGCAACTTCCCAAGTAACATAATTTCACAGTATGCAGTGCTATTATCCCTATCTTATCATCACCTGTTTCAGGCGTTCAGTTAGTAAATTGAAGCGCAATATTAAACAGCGCTATGAGAGCGGCGGAGTGAAAAGACAAGAGAGGTTTGGGTCGGCTCGCGTTAAGTCCTCTACGCAAGTCGACCCAAGCCTCCGCCGCTTTTTCACTTTTCCGTCATCTACTATTTCACTCCGTTTTCCAAACCGAATGCCAGGAACTGGCTAATTCTAAAAACATTTTCAAATTCCAGCTTACTTGAGTTTATTCCAGGTATTTGTTTGACAGTTGTACGAGTACAGTCCGCTAAATAGGGTTTCCTGTGCTCTCTCGTCTCCACTTGAGCTAAAAAAGAAACTACTACTTTTAGCTCTGCGGATAAAAATGTGAAGGAAGAACAAACAAATCCGTTCAGCCTTTTCTGCAATAAACCTCTTAATATATAATGATTTCTTCTCCTTTTTTTCCTACCTTGTGAGTACACGACCACCAAACACATAAATTGTGCTTTTTTCAACATCAATACACATCTGCAAAATGAAACAACAAAAGTTGATAGGTTGTTGCATATTATGGAGCAGGGAAAAAGATTCCATGCTGTATAAAAAAATTTGACAAAAAGACTCTGATGATGCATATTACAAAAAAATTTTTATGTTCACAAACATTGGTTTTTTTTCCTGCTAACAGAAGAATAATTAACCATTAGACCATCAAGTGTAGCTAGCATCAAATTTCTCCTTACAATATCACCCCTAAATCAAGCATAAAGGTCATGAGAATAAAGGAAATGATCACTCAGTAAAGAAGCTCTTGATTGTTAAACAAATTCTCCTCTTCAGCACCTTAGTAATTGTATGAGAAACAGTTGGGTGAATATGCATACTGATGTTATAGTGTGACAGAAGAATAAATATCCAAGAATAAATAATCCAGTATCACACAGACCTGATGGTCAAAAATAAGAGGTGGCCCTCCTTCAGATGCTGTGTCTGCGCTGATAAGCGTCCATTGATTTCTGGTTATGTCATAAACATAAAAATCACTCTGGTAAAATAAAAAGAAACAAAACTAGCAATCAGAAGTCTGTTAAATAAATAGAATTATTGATGCTGTGCATCGATCTATTCAGTAATAGATCACATATGACAACGAAATAGAGCAAGAACCAAATTGTAATTTATATAATAACAGAGCAAGTTGTTTTTAAGTGATGACATCATCTATGCATCTGTCCTCCAATAGTTCATAACTAAGAACCAATCAAAATGCCTGAATAATTCAAATTATCATGCAGAATACATTTGTCTATGGTTGAAACAATATGAGATTAATATTTCTCAAAATATTATAATTTAGATTTGGAAACTTTGTTGTGATTTTACATCGAAAAATGGCAACTTAAAAAAAGTTTGGCTAAGAGCCCTGAGTCATGAAAAAATATGACAAAATGAGCACATACTGTAATTTAGTGCTCAAATGTATTTCAATATTGTAACAATACCCTTAATAAGAGTTGTCTCTGAATAATTCCAAAACATTAATCAAGCTGTCTCAGTCAAAATTCAAAGGAAATATAACCAATTATTCAGACACATTTAAACCAGAATGGAGGTTCAAATGATTTCTTTATTACAAACTGTCAAATTTGAACAAATTGCATCGACTAGAAGTCACTCAATGGTCACCAATTCTCTCTGTCACACAATTTAAGTGTACATTACCTTAAGTGGTGTTACATTTCTCATTCCTGAGTCTAAGTATCTTCCCAAAGTATATATCAACTTTCTCTTGCCATCCAGACACATCTTGTGACAAGACCTGGCACATGGTCCACCTTCCTGCTCTGTATCACGTGACAGACATGTCCACTGAGAAGACTCCACAGTAAATGACCAGAAATCAGCCAGGTCCACCATCCCATCCCAGCCGCCAAGCAGGTAAATCACCTGAGATTCCATGTCAATTGACATCTGATGCCCACCTCTCATACCTGGCCTTGAACTACTGCTATCATCATCTGCGGTCAGAACATGACAATGAACATTGGTGTTAATAAATGTTACATACAGTTTTTATTGTTCAATTTCAATTTGATTGTTGAAGCAACTAGAGGCCTCCTAAAGGAAATATCCCTCCAATTCTCTATGTATTTTGTGAAGAATTGCATAGTTTATAAACATGCTATTTATAGATAGAATGTACGAAACACCAGGTGCATTTCTTCTCTGAGACTCTGCTGTGTTCTCTTCACACTGACAAGTATCTAATTTCTCCTAACAAGATCAGCTCTGATTCATATATTCAGTTTATGGGAATGAAGGAATTGATCATCAAGTAAAGGAGTCATGATTGTTAAACAAAGTCTCCTTGTCAGTACCTTGAGAAATGTAAAGAGAACAGAATGGAGAATATGCAAACTGATGTTGGGGTGTAACAGGTTAAAGATCAGAGAATTCTCCAGCCACAGAATTACTACCAGTCAAATCTTGATGGCCACATTATTTTTAACTAAGATGTTGATAATTTTCCCCAGCCTTTTACACTATTCTGCTACTTAACTTCTTAAGTGATACAACATTAAAAACTGAATTCATAATTATGTTAATAATCTTGAAAATGAATGTGATTCACAAGGTGACCTTGTTTATAAAATCTTACAGTCTTTCATATGAAGGATTCTAATCAGTACATTAATTTTACTTCTAAATGGTGTTCTAAATGAGTAATTGAACAGCTTAATGACTCTTATACCTTAATCTCATCCCCTCAATAACTTACTTTGAGCAGCAAGAGGAATTATCGCTTTCCACTTGGGTTTGTAATCTTGCTGACTGATATAATGACTAAAAATAGCATCTAGAGAACAAACAATACACACAAATTAAAGCTTACTTTAACCCTTTAACTCCCAGATCAAATTTGTAATTCTCCTTACTGTCAACCATACAATTCTTGTAATGTTACCGTAATTTCCGGTCGATTACCCGCACGGCCGATTACCCGCACCGGCTGATTATTGCATACGGCGAAAAAAAAAGTCAACGGATTACCCGCACCGGTGGATAACCCGCACGTTGTTATTCAACTTTTTCGGTGGCGAAAACGTGACATTAAGGCGATACATTTCAGTCTTTCGATTCAGACATGTGCACAATTCTGTGTCAATATTAGCTTATACTTTATTGATTGATTATTGCTGCTGCTCTATTACCGATTTCATCGGCAAGAGTTATTACTCTAAGCTTATAATCAAACGTAAAACTGTGACGTGGGCGTTTCACAGCAGGCATTTTAACTTAATTGGTGACTCGTGGATACACTTATCGCGAATGATCGAGGTTTATAATTCTTATTCAGTCAGTTACCTTTTTATAGCATGTAGGGAGCGTAATGAGCAATATCCATTGTTCATTTGTCGTTAAAATACTTTTTCAGCGAAATTAGTTAAGTTTCGCACCTATTATTTTCAACATTCTGGTGATGCATTTGGGATTTAAAATTACTGTCGGCAATTTCTCAAAAAATCGATATCTCCTGTTCTACTGGGCCTAACAAGTCCCTTAAAACGGGAAAATTCTCTTTAGCTCAAGCTAGTGAAAACTGGAAATTTGTTACTGATGCGCCGGATATCCTTGGATTATTTTTGTCACCATCAAGGTTTTGTTTTCACGCGTGCGTGCCGATAAAAATTTGTTTGTCACGCAACTAATTATGCGTGAAATAAACTCGAGTTGGCATCATGTTTTCGTGCCGCTTTGTGGCACTTTTGATACAATAAAATTCATTTGAGAGGTGGAAACGCAGGTAGGTGAGAAATTTTTTCAATTCAACTTCCAGAAGAATTTAAAATTGTCACATAACCCGCACCTCCCTATTACCCGCAGTGGCGCGGATTTAATGCAAAATCAACAGATTACCTGCGGGTAATCGACCGGAAATTACGGTAGTTCAGAGAATTTAGTATTGGATCAACTGATTATCCTCAAATTGATATTTTTCTGTATTCTCATCACTTATCTGATTGATATTGTATTGACATTGTAAGGAGAAATTCTGTTTTGGTCACTCATGGGGATTGCACATTTAAAAAAGTTAATCTAATGTAGATTGGTTTGTCTGTGCTCTGAAAATGGCTAAAAAGGGTACAAAGAACAGACAGTAACCATTACAAGTGCATGTCAGCACATGAAACATGACATCAAATAAAACAAAAAATCTGCCTCTAAACTTGAAAGTTAATTTTAGTTCACATGCAGCTGAATCAACATTACTATGCAACTACCACCTCTACTAAAATCTCAGATTAAAGAAAATCAAATAGAAATTACCATTTGAAGCTTGTTCTATGATTTTCTCACATCCATCAAAGTCATTATCTATCACCTGGTAAAAAATTATACAACAAAAACAAAAAAAATTGCAATTTCAATTCACAAGTAACAGTTAGATGCAAAATATATCATCATGGACATAGACATTTATTTAAATTAAATTAAATTAAATTGCCATCTTAAGAGTTAAATCAATCTGTTTACATCACCAGCACCAAAACAATACATCGCAGCACAGCACCAAACAATAACAGTTGAAGATAAACTCATGACAAGATTGTTACCAGTTTCTGATGGAGTTCTGTCAGCATGGGGTGCTCAAGATTGATTTTTGTTCTTTTCTGCAAGGATTCAAAAGCTTCTGCATAGTTGTGCTGTCGAAAATGTTTCAAGCAAAGACGTATGGCTTCTCTTTCACGATACTGCAAGATGACAGTCAGAAACAAATTAACAAAAATCAAAAGACTGGAATTAAGACAAAGTAAGAGAAGTCCTGAAATGGGCTGCTGTGGATGATTACAAGTTAGGTTCAACAATCTGAATGGAAGTCATTTCCAGATTACCCCGATGATGGATGATGTCTTGTGTTAAGATGAACGAAATATCACTCTACCATTGTCTCTGACTACAATCCTTTGTAGGAGTCAGAGTGCCACAGATCCCAAAAAGCCTTAACCTTTAACTTCCATGAGTCAGACTGAGACAGAATTTCTTCTTATGATATCAACACAATATCAAGCAGACAAGTGATGAGAATAACAAAAACTGTCTTGATCTCATACCAAATTCTCCAAATCAACCTCATAAGAATTGTATGCAGACAGTAAGGGGAACTACTAAAGAAATCTTGGGAGTGAAGGGGTTAAAACATCATGGAATACATAAAAAACAAGGACTGTTCCAGGACTTTCCAGGCCCAAGACTGATTTTTCCAAGACATAAAAATTTCACCTTAAACTGTCTCATTCCCAAGATTTCAAAATCAATTCTCCTTACAGCCTATGCACATTTCTTACAATGCAAATTTTCAAAACTTTATTGCTTGATTTAAGCAGATTTCCAGGACTTTCCAGTCCTGGAAAAAGTCAAAATAAAATTCCAGCACTTTTCAGGTTTTCCAGGACCCATAAAAACCCTGGTACTGCATTAAATCCATTGTCTTAGAGCTATAGAGTGACTCAGGAAGCATCTAAGCTGGGATTCACCATACACATAAATCAACAAATGATCAAGAAGTACCACTTACAGTATTAAACCACGTAAGACTAGGCTGAACAATCTCTGGATCATCTACTCCCGAAAGCTCCACAAACCAAATACTGAAGTTAAAACTGGGTCCCCATGACATGATTGGAACTGAAAATAGTTGGAAAGAAAACCAGTGAACTCTGTTTGACTGCACTCTCAGAGGGCTTCTTTACAGCTTTTTTCTCCTGAAAATTTCTCAGTTTTCATAGCATTGGTATCAACTGGTTAAATTTCAAAACTAAATTAAAAGCATTTTTTAATTCCATATATTTTGGTCATCTAATTTAAATTGATTTTTAGGAGAATGTTCACAAATAAAATTTAAGGCATTTGGCAATTAATTTAAAACAAAAATAAGGAACAATGATCACAACACTGAAATAAGAGGTAGATCGTAGGAACTCACCAATCTTTATAAATTGACAAGGGAACATTTTGCCATCCAGTTCATGCTGAAGCTCAAATGCCTCTTTTATGTGATCATTTCTTAATCCGCTGCAAAAAAAACAAACAGCATCTCAGAAAAGGCTCTACTGACATTCTGTTTCAACAAGTAGTTAACCTTTTGCACTCATGAGGTAATCCTTCAACCCCTAAAAATGACTAGCATCTAATTTCTCCCTACAATGTCAGTCCTGAATCAAACAGTAAGGTTACAAGAATAAAGGAAACGATCACCAACTACATGTAAGGAAGTCCTTGATTATTAAACAAATTCTCCTTGTCAGCATCTTAAGATATGTATATAAAACAGTATGGAGAATATACATATGTAAGGGTGTAGAGGGCTACAGTAACACTGTGATTATATTTGTGGATAAAAATATAAAATAGTAGAGAAATCAAATCCTGTATCAATAAAATTTGATTATTTTTACACACTTCCACAATATTCAGCCAGTCTTACTGGAAATCAAAAGGGTCCCTGCAACAATTTATCAGGATCCAGAGCCACTGTGAAACCAGTTACCTTTGCAACAACTCAGTCATGTGTTCATCATTCAGTCCACCATAAATCTTAAACTTCCTGAGATTGCATACATGGGTCTTCTCATACTTTCCAAATGTGATAGTCATAACAATAGCTGGCTTCTCCAATTTCAGTATAAGAAACTAAAAATAAAAAAGGTAAAAGCTTTTGCAGAAGAAAAAAAACAAACAGATAAACAAATGATAAAATTAAAGTTAACTGCTGTTGTTTACATATACAATTCTCTCAACTCTTTCAACCCTAACAGTGACCAGCACCTGATTTCTCTATACTTGATTAATGCGAAGTCATTTATTAAGACCATGAGAATAAAGAAAATGATCACCACCTTACAACTGTTAAACATATTCTTCTTGTCAATACCAAATAAAAGGTATAGGGAAGAGTATAAAGAATGCGGATACTGATGCTGGGTTAAACAAATGACAAAGATCTTTCGTGCGAGAAAGATGTTCCTTGTTTTGTCACGAGCAGGGAACAAAGGAAAAAAATTTTGAGTCCCCATGAGGTCAATCACACCTCAGACGTTTAGATTCTGTGCTCCAATGCTCTATCGTGAGCAAGATCCACTACAAAGATCATATATGACACACGCTCTGCATACTTTTGAGATCAGCAATGTCAATAGCGTCATGTTTGGCAAATAGAATAAGAAGATGGTAAGTTTTAAGCTTGGTAAAGAAATAGAGAAAGATGTTTTTCATCTTGCCACAAGTGTGGGTCAAAGAAAAAAACATTCAGGGTCCCCATCTTTGATCTGAGTTTCTATTTTATAACAAACTTTAAAAAACTTAGGTGTGGCATGCACAAGACCATAAGTTATATTGAAAACTAACATCAATGCCTAATGTCATAATACTGGATTTCTATCCTTTACAAAGAGCAAACTCTCCATACTTTTGTCCACTCACCAAGGACAAAAAAATCAGCTGTGATACACCCCAAATTTTTTCTGTGCATTTATAACCTGATAAAAGGTATACATCATAACCAAGGTTAAGTGTAGATGGTACTCATGACAAAACTATCAGTGCAAATCATCCTGGCATCTTCCAATTTGTAATTAACAAGCTGCTCCTTACTAATCATTGCAGATACAGATATCGGCTAGACACTTGCCTAGTGATTATTTTATATTATGACTTGAATTAATCATGTTGTTTAAATCGCGAGTATTTCTCACAGATACACGACCCTGTTAATGATTTATAAGCTTATCCACTTGACGATCGCCATTTAATTCTTACCTGCGGAGGGTAGTTGCTATCGGAAGACCATCTCGAAGACTGGTCATTCGGTTTGTCCTCCAAAATATTCCTGAATAAAATTTAAAAATTTCCAAAATTAGCCGGTGTCACCTTCGCGAAATTCCACCAAATGACAAAAAGAAGCCTTGATGAGGTCTTACGTGGGCAAATAGTTTGCAGAATAGCTGGAACATTTGTGGATCGTGTATGTTAACACACGAGTTTCAACGGCTCCTGAAGCCGCCATTTTGGCGTACTTCGATGATTGCGCAGTTGCATGCACGCCCGAGTATCTTCATGGGAGAACTGAGCCAGCTGTAATTCTACTCAGCAGATTAGTTACCAAAATGGCGGTTGTCTGCGGTCGAAATCTGCGTTCTTTGTGTGGAGTTTTTCGAGCTTCTTTGGGCCTAAATGTAAGATATTACTTATATTTAAACAATTTTGGTGGTATTTTTGAGTTTTTTTTGTAAATTTATCGTCGATCTTTTCTTGAAATTGATTTCTTTTGCGGCTGTAGTTTTAACATCACATGTGTGGAGTAGATTTTTGCTCAGAGTTTGAAGTTGCCAATAGACAGCTTCGTAATCTAAATCGTGCGCAGCTGTAAACTTGTACTTACAAGCACTGTACATTATTTTATCTCTTGTAAGAAAATTCCCCAAAACGGTTTGTCGATGTCTTCAGCGAGAAAGTATACAAATGGAAGCGTAGCAGGTGAGCTTCAGTGTCCTATAATTATCTCTGCCCCATGGAATCCCCCTCGAGAAGTCGAGCTGTACTTAAACGCCTCCTGGGAGCTGAAATGGATCCGGGGGAACGCCCTGAACCTTAACTCCCCCCCACTCCCTCCATTTTTCCCTTTTTTATAACTATTTATGACTTTAAAACTACCCCTTTATTTATCTTTCAATGGAATTGGTAATCCATTCATCCACAATGATTTGCTCCTATTCCTTGGTGAACACCATGGTTATCACTGCAATCAATTGTACTATTCCAACTCTAAGAGATGAATCCTAACCAGATTGTGCATAGAATAAACTTTTTTTTTCTCTTTAACCCTTTAACTCCCATAAGTGATTAATATGAAACTTCTCCCCATTATATTCATACATGATCCAGCAAACAGGTGATGATAATACCCAAACTTATCAGGTAGCAGGTAATTTAGTGTTAACAACTGAGTTGAAAACATAAATTGGCCATCATAAAGAGTAAAAAAGCTGACGTTTCAAGTGTTAGCCCTTCGTCAGAGCAATATAATCGCTCTGACGATACAATTGCTCTGATGAAGGGCTAACGCTCGAAACATCAGCTTTTTTATTCTTTATGGTGGCTAATTTACATTCTCAACTCAGTTAACACTAAATTACCTGCTATACTCTCCCACTGATGCAGCACCACAGTTTATTTAGAAACTTACCCCTTTTATTCATTTATCAGGTAGAAGTGTTTATCTTGATGTAACACTAAATTCTCATAACTAATTTACTAGAAAATGTTTAGAAGCTAGAGGGAGGAACTGACAATCCCATCTTGGGAGTGAAAGGGTTAGTTAGGTTTCCCCTAGACCAAGTTGAGTTATATAACAACTAACTGTGTGGTTTTGTCTTTCATAGGTATTGTTCGATCTTCCACCAAAGCCTTGCAACAACATCCTATTAACAAATTTCAACATCCAGGATACTTAGTGCAACAGAAACAATTATTCCATGGTCATGGTTCTCTAACTGTTCCTTTTTTGTGGCGAGAACCAAGTCTAGCAAGGCAGTCAACAATTGTGTACTCAGCCATAAGAAATAAGCCTTATCCTGACCTTGTGTTGAACAGCACAAGACTTTTTGCAACAGTTAACCAATACCGTTGGAAAAAAGTAAGAACCAAGGCAGATATGCCAAAGAAACATATTCCAAAATCAAAGCGAATCCTTTTGGGTCCTCAAAGGAAAGGTGTCTGTATCAGAGTCTTCGTAAGAAAACCTAAGAAACCAAACTCTGGCAACCGGAAGTGTGCTTTGGTAAAATTGAGTAATGGAAAAGTAATCACAGCCTATATACCAGGCGAAGGAGCAGTGTTACAGGAACATGCAGTGGTATTGTTTGAGGGAGGCAGAGTTCAGGACTGTCCTGGAGTCCAATATAAAATTATAAGAGGGAAATATGACATGAACTAATAAAAAAAAAAGGCATGTTTAGTAAGTAACCCTTTCACTCCTAAGATTTGATTGTCAATCCCCCATCTCTAGCTGCTAAATGTGTCTTTGTAAAATATATATCTACCTGATAGGTTTGAGTTTCTTCATTACCTGTTTGCTGGATAACGTATTGGTTAGAGTTTATATGTTAATCACATCTGTGATTTTAAGGGTTACCATGAGATGAACTAGTCTTTGAGTTGTACCTTTGGTGACTGAGTTGTGGTTCACAGTACAGCTGGAACCAATGCCTGTTACCTGCAGGGTTTTATGCGATGGGGCTTGTTACAATACCATATGACAGCATATGCTCTGCGATCATAAGGGAACTGAATTTGTATTAACGTTGATTGACACACATGTTTTAATAAAGTTTTGAAAAATTCTGCATAAAGTTAATGCATTTGAGTTTTCTTGAAGCTTTTAATTAATTATTTACTGTTAAGGCCCCTAAGAATGACCAGCATCTCATTTCTCTGTACAATATCACCCTCAAATCACAAATTAAGGTCACTTGATGAAAAGAAAATGACCACCAACTTAATAGGCTTTGATCATTATAAAAATTCTCCTCATCAGCACCTAAGATAATGTAGCAAGAACCGTATGGAGAATATGCATACTGATGTTGGGGTGCAAAGAGTTACCAGAAGGCTTCTGCATCAGAGGATCTGCCACCGAGCTGGTCGTGAATTATTTTAACGGGCATTTAATCTAAGCTCCATGGTCAGAGGCTACATCTTTTTATGCATGGTTTAAAGAAGTTCAAACACTTAGTCACACCCACGAGTAGCATTTTCTAAAGCGTATAGAAAACAGTCTGCAATATTTTTGAGTTTTGAAAACCGTTTGTCTGGGTCATTAGCACAAAGACGAATAACATGTACACATTTTGGGCCGTTATAAGTAAGGATGACGTGATGATGGTCTAGACTGTTGGAAAATTAAGGACAGTTTTTCTATTTTTCACCATTTTTTGCCGCGGCAAAACAGTAGTGCGGCATGGAGCGGGTTGCGGTTCGCTTCCGCCGGTCTTTTTCAGACATAAATAACATTGAGTCACATGAAGTGAGAGTCATTTTCTCGATATGAGTTTTACTCGGAAAAAATTGCGATAGAAATTTCGGGGAAACTGAAAGTTGTTCAGACTTCTTGAGAAGCTTAGTTACGATTCAAATAGAAGAAAATTACATCTTCACACTCAGGTAATTTTAAATGTTACTATTACGTGAATAACTTAAGATTTTGATCTAGTTGGGTTCAATAGCAGCTGATTGCTCTTTTCTACGCGCTGTTGTGCTAGAATTGGGGTCCGATCGATTTTGATAAAGGTTTCCTGCGCAGATCATTTGCTCAAAACAAGAGTTCTGAGTCCTCTTAATTTTGGTTTTACAACTGACCGCTTGCGATGGAAATATACGTTAATTGGCATCAAGGCTTTAACAGCAAGTGTTTAATATCGATCCTAGACAACTTCCAACGGAACTGATGATCAAATTGAAGAGCATGCATAAGGGCTCGTGTAGGTAAACGTATATTTTAATTATCATAATGCTTATGATCATACACGTTTTTTAAAGCATAGTGTGTGCCTCTTGTATACCAAAAGTTATATTTTTGAGTACGATAAAATCTATGAGATCATATAAAGCGACATAATAGTGTCAAAGTTATTTAGAAGTGTAAACATTTAGCCTCAGAACACGAAATTTAAGCAATTCAATTCGGCCTTTTTTCATCTCGTGAACTGGTTGTCGACCAGTATATACGAGCCTTCTAGAAAGAATTTATTCTGGCATAGCACGTAAACCAGAGAAGGAATTTACCTAAGGGTATATGATGAATAAAAATACTTCAAAATTTTTTAGATGTTCTACAACATCATTTTCACACCGATAAAGTTGTAGGCCACTTGATTAACAATAGATACTATTATCGGTTTATATCCTAAGTAACCGTTAATTAGAGTGATTTATAATTTCAATTTATGTTTTTTAATATATAATTCGATAATAAACGTGTTGTAATCTCAATTAAAATTTTTTGTAAATAAAGTCATGAATTTACAATATGGAGAAATATTGAGACACAAAAACATATAAGCATATCCTTATCGACTCTACGATTCTATGATTGTCATATTGCTTGCAATCGAAATTTCCAGCTTTTTGTTTGCATTATTCCACGTTTTTAACCCTCTGCTGTAAAGTGACAGTAAACAACAGCCTTCTCTCCCTGCTCATTTTCCCAGGTAAAGTACTCGTAGTCTTCGTCATCCGTCGGCAGATCATCATACGAACATTTTTCGTCATCAATAACCAGTACAAATTTCGCTTTCTTAGATATTGCCTTCCAGAATGTTTCATCGTTTTTGTCGCGGTTGAAATCCCGAAATAGTTCCCTAGCGCTGTACGATATTAACATCACGTCAACTTTGTCCATGTCGTTGATAAGTGTTTTGTTTATTTCCACGCTTTCAAATTCAAACCCCAAGCTTTGAACATAGTGCATCCAGCCCAGCTCTCTGTCGTAGCCAATGAACTGTGGTGACTTCTTCCCTCTCGAGCTGAACGGAAAAGCCTCGCTAAGGAAGGTTTTAAACCCGTGGAGATCGGAACCAGGCCCACAGCCCAGGCTCAACACAGTCTTTACACTCTTGAAGAAACGTTGAGGGACATACTCTTGTTCAATTGCTTTCTCGATAGCCTTTTTTGTTAAGCTAACTCGAGCGTTAAAGAGCTGCAGAGTGTAATATGCCCTGAAATTCTGGCTTGCATAACACATGGGTCTCCAGTTCCCATTGTTCTTTATTCCTTGAATATATAGCACTTTTCCCTCACCGGGATTCGTAAGTTGTTGCTCGGACAGTGCTTTGATGATTTCTGATGTGCCTGGTAAATTTTCTTGGTCTTCTTGTGATCGACCAAGTTTAGCCCTCCTCCCCAGGTAAGCTGCCATCATCATGTTTGCGTTCGCCGGAATTTGAGCCCTCGTCTGTGCGCTGGTCTGAATAAATTTCACTATTCACCTGTACGATGGTTCGAACTTCTGGAATCTGTCTCGAAAGTACTAATGTCTTTCGGTTTTATACTTTCCTTCAGCACAAAAGGCCCGAACCAACTTTGTGACTGACTTCCGCTTGCGCGCCTTCAAACGTCAATATTTTGACCAGTTACTGCTCCGTTAGTTTACCTTTCTCCCATATATGTAGTTGACTTCGTGATATTGACCTAAAGGGCAATACCACTATTTATTTTTAGAAGAAACTACGTCACACATTTTCTACGGAACACTGAACACAAATGAAAATTTGAAAGCGTACGCTGTGAGAGATCCTTTGATAGCGTAAAACAAAATTAATAAAGATTTTCTTGATAAAGACTTGACAATGTTTATTGCACTTTTCTTCATTTTCACTCCTTAAACGGTATTGCGTGGATTGGATTTGCATAAACCTATTTTTTTTGCAGCTGCTTTAAGAAGCTTTTATCCCAAGGGCATTTAAAATAACAACAATCGTTGTCTAATTTGTACTGATAGTTTGTCAAACATTACGGAATAATTTAGGAAAACGTTGATCTACTAATCTCAGCAAGAACCATTTGAAGCGTACCAGGAACATAACTCAAGCAGCGCCTCCAGTCATCCGCTTTCTGAAATCTTTTTGAATATTGAGAGTGGCCCCATATTAAATTTTACTCATATTGTTTGTTGTGATATTCACTTAAGAGACGAATTATATATAATCGCAATAATGTCTGACGCAGGATTAAGAGAGAGTTTCTCGTTTTGATGTGCTGATTTAGGATACCGATTATTACATATCCTCGAGAAATTGAATTTTGGTAAATTCATCCTCGTTATTTCTCATAACTTCAGGTAATATATTTCTCTCGAGAAAAATGGAGAAATTTTTATACAATTCCAGTGCTGGGAAACAGAATGAAAGGGTTTGGTACCAGCATGCCGTAAGAATTGGTCTTTAAGTGCTAATTTTTTTTCGAGGTTCGCCTATGACGCTTTTACAGCGTGAGCAGAAATTTGCAGAGCCCAAGGGCAGGAAAAAATGAACGAATAACTCTTGGTTAATGAGCTAACTTCACGAATACACAATCCGGAAAATTAAAACTGTTTTGCAAGCTTTTATTCCCACGAAACGTCAGTCTGCGAGGATATTTATACTATTATTCTTTAGGATAACACATGTTTTCGGCTCTGTCTGTATGAAAAACCTGTATCCCGGGAAAATCCAGGATATGTTTCGGAGAATTAACATCATGTTGAGAAACTAAGCTTAATTTGCATCTTTATTGACGTGCTTTCCCCTGATATTCAACGTACTTTGCACGCCTACGAGTTTAACGGGGAATTTTTTTTTTTAAGCTGGGCGTGATCAGGAAGGATGAAAAATAGACACAGAATATTGAAATCTGCATTAACGGCATGAAGACAGTTTTACCGGTTGACCACATGAGTCATACGTAGCCGAAGGCAAATGGCAATTCACTTGAATTTTCAGTATGTTCAATAATACCGCAATTCGTATTTATCTTAAAAAGTGCAATTACAGAAAACAGATGAAGATAGTAACAAAAATGCAACAAAAATAACACTCAGGTATTTCAAGGCATTTAAAGAAAGCAGGTGAAGAAATAAACATTGTGTCGGAAATAAGACCCACGTTGTGGCGTAATGTTAGTGCTGCACCTGCCGAGAAATCGGTGGCCGTTAAATTGAACCGACAACGGCCACTTTTTATAACAAATATCATAAGAGCAGATTAGGCATTTGTTTCTGATATCAGCGGCAATTTTCTGTCTATGGAAACCGATAAACAAATAAACAAACAAACAAACGATGACAGAAACTTCAAGTAAAATGCGTCAGAACCGGTTGAGCAAAATATTCAATTATGTCTGCGCAGTCGAATTCAAACAGACTTACGCGCGCACGTCAGTTACGAGTAAATTCTTAATTGAGAGGGCACCACGAGCCACATCATTTTGCTGATTTATACTTTAAAATGCGTAATAGAGTTGGTAGAGATTATCAAAAAAACGAAAAAGTTTTCTTTTTGCGAAAAACTAACTATTGTAGGTGTCGAACGGCAGAGTTCAACTCAAAGAAACCATTTTGGAGCTTCCTTACGTCATCGCTTGGCTCATTAAATACGTGCTGTCTGTGACGTAACCACATGGTCGAAAATTTTCTCTTTCAAAGATAAAGCTCAGCCGCAAAATGTCTGAAAATCAGAATTTTGTAACGTAGATTTGCCATCCAAAAATGATCGCATATTTGAAGGCGATTCGTTTGTGCCTTCTGATAAGCTTGGCTGTTCCAGGAAATGTTGCAAAGGGTCGGATTGCACGAGATCTTGATGATATTAAGCCAAACGAGGTTGTTGAAGAGTTTAGCAAACACATGAAACATCTTGCAAATGACGCGAACGACTATCATGCACTTACGGTTAGTGGGGTTAAGATCTACTTATTTTATAACTAAAAAAAACAAAAAAACAGAAATGTGAGAAAATTGAGATTGTAGTGTTACAGAAGAACACGGTTTGCATGAAATTTGGCGAAAAACAAACAAACAAACAAGCGGGCTGGCGGAATTTCTTTAGATCGATTTACAAGGCGTCGATCACACTTAAAGAAATCCAGCCAATGACAGTTCTTGAAAATCACAGTTGCACAATTGAAAACTGATAGCAAGCTGCCGGTATTCTGCAAAAAAAAAAAAAGACACTATGGGAAGCGTTCTGCGCATGTGTAGGTCCTAAACCTCTAAACAAGGACTCGGATTTTTCCATATACCGCTTAGTGACAAGTGTTTTAAGGTAATAAGTAAATGAATAGATGCTTACCTACCAAATATTATTCGTAATGTATGATGTTTCCTCATTTCCATTTACAGGAAGATGTTCAGAGCTGGATTCAGGAAGCAGAAGACTTGAAGAGTCTCAATCTTGTGACAGGTCTTGCTGCGAAATTACGGAAACGTCTACTAACGAAAATTAAAGCTGTTGAGGGCATCGCTGAGGCAGTTGCGAGAGCTCTTGAGGAAAACAGGCAACCCAGACAACGTAAGGGATTAAGGGAGATTACTCTTATCTGTTAAAAGGCCAGATCCAAAGCCACGCCCTAGATGCCATTCCTTGGACCGTTTACCTTTTTTCACTGTCATTCATTTACTTTTTATCTAAATTTTTCATCTAAGTTCCTTGATTTTTGTTAGCATACCACCGATGCTGTGATTTGCCCGAAGAATTGAAGTTAAAGTATGATCCGCGGTACAAGGAGAGTGTTACAGATGCTGTAATGTGTAAAATGCAGGCCCCACATCATTTACCGGAAAAAGAAGTTGACTTCTCGTCTGCGAAAACCGCGTTTGACACGAACAAATTACAAGTAAGTGTAAATAAGAACAAAACCTGAAAAGAAGAAAAGGAAAGGTACTTTGCAAGGGGCGTCGGCACGTTTTGAAACGTGATGGGGCGGGGGAAAGGGGAGGTTATCGTAAACCAAGGCACACCTATACTCTAAAAAAAATTTCCAAAATTTTCTTTCGTAATTCATTGCTAAGGAAGAAAACTCTCTTAAGTCTCAAAAGAGTCCAGTAAATCGAAATCGAGTATGGATAATGTAAAATTAGGCAACTGTTTCCAATAATATTTTACAACATATTTTTTCCGTCATGCGCAATCCTGATTGAACGACTTATAAAAAGATTACGAGGCTGAATATTTCACCAATCTGGCATGGTCTGATTACGATAGCTACCGCATCGAAACGAGGGGGCATGGGGCTCTACCCCCTTCAAATTTTAGTTAAGCGGAGCAACAGCCCTCCTTTTCCCCAGGAGGAAAATTAGGAATTGGCTGTGACAAACTTGATAAGTCCATGCTTTATTTGTCAAACACAAACCGTAACGTAATCTTCTTCATACCCGTTTTTTGCAGTGTCACGCAATACTCACTATCCAGAAGCTTTTTTTGTGGAGATTGCTGCGTGACATTCCGAAAAACGGCTGCGAAGTAGACTACTCGTGACTCAGCTCCATAAAATGTCTGGCGATATGCGATGCAAACCACTACGGTCTCCGAACAATAATGAACTTGGGGAGAAGCATTAACTACGAATCAACTCTTAAAACAGCAGATATGAACACACTGGAACATAGACGCATAGAACAGTCGCTAATAATATTTTATAAATGCTACAAAGAGAACGGCCCAAGCTACCTAGGCGACCTCTTCGAACCCCGAATTACTCCCTACAACCTAAGAAATACTGGCCTCAACGTAACTCAAAATTCCTACAACAGCAAATTCCGTCACAATTCGTACTCATTTGTCATCTCTCGCATCTGGAACAAACTACCACCTTCTGTTAAAATCGCCCCTAACTTATCGTCTTTTAGAAGAAAACTCAAAACTCTATTTTTACCGGCTGCCAATGCAAAAGCTGTCTATAATCTTTTGACACTCCTGCATATACGTAGCTTCTGTTTAAATATACATTTGTAAATAGTTTAACGTGATAACTAATAATTTAGATTTAAGAATTTCAGACTTTGTAAATGTATTTTATAGTCAGTCACTTTTATCATGAGCCTCCGGCTCGGGAGATTGGGCAACCACTCCCCGAGTACCTGACGGTAAATAAATTATACTTATACTTATATGTTTGTTGCAACTCTTCCACCCTCAATCGTTTACAAGTAATTAATAAAGATGCCAACTTCTTTTTGCCTCCTTTAAATGGAACCTGTATTTTCTGCTTTCCTTCCATAGAGTAAATGGCAATATTTTGGCTCTAAAGAAGGAGCAATGTATAATTTTCCTACGGGCAGTGTTCCGAAGTGTGGCACTTTTGACCACAGGATAAGACCCTGGTACGTGACCACTGCCACGCCGTCCCCTAAAAACATTGTTATTATGGTGGATTCCAGCACATCAATTGGTTATAACAAGACACTGGATGACGCAATGAAAACAGCTAAACTGGTGGTTAGCACACTCAATCCTCAAGACAAGGTTTGTGAACTGTACTTTTCTGATACAAACGTCAATTCAAGTTAGTTACAGGTCTTCAGGCATATCTATTCCCATGGCAAAGTTCTAATAGGTTACATAGTTAGTCCGCTCGTGCGCGAGTGAGTCCATCAGTCAGCTCTTCTGCCTGTCAGAAGGTCACTCATTTAGTTGGTCAAGCAGTCAGTCAGTCAGAGCGGGTAGATCAGCAAGCAATACGCCAGTCTGTCGATCAGTCAGTCACTAGGTCGGCAATTGGTGAGCGAGTGATTTTCTATCCTGTTTAGTCAAGTAACCATCCATTCAATAACTTATATTAAACAATGGGCCGCTCGTTCGTGCAGTCTATTAGTAAGCTGGTTTATCACCACTCATGCCTATGGTCATAGATTTACTGCTCGAGCAGGTGATAGAAAAACCGACAAATCAATCAACAGTCAACTTACAAAGACTCTACTGTTACTTCTTTTCCCACTTTTTCCGCAGGTATCGTTGATCCTCTTTAACTCAACAACCTTTTTGCCAGCTGACGAAGACGTTGACGAATGTTACAACACTACCATGGCATTTGCCAGCACATTTACCATCAACTACTTGAAATCTTTCATTAACAGAGCGCAACCGAGAGGTAGGAAAGCTACAGCTATGCCGTAAACTCGTATTTTTTGAAGTATTTACCGGTGCCTACCTTAGAGCTGGCCCGAGCCGGAAAGGAATGGCAAACATATTGCTGAGATCATCGCACAGTCAGTCCATTTTGAGTTTAAGCGACATTTGGTAGCGTCAAAATTAGCAAAAATTATGTCGTAAGGAAATGGGAAATTTCGTAGTCAACCAAGACTTCCTCTGAATTCTTATATCTGTTGGGTTCTTCAAACCAAATGAGAATGAAGTTCCCTGAAAACCACAGAAAATATAGGAAACTGCAACGCACATCTACTTTGACTTGTTTTGGAGTTTTTGGAAGTGTGACCACCATTCCTGTACTGGCATACTGGTCTAAATTAAATCTATGATAAAAAAATAGAAAAGAAAAGAAACATATTTTTGCTGTTATCATCATTATCATTATAACTATCGTTACTATAATCGTTATCATTGCTGTTACCGTTTTCGTTAATGTAATCGTTATTGTCGACGTTACCATTACCGTTATCGTTGTCGTTACCGTTATCGTTACGATAATCGTTATCGTTACCATAATCGTCATCGTTATCGATGTCGTTATCGTTATCATTACTGTAATCGTTATCGTTGCTGTTATCGTTGTCATTATCGTTATCGCTACCGTTATCGTTGCTGTTAACGTTGTCGTGATCATTTTTTGAATTCATGAATTTCTGATGAGTTTGCTCTGTGTTGAACCAGGTGGTACACGATTTGTCAGAGCCTTCGCGAAAGCATTTCAGATCTTGAAAAACACAATAAAATCTTCTTCCGAGGCAATTAAAAAAAGACCCTCCGTGTTTCTCCTAATCACCGACGGGGTAACCAGAAGTAAGAGCATCGAAAAGAATAGCTTGAAAGCGATCAAGAAAGAATACAAAGATTTTAAACAGGAAGTACAACTCATTACTTCGTTCAAGGTGCTAACATTACTGCTTGGAGGTAAAGTCCAGGAAGAGGGATCGTTCTTGAAAGTTCTGATGAATGAAATGGTAAGAGCGCAAAAATACCACAAGAAAAAAAATAAAACAAGAATTTAATTTGTTAGTGAATTACGATGAAATTCTTGCCCCAACCTCCCACTTTGACTCTTTTAACTCCCAGGAATGACAAAAAAATAATTTTTCCAATACATTTTCGAGCAGAAGGGTATCGAGAAGAAAGAAACAATTCAATAGTCAGACATTTTCTTATTCAACTCTAGGACTAAGAAAATGTAGAGAATTGAAATTCAGATCTGGGGGTGAGAGGGTCACCTTGAAAAACAGCAGCAACAACAATAGCAACAACCTCAAAACATTGTTATCATTACACAGGGCGGCGAACTAATGACTACAGATGGTACGAAAGACTCCTTTTCCAAACTCAAGGGTTACTTTGACTATCTGATGGAAGTTACACCGGCTCGACAAAGTCTGGCAGTCCTCTCTCCACCCTATTTGGATGCGTGGGGATTGGGTAAGAAATTATGTCGAAGAGACTTGTAGGAAAGCTTCGTCAGAATCGTCCACTAGCCTTGATGGAAGAATTGGCTGATAACAGTGACTGTCAGATTATTAGTTTGGGTGTCCGTTTGGTCTCATCGAGATATAATAGGGTTGACTAGGGGAATACTCACTACTTATTGCCTGGGGTGGGAGGTGGAAGATTTTTTTCGGTGGGAAGGGATCATATGGTTTTTAGGGAGAACTGAAAGGAGATCAGTTGTCGCCAACAGAAATTTAAAGCCAATTTACTGCCAATAACAGGGAAATTATAAGAATACTACAGAGCCTTACGGGAGATCAGATAAATTTCATCTTGACACAACAAAAATCCCCCAGCCCTCCAGTTGATAAATAATGACCATTCCTAATCAGAATACGAAACATGATAAGATTTGAGCTCTAAGATGACGTAAAGAATTTTTTTTCGTATTGTCACGAGCGTGAGACAAAAAAGAAATTCTGATTCTTGGAGAAATCGCACCTCAACCTCGTACTTTCGGATTCCATGGTCCGATGTTTAACCACTGAGCCACAGAGAAAAAATGGTCGAGGTTCATATGTGACGCTTATTCCATACTGCTAGGATCAGCCATTTCAAAAGCGTCATAGCATGTGAGTGAACAAAATAAAATAGCAAAGATAGTTGAGTGTTCAATGTTGATTCAACTTTTGTCTCCAGGCTATATGGTAACAGCAGCAAGTGCCTACTTCTATGACAATGCACTGGCAGGTGTAGCTGGTGTAGATATCCCCATGACCGATTTGTTGGCTGATGTTCAGTATTACAACCAGGCTGGTCCCAATACTTATGCATTCCTCGTTGCTATCAAGTCTGGTCATGTGATGAGTCATCCCAAACTTCCGAAACCAGAGTCAATATCTGAGGATCCGAATTCAGTGAACATTTTTGAACTTGAACCGGGAAAAGAATTTAGGCGTTTATTTGACGAAGTGAAGGAGACCGGCGAACCACGGTGAGTCGCAAATTATTCACAGTTTGACGACTTCCACCCGTTGCCCGTGAATCAATAATTGGATCTTGTGCACTTTTGAAAGCCTTGGTTGACATATTGGAGCCCTTTTCGACTGTGTGTCGTAAAATCAAAATCGATGTAATCACCACGGCCAATCAGAAGACAAGCTAATACCTTGAAGAGCCAATACGAACTCCAAAACCAAAGAACAAAGTGCTGTGGCCTCAATGTTGCATCTGATTGGTTGAGAGAGTGGCGAAAGTTTTCTGAACCAATCACAGAGCGAACAAAAGCAAAAACAAAGAAAACAGAGAAATACCGGATTATTCTCGAACTCAATAATCCCTAGTCCATCAACTTGTCGGCTGATAGTCGATGCACATTTCAGTCGATAATCGGATGATCGCTGGCCGATAATTTACCAACAATCAATCGATAGCTGGCCGATGTTGCGATGCACGTGCTTATTTTCGCTATGTATGAGTCGTCAAAAAAGTATTATTTTTCGATGGTCGAGTGCGACAACGTCAATCTGAGACGGTAACCCGAAAACCACAACCATTAAGGCCTTGTCGATGCATACTTGTAAGAAGATGCATTTGTGCGCTAAAACTAGAATGGATAAAGAAGTCTGATTTTGAAACTTCCTTGACATGTTTTCCTCACTGTTTTTTTTTTTTTTCATTGTTGTGTTTTTCAAATTTTATTTTAGAGAGAAAGAATTCCCGCGAAGGCTTTCTACTTCCAGGGGAGGAGTGTTGGGAGACGGAGTTCAAACAGAATTAATAAGTTATTCGTATGCCTGTGCGCCTGTTGAACTTGGAACCGACAGAGGAAAAGATTACATGGTTTGTGTTGCTCTCGCAAAAGGAGACACTGGAGAAAAGTACGCGAGCAGGCTCATCAGTGAGTAATTTCTTGATTCCCTACTGTTTCGAACTCATATTTATGTATTTTTCATGGCATAGAATCGGGGAGTAGGTTTCCATGAAATTTGAAAATGATAATTCATTCGAGGTATATCAGGCGTTCTTGTTCTCTGATGATAACTCTTAAAGAGAAGTTGTTTTGACGTCTCGCTTAAATTCGGAGATTGGTTAACTCCACAACTTTCTAAATGTTCCGTGTCGGGCACGCATTCTGTAGAGAGGGGTTGAGATGAGAAAAGCTTCCCCCTCAAATTTAGAAATTCTATTGTGAAAAAAACCTCAATATAATTTTTTTTCTCTGCAAAATGTTCTATTACATCTGACCAAGCAATGACTATTTCACTTAGCAAACTCAATGTCAGCAAATCCTATTGCCTATCACCGTATGGATGTTCGCGCGGAGACTACGACTTGTTATCATACGGACAGTCTCTCTTATCCAGGTAAGATCGGGCAGTTTCTCTGTGTATAGGGGTGGGGCGGGAGGGGATGGGGGCTGGAAGGAGGAAGGAAGAAGGAAGTAAGAGAAGTCAGAACTTTGCCATCAGAGTAGAGATGCGAGAGCTTGAACGGTTAACGGTTGAAGCTTAAAAGACGTTAGCAGTCTTAATATCACAACTAGATTGAACGCGATAGATTTGAACGACGACGTGTTTAGCCAATCAATGGCTTGATGTTGAGTTCACTTGTACACTATAACAATCCTTTTAGTACTCTAGGTTCTGTAACAGGTTGTGTCGCCTAAAATATTAGGTCGGTATGAGGATAGCTTAGGGTGCCGATCGGCACAGATTGCAAATCAAGAAATTTTAAAAAAGCTTCAAGCTAGATTTTCATCGAAGACAAGCTCTCGCTTAGCGCTTTTCAAAGAGGTTTTAGAAGACGGTTTACAGAGAAAAATCGACAACCCGAATAAAAGTGAACACCATAAATGCCATGACCCTTGTGAATACAGAATACCAAATATCCAGTTTACGCATAGAGGGAAGTGAAATAGAGGGGACAGAGAGAAGTGAAATATGCCTTCGCTTAGATCAACATTAGTATTTCTTTTCCTCAGATCGCTCCGTAGTTAAATTCAGCGCAAAGGCTTTCATTGATCCTGCAAATTATCTAGAGGTAGCAGAAAACGCCACAGCTGTCCGAGAGTATGTTCGGGAGCTACGCTCATTCCTCTATTTACACAAGGCTGGTGATAAATTTGATGTCAATCAGATCATGACAGCCGTATTGACCTCACGAGCGGATGGAGCTTGGTTATCTCGAGAAAATCAGGATATGTATTTGAGGAAATTTGTGCGTCGTTACATTGGGACCTACAATGGTGTCTTAAGGCTGTTTCCCGGAGCACCTCTGCCTCCTAATTTTGATCATACCACTCGCTCATGGTAAGCTGGGGTGTGTTTGGGGTATAAGGTGGTTAAATTTGAACTACCGATTGCTCCCCTCCCCGCGGGCTCTAAAGTATACTAATAATCTCTACGCATCAGCAATCACTCTTTATACCTTCCCCACCCCCCATTATAATATCTGATAGCAACCACTGATTCCTTTTCCATTCCCTCTCTAAACCATGTGATCCCAAAACCACATTCTGGACCGTAATCGGGCATTGGTGTCTAAAATCAGGCATTAGTGTTCAAATCGGAAGATATTGTAAAAAGTCAGATACTAGTCTCCAAAATTGGACACTAGTATCTAAAATCGGAACATAGAGTCTAAAATGAGACACTAGTGTCTAAACTCGGACCTAAGTGTCTAAACTCGGACACCAGTACCTAAAATCGGACACTACTGTCCATAATCGGACCCTAGTGTCCAAAATCGGATAACAGTTTCAAAATTCGGACATTATTTCCAAATTCGGAAATTCAAGTCTCACATCGGATACCTGAGTCCCAAATCAGACACGAGTGTCAAAATCGGTTGTTAACGTCGTCCTTGCCTGCCTCCTCAGGGCGTGAAATTAACTTTTTTTATCTACGTTTTATATAAATTGTTTGTTTCTTTTAGGTACCTTCGTGCTGTTGCAAATCGCCCAGACTTCATATCTTTTGCAGCCCCATATCTAGATCCTCTAGGTGCTGGTTTCATTGTTTCAATCAGTCAGTCTATCAGAACTTCATATGGTAGAAAAAACTTGTTTGGTGTCGTGGGAGGTGATCTTACTGTCTCAAACTTTGGCGCACACTTCAAAAAAAAAGTTGGAAAAAAGTGCTTAGATTCCAAAGGGTACCTGCGTTGCTTTCTCCTGGACTCAAGCGGTTATGTGGTTTATCATCCAACCTTTGAAGATGTTGGTGACAATCCGAATAAGGTTCTCAATAGACACATCACGATTATGCACGCCGGTATCGCAAAGAATTTGATCAAGAACGGTAAAATGGTCAAGAAGGAATGCCAGAACTTTATCCTCTTAAAGCTGCAACGATTCTATGAGGTACACAGTAATTTAAGGTGCAGCAGTGCTAAACCTATAAATTAGTTAAGTTTCTAACGAAACTGTTGTGCTGCGCTGGTGGGTAGGGGGAAGATGGAGGGGGTAAGGGGTATGTGTAGGGGGTAGGGGTAGGGGAAGGGGTAGGGGGTAGGGGGGTAGGGGTAGGGGGTAGGGGGTATGTGTAGGGGGTAGGGGGTAGGGGGTGAAAAGTTTATAAAGCAGATGTTTCGAGCATTAGCCTTACAGTCAGTGAATTTAGCTTTTGAGAAATATTGGAGGTCTACTTTGAGAAAACCTTTAACCTTTTCACCCCTAGGAGTGATTAAGATTTAATTTCTCCTTATATTGCCAACCTTAAATCAAGTAGCAAGGTCACGAGAATAAAGGAATGATCACCAACTAAAGAAGCTATTGATTGTTTTAAAAAAAAAGTCTCCTTGTCAGCACCTTAGAAGGTGTATAGAGAACAGTATGGAGAATATGCATACTGATATGAGGGTATAAAGCTTTAAACTCTTGAAAATGTTCATGCTCTCGAGAATACTTTGTTAAATTTTATTCTCAAGCAGTAGCATCATTTAAGTATGATAACTGTGCCTGGTTGACTCACATTGTGGAGCACCGGACTGCCGCACGGTAGGTTGACGGTTTAAGCACTAGACTGGACCAACATTCAGGGTCTTAAAATAACTGAGGGTAATGTGCTGCCTTTGGACATCGGTAAATGGTTAGACATTCTAGTCTCCTCGGATAAGGACAATAAGCCATAGGCCACGTCTCCTGCCTTTCCTCCGTACTGGCTAGCAGGGGACGTTAAAGAAATTGCACACTTCTCGCACAGAGTAGGAACGTAGCTCCCGATGTTGTGGTCTGGCCTTGTCATTGTTTATACAGATCCACATTTAAACCAGCATTAAGCTAAACTGGGCCAGCGTGTCTAAATGTCGCAAATACATACATATATACATGCATACATACATGTTTGCCCATCTTAGACTCGGCAGCAAAAACTTTCAATAGAACAAAACCTCGAGTATGTTTGGTGTGAAAAATAATTGAAACTTTCGTATCTCTTATAATCTGTTTCAGATCAAGATAGAAAACGGCCTATATATAGGTACACTTGGAAAAAAGAGTCATTGTCGTTCATACGCAATCATTGAAGTTCCCGAAACAAACGTATTTGTGATTGTTACCAAAAGTTCTACGTGCCTCATAAACCGTGATGCGTGCACCTGCGGATACATGTGCAGGCATCACGAGAGCACGGCTTGTGAGTGTCCGTGTAAAGCTCGCTTGACATACAACATCTGTAACGCAAGCCTCACTAACGAGAGGTAAGTGATTTGGAAACAACTTTCACGACCGACAATCAGGGTTTAAAAATAACTGAAGAGAACTTCCTGCGTTACCTACGACATTTGCAATTGGTTAGACATTCGGACAAGGACGGTAAACCGTAGGCCCCGTCTTCTGTATCTTCTCTGTACCGATTAGCAAGGAACGTTAAAGCAATCTGGCCAAAGTTCCCCGTAAAGTGTCGTAATTCAACCCAGAAAACCTTCATAGGAGGAAATTTAATAAAACTAATGCACTGTACCTTACTGCTTTTCTTTATGGAACACAAATGAGTTTTGTGGAAAGTAATTCAGCAAACACTGGGTGAATCAGGATGATGTCCTTTTGAACACGTGGCTTTGCATCATAAGTCAAAGCTTTTCTAAAACTTTGTAGAAAGATGAATCGCGAGTTTAAACTTGAGGGTCTGTCAATTCGCTTTTGAGTTGAGGGCACGTGGAGCTAAGGAGTTTTTCTGTGTTGTGCTGTGGTGACCCTATGAGTCAGATTTATGGTCAAAATAGGTTATGAAACAAATGGGAATTTTTCCCAGTACATTTTTCAAAGGATCAATGTCAGTGTCTCAACAATTGCGCACCTACCCCTCCCCTAACCTAACATGAACACTAACTTGTGATCAGTTTACCTTTGTTGATTTAGGGGAGGGGTAGGTGCGCAGTTGTTCAGATAGCTACCTTTAAACACAGTTTTAGAGCGCCTTGGTTTGATTCTTTAATATTTAATTGTTGTTCTACATATAATATCTCAAATATTACGTGTTGATCTTATAAATAAATTATAAGTAACCGTATTATGTTCTATTGTTTAGCAACATCCCGCTGTGCACCCAGCCTTCGCCTTCAGTACCAAAGCGTGGGCCTCTAAAGGTGAATTCCGCTGACCTTGGAAGATGCATCAGCGTGCACTGCGAGCAGTACGATGAAAAAGAGTGCAATGAGATATTCGGGTGTTTCTGGTGTAACAGGGAAGCTGAGGGCTCGCTTCTCAAGGAACCCAAATGTATGAGTGACCTACAGTGTTATGATGGAGTGATGGGTCAAGAGAACCCCTTTTTGTTACCAGAGGTTCCGAGAAGACAGATCCAAGGGGATCGAAAACTGAACAAGATGTTACTTATCATAATAGGATCAAGCGCCGGAGGACTTCTTATTATCATTTTGATCGTTGTTGTATGCTGCCTGCACAGGAAGAAATTCCAATATGAACAAGAGCAAATGGAATTTCAAGCCATGGATATGTTGATAGACCCTACGACTGTGATAGACCCTACGACTGTGATAGATGCGAACGAAGGATTCAACCAAATGTCGTTGAACTATCCCGGCCAAAGTAAAGCTATGCAATCAACGATGGCGTTGAATTATCCTGGCAAAAGTACCGTCAGGCAGTCAAAAATGACGTTAAATTACCCCGGCCAAAGTACCGTCAGGCAGTCAAAAATGACGTTAAATTACCCCGGCAAAGGAGCAGGCAGGCAGTCAAAAATGACGTTAAATTACCCCGGCCAAAGCACTGTTCAGGCCCCGATGCAGTTGAACTACCCCGGTCAAAGCACCGTACAGGCCCCGATGCAGCTGAACTACCCCGGTCAAAGCACCGTACAGGCCCCGATGCAGTTGAACTACCCCGGTCAAAGCACCGTACAGGCCCCAATGCAGCTGAACTACCCTGGTCAAAGCACCGTACAGGCCCCAATGCAGCTGAACTACCCTGGTCAAAGCACCGCACAGGCCCCCATGCAGTTGAACTACCCCGGCCAAAGTACAGTTATACCGTCCAACGTGCAGATGAGGCTGGGCGGTCAGGATATGGGTTACTCAACACAAGCTATGTCTGGGATGTGGCCGACAAGGTATGGTCAATCACAGATCATGTCCCTTGACCCACAGCTGAGCGCCATGCAGACACCGCAGGCTCCTGGTGGTCAACGTGGAAGGCCTACTGCCGGAAGGCGCAGACCCGGACCAAACCGACATGTTTCATTCACTGACGACGTTCAACACCAAGAAATACAAAAGCCCGCGCCCATTTCCGGAGATGAACCGATAGTTACCGACGAAAATGGTGACTCAGAAGACTGACATTCATTCCTTTATTACAAGTGATTTGTTTTGTTTTGGATTTTTCTAAAATCTTACTGTATTTCATGGTTTTCTTTTTTCGGCATTTTAAGCTAAATCATTTACACTGGCTTTCAACAAATAACTTTCTGAATTCTGTACTGAGTTGCTATTTCAAAACGAATAAAAAATGAAGCTGGGCTAACAGGTGTGTCACTGTTTAGTAAAGCCGATCACACGAATCCAGTATCCCATTGTAAGAGGAAAGCTTCTTTGGCATAACTCGTTCAATTTCACACGATTTCACGAATTAAACCTGGATATTAATTTAGGCGAATCTGATCTGCTAAAATAATGGAGGTAGCAGATTTAAGTTCACTTTCTTTCGTGGTTGAGAGACGAGGTCCTTTGTTTTTATTTAAGTTTAAAGTGAACTTCTTAGCACATAGCCAACCAGAAAAACTTGGAGGAAATAAATTTATTTCAATTTTAGGTCATTTAAATTATTACAAGACATTGTGAAAGAAGTATCATCGGCAAATGATCTCGTATAGAAAAAAAAAACAAAAAATATATGGATTTTGAAGCGATAAATATGTTTGCCGTAGAACAAAACCTAGATCGATGAACCCTACGGATGTAACCACAATCAATATCGACTAAGGATCAATGAACTGCCATAACTTCCGGCGTGCTAATGAGTTTGGGTGGCACTGGATGAGTTTTTTTTTTGTCTCAAACAAAGTCAGGAATGTGGTCCTCAATGGAAGGTACGTTTCCTTTCAGATCACGTCCTCTGTTTCACTCAAGGACGATAGGTGAGTTAGCAGAAGACTACGATTCTTTCTTTTTTTGAAAGCTGGAAAACTGCAAAAAAACAAAACGTGGTCGGTTCTGTTAACACCTCCGTGAAAAACAGAGACTTAACCCTCGAGCAACCTTGATATAGGGGTTCATTTCGGCTCCTATAACGCTAAGAAGATTCATACTAAACATACGAGGAAACTAGAGGAAACGTACGCAGATGAACCGAAAGTTGTCGAGGGCTCAGTCACAAACGCGCACAAGCCATTGACGGCTTGAGTAGAGAAATGTATAGCTTCCGAACATGAATTCCTAATCAAGTCTCTTTCGATATTAATGATAATGATAATGACAATATCGATTATCATAATAATAAAATTGATAATAAATTAACCAAACAACAGACAAAATATTATATGCATAAAAAAACATGTTGGATGCTCAACAGATATAGTGTTTGCAAAACGAACGACTCCTGTGGTTGCACGTCACATATCCAACATTCATTTGGCAAGTTTGAACAAGTGATCATCTACTTGAACAGTTCGATTACCCGCACAAGTGCACCATGTACTTTGAGTTATATGTCATGGTATTTTAACACATCTAAACCAGATCTTTTCAACAGCAAATTAAATCAAGCATTGCATATACATTCTTCTATGCTACACAGATCTAGAAACTCTGGTTTTTCGGTATCGTGAAGAGTGATGAAATTCAAGCTACGTTGTTTGAGAGGCATGGGTGATGAATTATACAAACATTAGACTAACGCCATTAGACTAGCTGCGATGTATACATTGGCGTGCGTGTGTTAAATACCTGCGAATGAAGTACTACGTGATCTGATGGGATCTTGCCCATTTATAATTTTCCAGCTTCCTTTTCTCACATCATAGGAAGCTTTAATCTTCAGCTCTCATCCTACTTTTCTATGAGAAATAAGTCGCTGTGGCCGACTTTTAAGTAATCGCATCGCAGATGAATAGTGCACGTATAAGCTCACTTGGTGCACGACTTGCTTGGCTATCGACGAAATCTTGATCATAAAAAACCGAAAGAGTCGTTTTCCCTCTCACTTCGCACACAGATTGAATTACTTTCGAAGTGAAACTTGAGGTTTCTTCAAAGTCCGCGTAAAATAGTGGTTCCAAACACAAAATAAATTATTTGCTGGTTACGATTAATTTTCATAAAAGTGCTGGATGATGTTTAACTGCTGATTTTCATTAAACTATCCAAGGCCTCACTCTCGTCTTCCATTTCCGTGACAGAGATATCTTAGCATTTCGGCTTAACCTGGATTTAATTGACGTAATTATATGTTCTCTTGTGCATTTCTTTTTGAAATCGCTGGTTCCATCATTGTGGGAAAGACATAGCCACTCTATCATATAAAAGGATGCTACTCAAACATCGTCACACCCTTGAACTGAACACTGCAGTCTGAGCTTCGATAGGGATAAGAATGATGTATTTGTCGAATCTTCGCCTGAACGGGTGGGGGAGGAACTCCTTGAAACCTCCAACTAAGAACAAAAGCTTGATACCTTTCAATCTGATGTGCTTTAAGAACGTATTTAATTAAATTACTGACAATAAAGGTCATGGCTGGCTCCCAAAGAAGATTTTGGCAACTTCGGTCTCGAAACAAATGTAGTCTTGTGTAATTTTGATTCCCTCTTCTTTGTAATGTCGTCTAATTACGCGATTGACGTCTGCACCATTCTCGTTTCTTAATAAATTAAAGAATTTGGCTAGGAGTCTGATCCTCGTTAAGTCTCCTTTTACTAAAAGTTCCGCTCTTTCCTTGACGTCAAAATCGTTCAACAGTTCTAACAAGTCTTAAGGTAGCCAGAAATTATCAAGAACAGTGAACAGAGTGAAAACCGAATTATACAATTATTCCAAATCACGAGGCTTCAATTCGAAGAAATCACAGATGCACAACATCTGATCCTGATCATCCTGTAAAACATCGCTCTGCTGCGTCATAACTAAATTCAAGTGAATGTGTCTCTAGGGTTTAAAGAATGGAAGTCGGAGTCTTGAAGGAAGGATATCCTGGCTCACCATACCATGGTTGACTCAAATATATATCATTGCTTCCACGAGTGAAAGAGAGGGCAAACCCATGCCAATGAATGATCCTCTAAATTCAACGGCTCCAACCACATCCTAGTCCTCGTGTAAGCGTTCGAGGTGTGGAGGTTGGGCGAGTGGAACGATATCCAAACGCCTTATTTTGTTTGTTTGTTTGTTTTTTAATAGCTATATTACTGTTAGCCATCTGCTTTAAATATTACTGTTCTGCGACCTCGGAAAATTTACTTGGACACAAAATTGATCTTTCGATTTTTTCACATTTTTCAGGCATTGGCTCCTGATTGGACCTGCTATATTGCGCGAATAGCAAATGACCAGCATGGGGTATTATCTCAGTAATATTCTTAGCAACCGTTGTTTTTTCTTGTCACGCAGCGCGCTAATTTTGGGGGGTAGGAGAGCGTCCAATTTTTATGGTCACGCGATTTTGGCTTGAAATATTAGCAGTTTAGATTCAAATTTTAACCCTCTACAAAGACTCCTTAAAGCTACCTCATATTATGTCTAAATTATTCAATTAAATGATGAGAATTGTTACCCTTTGCCTCTCCTTTTAATATCGCGTGACGTACCCTAAATTCAGTTATTTGTTGGTCAATAACTTTGAAAGTGCTAGCTGGAGCACAGAGAAGAAGCCTTATACGTGATAACAACAGGAGTGATTAAGATTTAATCCCTCCTCACATTGTCAACTTTAAATCAAAGAGCAAGGTCACGAGAATAAAGAAAAATGATCGCCAACTAAAGAAGCTCTTGATTAAGAAAAAAAGTCTCCTTGTCAACACCTTAGAAGGTGTATAGAGAAGAGTATGGAGAATATACATACTGATATTAGGGTGTAAGGCTTTAACACTCCCGACAATGTTCATCTCCCACGAGAATACTTTGTTAAATTTTATTCTCAAGCAGAAGCATTATTCTAGTATCTTAACCGTGCCTGGTTGACTCACGTTGTGGAGCGCAGGACTGCCACACAGTAGGTTGAGGGTTCAAGCATTAGACCGGACTAACATTCAGTGTCTTAAAATAACTGAGGATAATGGTTAGACATTCTAGTCTCCTCGGATAATGACAATAAGCCGTGGGCCACGTCTCCTGCCTTTCCTACGTACTGGCTAGCAGGGGACGTTAAAGAAACTGCACACTTCTCGCGCAGAGTTGGAACTTAGCTCCCGGTGTTATGGTCTGGCTTAGTTGTTGTTCATAAAGATCCCCATCTAAACCAACGTTAAGTTAAACTGGGCCAGCGTGTCTAAATATTGCAAATACATACATATATACATATATGTTTGACTCATCTTAGCCTTGGCAGCAAAAACTTTCAATAGAACAAAACCTCGAGTATTTCCGATTTGAAAAACAACTGAAACTTTCGTATCTTTTATACTCTGTTTCAGACCAAGATCAAAAACGGCCTATATAAAGGTACACTTGAAAAGGAGCGTCATTGTCGTTCGTAGGCTATCATTGAAGTTCCCCAAAGAAACGTATCTGTGGTTGTTACCAAAAGTACAACGTGCTTCACCAACCGGCCATGTACACCTGCGGCAACATGCGCTGGCATCACGAGAGCACGGATTGTGAGTGTCCGTGTAAAGCTCGCTTGGCATACAACATCTGTAACGCCAGCCTCACTCGCGAGAGATAAGTGATTTGGAAACAACTTTCACGACCAACGATCAGGGTCTAAAAATAACTGAAGAAAAAATTAGCTGCGTTACTTACGACATTTGCAATTGGTTAGACGTTCGGATGAGGACGGTAAACAGGCACCGTCTTTTTTATCTTCTTTGTACTGATCAGCAAGGGGCGTTGAAGCAATCTGGCCAAAGTTCCCCGCAAAGTGCCGTGAGTCAACCCAGAAAACCCTCCCATTGGATGAACACAAATAAGTTTTGTGAAAAGTAGTTCAGCAAACACTGGCTGATTCAGGATGGTTTCCTCGTGAAAACGTGGCTCTGCATCATTAGTCGAAGTTTTTCTAAACACTTTGTAGAAAGATGAATCGCAAGTTTAAACTTGAGGGTCTGCCAGTTCGCTTTTGAGTTGAGGGCACACGGAGCTGAGGAGTTTTTCTGTGTTGTGCTGTGGTGACCTTATGAGTCAGATTTATGGTCAAAATAGATTTTGAAACAAATGGGAATATTTCCCATTACATTTTTCAAAGGATCACTTCAGACAAATTGGCGGTATCGACTCATCAAAGAATTAGCTCCTAAAAATAACGGGTCAATGTCAGTATCTCAACAAATGCGCACCTACCTTTCCCTCAACCCATCATGAATACTAACTTGTGATCAGGAGTTTACTTTTGTTGATTCAGGGGAGGGGTAAGTGAGTAGTTGTCCAGATAGCTACCTTTAAACACGGTTTTAGAGTGCCTTGCACAGCTATGCAATCAACGATGGCGTTGAACCATCCTCGCCAAAGTACCGTCAGGCAGTCAAAAATGACGTTTAATTACCCCGGCCAAGGAGCAGGAAGACAATCAAATATGAGGCTAAATTATCCCGGCCAAAGCACCGTACACGCCCCGATGCAGCTGAACTACCCCGGCTAATGTACAGTTATACCGTTCAACATGCAGATGAGGCTGGGCGGTCAGGGCATGGGTTACTCAACCCAAGCTATGTCTAGGATGTGATCAACAAGGTATGGTCAGTCGCAGGTCATGTCCTTTGCCCCACAGCAGAGCGCCATGCGAACACCGCAGGCTCCTGGTGGTCAAAGTGGGAAGCCTGCTTCCGGGAGGCGCAGACCCAGACAAAACCGACATGTTTCTTTCACGGACGACGCTCAAGGTCGAAATAGACAAGAGCCCATGCCCATTTTCGGTGGTGAACTGATAATTACCAACGTAATAATATACATGGAAAAATTACTCAGTTCTGATTGGTTAAGATAAATGCAGTTTTCAGGTAGTTCAGTGCAGAAGAGAGATAATTCAGTGCAGAAGAGGGTTAATTCAGTGCAAAGAAAGAAACAAACCATACATTCTGATTGGTCAATAATCAAAGAAACTCACAGAGAGCCAATCAAATACGAGCCTTGGATGTCGCAACAAAATTTGAAAATTTGCGAGCGAAACAATGGCCGGCGTTTTAAGTAGGTTTTCTTTCGCCACCGCAGCTGAAAAACAGCTTAAACAATGAAAACACTGTAACAGGCACTGCTTTTGGGTTTTCGGTTTGGAAAAAATGGTGTTTAGAGAAGGGAATTGCCGAGGAAATCGAAAATTACGAGCCGACCCGGCTTAACACTTTGCTCGAGCGATCCAAGCTGAAATTAAAAACAAACATGGTTAAACCTCGGAAACGACGATTCCATTTCATCAAAAGTGATTCGGACACAGACTGAACAATTCTTTGAACTGTTTAGCCGGACTTTGAACTTTTTTGCACCTTAAAGATGCGAAGATATCATTGCATATTATTGTTTTGATCGTGCGCAGTTGTTTTGACCGAACGCACGGTTTGAATAAATTATTTTTTGCACTTGATGCGCGCGCTTTGCTTATGTTTAATTATGATAGACCATCTCGTATTTTTCCATGTATATTATTAACAGGTAATCACATGATTTTTCTCGTGCAATTTGGAATAAACAAGCACTTGTTAATTTTTTCAAAGACCACAAATTGCACTCGCCCTACGGGCTCGTGTAATTTTCTTAGTCTTTGAAAAAATTTACTCGTGCTTATTTATTCCAAATTGTACTCGAAATCATGTGATTACCTATACAAAATGGTGACTTGTAAAGCCTGGCATCCATTCCTTTATAAGTGATTTGTTTTAATTGGACTTTTCTGAAAACACATTGTATTTTATGGTTTTCTCTTTGTGGCATTTAATGTTATATTCCCTTTTACTGGCTTTCAACAAATAACTTTCTGAATTCTGTACCGAGTTGCTGCTTCAAAACGAATAAAAAATGAAGATGGGCTAGCAGGTGTGTCACTGCTCAGTGAGGTTGGTAGCTCTATGCGATGATCTTCACACGAATCCAGTATCACCTTGTAAAAGGAAAGCCTCTTTTAACATGACTCGTTAAATTCCACGTGGTTTCTCGTATTAAAACCTGGATATGATTATTTTAGGCGAGAGACGAAGAGACGATAGGCGATAATGATAATGAATAGATATGAATTAAGAGCTGTCATAACAGCTAAAGACCGGGATCTAAATCATGATCCCCTCGTATACCCGTCCTATCCCCTATCCCGCCTTCGAAACAGAGCATATCCCGGTCTCGCCTTCCTATTTTCATCCCGCATCTCTCCTTAAAATATCTCTTTTCCCACATCCGCCTCGATTTCAAGTCTCACCCAGCATCCCGCCAAACTTATGCTGGACCCTTATCGAAGCACTATCCAAGTGAGACGCGTGGTTTCTTCAAAGATCAAATTTCATACTGGCACTTGATGGTATTTAAATGTTGATTTCCAATGAGTTATTTACAAGTTTTACGGGCTGATTTACGGTCGTTGAGATCGTCTTTTAAGCGATCCGCTTTGCCCTACAAATGTCGAGATCAAATCAGGGAACTTCACACGAGTTAAACAACTAAAAATTAGCCTTCAAAACTCACAAGACTCAAAGGAACAAACAAAGAAGCGAGGTAAGTTTGATTTTATTCGAAATTAGATCAAGTTTTTGGGTTGTAAATGCAAGAGGTCATTCCTACTCAAATCCTCATATTTTGCTTACTGTGGGACATATCATTTTACTTACTTAGAGAGGCTCCCTATTCGAGCTTGGGCTATTCGAAGTATGAACTATTAAAAACGATTTTTTCGTTCCTAATTCCGAAATTTTGTAATATTTGACAGTCAAGACTACAAAATTCTTAGATATTATTACTAGTAGAATAAATTGTTCATTTACAAAAACGGAAGGTGATCATTAGCAACATACACAAAACGCAAAACACGATGATTAAATTAAATTATAATAATAATCATCAAATGTTTATGATTTAGTCCTAAAGTCTAAATTCACCCAATAAACGATCTATGTATGGCAAGGTGACACTAGTTTCGCTTGCGTTTGATCGTAAGTTGTCGTCATTCGCTTACATGCTTAAGTCGATAAAAACACGTTAAAAAGGAACAGAAATGAAGGAATCGACTTTCTATCATGTGGTTATACACCTACGCCTCATTCACCAGTTTTAGGTATTAATTTTAGAGGGTTCCTTCAGTTAAGAATTATCACTTTAAAACGACTTCAGTTTTTCGAATAACTCTACCTGACGATCCTTCAAACAAACCTGGCCAAAGAACTAAGCGAATATATCCTGAATTATGCTCGGCATATTTCCTGGGGACTTGATGGATACTAGGATCGAAGGCAGGATCTGATTTATGTACAAAAGAATTTCCTTGTATCAAATAGGGCGGAGTCTGGCAAACCATCTTCCAAGCATACCTGCAACACTTTTCCAAGTACTTTTCCATTTCTTTTTTAAAGAAGAAGTCTCTTGTGTAATCTGAGAGTCTTCCTTTTTCTTGGCGTTGAGAAAGAGAATCATAAACTCTCTATTTAAGAAGAGAAGAAAGGAGAGAAATGCTCAACATGTATTATATAATATGCTTTAACAGCAATTGAACTCCTCGATGGGAATTAAATTTTCACCATCTTTTCCATTTACCAATGTTATCTGTCCGTTTTATTATTCGAATGTTCTCAAATAAATCTTTTTTAAGTTACCTTGATAATTGCGTCAATGTCACAACTTTCTGCTGTCTCCTTTAAGATTGCCTTCAAATTGTTCATATCACTTTGCCCAAGAGAGCTTGATTGACACTGGTCACGTTTGACAGAAAAAGTTACTAGATCACTCTGCGTGAAATAGGAAATAGACATTTTCACTCTGACTATGAGTGTTGTCATAATATTTTATATTTAATACTAGTCATCCTCAATGATTTATGGTTAGTAATTGGGATATATAAATGAAGACATTCGCTCACTTGGGTAAAATTTTCATGAAAAAGGAATGTAAGAGGCCTTCAGAGAGGTCTTCAGGGTTCTAAGCTCAAAACACATCAGTGAATTTTACTATATGAGATGCAGCACCAGTATTCTAATCTGTGCGGGCTAAGTTATCAAAATATCAAACTATCTGTTCAAGTTATAAAGGCAATTCAACTGAGTAAAATGCAATTTGATTTGAAGTGATATACAATGCGAACGAATGCACAGCGCGAGTTTGTTTGAAATCATAAGTATGAAATTAGACCAAAATTGCACTTCACAAAGTTCAATTTCTAATTTATTACAAGTATTTTGAAATCTTAAAATTCAGTCACTCAAACCAAGTTTTTTTTCAGTCTGTACAAACACTTTATTGATCAAGTATTAAGCCGGTTTGTAAAAAAACTGTCTTTGATTTTCCTGCAATATTTCTTTTTCTTTTTCAAGGGATGAAAAAAAACTTATGAAAAAACGAATCCAAGAGAATTTTTCGTTGTCTTGTACGAGCGTTGTGAAAATGCTCTGAAAGCCCAATAGAAATTATGCAAATTAGGTACGTTTTGGCCGATTTCGTACTTTCGTATTTTTTGCCAAAATAAAAACTCGCTGGAACTTTTGAGTATTATTTTTTAAAAAGTTTCGCAAAAAGGGTCTTTTGGAGCAAATAAAAAAAAAGTTGAATTTTTGCTTCTGTCGCCGAATTCTTGAAAATCACTGACAACCTCTCTTAATCTGTTACATGCTACAAATGTTACAAATGTCCTGTAAATGATTATTCAATAATATTCCTTACCTTTCCTTCAGAATACTTAGCTCCTATCGCCGGTGCTGACTTTATCATGCACGAAATGCCCTCCAGGAAATTTTCCTTGAAAGTTTGAGCTGCCTTGAACGCCTCCTAAAATCAACAATTGAAATTTTTATTAATAAATAATCACAAACATAAACTATGAAATCATTAAAAGCAAAGACACTTTGAATTTCTGAGGTTTTCTGAACCGGCAAGAAGATTTCAGTTCAGTAGTTTCATAATGCCCTTTTTAACTCGTGAATTGAGCACATGCACAAGAGCGAGTTGTAGATATGATGTGGAGAATGGTACTCGCTCGCTCGCTCGATTCCTGTAAACTTTTTTTCGATTTTGAGTGCATTTAGTAGTTTTTGGTGAGTAATAAACAAACGAAATGGCGACCTTTGTCGCCAAGAATAATGGTGGGGTGAAAAAGAAGCCAATGATAATCTTAAAAGAGTTTATTATTTGTCGTTTTAGTTGTAACAAGCGGCGCCAGCGACTGGCTGGCGTGCAAGGATTCACACTGAAATAAGAGACCAATCTTCGTTTTTCATAAAATTGTGATTTACAATCCTTGAACTTGAAAACAATGCGAAGATTCTTTAAAAAAATCACTTACTCCGAAGCGCTGAAGTTTACAGGTGTTCAAAAGCTTTTTCTGCTATGGCGTGAGATTGGGGACGAAATCGATCATTACATTTCGTATCGTGTGTTTTTCCTGTTTGAAGCAACAGACGGTGCCGGCGACTAACGAAATTACAGGTTAACACGAAAATCAAATAACACCTAAACAAATAATATTGGCTACCGATTTTCAGTGAATTTTTAAAGAACAATTTTCTTTTAAGTTTCAAGAAAATTTGAAGATTCAAAATAAATAGTAAGTACTAAAATGCGAAAGTTATACACCACACTATTGATAAATAGGCCTGAAATGATATTCTATCTTGTTCTTGATTGTATGTTACCTAGCATGTGACCAAAATCTACCCAGGCGGAGATCCGAAGTGATGGTGGCAGTCTGGGCTTAGTTATATCACTCAAAAGTTGTTCCCGTTTGTCTCATTTGATAAAGAGGGAAACATTAATGTTTTCATTAAGACAGTATTGCCTTGGTTTTCCAATATTTACATGATAGACAGTAAATTGCACTTTTCACCCACATTTACTTCCAGCCTTTTCAGTTGAACCAGAAACAAAAATGATATTGTTTAAAACACATGACATCATCCACCCTTGTCAAATGTAATAGCATGATCATTTCAATTGTAATGCCTTCTTATCCCAACGTTACATTGTTTCTATGCTACATTAGCGAACACGGAACTACTGCTCGTACTCTAGATATGACAATCAACCACAAAATTCGCTAGACCAGATAACATTAAACATAATCCAAACATCATGTAAGTCATCTTGCAATTCACGAGTTTGCTCACAGAGCACCTTGATTTGATATGACACCGATTCATAAAACATAATAACTAAAACAAGGAAACAAGTTTCAAAGAGGTCAGCCGGTAAATATCATTTTACCTCAAATACCATACAAGCGATACGTTGGTCATCAATTTCAGTCCATTTAGAGAGTTCCTTTTTTACACGTGATTTTTCGATGCAATCGATTGCATCCATCCTTTCATGATCATAGAACTGTTCGTACTTTCCTTCCAGTGCAGATGGTCGGTTGGAACTTGAGATGTTTTCATTGACACTTTCACTCAAGCGAGCGTGGTCTTCGGTAAATCGTCGCAACCTTTAAAGATATCAATAAGTCAGTCATGCATTAACCGACAGCAGATCGACAAAGAAAGAAGAATTTTGAGCCCAAAATTATTCTCTATTCATGACTGTGAAGCGATGATGCCCTCTATAGTCTAAGTGCATGAGCTTGAGAACTCAAGGAGAGCTGTATAATGGAATTTGGATCGTTTACTTCAGAAGATGCTGAGGTGGTTTTTCGATTGCGTTTATACTACATTTTCTGTGTATGACCCCCTATACAACAAGAGGAGATTTCAGGAAAGTCCACGATCATCAGTCACTTGATTTCTCACTCGACTTCAATTATACTTTCCGCAAGATATTCGCGAACACTCTGAAACATTTAATTCATGCCGGGAAAATGATCACACTGCCTCCTACTTTCTAAAAGACAACTTCTTTTGCTCACGCTTGTGTGATGTTTGATGATTAGCTATTATTGCTTAAAGTGCGAATCTTAAAGATACAAAATATCAACCCCTACCTTTCTTGACAAGTATCCAGTTCAGTCTCTAGGAATCTCTGTCGTTTCACAAAAACTGCGCTTTCAGTTAGAAACTTGTGGCATGTCTGAAGCGCGTTTGAATATCTTTCGAGTTCCTCTCGAGAAAAGCAAGATCTGTCAGCATGTTGGCTCGCAGGATGTGGATCTCTAGCATAACTGGCCTCCGCCATAGTTCTTGCCTCGACAGATAGTGCTTCAAATGGGTCAGATTCTATTTGCGACGTCAATTTTCGTGAGAAAGAAGACAAAACTGCACCCATTTACTACTTAAAGAAATGGTATTCGCCTTTTAACAACCCCAGGAAATTCTGCGAAGTTTATAATTCACACAGACGCGCATTACCAAATTTGAACATTCTTTCTTAGAAAAGCAGTGACGTAGGTAATATATTTTTAGCAAAATCTGCATGGGTTTTTAGCTGCAGTGTTATGTCATGTTATAACAACGAAGTATTGAAACATGTTATAACAAATTGGGCATAAAGGGAACTTAAAGGACTACAAAAAACAAGATAAATAATTTTCACTGAAGATACACAAGAACGAAAGCCGTAAATTTTCGGTTAAAAATAAACAATAGTGAGAGAACAATACTTCCCTTTCTCGGAAAAGCAATGACGCAACGTTTTGTCGCAACTCACTACCAAAAAAGGAAATTTCGAATAAACTGAAACTACCTCAGTATTTTACCCGACACAGTTTCTAGATGCACTCTCAAAATACTTCGTTGACTACTTTCAAGTTTCATTCTGTCTTTCCTTGACCTTACTTAGTTTAAAATACGTAAAAATTCGTAAGATGGCAAACTCAGACAGCCATTTAGAATACGTCACTTCACTGAGTACCCGTTTCAGTCGCTTTCCTAACTTTGCAGCTGACTCTGGACAGGAAAATTACGATGTCGTAGTTGCGATCGACTTTGGAACATCGTTCAGTGGATTTGCTTTCTCGTTTAATCACAAAGATGGAAGTGACGAAATTTACATGAACAGAGAATGGGGGAGCGCACAAGGTTATTCTACCCTCAAGACACCGACCTGTTTACTGCTAAACCCATACAAGAAATTTGTCAAGTTCGGTTTTGAAGCTGCCGAGAAATATGCGGAACTGGAGGATGCAAAGGACAAGAGCTTTTACTGCTTTGATCGGTTTAAAATGATGCTGCATGGTAGTGAGGTAAACAGTAATAGATTATTTTCAAGTAAAGCGCCTTTCGAAAACTGTTCATTGAAAAATTAGTTGAATTAGCTGATTAACATATGCACTCAATTTCTGAGGAGAGCTTATGCCAGCCTTTCGTTGTGAAAATTCATCTAGAAGTAGGACTTGTTACCCATACACCGTTAGACATTTGATTCACTGATAAGCAGTCAAGTTGTAACGTTATTGATTCACCTATCAAAGCTACCTTATTCAATAAGCTATCAAGCTTATTTTAAAGTAATTCAATTAACAAGTTTTGATTTTACTTTTAAGGGAACATTGAATAGGAACAGTCTCCTGAATGCTCGAAACGGGAAACCTATGCGTGCCCTTGACATCTTTTCGAAAGCTTTGGGTTTTCTGAAAGACAAGGCTCTGCAGAGAATACATCATCAGAGCGGAGTGGAGTACAAAGCTAGAGAGGTGCGATGGGTTGTCACTGTCCCCGCAATATGGAAGCAATCAGCCAAGCAGTTCATGCGAGAAGCAGCCTATGAAGTAAGTTGAAGACAGTATGCTACACCTTTAAACTATTTACAGTCCTCCTTTTTACATTTTACAGTTCTCCTTTTAACATTTGCAAAATTGTTGCGTAAAACTACATAGTCTAATATGTGGAAACCAAGAAAACCAGGAAAAGGGTACCTTTCAGTCACAACTTCCACAAGCCCCGACTCCAATTTAGATCAGGAGCTCGCTGAACACGCAGTCAACGTTCTCAGAAACATCTAAAAACTGGTACTTTACAAAAACATTAAACTTAATAAGTTTTTTATTATAATTTTGGACACGTTCAGTATATATTCAATTTTTTTAAAGGCAGTTTCTCTGAAAGTAAATAGGTTAACGATTGGAGCTATTCAATCTCAATAAAAAGTAAAACATACGATACCCCACTGTAAGTGAAACAATAAAAACCGAAAAAGAAGTGTGCAATTTTAAAATTATTTAAAGATAATTCTTAAAGATCTATGGATTTCAATTTTTGCATCTAACTGTTGTTCTGTTGTAAGCTTTAAATTTCCTAGTCGCGTCCATGCTTCAGTAACTCATATGACCTCCTCGTTTTCATGGGAAATTTACGTATCATCAACATATGTGGCCGATGATAATGACTCAGAGAAGTATTAATTAGAAATTTGAGTATTCAGTATTCAGTGTTACTAGCTGATACCAGTTTGATAAACTATCCATGAACAACACAATTGATATTTTATTTGCATCTGAAAACTTAATCGTTGGTGCGGTAGATTGTTACACCTGTAAATGTCTTTGACAAATCCGATATCTTTCTTTTCATCTATAGCTTGTTTCCATCGTTCAGTTAAATTGAGAAAGGGTACTATAATTTTTGTGTTAAGTAAACACGTCTGTGATAAATTTTCTCAAAGTAAGATCTAATCCTACCATGCACCAGTCTCTCAACCGACAACAATCTAACCCACTACCTCACTAACTTTTCCAACTAAAAAGAGATTACTCCATCTTGTGTTAAAAGAGGTTGGCTCCAACAAGTATAATCAACAATTTTCTGTTCTACCGAGTTACTGTTGTAATGCTTTGCAAGTCTTATACAACACTATTAGAACGACCAGTTTTTGTGGGATACTACACAAAAACACCTGATGTTAGAATGGCTAAATGCGAATTTAAGGACATAAAATAAGACGCACAATTTGACAAACAATTCTTTTCATGTCAGTATTTCAATTATTATATTTAGTAAGAAAATATAAATTGTTTCTACTGGAGTCGGTTTCAAATCCGCCCATATACAAGCTCGACAACAAGCTAATTGATGAAGCATAACATAACACGCTTCATAATAAGCACATAACAGGAAACATGTTCACTTCTTCAAGCTTCCTCAACTATTATACCGAAGACTTTTTAACTCAACCCACGCCTCCTATTCCCAATAGGTAGCACTCCACTTACTCTCAGTAATTACTAGTATTTTGACTATAACTTAACCATTGCATATTATAAGTTTTTGAGATCTAGCTGGTATACTCTCCTACTTTTTTGCACAGCTTTAATTTCTCCCTTTGGCATTGAGTATGCTTACATGAAATAAAAGTTTGAAAGCATGGTGTCGCATGAAATTTAAACAAAGATATCCCTCTTTCAGGCGGGCCTTTCTTCTTCGATTGACTCCAGTCAAGTAATTATCGCCCTGGAACCAGAGGCTGCAGCAGTTTACTGCAGGCAACGCAAACTAAGGGAGTTTGTGGAAGGAAAAGGCGACGAAGTAGTAAAGGACACTCTAGTGCTCACAAAGACACAGTACCTAGTAATTGACAACGGAGGTAAAAATCTATGTCTAACTAATTTTTTTCGTGTACGAAATACCTCATTTATCAGAATTATTTAAGCAAACGCGCTTACCTGCAATTTTTTCTAACCTAAGAGCCTCAATTCTCTCCAAACAAGCATTGATGTTTCTACGTTTGGCTTAACACAGGCAGCTGCCCTCGGCCAGCACGTTGTCGTTAAAATAGAGCCTTAGAGGAAACTCCAAATTATCTGACAGGCTAATAAAATCGTTGGTAAAAAAAAACATTTATTTGTAAAAATTTTGTGCTCTCTAGTAAGATATGGTATCTCAGGTGCAAGACGTGCGTTACCTCTAAGTCGGTAATGTAATCGGGAACTTAAACGTCAATGACCAGTCTTCACTTCTTTAATACTCTGTCTCTCACCCTAAACTTCCCACAGAACTGCCAGTAAATTTTTGATGTAATTTCCAGCAAGCCAACACTTACTGGAAACACTTGTATCTTAAAACCTCTGTCTCAGTTCTCTGAAAATATCGTAGTCTCTCTCTAGTATTAATTTTATCCTCATCCACACCGTTTACGTTACTGTCGACGTCATTATCATTAGTCACGAACAGTGAAATAAATTCATGAATTGGGAACATTTCAGGAGGAACAATGGATGTAACTGCCCATGAAATTGAAGACGGTGACACCATTAATGAAATCTTCCATGCTACTGGTGGCGATTTTGGAGGCACCAAAGTCGATAAGGAATTCCAAGACCAACTGGATAAGATATTTGGGAAGATGTTCATGGATGAATTCCGCCGTGCTCATCCGTCAGACTGGCTGGAGCTGATGAATGATTTTGAGGTCAAGAAGCGGTCAGACCGCGTCATGACAGGAGAAATTACAAGGATCAGACTTCCCGCCAACTTCATCAACCTCTTGAGACATGAAAGTGCAGCTAACTATAATGCAATAATTAAGAAACACTTGGGACAAGATTACGATGATGAAGAAGTTAAAATCTCGAAGGACTACCTCTGTCTTGGGCCAGGGACAATGAAGCGTTTGTTTGAACCAGCCATTGCGTCCATTGTTGATCATCTGAAAGGTCTACTTAAGAAAAAGGAGCTGCGAGAAGTCAAGCTTTTGTTCCTCGTTGGTGGTTTCTCCGAGTCTCCACTACTACAAGCAAGAATAAGAGAAGTGTTTAACAGAAAATACAAAATCCTCATCCCAAATGACGCCCAAACTGCAGTGGTGAAAGGCGCTGTAATGTTCGGAAAGCGACCTGATATCGTGGTAGAGCGATGTCTTTCCGAGACGTACGGTACAGACGTCTACCAGGACTTCATTGCAGGTTACCACGACATTAAAAAATTTGTTCTGATCGAGGGAGTACCGACGTGTAAGGACGTTTTCTCCATCCTGGCCAAAGAAAATGAAAAAGTAAAAAGAGGGCACTACAAGAAAACGTTCCGGTACAGTCCTGTCAGGCCATCCCAAACAGCAATCGGCTTCAGCTTTTTCACTTCCCGTTCACCAAACGTCCGTTACATCACAGATGTGGGAGTCAGAAAACTACCTGGCTACTTCTCAGTGGAAAGTCCCGATACATCAAAAGGCACAAACCGCAGCATAGAGTTACGACTGTATTTCGAGACAGAATTGAAAGTGGTTGGCGTGGACCTCGAAACAGGAAACCAAGCGTCTACCTACATTGACTTCCTGTCACAAGTGGTGTAATAAGAGGAATCCAGCAGATGAAAAATTCAGCAAAGTTAACTGGGCCATTAATTTTACGTTAAACAAATTTTCGTATTATGTGACACAATCACAGGAAGACTGATGTAGCTAACAACATTCTACGTCTAATAACATTTCGAACGTGAAGTTCAAAGTTGTAGTATTATTGTATATTGATTGTTGAGTTAAGTTGTGGAAATTTGGAAACCACTGTAGTCCGCAGATTAACGCATAATTTGCAATTGTTATTTCTCAAGTGTACATAGAACTGTAGTTAGTAGAACAAATGTGTGGCAAAATTACGTAATAGGCTTGAAAACAAACACTGGTATTAAGGCTCTTTTCTTACGATTTAATACAAACGGATTTTAGTTTCATTCATAAAGCAAGTTTTACAATAAGGCTTCAGATACAGCCTTTATAATCGTATCCAAACATAATGAATGGTTTCCCGTAGCAGAGCCTAAGGTTTTTACACTTATGTGAACTGCTACTAAAACCTTTATTTTAATAATGTTACATAATGTTGGTCGGTCACTCTTTGAAATTTTTTCCTTCAAGAACGCTATAAATATCCTCTAAACTGAGTCGAACACATTCCAAAAACCCTCGCACATCCCTCTCTGGTGGATAGCTGGTTACGTTACACCCCAGCCAATCATCTTGGATCCCATATCCCACTCCAAACCCGTCCCGCACAACGGGACCAAACCCGCCAAGCATCAGTGCGGGACTAGATAAGGTACTAGTGGAGAGGATGATGTGATTACTTTGTTTGTAAGCCGGGTCTTGGAAAATATCCGGGACTTTACCCGTGGACTCTGCCAGGGTACGCAAGGCGAAGAGATGACGGTCAAAACCTTGACCTACCAAGAAAATCAGAAGGAACCATTAGGTTGTTTTCTTCCGCGATACATCGTTTTTGTCGAAATTAGGCACAGTGTACGGTTTGAGCGAAAGAGTGTCTGGCGATTGCTTAATGAATTTGTCCAGATACTGAGCTGTGCTGCTGAAGAGGACTTCGTTGCGACGATAATAAAGTTTATCGAAGTCGGTTAACACAGTCAAAAAATAAGCTGTTAAGACTGCATAATTGGCTACTGATATAGCAAAATCTTTAATAGCATTGAAAAGAACCAGGGGTTGTATGATGATGATAGAAGGTAGCGCTGCAGAAGATTTGTCTGACATGCAGAACAGAAAACCTGCCGCATCCCACATACTTATATGAGCCCTGTTCCACAAGAGAAAGATGATTCAAGAATATAGTGAATAATTGACTCTTAACCACTGATTAAATGGAAACAAATGATCATAACCATAATAAATATAATAATAATGATGATAATGATAACAAAAGTAATAGTAACGATAAATTATAGGGCTAGCTCGAGAACCTCACTGTTCTTGGCTAGCTCAAGAACCTCATGTCCATCCCTAGGCTCCAATAATGATTAAACAAGCCTTCTTTTAATTTTGATTTGTCTTTTAATTAAAAACCATTTTCTCACTTCATTCAATTCCATTTCTGTGAGATTTTTGTTTCATACAACAAGGCATTCCGCCATCCATCATTCCATCGAATGATGTCACCCTGTTGAACTCAAAGTACCGTGTTTCAGACCTTGCTCGCTTCGCAAATTTCGCGGCTTTTTCGAGCATTTGTTGCTGATTGAAATGGTAAAAAGATCTCTTTTGGAATACATGAAATTTTTCTTCAAAGTTTCCACGATGTGCAGATCAAACCTATTTAGATACTTCTGGAAGGAAAAGTCTTTCTTTCAATTACCTGCAGGAGATGCCACTGTGAAATTTTTTTGAGATGTTTATCATCTATTGTAGTGTCAGGGTTAAAACTGAAAAATTATATCTTCTGATCTACAGAGAAAAATTCGCTAATTCAAACGGTAGAATGCTCTCTCTCCAAAGAAAAAATTTTTCCTCTAAATTTTCACGATACGCCGATCACTCCTTTCAAGGCATTTCTGCAAGGTAAAGCTTTCTTTATTCACGCATCATTCTGAAATGATTGTGAGATGTTTATCGTCTTCTGTAGTACACTACGAGACAAACAATAAGTAGCACAGGAAACAGTGTGATCACCTGCTATTATTCCGTGTCACATTCGAAGCGATTCGAAGAAATCGTCACTAGGTAGTGAACGACCGAAGATGTCCCGAAACAAACAAAAGACAAGAGCAGGGAAAATCGGGTAAAACTCGGCAGACTTCGTTGTGGACGAATAGATCGTTCGTATTCTATTGTTACACTCGCTCACTCAACAGGACAACTCCAGAGGAGGCAGTAGCCATAAAAATATAATCAAGGTGACATGACCGTCTTGCGTGATAAGAAAGCGTGATAGTTTGATTCACAAAAACTTACCCATGGCAGCCTCTTTGGTGAGTTTTGAGTGCCAGTCAGCAGCTCGGCGGATTCTTTCCACCATTTCCTCTACCCCCGCTCGGTGCGATTTTTGAAACGCTTCTGCGCATGCTACCGTGGCGTTGGATGCTGGCCTTATTGTCTCTGTTCGCCCGTGTCTGAAAGCTGCTGTACTGCAGGACTCGTAAGTAGCAACAAACTTGCCGTTTTGACGAAAGAAAGCCATCTGTTGCAAACAAGAAGGAAAAATATCTCACTGAAAAAACTGAATTTTTTATAGAATTCAAGTAATCACTAACTTGTGTTTTTTCAATGTGCTAAATTTGAAGTTGTTGGTATCAGTCTAGGTAGCTTCTATGAAGAAAAATTACAATCGTGAATAAAAGGGATAAGTTTCTAAAGAAACTGTGGTTGTGCGTCGGTGGGAGAGTGTAACAGGGTAATTTCCCATTATCAAATGAGTTAATAACGTAAATTGGCCACCGTAAAGAGTTTCAAAGTTGACGTTTTGAGCGTTAGCCCTTCGTCAGAGCCCCTCGCTCTGACGAGGGCTCACGCTCGAAACGCCAACTTTGAAACTCTTTACGGTGGCAAGCAAGCCTTAACACGCATGATTACCTTAGCATCGATTCATTTACATTTAAGCTCCCACGATTGATCAAGACAGAATTTCTCCTTACAATATCAATACAATATCAAGCAGAGAGATTATTAGTTGATCCAAGACAAAATTCTCTAAACCAAAATCATAAGAGTTGTGAGGCAAGTAGTAGGCGGAATGACTAAGGAGATATTGAGAGTGAACGGGTTAAGGAAATGAGTGACAGTGCTATGAAACTCAAGAAAACAACAGAAAATTGTGTTCACTTACCTGAATAGCCAGCTGCATGATTGCATCAGGGCTGAGTTTCTTGCTCTTTATATAATCTTTTCCATATGTGTGAACCTGAAGCTCGGCAATGTCTAGTCCATTTACAGTTTTGTCGAATTTCTCTTTAGCGGCGCTGATTCCTCTCTCAATTTCAGGGTTTAATTTAAAATCCAATTTTCTCGCGGTCACTTGCGCGTTGAAGTTTTGAGCGGTGGCCGGGGTGCAAGCCGGCCGAGTCGTAGTGTCTTTATAAACCTGTGAAAGGAAAAAATTAAGACGTTGATATCGATAGATGTTCGACTTGAATTCTAGATTGATATGAAAATCCTAATTTGCAAGGACAAGAAAACAGAACGGAAAAGTGAAGCGGATGCGGAGAGTGGGAAAGGGTGACGCGGGTGCCAAGCGCGGGAAAGGGTGACGTGGATACCAAGCGCGGGAAAGGGTGACGCGGATACCAAGTGCGCTAAAAGAGTGGCGCATGTGCCAAGAGCGAAAAAATGCTTATATTTCTTTCCTGCGAGGTTAGCAACTTATCAAAGTAGCATTATGTAAACTAAAGAATTTACTATGTTTACCTCATTGAAGAAACGCAACACAGCAACTCCATCGCCCCAAGCATGTTCAAAATGAACTGCTGCTTTACCATCGTTGCAAATTATCAGCTGGAATGACTTGTCGAACCATCTGAGAAATAAAAAAGTCACAGAAAATATTTACCTGACAATGCTCTAAGATAAAGAGCTATAAAATAAGTAGATGCAAGGCTTCCATTATTTACCTCGCTACAGTAATTCACACATATAGAGAAGCTTTCAAAGATCTTTACCTGTTTCGTCCATCACCATGAAGAAACGTTCGCGTAACATCCGCAATACTGCTAACGTCATGATCATCCAAACAGAGAACAAACACGGCGCTGTCAATCAACTTGAGGACCTCCTCATTACCTGGAATGGCTTCCAAAGCATGGCGCATGCTCGCCCAACTGTCACGATTTTCTGACGTCAGAGCAGCTACTGGGAAGTTGGGGGCAGGGGTGGAGTCTTCAATGATGTATGTGAGATTTTGATATATGGTGGCAGTTGGGACTATGTTACCTAAAAATGAGAAAAGTAACACGTTTACATTTAGAGAACCAGTCACGGTATTGAAAAACAGTCAGCAAAGTCTGGTCTTGTTCATTAACATGGAACTACTTAAAGATAAAATAGATCCCAGCGACCTGAAATATTCTACCTAAAATTATTTCCCTTGTAACATGTCTTGGTCACCGGTTTAAAAATACATCTCTCTACTGTGATACATTTGTGATGTTTCCGATCTTACCATCTGTTGTGATTGTGTCAAACACGTAAAAGTTTCCTTTTCTCATGACAAGAATATGTCGTCCGGTTTCAAATGTGGCCAGTTTGTCTTTTTTCAGCTCTGGTATCCGTGTGGAGCAAAACAGTCTGCTGTACTGACTCATGTCCAGAGGAAAAGCTTTTACAAGAAATGCACCATACCAAGACAGCTGCCGAGGAACAAACCTGAAAATAATATCATGAGCCATTAACATCAGTATGTATATTCTCTCTGCTGTTCTCTATACATTTCCTATGGTGCTGTTAAGGAGAATTTGTTCAACCAATCAAGAGCTTCTTCAGTCAGTGATCATTTCCTTTCTACTCATGATCTTATTGTGTGATTCAGGGTTGACAATGTGAGGAGAAAATAGATGCTAGTCACTCTTAGGTGTCAAAAGGTTGACTCAAGAAGAGTAACAAACTGCTGATAGAAAGAGCATGACTGAGTATTGTAAGAGCAAAAGAGAAGTAATCACAAAATGCCAAATGCATTTAGAATACCAGACTGTAAGAAACATACCTTATAATATTCCGAAACCACTGTGTGTCACTTGATTTGGGATTTAGATGAAATATATCAGGCTCAAGAAAAAGATCATCTAATGATAATTTGAACCTCATTGCAGACTTTATCATGTTGGTTGCCCTGACAACCTATCACAAGAACACAGCAAAGAACACTACATTTTAGAAATTGCTGATCCTAGCATTATGCAGGAGGAATGTCATAATTAAACTTAGCAGTCGCCTTAGACTCGCCATTCTAGTACTCTAACTGAAAAGTGTCACAGAATCACAGCCCAAATCTTAAGGGCTTTGAGGTTCAAATAGTTTTTCCTTTAGCAGTGCTTGTTGTCAAAAAAAACAAACAAACAAAAACAAAAACAATCAGTAATAATAAGTACATATGTAAAAAAAAAATTAATGAATCGTTCTTTGAATCCAATACTGTAATTTTATCACAATGGTACCTGATTATTATTTTCAGCTACTGGATCATCTTTGAACATCAAGAATGGATTGTAGTTTAGAACTACAGAATCCCTGGCTTCTAGATACATGTCATACCAAGGACCTGATAGACAATGATATCAAGGACTCTAATAAGTCAGTTGAAGGGACACATATTAATATTATTTCAAGTATCTATGTGTTCATAATGAAAAAAAAAAATCTGCAAGGTGATTTGGTGACATAAGATAGGTAAGGAGAACATAAGAAAACTTTTTGAATAAAGTAGATTGCCTTTATAAAAAAAATGCTCATGGAAATAGCCAACTGCCAAAAGTGTGGTCTAGCTTGATGAAAAATACATTTTTCTATACAATACAAATTTTACAAACATTCCTTAAAGTTGGCTTTGCAGTGACAATGTAAATAATTTTATAATACTATCGCAACATAAAATGATGACATTACTAACTATTCAAATAATACAACAATGAAAAAAATTAGAATATTACTTAAGTGAAAAGCAGATGCTAAAATTAATAAGATAAGAATTATACAAAAGAGGAAATTGGGAAATGAAACTGAAGCTAAGTTTTCATTTGTTGGGAAAGAGACAAACAACTTGACCCTTAGTTTATGATAAAAAGTAGGAACAGAGTTGCAGAGCTCAAGCCTTTCACTTCCAAGATTTCATTAGTAATTCTCCTTACTATCTGCCATACATGTGTTATAATATTAGTACAGAGAATTTAGTATTGGATCAACTAAAAATCCCCTCATTGATATTTTTCTTCATTCTCATCAGCTGTCTGCTTAATATTGTAATGATATTGTAAGGAGAAATTCTGTCTTGGTCATTCATGGGAGTGAAAGGGTTACGAGAGTTGTCAAAACTGTTCCACAAGCTGACTTTCACATCATCAGAATAAAAGCCTTTCTTTTTTTTTTTTAATTCTACATTTCACACCACAATGTTACTATACACTAAAATATCTTAATATTAAACATTTTAGTATTTTGCTACTCATGCTAAGTCTTTTCCACAAGTTGTGCTATATTTTGACCAGCCTGAATGGCAAGTCGAAATACAGGAAACAAGGAGTAAAATACTCAGTAATACTACACACCAAAATGCTTAATAGGTTATTTAGTATTACAATACATTACTTGCAATACAAAACTTTGATACAAAGCAAATACAACTTAAAATCATTTAGCCTAATTTTCAGCATTTGACTTGCAATATAAAATATGGGTGTAATGATACAAAACATACTTGCATAAAAACAGAACAAGACATGTAGCTTAATTTGAATCCTGTGAATTATGCAGGCAACACTTTCTAAGTCTGTACATAATTTTATAGCTTTTATGAGATACCTGCTATGTAACTTGTATGTTTGTTGCGCTTGTCTTTCTGTATAAGCTCTGCATGAAGGCCTGTTGAAGAGAACACAAAACACTGTGTGGGCAAAGAAAAACTACAAGTCATTATGCTAGCATAAAGTTTCAAAGGTTTTTCCCCTGTGCATTGCAAAAGTATTTGAAAGATTAAGGATAAAATAGCCTCATTTTGCACACAAAAATGCACAAATATTTGTCTCTGGACACTATCTGTTCCTCAAAGCTCACAGTTTTCCTTGAGCTTCACTCTCCAAACACTGTTTGCCTCTTGGAACTAATACTGTCCGCAGACAAACATCCACGCATTATTTAACACCAATTGGGGCTATTGTTCATAGAGCAAGCTGATGAAAATTTAAATATATAGTTTCAAAAGATTTTTGTAACTGAGAAAACCTTATAAAGCTTGTTAGAAGGTACAGGTGAAAATTTATATTTGTATATATTTATATGCTAGTTCTACAGGGATTTAGCTAAGAAATTAGGCTGCTGGCTGAAATTTGGAGAGAGGCAGCCAAAAGAGAATGTTCTAGACCTTGAACGATTGTACATCTAAGTGTGTAATATAAGGAGTTCCAGTTGTGTTTTTACAAGGTGATTTCCAACTGAATTTATTCAGCCAGTGATTGCTGCTTTTTCATGTAGCAAAATTCTCTAATCTCTGATGCCTAAGAATACTATTTCACAAGTCAGCATCTTTTAGATTCTGAACCCTAACATCAAAATCTGTTTTCTCTATACCCGTTTCTACACATATCTTTTGTTATTGACCCTGTTTAACAATCAAAGCTTTTTAGGTTGGTTATTCAGCAGTCTTACTGTAAAGATAAATTAGATTCTGGTCACCCTTAGGGTTTAAAGAATTAAAGAATTATTTAAAAAACAATGTTGGAGAAGATAGTATTAATTATAATTACAACAATGATATCATAATAATTGTAACAAAAATAATGACAATCCCCAAAAGACTATGATAAAATAATACAATTTAATATATTTTAATAAATTACACACCTGGAGCCTCACGTTTCTGAAACTTTTCAACAAGTTGCTTAGTGTCTTCATACTGTTCAGGTGTTAACAAAGGTTTCTGTGCATCCAGATACCTACGACATGTGTCTTCTAACTTTGGAATTGGTAGCCGAGGAAGGCTGTCTTGAAAATGAAAAGTGGGGACTTTTGTCCTCGGTTCAATGTATTTATCATCCTCTGAACTTGAACTATGCAAAAAGAGCGACAAATATTGTTAAGATAGCTAGCACACATTACAAATGAGTACATTAGTATCACATTCTTATAAACTCTTTTTGATATCAGGCTCAAAATAAATATAGTTTCTGGAGGACACTTTTAGATCCAGGGCCAGATTGTTCATAGTCTGGTTTAGATAACCTATGGTTAGTGTATGAAATATGATTTCAGATCTGAAAGCTTTAAAAGAAAATTCAGTGCAATTTTTTTTGTCTACAATATAATTGGATTCTCTAAAAGGCACAGAAAAAATTATCCTATAAAGGCTTTTGAACAATGGAATAAAGAATCCCAGAATAAAATTCAACCATGGATTAGCGCTAATCAGCCTTCAAACAACTGGGCCCGGATCCTTAGGGTAAAATTCTAAAAATAACTCCAGAGGTACGTGAATTATGTCTGTCAGTGAAGCTCTAGATAGTGTTTGCCGAGATATTATCTGTTCTTTCACCAGCTTCCCAAAGCTTCCTTGTGCAATTCTCATATCAGAGTTTACTTTGACGATTTCCTTTTCCAAAAAACACCCAGAACTCACATCAACAAGTTGATGACTTCCATATTCTCACTACCATTAGCTAGTATTGATAAATAAAAAGAAGTAGCATTCTTATCAATTCTGCCTACCTGCTGAACAGTCTGCTTTGACATCTTTTAGTAGCTATTCCAGAAGGGGAAAGGAGACCGACTGAGCTCTTAAAGGAAAAAATTAAGCAAACATAACTATGGACTGAAAATATTTCACAGTGACACATGCCCATGTCCTCTCGTAAAGACGTTGCACTAGCTTAAAAAAAGTTACCTTTAAGCCGGTTCTAGTTGCTTTCCCTTTACCTAAAATGACTCTAGTAAAACTCATACTCAAGCTTAAATTTGACCTTTCATTGAGACCCGTTTAAGAATTAGTTTAAAGAATTATAAGGGTTATTTTTGGGACACCTTGAATGGCCTCGTTCACTCGAACGAAGTCCACTTTACCAGCCCGCCAGCAAATTGAACAGCGGATTTGTTGTTAAGATATATATGTTGTGTAAGTCGGCATCGTGACGATGTCACGAGGTTGAAAAAATAAATTTTGGAATGGTTAGTGATGAAGGGAAAACGGAATACGGAAAGATTGATTTGATTGAGCTGGGATGGCGTTTTGACACTGCACTCCACATCAGCTTCTTAACAATTGCCTTGTGTAAAAAGTAGTTTAAATCCTAAGTAATTTTTATAAAACAGCATTATTAACAGAACTAACGCGTGGGATTTTTCAACCAAACAGGAAGTTTACAGAATTTTCATGTGTTCAGTGAAGTAGATCGGCTATCCCACGTGCGTTCTAGTAGTTTTACTTTCAGGTAATTACCCATGCTATTACGAACACCTGCGTAAGGTGACAAGGCGAGCTGAAGTAAACGATTCCGGTCGAACAACCGATTTTTAGGGGATTTTATCGATACCATAAAAAATGGTTCTGATCGATCAAGCCGAAAGTGCATTGAAACAGACAACTTTCCGCCAGAATGCAAATAATGTATCAGATCCGATAGACTTGATGCGCAATATATCTGACGTGATCGAATATGCAAATAGATAGATAGATAGCTTCATTAAAAATCAGATGGCAGCCTAATAAGGCTGAATTGCATGATTATTTACAATACAATACTGGCTAAAATTATAAATCATACTTACAAGTAAATATACCGTATTAAGTTGAATAGCGTAACTTAAAAAACTCTTAAACAAAAGTAACACGGCCCTAGCAAAAACAAACGGAACGACTAAGTTGAAATCAATTAGCAATGAAAATTATCTAGAGAAGACAACGCTTACACTGGCGAGAAATAAAACGCTGCCAGCGTTACGCAATTCTTACATAACCTTATGCAAAAGCACGGACCTAATTGAATAGAAACATAGCATACAACGGTAGTTCAATTGAAAAAAAAACAATATAAAATAATTTCGCAGTTACTTGACGATAAACAGAATACAAATTCTAGTTTCTATGATCACGAAAGTGAAATATTGGGATCAGGTAACGTCATTCGTTAAAAATCGAAAAAAACAATAGCCAGGAAAAAGCGTTGGGGTTCAACGTAAGTAGTATCCTGCTGTGGAAACGAGCTGAAACGGCGACTAGAAGACGGTGCTAGCTAAGTACGACTGTCACCTCAAAAACATGGCGTCTTCCTCGTTCCTTCCTGAAAATGGGAATTCGGTCGCTGTAATTCTTTTTTTGATGACGTTTTATCCGTGTTTCACAGCTGATTTACTAGATCCAAGTCTTTTCAGTCAAACATTAACCAAACTAGCTTCAGATGGACTTGGCTTCTCTAATTTGCAGGTAAGATCAAGATTCATAGTTTGGATGCACGTGAAGTCCTTTCAATTCCTGTGTATATCAAAAACGTTTTGTGCAAGAAAAATTTGTGTAAATGGTTACGTCCTGCAATGTATTACTGCCCACCAACAGCATTATCTGGCGGAGAATTTTATGTCATTTCTGCTGCTAAATAATTTAACTAATTAAGTAGTGTTTATAGGATTGAAATAGATCATAAAAATAGTAGGTGTGTACCAGGCATATTAAAAATTTTTGTAGAAAGAAAAAAAAAGTTGGCATTGGCTAAAAAATATTTTATTGGACGTTTCGGCTACTTAGCTGTTGTCTTCTTCAGCAGAGATAAAAAAATGCAAATATCTAACGGCGTCCTGCTTGGTATATGTCCACGTGTATGATAAAACTAAATCTTCAAGGAATTTTTTAGTGTAACCATAGTCTTTAGAGTATTTTTTAATGGCTCTAAAAATTCTTAATGTTATTTTACATGTTTGGTAGCGTTAAGTGTTCGTTCAGAGCGTTTCTATCTCGCATGGAATACCAAGCTTCAAGAATTAGTCTTTGTCGCCACGCCGATGACCTTTCAACAATTTCAACACTCTCCAAATCTATTTGGTGACTGTAAAGCATATGGTGTTTGGCCAACAGAGAGTTTTCATCCAGTGTTGCTAAGGCATTTGTGTGTTCTTTCACGCGTGTTTTTAGTGCGTGCGATGTTTATTAGGTTGGCGGCCATTGTGAATGAAATTAGCACGGTAGTTATTAGCGGCGAGGGCTTTCGCTACTCGCTTAGTTTCCCGAGACACTTCGTCCTTAGCGGAAGGATGTTCTTTGCGCGATCCATGAGAGTGCGCACGACCGAGTGTTTGTACTGGGGATGGTGGTGTGATTTGAAAACAAGGTCGGTGTTGGTAGCTTTCCTGTAGACAGGCACAGTGGTCGTGCCATCTTCTTGTCTGGTTTTTTTAGTGTCAAGAAAGCCAGTGGAACCTTCTGATTCTATCTCGATTGTAAATTTGATGTGAAGGTTGATGGAATTGAGGTGTGAATGAAATTCATCTACGAGTTCCCTTTTTACACACACGTGGCTGTCATCTACGTATCTAAACAACCATTTGGGAGTAACGAAAGTCCTCACCGCTAATAAATACCCTGCTAATTTCACAAACAATGGCCACCCAACCTAATAGACAACACGAACTTAATGATACCAACTAGCGCGGCTTGGTTATCCCACCTTATGCCAAAGGATTTTCCGAGAGAGTCACTAAAGTTCTTCAAATTTTCAACATCAAAGTCGCCTGTAAGCCTATCCGCTCAATCTCGACCGTAATTAAAAAGCCAAACGACACGATGGATCGAGAGAGAGGCTTCCGGAGGAATCGTGTACAAGCTCAAATTTAAAGATTGTGATTGTGTTTACGTTGGTCAGACATCGTGCGCACTAAAAACACGCGTGATAGAACAACTTTTTTTTATTCTTGTTACCGAAATAGACCATAGTTTTCATACAGTTTCATGTTCCACGATCCAGCTCCAATGAGCTACACATGATAGACAGGGTCAGTTTTTAGAAGTGCCACTAGAGAGGAGTACGTACGCAAAAACCTACGACCGGTCACGTTTGCTACAGATTTCCTTCGCTCCACTCAATAAACACTGTGCAATCATAAAGATATCAAATATTGACAGGGAAGCTGTGGTGTTGAGTTCTTTACAGCACTCTGTTCAGTTAGCATCCACGCTTCTGGAATTTCTAGTCCACTATCCCTGTTGATGTTGCTAGGGTGAAGTCTTATATAAATTGCCTCTTTTACGCTGCGCGGGTAGTAATAAGGATCACGATCAATCCAGATGGCGTAGTTTACGGGATTCCCTGTAAATGCGGCAAGGTGTACGTCTGAGAGACTGGAAGAGCTATGCAAGACAGAATTAAGGAGCACGATCGAGACATTCGACTCGCCCGTACTGAGACCTCCGCCGTTTCAGAGCATGCCCGCAACACTGGACACAAGCCACTCTGGAACGAAGTAAAGTTTATTGATCGTGACCCTTATTACTACACGCGCAGGGGCAAAGAGGCAATTCATATAAGATCTCACCCTAACAACATCAACAGGGATAGTGGAATGGAAATTCCAGAAGCGTGGATGCCCACGATCAAAAAACGCAACAACAGGAGGGCAGTGCGACAGCGGACCGCCGAGGGACCAAATCACTGAGTGAACAGCAAGTATCGAAATGCACCAATCAGAGCTGTTGTAAAAACAACTAATCACAGCAGAACATCCTGCTTTAGAAGATCACGCATGACCAGTCGACCTGGTCGTCTGAAGAAGACTATCAGTATGCAGTCGAAACGTCGCGTCTACATCACACGTGACTACATCGTGAGACAAACCAAAAAATTAGCTTTTATTATAAGCAAATAATAAATAATTTTCATCTTCATACCCGTTTAAGTCCTTCTTGCTAAATCCCAATCTCAAAATCTATCTCTTCCACCAACCATCTCAATCTCATTTTAAACGCACCAGTTCAACTGACAGTACACCGGTTACATGAAAAGAGTCGTCACGTCAGTTGTTTGCTTCTTTTACAAATCCTAGTTTATCTCTTCTTTTATCTATTTCTTCTTGTAAATCTTGATTATCTCTTATCCAGGAGCATTTTGACAGGTTAAAGTTTACAGAGACAGTCGTGGATGGCAGTCAACTTATCCCCAATCTGGCAGCAAGTGTCTCAAACAAATTCAGAGACAGGTTTCACGTTGTACAAAGGCTTAAAACAGCTGTTGAGTCCTCCTGGCCCACACCTCCCTCATCAATCCCGACAGAATGCTGTCGAGTGTCAAGTTCATCTAAAAATGCAGAATATGACTCCAGATTTCGAAAGCGAATCGACATATCAAGTGCGTGCGTAAAAGTATCTCAAAATGCTCCCCCATCACCTAAACATGTCGCCAATTCAGTCGTGGAGGAGATGAAAAATATTTTGCAAGATAATCCTTTCATCAAGTGGCAATATTTTGCATCAGGAGAAGGCACGTTGGCTAATTACCCTGTATTTGAGGATACGGAAGATTGCAGATCTTATGATCCTCGTTTAAGGCCATTTTACGTAGAAACGGCCACCCCGAAGCCAAAGGATGTTATTCTTGTTCTCGACACCAGTGGATCGATGAGAGGAAGCCGGCTAACGATCGCTAAGGAAGCTGCTAAAACCTTTTTAAGCACAATGAATCCAAGAGACAGGGTGAGTAGGAATAAAAGTTTGTGTGTACAAGTGCTAAGCCTTTTGCAACCGTTGGATAATCCTATTCTACAACAGAAATAAAAGGAAAATGTATTTTTACATATTATTAGACTCCTCGTCCCCTTTAACCCTCATAAAGCATATACTAATGCATTGAATAAATGACTTATTAAATTAATGATCAGTTGATTCGCCTAACTATTGAATGAGTTGTCAACAACTAAAACACCGTGATTTGCCAACGCTATGTTTGCATGTTAACTACGTAGCTGACTTAACGATTGACCCAACTACTTACCACCGCCTGACCACATGTAATTACTCACTCACTGTCTTATAGAATGCTTTGAAGAAAATATTATCTGCTCTTCTTTACTCTAGATCGGAATGGTAAGCTTCAGTGGTGAAGCAGCCACACCAACAGGGTACAGAGATGATGGGCGTGACTGCCACAGCGAACGTTTAGCAGATGCCACACCAATCAATATAAAATACATGGACAGCTATGTTGATTCACTGTCTTCTGGAGGTAAAAATCAACTAGCATTCTTTTTCATGTCATTAGTAGTCTCTGACTGTGATCCTCTTGACATGTTCACTGATTACCCAAGCAAAGTCGACAAAATGAGAATTTTAAGTTTTGTAGGTACGATGTTGAGTTATGCCAAATTTAGCTTGATCTGAGACAATTCAGTAGTTTGCAGCCTTTCTCATCCATGTGTAAAGTTAAAGAAAGCGTCTAAGGCTCTTCACAAAACTAATAATAATCACAATCTTGTCGTTATTTAATACAGGAAGCACGCAATACTCCAAAGCTTTCCACTCAGCCTTCAATCTGCTGAAAAGTACCTCCACTGGAAGAGAAGCCTCAAGGACCAAAGTCATAATCTTTCTAACGGATGGTGAGCCAACCGATGAACCAACGGAAATCATGCAAACAATACAAACAAAGAACGCAGAGCTTAATAACAAGGTGGTGATAATGACGTATGGGATGGAACAGGACTTACAAATCCTTCGAGATATTGCTTATCAAGACGGTGGACGATATGGAGTATCGCAAGCTACTGACGTTACTGTAAGTACAACCACCCTATCCACGACCCTGTCACGGACGCGGAATGAAGAAAACTCCAGGCTACCCATTAGGATCCGAACCTAAACCTTCCAATTTCTTAATCGAAAGATCTTAGCCGTGGTGAATTTTCACGAGCTTGGCATCATTGTCACGTGGACATATGGGAGCCTAATGTATCAGTTGCACTTGAGAAGACCTCATTAGTCGTTCAAAGTGGGTTGAAGTTAAACTTCTAACTACTTTCCTTTTATTATAGGAAGGAAAATTTACTTACGTAGGAAACACAGAAAATTTGCAAAGAGATTTGGCAACGTATTACGATTTCTTCTCTGAAAACGTAGTGCGCGATGCACCAATCATATCCATTCCGTATATTGATGCTTTTGGCACGGGTAAGAGTCGAGTATTATTGTAGCTGTTAAAATAACGAGTTGCAACTGTTTTTGGTATGTTAAACTTATACAATAATTAATGAAGGGCTATTCCATCAATTAAATGTGTAATCGTGAGGATACAAGCCGATCAAAAGGTTTGATGTGGTCGACTGCTGCCGCAAAAATGGTCTCGAGGTGATTCAGTCAGCCCCTTCTAGTTATGACTTTTAACCTAGTTATGCGTTTTTTTATCATTTGTTTCTTGAAATTGCTCAGCCCTGCTAACCTCTGTTCATTTCGATTCTCCTTCAACGCAAGAGATCAAATTTCCTCTCTCGAAGCTTACTTGGTGGGAAATCATTTTCTGCGAGACAAAATGAACACTAAGATCATTACAGCAAAGTCGTCCAAGACCATGTATGTGGAGGAGTGTGTGGGGCTAGTTAACCATTGAACTTGTATATCTATCTTTACAGGTCTGCTAACTTCCATAACACTCCCGTGTTATTACCAAGGGAAATTCATCGGTGTTGTTGGTACCGATATTAGCATGGAAGACCTTCTATCGGAAATCACATATTTTCAGAGAGGTCAATCAAGGTACGCTTTCATGGTGGACAGTTCTGGGAAGACCATGATGCACCCTCTTTTACCAGCCTCTTCAGATGCATTCGGTGACCCCATTTTCATGGATATAACAGCTTTAGAACCTGAATCCGAATTTACCTCAGTGTTTCTATCAATCAAAAGGTAATGGGTTGGGCTCAAAAACCATTGTAGCTTAGCTATTGAACGCAAAAGGTAACTAAGAATAACGAAATTGCTTATGTTTCAATGTTACTTCTTTATTAGGCAAAGGAAAATTGAAGTTTAGTTTGTAGTTTCGATGTATTTGCTCTGGATCGATTCAAAACAACGATGAAAAAAGAGATGTACAGGAAATCTCGTCCGAGTAGAGGTTCTTTGAATTCGATTTATTTTATGATAGAAACAAAGATCTTATGTAGTTCGAACGAAACACCCATTAACAAGTTGAACGTAAATCAATTAAACGATTTCATTTTATCTTTTCCAAGTGGTAAATCTGGACAGAAAACATTTCCATCAAAGCGTTTCCTGGCTCGTGGTGGACAAGTAGAGGAAGGAGTAACAGTTGCAACTTATCGGTCGACCTATTTCTGGGAACCAGTTCAGCACACTAATTTTATTGTTGCGATTGTTGTTAAAGATGGCGATAAGGATGAAACACTGGACACTCAGACTATTCCGTCTGGTAAACCAAAGCATCATTGGAAAAGATGCAAATTATCAGAGAGATATTGACCGACTTTATGTTTCCCCGTTAACGACTGACCTTATAGATCCTTAAAATGCAACCTTATTTTTTGATTGAATTCCTTTACGTACATGTTTGTAGTACCTTTAAATATTGTGCGCTTTTCTACGCAGATTTTGAATTCTTATACCATCGCTTGGACTTGGTGAAGCCGGATTCGTCATGCGTTCACTTTTCAAGATATGCAGCAAAAGGTTTTTAAGCCCCCCGCCCTTCCCCACTCATGAAATGTTATCGTCGTCATTGCTATTTATGCTCAATGATTTTTAAAAGATATCGCGACTCTTAAATGTTGCATCATATTATAGAGCAATATCACAACCCTTATTATTGTCGCAGATTCAACTGTGGTAAAGTTTAGTGCAGAAGCCTTCACAGATCCATACAAATACCTTGGACTGGATGAGTCAGTATCTAAAGTAAATGCTTACGAAAGGTTTATGAAAAGCGCAAGAGCAATCAACCTCGGATTTAAAAGTGGCATACGTAATACAGTCTTAGCTACCAAGAAGGTAGAAGATATTTGGTTTCGAAAAAAATCGGAGTACACTAAATATCTTGTTTGGAGATATGTTGGCACAGCCAATGGTGTTTTCAGAATGACACCTGGAACTTTGCTGGTCAAATCTTACGATCCGAGGAAAAGACCATGGTAAGTAGTATAAGGTTATAAAATTTATATTGGGAGTATGTTTCACATTCTTCCATGGTTTTTTAACTTTAAAAAGTATCCTAGGAGCCAACAAAGCTTTGTCGTCCATCGTTTGTGTAGACATCATTAGTTCACAAACAGAAATGTATGATAATCTACTCGAAAGTCCCACATACCTATCTCATTGGGCGATTAAGCTTTAGTTACCACATGATATGTCGCATTATCATTTCATCTTTTGTCATTTTTAAGGTATCACGCCGCTCTCAGCAATACGGGGTCAGTTGCCCTCTCCACGCCCTATATAGACGCCTTCGGTGCAGGAGTGGTGATAACTGCAGCCCACACCCTCTACCGCGGTGAGACAAACAGCCAGCATAGTACAAGTGATCAGGTTATTGGAGTCATGGGCGCAGATTTTCCCCTATCATACTTCCAAAAGTAAGTGTATCATATTTTGTAGACCGCACTTCTATTACATAGCTATCATATCTTTGTGTCTATTTTACTCTGTGAAAAACAGATCATTCTATTCGTATTCCAACCATAGATACTTAAAGTACTGAGGTGAGTTCCTTTCTAGGCTAAAACCGTTTAAACCGAGGTTGTCTTGTTCTAGTTTTTGCCTTAATAATAACTAAATACTTTTGTTTCAGACTCCTAACAGATACATACCCAAAGTGTGAGGAGAGCAGCTATGATTGTTTTGTTTTGGACAGAGCTGGATTCCTAATCATGCACAATGATTTCCTACAGCCAGATATAACAGCTAAAACTCTGGAGTATGTCCACATCACAGAAAAAGAGAAAGACATCTCCGAAGATCTGATACAAAAAGGTTATCTGGTGAAGAAGGAATGTCGAAATTTGGAGACAAATTGGCTTGCAGAGCTTTTACGAGCTAAAGCTTCCATTTCAAGGAGTAAGTACTCTTGAGAATGGACAACGTTGCAAGAAGTATGAGCTCTTGAAAGTTGATGGAAGTAATGCCTTTTTGGGTAAGAGAGATGGGAAAAGTCTGATAGGTGTGTTACAATAGCAAATATATTTAATTTACGCTGAGAATGTTTCTTTTCTCTTTTACATCATCAGGAATCATATCAAGGGAGGGCTCGTGTTCATCCAAGACTTGCAGCTGCTCCAGTAACAAAGAATGTTCCAACGTGAAGGAATTGACTTGCGAATGCCCTTGTTCCTCACGACTTGAATTTCATTACTGTAGGAGTGAATTTCCAGCCAGCAAGTAAGCTTATCATAATGTGAAAAGTTGATAGCACCGGGTTTCGTATGTAAGCTTAACAAGCTTAACAGCTTTATTTTCTTGCAGTATTTCCATTTGTCCCGTGCCAGCGACTGTTGTTCTCTCTGAGCGAGTAAATGATCCTTCAGTAAATGGCTTAGGGAAATGTTTCGACCCACAATGTGACAAGAAGCCTGATTCAGAGTCATGTGACGGAGTCGTAGGCTGCTATTAGTGCGTTAGAGATAAGTTCAATACTCCTCTTTCCAAGGAATACTGCGCAGATATCAATACCTGCTATGGTGGCACACAAGGTATGTCTTAAACTGTTTATTCGAAGACACTTTTTCCTGAAGTGTGCATCAATAATGTATGTACTTTATTGTTCATTCTGCAGGCACAAGAGCCCCAGGAAGCGGTAATATTCCAACCAACCCCACCAATCCAGAAGATGACGACGATAAGGGTGGTCTCTCGGCAGGTGCCATTGTCGGTATCGTTCTGTGGTCGCTCGCTGCTGTCATTGTGCTTGCTTTCATCTTTGTTAAATGTAACAGAGAAAGTACTCCAAAAACGGTTGCAGCCTTGGCTCCGACTCCAGCAGTGGAATACAATGCACCGCCGCCTACCACCCATCCACCAGAATGCGCATACCGACCTGAGCCTATTTTTCCTGTGCATAGCTCCCAGTTATGATCAGGCAATGTCATCTTTTCCTACCGCTTCTGCACCGCCCTAAAAACGTTCTTATAGGAGTGTGCGTTAGCGTTTACTAGGTTATATGAAATTAAGGAGAGCTTGGTAATGCATTCACTTTACCAGGAGTGGTCCGTAAACGAAAGGATGATGCAATGACACTATAATACGTTCTGCCAGATAAGAGACGATCCGACCTCTACTATTCTGACACAGATCCTGCTCTTAATCTGATGCCGGTGGTGCTTCTATATTATATCATACGCTCAAAAAATTTTAGTCGAGTCTTGTCAAATCGAACCTATTAAAGGCACACGCTACTAAGATTTAGGAAATGAACGCTTCGCATTCTTCTCGCTACAAGGTTCTCCATGTTTTGTAATTCTGGTTAGAAAAATTTCTCTTGATTAACAGTATCCGTCGACAGTCACCCCCACGAGAGGAGTCATTTATTGAGCGATATAATATCTATACTATATCATATTTCAAGTATAACTTGTTTCAAATATAAAAATGAGAGCTAAAAACAACTCTAAGGGACTGTTACAGGCAAGGGAAAGAATGGGGGAGTATTGTTTTTTCGTAGCACTGAAAGTAAACATTTTCGAAATGCAAACGAGGCTTACAAATACGGTTAATGTTTAGGCTTTAAAATCCAAGCTCTGGTCGACCATCAGCATAATAAATAAACTGTGTTGGAAATAGAAAATTTGATATCACTGGGTGACCAACTTAATGTAAACAACAGATGTAACGGTAGCATTGATCGTTTACCAAGAGTAACAATGTCGCTTTCTGTAACGACACAAAGATATGATAAAATACGATTGGTCGATTTTATTAAGTCTGTACATTCTTAACCCATGTTTCCATAAAATGATATTTGTTGTGAGTGACTTTCGCTTAATGAGGTCCCAGTTTAGTTCCCTATCCTTTCTCCCTTGGTAAGAATGAAACTAGTTCGAGTCTCCAGCCTAGAATATAATAGTTTCACATGGTGTATCGCAAAAGTTACCTTACTCGAAATCAGCCAGGCCTTCTTTCTCTGTGTTCGCCAAGATCTGCACCATATAGACGACTTACTCATGACATTTAACCAAGGAGAACGACTTAACTTTACCGGAGAAGTGAAATTTACTAACCACCGAAGACTTACGACATTTGAGTCTTGCAGCCAATAACATCACTACAAACAGAGCTTGCTTGAAACGGACTTACAGCACACGACCGACATAATATTTTAACATGACTCTTCTGACGACTTGCACTGAGGTTGTCGGAACGTAAGTTTCTCCGATTAAGTCTTTCTCTGCACTACCCTTACCCAGAGAACTCACTTAGTGCTTAAGCATGCTTATCCTACTCAAGTATATTAAGGCTAGGCCAGCTCATTAAATATGCATGTTAGTAGAAGATGCCATCTAGAATGGTTCGGTTAAGAATTAGTTAAAATAATTAAGTGAGTTATTTTTAGGACACCTTGTACGGCCTCGATCACTTGAATGAATTCTACTTTACCAGCCCGCCAGCAAGTTGACCAGCGGATTTGTTGTTGAGATATATACTTTGTGTAAGTTGACATCGTGATGATGTCAGGAAATTGAAATAATGAATTTTGGAATGATTGATTATGAAGGGAAAACGGAATGCGAAAAGATTGATTTGAGTGAGCTGGGATGCCGTCTTGACACTGCACTCCACAACAGCTTCTTGAAAATTGCCTTGTGTGAAAAGTAGTTTAAATCCTAGGTAATTTTTCTGGAACAGTATTTTTAACGAAAAGAACGCGAAGGATTTTTCAACGAGACAGAAAGTTTTACAGAATTTTCTCGAGTTCAGTGGAAGTAGATCGGCTATCATTCATGCATTCTCGTAGTTTTACTTTCATGTAATTTCCCATGCCATTACGAACGACTGCGTAAGATGACAAGGCGAACTGAAGTAAACAAATTCCGGTCGAACCACCGATTCTTACGGCATTTTATCGATTCCAAAAAAAAAAATGGTTGTGATAAGGCTAAAAGTGCATTTAAACAGACAACTTTCCGCCAGAATGCAATTAATGTAACAGATCCGATAGAGTTGTTTACGCAACCTATCTGACGTGATCGAATATGCAAATAACATAACTTCTGTGTGTTCATAATCACTGAAGCTAAATACTTCCTGAATGCACGATTAATTTAGCTCTTAGATAGACAACTATTTGGATGTAGAGATGTGTACATGTGTAAACGTAAAAGTAAGTAATTAGTACAAATATCTAAGTACAAATATAGCAACATCAAGAGTAACGACAGAGCTAAGTGAAATAGAAACGAACTTAAAATTTCTGGCGTAACCAGGTCCGGCAGTAAAACTCTTAGACAAAAGTAACACGGCAAAAAACTGACGAAACGACCTACTTAGTGCAGCTAGCAGTGAAAATTATCTAACGAAGACAACGTTTCTACTGGTGAGAAATAAAACGCTACGGGCGTTACATAATTCTTAAAAAACCTCACGCAAAAACGCGAGCTTCTTGAAAAGAAACATAACATACAACAGTAGTTCAATTGAAAGAAAAACAATATAAAATATTTTCGCAGTCAAATTACGATAAATAGAAATGCAAATTCTAGTGGCTACAATCACGAAACGGAAATATTGGGATCAGGTAACGTCATTCGTTAAGATCGAAAAAATACTAGCCAGGAAAAAGCGTGGGGGTTCAACGTAAGCAGTATCCCGTTAAAACGAGTTGAAACAAGACAAGAGGACAGTGCTGAGTACGACTGTCATCGCAAAAACATGGGTTCTTCGTCGTTCCTTCGTGTAAATGGGAATTCGGTCGCTGTAATGCTTTTTTTGATGACGTTTTGTCTGTGTTGCACAGCAGATTTACTAGATCCAAGACTTTTCAGTCAAACACTAACCAAACTAGCCACAGATGGACTTGGCGTCTCTCATTTGCAGGTAAGATCAAGATTCATAGTTTGGATAAACGTGAAGTCCTTCCAATTCCTGTGTGTATCAGAAATATTGGTGTAGTATTTTGCACAAGAAAAGATCGTGTAAATGTTTGCGTCCTGCAATGCTTTATTGCTCACCAACAAAATTTCGTGTCATTTCTGCTGCTAAATAATTTAACTATTTATTTTAAGAAGTGTTGATACAAATAGATCATAGTTTTCATACAGTTTCATGCTTCCCGATCCAGCTGCAATGAGCTACACATAATTTTTAGAGGTGCAACTAGAGAGGAGTACGTATACAAAAACCTACGACCGGTCACGTTTGCCACATATTTCCTTCGCTCCACTCAATAAACACTGTGCAATCATAAAGGTATCAAATATTGACAGGGAAGCTGTGGCGTCGATTTCTTGACAGAACTCTGTTCAGTAAACATGCAGTGTAACACAAGGATTACATGGTTATTTAAAATAACACTAACAAGAAACAGTTACTGAGTTATCAGTAATCTGAGCCCAATTTTTACATTTGGACAGATAACTACTTTTCAGGCGATAATGTTTTCAAGAATGAAAAGATGACTCTTCTTTAATTTGATCATACAGTCATATTTTGGGTAAAAGGAAAAGCTTTTCTGCATTAACAAAGTACTCAAACTGACATTCAGACAATGAAATATGATTCATTTGTAGGTCGACAAAACAGAAACAACGCTGACGAAAGTAAAATTACTGTCGAAAAATAAAGATGCATGTCACATGACAACAAATAATGACAATGCAATGTTATTATCGATTCGAAGGAAATTTGATTACATTTTCTTTATCTTAAATATACTCAAGAATTAAAATGAAATAATGAAAAGGGAAAAGCGAACGATGAAACAAAATCCTTAAAATATGACTATGTCTCACAGTAACTATAAGCAAAGAATAAATAATTTTCATCTCCATACCCGTTCAAGTCCTCCTTGCTTAATCCCAGTCTCAAAGTCTCATCTTTTGACTCTATCTCTTCCTACAGCCATCTCAATCTCAGTTTAAACGCACCAGTTCAACTGACAGTACACCGGTTACATGAAAAGAGTCGTCACATCAGTTGTTGGCTTCTTTTAAAAATCCTAGTTTATCTCTTCTTTTATCTGTTTCTTCTTGTAAATCGTGATTATTTCTTATCTAGGAGCATTTTGACAGGTTAAAGTTTACAGAGACAGCCGTGGATGGCAGTCAACTTATCCCCAATCTGGCAGCAAGCGTCTCAAACAAATTCAGAGACAGGTTTCACGTTGTACAAAGGCTTAAAACAGCTGTTGAGTCCTCCTGGCCCACACCTCCCTCATCAATCCCGACAGAATGCTGTCGAGTGTCAAGTTCATCTAAAAATGTAGAATATGACTCCAGATTTCGCAAACGACTCGACATATCAAGTGCGTGCGTAAAAGTATCCCAAAATGCTCCCCCATCACCTAAACATGTCGCCAATTCAGTCGTGGAGGAGATGAAAAATATTTTGCAAGATAATCCTTTTATCAAGTGGCAATATTTTGCATCAGAAGAAGGCACGTTGGCAAATTACCCTGCATTTGAGGATACGGAAGATTGCAGATCTTATGATCCTCGTTTCAGGCCATTTTACGTGGAAACGGCCACGCCGAAGCCAAAGGATGTTGTTCTTGTTCTCGACACCAGTGGATCGATGAAAGGAAGCCGGCTTAGGATCGCTAAGGAAGCTGCTAAAACTTTTCTGAGTACAACGAATCCCAGGGACAGGGTGAGTACGAAGAAAAGTTTGTGTGTATGAGTGTAAAGCATTCTGCAATCGTTTGATAATCCTATTTCACAACGGAAATAAAAGGAAAATATGTTTTACACATTATTAGATTCCCTTCTCCTTTAACCCTAATATAATTGAGAAGCGATCTTTCACACAGCATATACTAAAGCGTTGAATAAAGGACTTAAATGAATGATCAATTGATTCGCTTAACTATCGACTGAGTTGTCAACAACTAAAACACGTTGATTTGCAAACGCTATGTTCGCATGTTAGCGAGGTAGCTGACTTAACGATTGACCCAACGACTTACCACCGCCTGACCTCAGGACTTACTCACTCACTGACTTATAGAATGCTTTGACGAAAATGTTATTTTCCCTTCTTTATCATAGATCGGAATAGTAAGCTTCAGTGATAAAGCAGCCACACCAACAGGGTACAGAGGTGATGGGCGTGACTGCCACAGCGAACGTTTAGCAGATGCCACACCAATCAATATAAAATACATGAACAGCTATGTTGATTCACTGTCTGCTGGAGGTAAAAATCAACTAGCGTTCTTTTCCATGTCATCAGCAGTCCCTGAATGTGATCGTCATGACATGTTTACTGATTATCAAAACAAAGTCGACAAAATGAGAGTTTTAAGTTTTGTAGGTACAATGTTGAGTTATGCCAAATTTAGCTTGATCTGAGTCAATTCAGTAGTCTGCAGCCTTTCTCATCCATGTGTTAAGTCAAAGACAGCTTCTAAGGCTCTTCATGAACTTATGATAACCATAATCCTGTGAGGTTTTTTTCTTTTCTTTAATTCAGGAGACACTCAATACTCCAAAGCTTTCCGCTCAGCCTTCAATCTGCTGAAAGGTTCCTCTTCTGGAGGAGAAACCTCAAGGACGAAAGTCATAATCTTTCTAACGGATGGTAAACCAACCGACGAACCAACGGAAATCATGCAAACAATACAAACAAAGAACGCAGAGCTTGATAACAAGGTGGTAATAATGACGTATGGGATGGAACAGGACTTACAAATCCTTCGAGATATTGCTAATCAAGATGGTGGACGATATGGAGTATCGCAAGCCTCTGACGTTACTGTAAGTACAACCACCGTATTCACGGCCCTGTCAATAGCGCAGGATGAAGAAAAAGGCTACCCATAAAGATCCGAACCTTAAACCTTCTAATTTGGTAATCGAGAGATTTTAGCCGTGGTGATGTTTCACTTTTACTGTCACAGGAGGGCCAACATACTTGGCCAGAGCTATGCATGCAGTCTTGATTTCCATAGCCAGTCCTTTTTACAGGAAATCCTCAGCATTCGCATTATTTATCCATCAGTTGAGAAGCTTCTAAGCTAACAGGAAATGTGAAGACATCGCATCCTGTTCAATAACAAGATAAATGAGCTTAGCTTGGGGCAAGGGATCAAAACAGTATTGATTACACGTACTCAAGAACAACTCTGTAGACATATGGGAGCTTAGTGTATCAGTTGCCCTTTGGAAGACCTCCTTAGTCATTCACAGAGGGCTGAAGTTAAACTTCTCACTACTTTCCTTTTATTATAGGTAGGGAAATTTACTTACGTGGGAAACACAGAAAATTTGCGAAGAGACTTGGCAACGTATTACGATTTCTTCTCTGAAAACTTAGTGCGCGATGCACCAATCATATCCATTCCTTACATTGATGCTTTTGGCACGGGTAAGAGTCCGGTGTAATAGTAGCAGATAAAATAACGAGTTAAAGCTGTTTTTGGTATGTTAAACTTGTACAATAATTAATGAATTTAATTTAATTTAATAATAAGTTCTTATATAGCGCATTAAAATTGAACTCTATGCGCTTTACAATTACAAATTAACAAAATTTCGATAAAAATCCTATACATGCAATTCGCTACTCTATCTAAACTAATGAATTATTACGTGTTATGCATATGTTTGACAACGTACGATATCAAATAATCTGGTGGCTTAATTTTTGAAAAGATGAGTTTTCAATAAGCGTTTAAAGGAGTCAACAGATTCGGCGTTTTTATGCATTCAGGTAGTTGGTTCCACAAATACGGTGCTGCGTAGGAGAATGCTCTTTGCCCATACGTTTTAGTTCGAATTGTTGGGACCTCAAGTAGATTCATATTTGATGAACGGAGGTTTCGTGCTGGAATATATCGACTAAGAAGTTCAACAAGATAGGTTGGAGCCATGTCATTTAGTGCTTTGTATGTTATCAACAGTATCTTGAATTGAATTCGTTTTGTGACCGGGAGCCAATGAAGTTTCCTAAGTATAGGTGTTATACTGTCTCTTGATTTGGCACCGACTAACAAGCGGGCAGCTGTGTTTTGGATCCGTTGGAATTTTTCGATGTCACAAATCGGTAGACCGTACAATAGGCTATTACAATAATCAAGTCTCGATGAGATAAAGGCGTGTATCAATCTTTCATTTTGCTGCGTCGAGAGGTATTTACGAACGCGACCAATATTTCTGATTGCTAGAGACGACGATTTACAGATGGAATTTATATGCGAGCGTAAGTTCATCACAGAATCAAGCATGACGCCTAGGTCTCGGACAGTATTAGATAAATTAATGATATCATCTCCAATATTGATATTACAGAAAGGAGGATTTTTGAGAAGCGTGAGAGGAAATGAATGATTTCTGTTTTTGAAGGGTTGCACTGCAATCTGTTTTTCTTGGCCCACTCCATGATTGCATTAACACATGATTTCAATCTTTCCATGCCTAGCATTCTGTCAGAGGAGTTTATCTTTATGTAAAGTTGCGAATCATCGGCATATATCATACAGTTTAGGCCATGTTCAGCAACAATGTCTTCTGTAGGCGAGGTATACATTAGAAAGAGTAGTGGACCAAGTACTGATCCCTGGGGTACGCCGTAGGAGATATGTCGAGGCTTAGAGATAGAGTGATTGATCTTCACTGACTGAACACGATGTTCTAGGTATGATTTGAACCATTTTAGTGCGATACCTCTAAATCCGAAACGTTTCTCCATTCTTTCAAGTAATATGTTATGGTCGATCGTGTCGAACGCAGCGGAAAGGTCTAGCAAAACAAGTACTACTTCTTCTTTTTTGATCTACAGCTCTTAGGATGTCATTTGAGACTTTTATTAAAGCAGTTTCAGTGGAGTAGTATTTGCGGTATGCTGACTGCATCGCTGGAAATAACTGGTTCTCGGCCATAAATCTGTATATTTGATTTGCGACCACCCTTTCGATTGTTTTTGAGAGAAAAGATAGATTTGCAATCGGTCTGTAATTTGAGAGACAGTTCGGGTCCAATGAAGGCTTCTTTAAAGATGGACATACCAGGGATTGTTTTAACTGATCAGGAAATTCTCCGTTAGCCATGGAGGCGTTGATAATCTTGGTTATAATTGGCGTCAAGTGTGGAATTGACTTTAAAATTCGTGTTGGAATGGGATCCAGTTGACAAGACTTAGTTGGAGATTGAACAATAAGTTTGTGAACAATATCAGCAGATACAGGTTGAAAAATTTGGAACGACGAGGTGACTGGATAATTGACGTTGATGTCGGGTGCTTGGGCAGTATGGGAGTCCAAATCCGATCTTATTTTCTCAATTTTTTTTTGATAAAAAAATCGTTGAACGTTTCGGTCAATGTATCCAATGAATCATTATTAGAGAGTGCAGCAATGTTCTTCGATAAGAATAGGCGAGATACCATCTTGAATAGTTGTGATTGGTCAGAGGAGCTGATCAGAGTCCGATAATAGTTTGTCTTTGTCGCTGTTAGAAGATCATTGTAGTGTTTGCAGGAATCAATAAATATTTCTTGGTGAATTTGAAGACCAGATGAAATATATCTTCTTTCATGACGACGTTTGTCTTGTTTAGCCTTACGAAGTTCATCAGTATACCAAGGAGAATGCGGTCGCAGAGTGACCCATCTCTCGTTCACAGGAGCATGTTGATCAAAGATAGACGAGAGATTAGTATTATATTGTGTAGTCAGCTCAGTTACACAAGACTGTGGATTAGTAATGAGATTAGATTCTTCGATGTCTTTGATCATACTAGCTAAATCGAGCCTTTTGGTGTTTCTGTGTTTAACATGTAGTGTAGAAGGTTTCGGTTTTGTACATTTCACCTTACAAGTAACCAAATTATGATCTGAAATATTGTCGGCTGATAGAATGCGAACATCCGTTATAACATTATTCTCTTCACGAGATAATATCAAGTCCAATGTGTGGCCCAGGCGATGAGTGGATCCAGATACATTTTGAATTAGATCAGTGGACTCAAGGAGATTTAGAAAGGAGGCAGCTTCAGGATTTGATAGATCATCAACATGGTAGTTAAAATCACCGGCAATTATAATGGGCTGCCTTGATAATGTAAGTTCTTCAAGAAAAGATGAGAATTCTTGCAAAAAGCTATTTCCAGTGTTGTTCTTTTTGCACAGAGGAGGGCGATAGAGAACAATTAAACGGAATGTCTCACTTTTGTTGGATATGCTCACATCTAAGTACTCAAATGAGCTTGTGTTCATGATGGAATTTTGCAGTACGGTATAACCATCTCGTATCAACAAAGCGACTCCGCCGCCCTTACGATTCCTTCTTGGTATGTGGTGGAGTTTAAAATGCGGAAGAATGTTGTTGATGTCAGTAATAACATGGTTGTCATCCTCGGTTCCTTTAAGCCAAGTCTCTGTTATGGCCAGGATGTCTAAATGGTGGGAGATGACCAAATCGCATAAATGAGTTGATTTTTAACAATCGAACGCACATTGAGGAGAGCAAAATTACTGGTGGATTTGGTTCTCGGTAGATGGCCAACGCGTGTGATAGAGATGACATTGTTGATGTTTCTTGAGTAAATTTTCTTTGATGGTCGTCGATGCGTAGAAACAATGGTTGGAATGTAATAACATTGAGAATCTTCGTTTTGAATAATTAAATCTTCCTTCGGTTGAGAAATTGCTCCAAGGTCAAATTGTGACAATAAGAAACCCATTTCAGGACCAGGGTTAGAAGCAATGGTTCTCGGTAGATGGCCAACGCGTGTGATAGAGATGATATTGTTGATGTTTCTTGAGTAAATTTTCTTTGATGGTCGTCGATGCGTAGAAACAATGGTTGGAATGTAATAACATTGAGAATCTTCGTTTTGAATAATTAAATCTTCCTTCGGTTGAGAAATTGCTCCAAAGTCAAATTGTGACGACAAGAAACCCATTTCAGGACCAGGGTTAGAAGCAACGTCACCAGCCAAAGTAAGACGAGCTTGGTTGAAGGTGGTAGTTGAGTTAGCGTAGTATTTGACTTTGGATGTGTTGTAACCTTTAGGTCGTAGACAAACAAAGCGAGGCCGATTAGTTGTTAAATAACGAGGTAGTAATACAGCAGAAATCCACTTGTTAGGATACAAACAATGATTCTTGCAAATATAATCCAAAGAGGAAATGTTTAGGCAATCCATATGTCGTTTTTCAATTGAAATAATATAAAGAACTGTGAAAAAAATAAAGAAAATCAAGCAGCGATATGAAGCACGTCCGTTACCCATAATTACCATAACCAGACATCTGGCTAAAGGCTATTATTAATTAAATGTGTAATCGTGAGGATACAAGCCGATCAAGTGGTTTGATGTGGTCGACTAGTGCCGCAAAAATGGTCTCGAGGTGATTCAGTCAGCCTTTTCTGGTTACGGTTTTTAACCTAGTTATGTATTTTTTTTAATCACTTGTTTCTTGGACTTGCTCAGCCCTGCTACCCTTTGTTCATTTCGATTCTCCTTCAGCTCAAGAAATCAAAATTCCTCTCTCAAAGCTCACTTGGTGGGAATCATTTTCTGCGAGACAAAATGAACACTAAGATCATTACAGCAAAGTCGTCCAAGACCATGCATGTGGAGGAGTGTGTGGGACTAGTTAACCATTGAACTTGTATATCTATCTCGACAGGTCTGTTAACTTCCATAACACTCCCATGCTATTACCAAGGGAAATTCATCGGTGTTGTTGGTACCGATATTAGCATGGAAGACCTTCTATCGGAAATCACATATTTTCAGAGAGGCCAATCAAGCTACGCTTTCATGGTGGACAGTTCTGGGAGGACCATGATGCACCCTCTTTTACCAGCCCCTTCAGATGCATTCGGTGACCCCATTTTCATGGATATAACAGCTTTAGAACCTGAACCCGAGTTTATCTCAGTGTTTCTATCAATCAAAAGGTAATGGACTCTTCGAAGTAATTGTTAGGGCCAAAACCCATCGTAGCTTCGCTATGAACGAGAAAGGCAGCTAAGAATAAGGAATTTGCTGTTGTTTTCATTGGGGAAAGGAAAATGGAAACTAGTTTCGATGTATTTCTTCTGAATCAATTCAAAACAACGATAAAAAAAAGAGATGTAGATAGAAATACGAGGGATGGTACGTTTTGAGCTCGGTAAAGAAATAGAGAAAGATGTTTTTTCGTCTCATCACGAGCGTGGGACAAAGAAAAAATTCTGAGTTCCTTTAGAGAAACCTTCGGATTCTGCGCTCCGATGCTCTAACCACTGAGCCACAGAGACTCTACGGTGATCGAGGTCTATTATGAAGTTCATATGACACGCGTCCTGAATACTGCTTGGATCAGCAATGTCGAAAGCGTAAAGGTTGTAGATATAACTACGAGAGAAGGTAAGTTTTGAGCTCGGTAAAGATTTTTTTCTTTGTCCCACGTTCGCGACAAGACAAAAAAACATTTTTCTCTAAAAAAAGAAATGTACAATCTCATCCGAGTCGAGGTTCTTTGAATTCGATTTCTTTTGTTTTAGAAACAAAGTTCTCATATAGTTCAGACGAAACAACCATTAACAAGTTGAACATAAAGAAATTGAATGATTTTATTTTTTTTTTCCCAAGTGGTAAATCTGGACAGAAAACATTTCCATCAAAACGTTTCCTGGCTCGTGGTGGACAAGTGGAGGAAGGAGTGACAGTTGCAACTTATCGGTCGACCTATTTCTGGGAACCAGTTCAGCACACTAATTTTACTGTTACGATTGTGGTTAAAGATGGCGATAAGGATGAAACACTGGACACTCAGACTATTCCTTCCGGTAAACCAAAACATCATTGGAAAAGATGCAAATTATCAGAGAGATATTGACCGACTTTATGTCTCCTCGATAACGACTGACCTTATAGATCCTTAAAATACAACTTCATTTTGTGATTGAATTCCCTCACGTACATGTTTGTTGTACCTTTAAATGTTGCGCGCTTTTCTACGCAGATTTTGAATTCTTATACCATCGCTTGGACTTGGTGAAGCCGGATTCGCCATGTGTTCACTTTTCAAGATATGCAGCAAAGGGTTTGTAAGCCCCCCGCCCTTCCACATCCATGAAATGTTGTCGTCGTCATTGCTATTTATGCTCAATGATTTTTAAAAGATATCGCGACACTTAACTGTTGCATCATATTATAGAGCAATATCACAACCTTTATTATTGTCACAGATTCAACTGTGGTAAAGTTTAGTGCCGAAGCCTTTACAGATCCATACAAGTACCTTGGACTGGATGAGTCAGTATCTAAAGTGAACGCTTACGAAAGATTTATGAAAAGTGCAAGAGCAATCAACCCCGGATTTAAAAGTGGCATACGTAATACAGTCATAGCTACCAAGAAGGTAGAAGATATTTGGTTTCGAGAAAAGACGGAGTACACTAAATATCTTGTTTGGAGATATGTTGGCACAGCCAATGGTGTTTTCAGAATGACACCTGGAACCTTGCTGGCCAAATCTTACGATCCGAGGAAAAGACCATGGTAAGTAGTATATGGTTGTAAAATTTACATCGGGAGTATGTTTCACATTCTTCCATCGTCTTTTAACTTTAAAAAGTGTCTTTGGAGTCAACCAAGATTTGTCTTCCATCCTCTGTGTAGACATCATTAGTTCACAAACAGAGGTGTATGATAATCCACCCGAAAGTCCCACATTCCGATCCCATTGGGCGATTAAGCTTTAGTTACCATATGATATGTCACATTATCATTTCATCTTTTGTCATTTTTTAGGTACCACACCGCTCTCAGCAATACGGGGTCAGTTGCCCTCTCCACGCCCTATATAGACGCCTTCGGTGCAGGAGTGGTGATAACTGCAGCCCACACCCTCTACCGCGGTGAGACAAACAGCCAGTATAGTACAAGTGATCAGGTTATTGGAGTCATGGGCGCAGATTTTCCCCTATCATACTTCCAAAAGTAAGCGTATCATAATTTTTAGACCGCACTTCTATTACATAGCTATGATATCTTTGTGTCTATTTTACTTTGTGAAAAACAGATCATTCCATTCGTATTCCAACCATAGATACTTAAAGTACCGAGGTGACTTCCTTTCCAGGCTAAGACCGTTTAAACCGAGGTTGTCTTATTCTAGTTTTTGCCTTAATAATAACTAAATACTTTTGTTTCAGACTCCTAACAGATACATACCCAAAGTGTGAGGAGAGCAGCTATGATTGTTTTGTTTTGGACAGAGCTGGATTCCTAATCATGCACAATGATTTCCTACAGCCAGATATAACAGCTAAAACTCTGGAGTATGTCCATATCACAGAAAAAGAGAAAGACATCTCCGAAGATCTGATACAAAAAGGTTATCTGGTGAAGAAGGAATGTCGAAATTTAGAGAAAATCGGGTTGCAGAACTTTTACGAGCTAAAGCTTCCATTTCAAGGAGTGAGTACTCTTGAGAATGGACAACGTTGCAAGAAGTATCAGCTCTTGAAAGTTGGTGGAAGTAATGCTTTTTTGGGTAAGAGAGATGGAAAGAATCTGACAGGTGTTTTACAATAAAAAATACATTCAATTTACTCTGAGGACGTCTCTTTTCTCTTTTACATCAACAGGAATCATATCAAGGGAGGGCTCGTGTTCATCCAAGACTTGCAGCTGCTCCAGTAACAAAGAATGTTCCAACGTGAAGGGATTGACTTGCGAATGCCCTTGTTCCTCACGACTTGAATTCCATTACTGTAGGAGTGAATTTCCTGCCAGCAAGTAAGCTTATCATGTTGTGAAAAGTTGATAGCACCGGGTTTCGTATGTAAGCTTACCAGCCTTATTTTCTTGCAGTATTTCCATTTGTCCCGTGCCAGCGACTGTTGTTCTCTCTGAGCGAGTAAATGATCCTTCAGTAAATGGCTTAGGGAAATGTTTCGACCCACAATGTGACAAGAAGCCTGATTCAGAGTCATGTGACGGAGTCGTGGGCTGCTATTGGTGCGTTAGAGATAAGTTCAATACTCCTCTTTCCAAGGAATACTGCGCAGATATCAATACCTGCTATGGTGGCACACAAGGTATGTCTTAAACTGTTTATTCGAAGACACTTTTTCCTGAAGTGTGCATTAACTGATATATGTACTTAATTGTTTATTCTGCAGGCACGAGAGCCCCAGGAAGCGGTAATATTCTAACCAACCCCACCAATCCAGAAGATGACGGCGATAAGGGTAGTCTCTCGGCAGGTGCCATTGTTGGTATTGTTCTGGGGCCGATCGCTGTCATTATTGTGCTTACTTTCATCTTTGTTAAATGTAACAGAAAATATTTTCCAAAACCGATTACATTCTTAGCCCCGGCTCCAGCGGTGGAACGCAACGCACTGCCGTGTATCACCCGTCCACCAGGATACCCATACAGACCTAAGTTTGGCTTTCCTGAGAATAGCGCAAGTGTAAATATACCACCACCTCCCAGTTATGATCAGATAACGCCATCTATTCCTAACGCTTCTGCACCACCCTATGGACATTACCATAAGGGTTTACATTAAGTAGAACTTGATAATACTTTCACTCTACCGGAAGTGGTTCGTAAACGAAAGGATGATCCGGTGACACTGTAGTACGTTCTCCCAGATATGTAACGGTGCGGCCTCCCCTATTTTGACACAGATCCTGCTCTTAAACTAATGTGGTGTTATAAATATTATATCATATTCTAAAATAATTTTAGCCGAGCCTTATCGCATCGAACCTGTTTGAGGCACAAGCTACTGCGATTTATAAAATAAACGCTTCGCATTTCTCTCACTGCAAGGTTAATTCTCCATATCTTGTAATTCTGGTCAGAAAAATTTCCCTTTATCAACTGCGTCCATCGAAAAAGTCATCTCCAAGAGAGGAGTCATTTACTAAGCAATATAATATCTATGCTATCTTATATTTCAAGGATATCTTGTTTCAAATATGAAAATGAGGGCTAATAACAACTCCAAGGGACTCTTATAAGTGAGGGAAAAAAGAGGGAAGTATTTTCTTTTCGTAGCATATTTTCGAAGTTCAAACGAGGCCTGTAAATACAATTAATATTTAGGATTTAAAATCCAAGCTCTCGTCGACTATTAGCATAATAAATAAACTGTGTTGGAAATAGAAAATTTGATATCACTGGGTGACCAACTTAATGTAAACAACAAATGTAACGGTAGCATTGATCGTTTACCAAGAGTAACAATGTCGCTTTCTGTAACGACACAAAGATATTATAAAAATACAATTGGTCGATTTCATTAAGTCTGTACATTCTTAACCCATGTTTCCTTAAAATGATATTTGTTGTGAATGACTTTCGCTCAATGAGGTCCCAGTTTCGTTCCCTATCCTTTCTCCCTTGGTAAGAATGAAACTAGTTCGAGTCTCCAGCCTAGAATATAATAATTACGCAAGGTGTATCCCAAAGTTACCTTACTCGAAATCAGCCAAGCTTTCTTTCTCTGTGTTCGCCAGGATCCTCTCAGTCGCCCCTTGTGATGCTTAAGTTATTGGGAAAATTATAGGGGAACTCGACCGATCAATAGATCACGTTTAAGATGACTGGAAGGGCTACAATCTTTTGGAGAGCGGCACCATATGGACGACTTACATATCACATATCACATTTAACCAAGGAGAACAACTTAACGTTACCGGAGAAGCGAAATTTACCAATCACTGAAGACTTACGACATTTGAACCTTGCAGCCAACAACATCACTGCAAACAAAGCTTGCCGGAAACGGACTCGTAGCACACCACCGACATAATTTTTACACGACTCTTCTAACGACTTGCACAGAGGTTGTCGGAACGTAAGTTTCTCCGATTAAGTCTTTCTCGGCACTACACTTACCCTGAGAACTTACTTAGTGGTTAAGCATGGTTATCGTACTCAAGTATATTAAGGCTTGGCCAGCTAATTAAATGTGCATGATAGTAGAAGATGGCATCTAGAATGGTTCGGTTTAATCTATACGCCTAAAACCTGCGCTACTAGTAGAAAATATCTTCATTAGCAAAAAAGCCATACTCAAGCTTAAATATGACCTTTCATTGAGACCTGTTTAAGAATTAGTTAAAATAATTATGTGGGATATATTTAGGACACCTTGTACGGCATCGATCACTTGAATGAATTCTACTTTACCAGCCCGCCAGCAAGTTGACCAGCGGATTTGTTGTTGAGATATATACTTTGTGTAAGTTGACATCGTGATGATGTCACGAAGCTTGGAATGATTGATTATGAAGGGAAAACAGAATGCGGAAAGATTGATTTGAGCGAGCTGGGATGCCCTCTTGACACTGCGCTCCACAACAGCTTCTTGAAAATTGCCTTGTGTGAAGAGTAGTTTAAATCCTAGGTAATTTTTCTAGAACAGTATTTTTAACGAAAAGAACGCGAAGGATTTTTCAACGAGACAGAAAGTTTTACAGAATATCCTCGAGTTCAGTGGAGTAGATCGGCTATCATTCATGCTTTCTCGTAGTTTTACTTTCATGTAATTTCCCATGCCATTACGAACGACTGCGTAAGATAACAAGGCGAATTGAACTAAGCAAATTCCGGTCGAACAACCGATTATTACGGCATTTCATCGATTCCAAAAAAAAAAATGGTTGTGATCAGGCTAAAAGTGCATTTAAACAGACAACTTTCCGCCAGAATGCAATGAATGTATCAGATCCGATAGAGTTGTTTGCGCAACCGTACCTATCTGACGTGATCGAATATGCAAATAACATAACTTCTGTGTGTTCATAATCACTGAAGCTAAATACTTCCTGAACGCACGATTAATCTAACTCTTAAATAGACAACTATTTGGATGTAGAGATGTGTACATGTGTAAACGTGATTCGACTGAAAGTAAGTAATTATTACAAATATCCAAGTACAAATATAGCAACATCAAGAGTAACGACAGAGCTAAGTGAAATGGAAACGAACTTAACATTTCTGGCGTAACCAGGTCCGGCAGTAAAACTCTTAGACAAAAGTAACACGGCAAAAACTAACGAAACGACTTACTTAGTGCAACTAGCAGTGAAAATTATCTAACGAAGACAACGTTTCTACTGGTGAGAAATAAAACACTACGGGCGTTACATAATTCTTACAAAACCTCACGCAAAAACACGAACTTCTTGAAAAGAAACATAACATACAAAAGTAGTTCAATTGAAAGAAAAACAATATAAAATAGTTTCGCAGTCAAATTACGATAAATAGAAATGCAAATTCTAGTGGCTACAATCACGAAACGGAAACATTGGGATCAGGTAACGTCATTCGTTAAGATCGAAAAAATACTAGCCAGGAAAAAGCGTGGGGGTTCAACGTTAGCAGTATCCCCTTAAAACGAGTTGAAACAAGACAAGAGGACAGTGCTGAGTACGACAGTCATCGCAAAAACATGGCTTCTTCGTCGTTCCTTCGTGGAAATGGGAATTCGGTCGCTGTAATGCTTTTTTTGATGACGTTTTGTCTGTGTTGCACAGCAGATTTACTAGATCCAAGACTTTTCAGTCAAACACTAACCAAACTAGCCACAGATGGACTTGGCGTCTCTAATTTGCAGGTAAGATCAAGATTCATAGTTTGGATAAACGTGAAGTCCTTCCAATTCCTGTGTGTATCAGAAATATTGGTGTAATATTTTGCACAAGAAAAGATCGTGTAAATGTTTACGTCCTGCAATGCTTTATTGCTCACCAACAAAATTTCGTGTCATTTCTGCTGCTAAATAATTTAACTATTTATTTTAAGAAGCGTTGATACAAATAGATCATAGTTTTCATACAGTTTCATGCTTCCCGATCCAGCTCCAATGAGCTACACATAATTTTTAGAGGTGCAACTAGAGAGGAGTACGTATACAAAAACCTACGACCGGTCACCGTTGCCACATATTTCCTTCGCTCCACTCAATAAACACTGTGCAATCATAAAGGTATCAAATATTGACAAGGAAGCTGTGGCGTCGAGTTCTTGACAGCACTCTGTTCAGTAAACTTGAAGTGTAACACAAGGATTACATGGTTATTTAAAATAACACTGACAAGAAACGGTTACTGAGTTATCAGTAATCTGAGCCCAATTTTTACATTTGGACAGATAACTAATTTTCAGGCGATATTGTTTTCAAGAATGAAAAGATGACTCTTCTTTAATTTGATCATACAGTCATATTTTGGGTAAAAGGAAAAGCTTATCTGCATTAACAAAGTACTCAAACTGACATTCAGACACTGAAATATGATTCATTTGTAGGTCGACAAAACAGAAACAATGCTGAACGAAAGTTAAATTACTGGCGAAAAATAGATGCATGTCACATGACAACAAATAATGACAATGCAATGTAATCATCGATTCGAAGGAAATTTGATTACATTTTCTTTATCTTAAATATACTCAAGAATTAAAATGAAATAATGAAAAGGGAAAAGCGAACAATGAAACAAAATCCTTAAAATATGATTATGTCTCACAGTAACTATAAGCAAAGAATAAATATTTTTCATCTCCATACCCGTTCAAGTCCTCCTTGCTTAATCCCAGTCTCAAAATCTTATCTTTTGACTCTGTCTCTTCCTCCAGCCATCTCAATCTCAGTTTAAACGCACCAGTTCAACTGAAAGTACACCGGTGACATGAAAAGAGTCGTCACGTCAGTTGTTTGCTTCTTTTACAAATCCTCGTTTACCTCTAGTTTTATCTATTTCTTCTTTTAAATCTTGATTATTTCTTATCTAGGAGCATTTTGACAGGTTAAAGTTTACAGAGACAGTCGTGGATGGCAGTCAACTTATCCCCAATCTGGCAGCAAGTGTCTCAAACAAATTCAGAGACAGGTTTCACGTTGTACAAAGGCTTAAAACAGCTGTTGAGTCCTCCTGGCCCACACCTCCCTCATCAATCCCGACAGAATGCTGTCGAGTGTCAAGTTCATCTAAAAATGTAGAATATGACTCCAGATTTCGCAAACGACTCGACATATCAAGTGCGTGCGTAAAAGTATCTCAAAATGCTCCCCCATCACCTAAACATGTCGCCAATTCAGTCGTGGAGGAGATGAAAAATATTTTGCAAGATAATCCTTTCATCAAGTGGCAATATTTTGCATCAGAAGAAGGCACGTTGGCAAATTACCCAGCATTTGAGGATACGGAAGATTGCAGATCTTATGATCCTCGTTTCAGGCCATTTTACGTGGAAACGGCCACGCCGAAGCCAAAGGATGTTGTTCTTGTTCTCGACACCAGTGGATCGATGAAAGGAAGCCGGCTAAGGATCGCTAAGGAAGCTGCTAAAACTTTTCTGAGTACAACGAATCCCAGGGACAGGGTGAGTATGAGGAAAAGTTTGTGTGTCTGAGAGTAAAGCATTCTGCAATCGTTTGATAATCCTATTTCACAACGGAAATAAAAGGAAAATATGTTTTACACATTATTAGATTCCCTTCTCCTTTAACCCTAATACAATTGAGAAGTGATCTTTCACACAGCATATACTAAAGTGCTGAATAAAGGACTTAAATGAATGATCAATTGATTCGCCTAACTATTGAATGAGTTGTCAACAACTAAAACACGGTGATTTGCCAACGCTATGTTTGCATGCTAGCTAGGTAGCTGACTTAACGATTGACCCAACGACTTACCACCGCCTGACCTCAGGAATTACTCACTCACTGACTTATAGAATGCTTGGACGAAAATATTATTTTCCCTTCTTTATCATAGATCGGAATAGTAAACTTCAGTGATAAAGCAGCCACACCAATAGGGTACAGAGGTGATGGGCGTGACTGCCACAGCGAACGTTTAGCAGATGCCACACCAATCAATATAAAATACATGGACAGCTATGTTGATTCACTATCTGCTGGAGGTAAAAATCAACTAGCGTTCTTTTCCATGTCATCAGCAGTCCCTGAATGTGATCTTCATGACATGTTTACTGATTATCAAAATGAGAGTTTTAAGTTTTATGGGTACAATGTTGAGTTATGCCAAATTTAGCTTGATCTGAGTCAATTCAGTAGTTTGCAGCCTTTCTCATCCATGTGTAAAGTCAAAGACAGCTTCTAAGGCTCTTCACGAACTTATGATAACCATAACCCTGTGGGTTTTTTTTCTTTTTTTTTTAATTCAGGAGACACTCAATACTCCAAAGCTTTCCGCTCAGCCTTCAATCTGCTGAAAGGTTCCTCTTCTGGAAGAGAAACCTCAAGGACGAAAGTCATAATCTTTCTAACGGATGGTAAACCAACCGACGAACCAACGGAAATCATGCAAACAATACAAACAGAGAACGCAGAGCTTGATAACAAGGTGGTAATAATGACGTATGGGATGGAACAGGACTTACAAATCCTTCGAGATATTGCTAATCAAGATGGTGGACGATATGGAGTATCGCAAGCCTCTGACGTTACTGTAAGTACAACCACCGTATTCACGGCTCAGTCCATGGCGCAGGATGAAGAAAAATTCAGGCTACCCATAAGGATCCGAACCTTAAACCTTCCAATTTGGTGGTCGAGAGATTTTAGCCATGGTGACGTTTCACTTTTATTGTCACAGGAGGGCCGACATACCTGGCCAGAGATATGTATGCAGTCTTGAAGGAAATCCTCAACATTCTCATTATTTATCCATCAGTTTAGAAGCTTCTAAATAACACGATAAATGAGCTTAGCTTGGGGCAAGGGATCAAAACAGTGTTGATCACTCGTACTCAAGAACAACTCTGTAGACATATGGAAGCTTAGTGTATCAGTTGCCCCTTGTAAGACCTCCTTAGTCATTCACAGAGGGCTGAAGTTAAACCTCTCACTCCTTTCCTTTTATTATAGGCAGGGAAATTTACTTACGTAGGAAACACAGAAAATTTGCGAAGAGACTTGGCAACGTATTACGATTTCTTCTCTGAAAACTTAGTGCGCGATGCACCAATCATATCCATTCCTTACATTGATGCCTTTGGCACGGGTAAGAGTCCGGTGTAATAGTAGCAGATAAAATAACGAGTTACAGCTGTTTTTGGTATGTTATACTTGTACAATAATTAATGAAAGGCTATTATTAATTAAATGTGTAATCGTGAGGATACAAGCCGATCAAGAGGTTTGATGTGGTCGACTGGTGCCGCAAAAATGGTCTCGAGGTGATTCAGTCAGCCTTTTCTGGTTACGGTTTTTAACCTAGTTATGTATTTTTTTAATCACATGTTTCTTGGACTTGCTCAGCCCTACTACCCTTTGTTCATTTCGATTCTCCTTCAGCGCAAGAAATCAAAATTCCTCTCTCGAAGCTCACTTGGTGGGAAATCATTTTCTGCGAGACAAAATGAACACTAAGATCATTACAGCAAAGTCATCCAAGACCATGCATGTAGAGGAGTGTGTGGGGCTAGTTAACCATTGAACTTGTATATCTATCTCGACAGGTCTGTTAACTTCCATAACACTCCCATGCTATTACCAAGGGAAATTCATCGGTGCTGTTGGTACCGATATTAGCATGGAAGACCTTCTATCGGAAATCACATACTTTCAGAGAGGCCAATCAAGCTACGCTTTCATGGTGGACAGTTCTGGGAGGACCATGATGCACCCTCTTTTACCAGCCCCTTCAGATGCATTCGGTGACCCCATTTTCATGGATATAACAGCTTTAGAACCTGAACCCGAGTTTACCTCAGTGTTTCTATCAATCAAAAGGTAATGGACTCTTCGAAGTAATTGCTAGGGCCAAAACCCATCGTAGCTTCGCTATGAACGAGAAACGCAGCTAAGAATAAGGAATTTGTTGTTGTTTTCATTGGGGAAAGGAAAATTGAAACTAGTTTCAATGTATTTCCTCTGAATCGATTCAAAACAACGATAAAAAGAGATGTAGATAGAAATACGAGAGATGGTAAGTTTTGAGCTCAGTAAAGAAATAGAGAAAGATGTGTTTTCGTCTTGTCACGAGCGTAGGACAAAGAAAAAGTTCTGAGTTCCTTCGGAGAGACCTTCGGATTCTGCGCTCCGATGCTCTAATCACTGAGCCACAGAGACTCTACGGTGAGCGAGGTCTATTACGAAGTTCATATGACACGCGTCCTGCATACTGCTTGGATCAGCAGTGTCGAAAGCGTTAAGTTTGTAGATAGAACTACGAGAGAAGGTAAGTTTTGAGCTCGGTAAAGAAATAGACAAAGATGTTTTTTTTCGGAATCCGCAGGTCTGAGGTTCGATTCCTCATGGTGACTCAGAATTTTTTCTTTGTCCCACGCTCGCGACGAGACGAAAAAACATTTTTCTCTAAAAAAAGAGATGTACAGGAAATCTCGTCCGAGTGGAGGTTCTTTGAATTCGATTTCTTTTGTTTTAGAAACAAAGTTCTCATATAGTTCGGACGAAACAACCATTAACAAGTTGAACATAAAGAAATTGAATGATTTTATTTTTTCTTTTCCAAGTGGTAAATCTGGACAAAAAACATTTCCATCAAAGCGTTTCCTGGCTCGTGGTGGACAAGTGGAGGAAGGAGTAACAGTTGCAACTTATCGGTCGACCTATTTCTGGGAACCAGTTCAGCACACTAATTTTACTGTTACAATTGTGGTTAAAGATGGCGATAAGGATGAAACACTGGACACTCAGACTATTCCTTCCGGTAAACCAAAGCATCATTGGAAAAGATGCAAATTATCAGAGAGATATTGACCGACTTTATGTCTCCTCGTTAACGACTGACCTTATAGATCCTTAAAATGCAACTTTATTTTTTGATTGAATTCCTTCACGTACATGTTTGTTGTACCTTTAAATGTTGCGCGCTTTTCTACGCAGATTTTGAATTCTTATATCATCGCTTGGACTTGGTGAAGCCCGATTCGCCATGCGTTCACTTTTCAAGATATGCAGCAAAAGGTTTGTAAGCCCCCCGCCCTTCCCCACCCATGAAATGTTATCGTCGTCATTGCTATTTATGCTCAATGATTTTTAAAAGATATCGCGACACTTAACTGTTGCATCATATTATAGAGCAATATCACAACCCTTATTATTGTCACAGATTCAACTGTGGTAAAGTTTAGTGCAGAAGCCTTTACAGATCCATACAAGTACCTTGGACTGGATGAGTCAGTATCTAAAGTGAACGCTTACGAAAGGTTTATGAAAAGTGCAAGAGCAATCAACCCCGGATTTAACAGTGGCATACGTAATACAGTCATAGTGACCAAGAAGGTGGAAGATATTTGGTTTCGAGAAAAGACGGAGTACACTAAATATCTTGTTTGGAGATATGTTGGCACAGCCAATGGTGTTTTCAGAATGACACCTGGAACTTTACTGGCCAAATCTTACGATCCGAGGAAAAGACCATGGTAAGTAGTATATGCTTGTAAAATTTACATTGGGAGTATGTTTCCCATTCTTCCATCGTCTTTTAACTTTAAAAAGTGTCTTTGGAGTCAACCAAGCTTTGTCTTCCATCCTCTGTGTAGATATCATTAGTTCACAAACAGAAATGTATGATACTCCACCCGAAAGTCCCACATTCCGATCCCATAGGGCGATTAAGCTTTAGTTACCATATGATATGTCACATTATCATTTCATCTTTTGTCATTTTTTAGGTATCACACCGCTCTCAGCAATACGGGATCAGTTGCCCTCTCCACACCCTATATAGACGCCTTCGGTGCAGGAGTGGTGATAACTGCAGCCCACACCCTCTACCGCGGTGAGACAAACAGCCAGCATAGTACAAGTGATCAGGTTATTGGAGTCATGGGCGCAGATTTTCCCCTTTCATACTTCCAAAAGTAAGTGTATCATATTTTTTAAACCGCACTTCTATTACACAGCTATGATATCTTTGTGTCTATTTTACTCTGTGAAAAACAGATCATTCCATTCGTATTCCAACCATAGATACTTAAAGTACCGAGGTGACTTCCTTTCCAGGCTAAGACCGTTTAAACCGAGGTTGTCTTGTTCTAGTTTTTACCTTCATAATAACTAAATACTTTTGTTTCAGACTCCTAACAGATACATACCCAAAGTGTGAGGAGAGCAGCTATGATTGTTTTGTTTTGGACAGAGCTGGATTCCTAATCATGCACAATGATTTCCTACAGCCAGATATAACAGCTAAAACTCTGGAGTATGTCCACATCACAGAAAAAGAGAAAGACATCTCCGAAGATCTGATACAAAAAGGTTATCTGGTGAAGAAGGAATGTCGAAATTTGGGGAAAATCGGCTTGCAGAGCTTTTACGAGCTAAAGCTTCCATTTCAAGGAGTGAGTACTCTTGAGAATGGACAACGTTGCAAGAAGTATCAGCTCTTGAAAGTTGGTGGAAGTAATGCCTTTTTGGGTAAGAGAGATGGGAAAAATCTGACAGGTGTGTTACAATAAAAAATATATTTAATTTACGCTGGACACGTTTCTTTTCTCTTTTACATCAACAGGAATCATATCAAGGGAGGGCTCGTGCTCATCCAAGACTTGCAGCTGCTCCAGTAACAAAGAATGTTCCAACGTGAAGGGATTGACTTGCGAATGCCCTTGTTCCTCACGACTTGAATTCCATTACTGCAGGAGTGAATTTCCAGCCAGCAAGTAAGCTTATCATGATGTGAAAAGTTGCTAGCCCCGGTCGTATGTAAGCTGAACAGCTTTATTTTCTTGCAGTAATTCCATTTGTCCCGTGCCAGCGACTGTTGTTCTCTCTGAGCGAGTAAATGATCCTTCAGTAAATGGCTTAGGGAAATGTTTCGACCCACAATGTGACAAGAAGCCTGATTCAGAGTCATGTGACGGAGTCGTGGGCTGCTATTGGTGCGTTAGAGATAAGTTCAATACTCCTCTTTCCAAGAAATACTGCGCAGATATCAATACCTGCTACGGTGGCACACAAGGTAGATCTTAAACTGTTTATTCGAAGACACTTTTTCCTCAAGTGTGCATCAACTGATATATGTACTTAATTGTTTTTATTCTATAGGCACGAGAGCCCCAGGAAGCGGTAATATTCCAACCAACCCCACCAAACCAGAAGATGGCGACGATAAGGGTGGTCTCTCGGCAGGTGCCATTGTTGGTATTGTTCTGGGGTTGATCGCTGTCATTATTGTTATTATTATTATTACTTTCATCTTTGTTAAAAACAGAGAACGTTTTTCAAGACCGATCACATTCTTCGCCCCAGCTCCAGCGGTGGAACGCAACGCACTGCCGTGTATCACCCGTCCACCAGGATACCCATACAGACCTAAGTTTGGTTTTCCTGAGAATAGCGCAAGTGTAAATATACCACCACCTCCCAGTTATGATCAGATAACGCCATCTTTTTCTAATGCTTCTGCACCACCCTATGGACATTACCATAAGGGTTTACATTAAGTAGAACTTGATAATACTTTCACTCTACCGGAAGTGGTCCGTAAACGAAAGGATGATCCGGTTACACTGTAATACGTTCTCCCAGATATGTAACGGTGCGGCCTCCCCTATTTTTACACAGATCCTGCTCTTAAACTAATGTGGTGTTATAAATATTATATCATATGCTTAAATAATTTTAGCAGAGCCTTATCGCATCGAACCTGTTTGAGGCACAAGCTAATACGATTTATAAAATAAACGCTTCGCATTTCTCTCACTGCAAGGTTAATTCTCCATATCTTGTAATTCTGGTCAGAAAAATTTCCCTTTATCAACAGCGTCCATCGACAAAGTCATCTCCAAGAGAGGAGTCATTTACTAAGCAATATAATATCTATGCTATCTCATATGTCAAGGATATCTTGTTTCAAGTATGAAAATGAGAGCTAAAAACAACTCCAAGGGACTCTTATAGGTGAGGGAAAAAGAGGGAAGTATTTTCTTTTCGTAGCATATTTTCGAAGTTCAAACGAGGCCTGTAAATACAATTAATATTTAGGATTTAAAATCCAAGCTCTCGTCGACTATTAGCATAATAAATAAACTGTGTTGGAAATAGAAAATTTGATATCACTGGGTGACCAACTTAATGTAAACAACAAATGTAACGGTAGCATTGATCGTTTACCAAGAGTAACAATGTCGCTTTCTGTAACGACACAAAGACATTATAAAAATACAATTGGTCGATTTTATTAAGTCTGTACATTCTTATCCCATGTTTCCTTAAAATGATATTTGTTGTGAATGACTTTCGCTCAATGAGGTCCCAGTTTAGTTCCCTATCCTTTTTCCCTTGGTAAGAATGAAACTAGTTCGAGTCTCCAGCCTAGAATATAATAGTTACGCAAGGTGCATCCCAAAGTTACCTTACTCGAAATCAGCCAAGCTTTCTTTCTCTGCGTTCGCCAGGATCCTCTCAGTCGCCCCTTGTGATGCTTAAGTTATTGGGAAAATTATAGGGGAACTCGACCGATCGATAGATCACGTTTAAGATGACTGGAAGGGCTACAATCTTTTGGAGAGCGGCACCATATGGACGACTTACATATCACATATCACATTTAACCAAGGAGAACAACTTAACGTTACCGGAAGCGAAATTTACCAATCACTGAAGACTTACGACATTTGAACCTTGCAGCCAACAACATCACTGCAAACAAAGCTTGCCGGAAACGGACTCGTAGCACACCACCGACATAATTTTTACACGACTCTTCTAACGACTTGCACAGAGGTTGTCGGAACGTGAGTTTCTCCGATTAAGTCTTTCTCGGCACTACACTTACCCTGAGAACTTACTTAGTGGTTAAGCATGGTTATCGTACTCAAGGCCAGCCAATTAAATGTGCATGATAGTAGAAGATGCCATCTAGAATGGTTCGGTTTAATCTATACGCCTAAAACCTGCGCTACTAGTACAAAATATCTTCATTAGCAAAAAAGCCATACTCAAGCTTAAATATGACCTTTCATTGAGACCTGTTAAGAATTAGTTAAAATAATTATGTGGGATATATTTAGGACACCTTGTACGGCCTCGATCACTTGAATGAATTCTACTTTACCAGCCCGCCAGCAAGTTGACCAGCGGATTTGTTGTTGAGATATATACTTTGTGTAAGTTGACATCGTGAGGATGTCACGAAGTTTGGAATGATTGATTATGAAGGGAAAACAGAATGCGGAAAGATTAATTTGAGCGAGCTGGGATGCCGTCTTGACACTGCGCTCCACAACAGCTTCTTGAAAATTGCCTTGTCTGAAGAGTAGTTTAAATCCTAGGTAATTTTTCTAGAACAGTATTTTTAACGAAACGAACGCGAAGGATTTTTCAACGAGACAGAAAGTTTTACGGAATTTCCTCGAGTTCAGTGGAGTAGATCGGCTATCATTCATGCATTCTCGTAGTTTTACTTTCATGTAATTTCCCATGCCATTACGAACGACTGCGTAAGATGACAAGGCGAACTGAAGTAAACAAATTCCGGTCGAACCACCGATTCTTACGGCATTTTATCGATTCCAAAAAAAAAATGGTTGTGATCAGGCTAAAAGTGCATTTAAACAGACAACTTTCCGCCAGAATGCAATGAATGTATCAGATCCGGTAGAGCTGTTTGCGCAACCTATCTGACGTGATCGAATATGTAATAACATAACTTCTGTGTGTTCATAATCACTGTAGCTAAATACTTCCTGAATGCACGATTAATCTAAATCTTAGATAGACAACTATTTGGATGTAGAGATGTGTACATGTGTAAACGTGATTCGACTGAAAGTAAGTAATTAGTACAAATATCCAAGTACAAATACAGCAACATCAAGAGTAACGACAGAGCCACGTGAAATAGAAACAAACTTAACATTTCTGGCGTAACCAGGTCCGGCAGTAAAACTCTTAGACAAAAGTAACACGGCAAAAACTAACGAAACGACTTACTTAGTGCAACTAGCAGTGAAAATTATCTAACGAAAACAACGTTTCTACTGGTGAGAAATAAAATGCTACGGGCGTTACATAATTCTTACAAAACCTCACGCAAAAATGCGAACTTCTTGAAAAGAAACATAACATACAACGGTAGTTCAATTGAAAGAAAAACAATATAAAAAAATTTCGCAGTTAAATGACTTTAATACTAGCCAGGAAAAAGCGTGGGGGTTCAACATAAGCAGTATCCCCTTAAAACGAGTTGAAACACGACAAGAGGACAGTGCTGAGTACGACTGTCATCGCAAAAACATGGCGTCTTCGTCGTTCCTTCGTGGAGATGGGAATTCGGTCGCTGTAATGCTTTTTTTGATGACGTTTTGTCCGTGTTGCACAGCAGATTTACTAGATCCAAGACTTTTCAGTCAAACACTAACCAAACTAGCCACAGATGGACTTGGCGTCTCTGATTTGCAGGTAAGATCAAGATTCATAGTTTGGATAAACGTGAAGTCCTTCCAATTCCTGTGTGTATCAGAAATGTTGGTGTAATATTTTGCGCAAGAAAAGATCGTGTAAATGTTTACGTCCTGCAATGCTTTATTGCTCACCAACAAAATTTCGTGTCATTTCTGCTGCTAAATAATTTAACTATTTATTTTAAGAAGTGTTGATACAAATAGATCATAGTTTTCATACAGTTTCATGCTTCCCGATCCAGCTCCAATGAGCTACACATGAGGAGTACGTATACAAAAACCTACGACCGGTCACCGTTGCCACAAATTTCCTTCGCTCCACTCAATAAACTCTGTGCAATCATAAAGGTATCAAACATTGACAGGGAAGCTGTGGCGTCGATTTCTTGACAGCACTCTGTTCAGTAAACTTGAAGTGTAACACAAGGATTACATGGTTATTTAATATTTTACTGAGTTATCAGTAATCTGAGCCCAATTTTTACATTTGGACAGATAACTAATTTTCAGGCGATATTGTTTTCAAGAATGAAAAGATGACTCTTCTTTAATTTGATCATACAGTCATATTTTGGGTAAAAGGAAAAGCTTTTCTGCATTAACAAAGTACTCAAACTGACATTCAGACAATGAAATATGATTCATTTGTAGGTCGACAAAACAGAAACAATGCTGAACGAAAGTAAAATTACTGTCGAAAAATAAAGATGCATGTCACATGACAACAAATAATGACAATGCAATGTAATCATCGATTCGAAGGAAATTCGATTACATTTTCTTTATCTTAAATATACTCAAGAATTAAAATGAAATAATGAAAAGGGAAAAGCGAACGATGAAACAAAATCCTTAAAATATGTTTATGTCTCACAGTAACTATAAGCAAAGAATAAATAATTTTCATCTCCATACCCGTTCAAGTCCTCCTTGCTTAATCCCAGTCTCAAAGTCTTATCTTTTGACTCTATCTCTTCCTCCAGCCATCTTAATCTCAGTTTAAACGCACCAGTTCAACTGACAGTACACCGGTTACATGAAAAGAGTCGTCACATCAGTTGTTGGCTTCTTTTAAAAATCCTAGTTTATCTCTTCTTTTATCTATTTCTTCTTGTAAATCGTGATTATTTCTTATCTAGGAGCATTTTGACAGGTTAAAGTTTACAGAGACAGCCGTGGATGGCAGTCAACTTATCCCCAATCTGGCAGCAAGTGTCTCAAACAAATTCAGAGACAGGTTTCACGTTGTACAAAGGCTTAAAACAGCTGTTGAGTCCTCCTGGCCCACACCTCCCTCATCAATCCCGACAGAATGCTGTCGAGTGTCAAGTTCATCTAAAAATGTAGAATATGACTTCAGATTTCGCAAACGACTCGACATATCAAGTGCGTGCGTAAAAGTATCCCAAAATGCTCCACCATCACCTAAACATGTCGCCAATTCAGTCGTGGAGGAGATGAAAAACATTTTGAAAGATAATCCTTTCATCAAGTGGCAATATTTTGCATCCGAAGAAGGCACGTTGGCTAATTACCCAGCATTTGAGGATACGGAAGATTGCAGATCTTATGATCCTCGTTTCAGGCCATTTTACGTGGAAACGGCCACGCCGAAGCCAAAGGATGTTGTTCTTGTTCTCGACACCAGTGGATCGATGAAAGGAAGCCGGCTAAGGATCGCTAAGCTGCTAAAACTTTTCTGAGTACAACGAATCCCAGGGACAGGGTGAGTATGAGGAAAAGTTTGTGTGTATGAGAGTAAAGCATTCTGCAATCGTTTGATAATCCTATTTCTCAACGGAAATAAAAGGAAAATATGTTTTACACATTATTAGATTCCCTTCCCCTTTAACCCTAATACAATTGAGAAGTGATCTTTCACACAGCATATACTAAAGTGCTGAATAAAGGACTTAAATGAATGATCAATTGATTCACCTAACTATCGAATGAGTTGTCAACAACTAGAACACGGTAATTGCCAACGCTATGTTTGCATGCTAGCTAGGTAGCTGACTTAACGATTGACACAACGACTTACCACCGCCTGACCTCAGGAATTACTCACGCACTGACTTATAGAATGCTTTGACGAAAATATTATTTTCCCTTCTTTATCATAGATCGGAATAGTAAGCTTCACTGATAAAGCAGCCACACCAACAGGGTACAGAGGTGATGGGCGTGACTGCCACAGCGAACGTTTAGCAGATGCCACACCAATCAATATAAAATACATGGACAGCTATGTTGATTCACTGTCTGCTGGAAGTAAAAATCAACTAGCGTTCTTTTCCATGTCATCAGCAGTCCCTGAATGTGATCTTCATGACATGTTCACTGATTACCAAAGCAAAGTCGACAAAATGAGAGTTTTAAGTTTTGTAGGTACAATGTTGAGTTATGCCAAATTTAGCTTGATCTGAGACAATTCAGTAGTTTGCAGCCTTTCTCATCCATGTGTTAAGTCAAAGACAGCTTCTAAGGCTCTTCATGAACTTATGATAACCAAAATCCTGTGGGGTTTTTTTCTTTTTTTCAATTCAGGAGACACTCAATACTCCAAAGCTTTCCGCTCAGCCTTCAATCTGTTGAAAGGTTCCTCTTCTGGAAGAGAAACCTCAAGGACGAAAGTCATAATCTTTCTAACGGATGGTAAACCAACCGACGAACCAACGGAAATCATGCAAACAATACAAACAAAGAACGCAGAGCTTGATAACAAGGTGGTAATAATGACGTATGGGATGGAACAGGACTTACAAATCCTTCGAGATATTGCTAATCAAGATGGTGGACGATATGGAGTATCGCAAACCTCAGACGTTACTGTAAGTACAACCACCGTATTCACGGCCCTGTCAATAGCGCAGGATGAAAAAAAATCCAGGCTACCCATAAAGATCCGAACCTTACACCTTCCAATTTGGTAATCGAGAGTTTTTAGCCGTGGTGACGTTTCACTTTTACTGTCACAGGAGAGCCGACGTACCTGGCCAGAGCTATGCATGCAGTCTTGATTTCCATAGCCAGTCCTTTTACAGGAAATCCTCAGCATTCTCATTATTTATCCATCAGTTTAGAAGCTTCTAAGCTAACAGGAAATGTGAAGACATCGCATCCTGTTCAATAACAAGATAAATGAGCTTAGCTTGGGGCAAGGGATCAAAACAGTATTGATTACTCGTACTTAAGAACAACTCTGTAGACATATGGAAGCTTAGTGTATCAGTTGCCCTTTGGAAGACCTCCTTAGTCATTCACAGAGGGCTGAATTTAAACTTCTCACTACTTTCCTTTAATTATAGGCAGGGAAATTTACTTACGTGGGAAACACAGAAAATTTGCGAAGAGACTTTGCAACGTATTACGATTTCTTCTCTGAAAACTTAGTGCGCGATGCACCAATCATATCCATTCCTTACATTGATGCTTTTGGCACGGGTAAGAGTCCGGTGTAATAGTAGCAGATAAAATAACGAGTTACAGCTGTTTTTGGTATGTTATACTTGTACAATAATCAATGAAGGGCTATTACAATAATTAATTAAATGTGTAATCATGAGGATACAAGCCGATCAAGAGGTTTGATGTGGTCGACTGGTGCCGCAAAAATGGTCTCGAGGTGATTCAGTCAGCCTTTTCTGGTTACGGTTTTTAACCTAGTTATGTATTTTTTTTAAACACTTGTTTCTTGGACTTGCTCAGCCCTGCTACCCTTTGTTCATTTGGATTCTCCTTCAGCGAAAGAGATCAAAATTCCTCTCTCGAAGCTCACTTGGTGGGAAATCATTTTCTGCGAGACAAAATGAACACTAAGATCATTACAGCAAAGTCGTCCAAGACCATGCATGTAAAGGAGTGTACAGGGCTAGTTAACCATTGAACGTATATCTATCTCGACAGGTCTGTTAACTTCCATAACACTCCCATGCTATTACCAAGGGAAATTCATCGGTGTTGTTGGTACCGATATTAGCATGGAAGACCTTCTATCGGAAATCACATACTTTCAGAGAGGCCAATCAAGCTACGCTTTCATGGTGGACAGTTCTGGGAGGACCATGATGCACCCTCTTTTACCAGCCCCTTCAGATGCATTCGGTGACCCCATTTTCATGGATATAACAGCTTTAGAACCTGAACCCGAGTTTACCTCAGTATTTCTATCCATCAAAAGGTAATGGGCTCTTCGAAGTAATTGCGAGGGCCAAAACCCATCGTAGCTTCGCTATGAATGAGAAATGCAGCTAAGAATAAAGAATTTGTTGTTGTTTTTATTGGGGAAAGGAAAATTGAAACTAGTTTCGATTTATTTCCTCTGAATCGATGCAAAACAACGATAAAAAAAGAGATGAAGATAGAAATACGAGAGATACAAGTGGTAAATCCGGACAGAAAACATTTCCATCAAAGCGTTTCCTGGCTCGTGGTGGACAAGCGGAGGAAGGAGTGACAGTTGCAACTTATCGATCAACCTATTTCTGGGAACCAGTTCAGCACACTAACTTTACTGTTACGATTGTGGTTAAAGATGGCGATAAGGATGAAACACTGGACACTCAGACTATTCCTTCCGGTAAACCAAAGCATCAATAGAAAAGATGCAAATTATCAGAAAGATATTGACTGACTTTACGTTTCCACGTTAACGACTGACCTTATAGATCCTTAAAATGCAACCTTATTTTTTGATTGAATTCCTTCACGTACATGTTTGTTGTACCTTTAAACATTGTGCGCTTTTCTACGCAGATTTTGAATTTTTATACCATCGCTTGGACTTGGTGAAGCCGGATTCGCCATGCGTTCACTTTTCAAGATATTCATCAAAAGGTTTGTAAGCCCCCCGCCCTTCCACATCCATGAAATGTTATTGCTATTTATGTTCAATGATTCTTAAAAGATTTCGCGACTCTTAACTGTTGCATCATATTATAGAGCAATATCACAACCCTTATTATTGTCACAGATTCAACAGTGGTAAAGTTTAGTGCAGAAGCCTTCACAGATCCATACAAATACCTTGGACTGGATGAGTCAGTATCTTAAGTGAACGCTTACGAAAGATTTATGAAAAGTGCAATAGCAATCAACCCCGGATTTAAAAGTGGCATACGTAATACAGTCTTAGCTACCAAGAAGGTAGAAGATATTTGGTTTCGAAAAAAATCGGAGTACACTAAATATCTTGTTTGGAGATATGTTGGCACAGCCAATGGTGTTTTCAGAATGACACCTGGAACTTTGCTGGCCAAATCTTACGATCCGAGGAAAAGACCATGGTTAGTAGTTTAAGGTTATAAAATTTACATTGGGAGTATGTTTCACATTCTTCCATCATCTTTTAACTTTAAAAAGTGTCTTTGGAGTCAACCAAGCTTTGTCTTCCACCCTCTGTGTAGACATCATTCGTTCACAAACACAAAAGTATGATAATCCACCCGAACGTCCCACATACCTATGCTATTGGGCGATAAAGCTTTAATTACCATATGATATATCACATTATCATTTCACCTTTGTCATTTTTTAGGTACCACACCGCTCTCAGCAATACGGGGTCAGTTGCCCTGTCCACGCCCTATATAGACGCCTTCGGTGCGGGAGTGGTGATAACTGCAGCCCACACCCTCTACCGCGGTGAGACAAACAGTCAGCATAGTACAAATGATCAGGTTATTGGAGTCATGGGCGCAGATTTCCCCCTATCATACTTTCAAAAGTAAGCATATCATATTTTGTAGACCGCACTTCCAATACATAGCTACCATATCTTTGTGTCTATTTCACTCTGTGCAAAACAGATCATTCTTTTCTTATTCTAACCATAGATACTTAAAGTACCGAGGTGACTTCCTTTCCAGGCTAAATACGTTTAAACCGAGGTTGTCTTGTTCTAGTTTTTGCCTTAGTAATAACTAAATACTTTTGTTTCAGACTTCTGACAGATACATACCCAAAGTGTGAGGAGAGCAGCTATGATTGTTTTGTTTTGGACAGTGCTGGATTCCTAATCATGCACAATGATTTCCTACAGCCAGATATAACGACAAAAACTCTGGAGTATGTCCACATCACAGAAAAAGAGAAAGACATCTCCGAAGATCTGATACAAAAAGGTTATCTGGTAAAGAAGGAATGTCGAAATTTGGAGAAAATCGGCTTGCAGAGCTTTTACGAGCTAAAGCTTCCATTTCAAGGAGTGAGTACTCTTGAGAATGGACAACGTTGCAAGAAGTATCAGCTCTTGAAAGTTGGTGGAAGTAATGCCTTTTTGGGTAAGAGAGATGGGAAAAATCTGACAGGTGTTTTACAATAAAAAATATATTTAATTTACGCTGGGAACGTTTCTTTTCTCTTTTGCATCAACAGGAATCATATCAAGGGAGAGCTCGTGTTCATCCAAGACTTGCAGCTGCTCCACTAACAAAGAATGTTCCAACGTGAAGGGATTGACTTGCGAATGCCCTTGTTCCTCACGCCTTGAATTTCATTACTGTAGGAGTGAATTTCCAGCCAGCAAGTAAGCTTATCATAATGTGAAAAGTTGATAGCACCGGGTTTCGTATGTAAGCTGAACAGCTTTATTTTCTTGCAGTATTTCCATTTGTCCCGTGCCAGCGACTGTTGTTCTCTCTGAGCGAGTAAATGATCCTTCAGTAAATGGCTTAGGGAAATGTTTCGACCCACAATGTGACAAGAAGCCTGATTCAGAGTCATGTGACGGAGTCGTGGGCTGCTATTGGTGCGTTAGAGATAAGTTCAATACTCCTCTTTCCAAGAAATACTGCGCAGATATCAATACCTGCTATGGTGGCAGACAAGGTAGATCTTAAACTCTTTATTCGAAGACACTTTTTTCTGAAATGTGCATCAAATAATTTACGTACTTAATTGTTCGCTCTGCAGGCACGATAGCCCCAGGAAGCGGTAATATTCCAACCAACCCCACCAAACCAGAAGATGACGACGACGAGGGTGGTCTCTCGGCAGGTGCCATCGTTGGTATTGTTCTGGGGTCGATCGCTGCCATTATTGTGCTTACTTTCATCTTTGTTAAATGTAAAAGAGAACATTTTTCAAAATGCAACGCACCGCCGCCCATCACCCGTCCACCATACCCACCTAAGTTTGGTGTTCCTGTGCATAGCGCAAGTGTAAATATACCACCACCTCCCAGTTATGATCAGATGATGTCATCTTTTCCTACCGCTTCTGCACCGCCCTATGAACATTATCATAAGGGTTTACATTAAGTAGAACTTGATAATAATTTCACTCTACCGGAAGTGGTTCGTAAACGAAAGGATGATCCGGTGACACTGTAATACTCCCCTATTTTTACACAGATCCTACTCTTAATCTAATAAGGTGTTATAAATATTATATCATATGCTTAAATAATTTTAGCCGAGCCTTATCGCATCGAACCTGTTTGAGGCACAAGCTACTACGATTTATAAAATAAACGCTTCGCATTTCTCTCACTGCAAGGTTAATTCTCCATATTTTGTAATTCTGGTCAGAAAAATTTCACTTTATCAACAGCGTCCATCGACAAAGTCATCTCCAAGGGAGGAGTCATTTACTAATCAATATAATATCTATGCTATCTCATATGTCAAGGATATCTTGTTTCAAATATGAAAATGAGAGCTAAAAACAACTCCAAGGGACTCTTATAGGTGAGGGAAAAAGAGGGAAGTATTTTCTTTTCGTAGCATATTTTCGAAGTTCAAACGAGGCCTGTAAATACAATCAATATTTAGGATTTAAAATCCAAGCTCTCGTCGACTATTAGCATAATAAATAAACTGTGTTGGAAATAGAAAATTTAATATCACTAGGTGACCAACTTAATGTAAACAACAGATGTAACGGTAGCATGGATCGAAAACCAAGAGTAACAATGTCGCTTACTGTAAAGACACAAAGATAAGATAAAAATGCAATTGGTCGGTTCTGTTTAGTCTGTACATTCCTAACCCATGTTTCCTTAAATGATATTTGTTGTGAACGACTTTCATTCCTTAAGGTCTAACTTTAGTTCCATATCCTGTCTCGTTTGGAAAAAATAAAACCAGTTCGAGTTTTCAGCCTAGAATATAGCAGTTACACAAGGTGTATCCAAAAAAGATGGCTAACTCGAAATAAGCCGAGCTTTCTTTCTCTATGTTCGCCAGGAACGTTCCTCCCAATCGCCCCATGTGATGCTCAAATTAACGGGAAAATAATAAGGGAACTCGATCGATCGATAGATCACGTTTTAGAAGAGCCACAATCATTCAGAGAGCGACGCCTTACAGACGACTTACTAATGTTTGACCAAAGAGAACGACTTAACTGTATCGGAGAAGCGAAATTTACCAACCTCTAAAGACTTACGACATTTGAGTCTTGCAGTCAGTAACATCACTGCAAACAAAGCATGTTGGAAACGGACTTATAGCACTCGACTGTCATAATCAGGAGAGATTTATTACGCAGTCTTTGTAGCATACAAGTCTCAAAAAACTCTGGGATTAAGGTTTGCAAATTTACTCCGTTTGAGGAAACGTGTTTTGTGATGTCACTGAAAAAGTAATATCATATGACATTTGAAATCACGAGGAACCTGTTTTTTCTATGGAGAAAAATTTATAAATCAGTTTGATTTATCGTTGCGAGCATCAAAACAATCAAAATAGCATTTACAAATTATGCACATTTAATTAGGTAGCCAAGCCTTAATACGCTTGAGTAAGTTAGCGCAGTGCCTCAATTGTCGGACAGGCTCAGAATGAAAAGAAACCAAAGAGATGGGTTAAGATTCTGCGCTACAATAGATAAGCTCACGGTTACGTTTGTTGTACATTCAACCTCGGTTTTCAGTGAATCTGATCACCCGTACGAGAGGAGTTTTTCCGTTTCGCTCCTGTATGAGGGTTTTGTTAGAGAATACCATTACACTAATTTCCTGCTGCGGTTTCAAAACGCCTTAAGAGTGTTCAAAATAGTCGCGCAATTAACATGCCTTTCATAATGCTTCCATTCAGATGCAAATTGCTAACGCATAAATAGTTTCGCAGAATTATTTGCCGAACATTAAAAATGAACTTCCGTACATGAGGAAGGGATCTCAAAATGGTTTCTGTCCACAGCGCTCGCGGTCTAATTAGACGTCAAATCGTGCTGATATTCCTTACGTTCTTGTCGTTCTCATCCAGAGCTTATGCAAGTCTTTTAATCGAACCCTCTTTCATAGGACAAAAGCTACAAACCTTTGCGAAGGAGGGCCTCGGTGTTGACAAGATGCAGGTACGTGTAACAAAACGTAACTTCGCCGTTGTTAAATCAACGAGTTACGAAAGTGAATACTGATTAATGCAAAAAAAAAAAACTACTTTCATAATAGATGAAACGGAAAACAGTACGGGATAACAAGAATATCGAGTGAAGCAATATCAGTCAGTGAAAAACCTTTAACCGAGCTGAATTTGGTGAAGCTCTTGTGAGGCTCTGCGTCGAGGAAATGATTCATCTCAAATCCCTTTTTCTTTCGTATCTTACAACCACGAAGTCGTCATGATTTAAAATATTATGCTCGCAAAGCTAGTAAAACTTGACTCGTGCAGATTGTGTGGTAGCCCGTTCATACAGTTCATATTTGTTTATCAATCCGACAGTAAAACAAAGTGAAAAAATACCCAAACGCCAATTTTTCTGTAAAAATAATCACACCGAAAGACCTAATTATGCTAAGTTATGAGATATAGTTAGGAACATCAAGATTTCAGATTGAAACCAGGTCACGAGATCTACAAACGTGCTGTTGATTAAAGCTGCAGTTGATTGATTTCTTCCTGTTAACTGTTTGCATTCAATCGATGTTTAGAATCGATCTAACACTAAAACTTATCCAACTAAGTACATGGTGCTTTCAGTAAAAGAAATCCACTCAATTTTATGTCTTCAAAGCGAAAGTAAAAAGGCCACATAAAGTTGTGAGTAGTTGTCCACGTTTCATAGTATATTTATCACATTTAAGAGCACCCCGCAGGCAGAATTAATTCTACTCACAATTTAACATAACTTTGAAGATAAATTGATTACCGAGCTCTAACAAATATCTAACTCTGAGAATCAGCTACCTTTTGTGAACGAGTTGACTTTCGAAGCCGAAAACTGATAATATTTACTCTTTCGAAATTATCATGTCATCCTTTTAATATGTTTCGTAAGCTCATCGGAAATTAAGGACTTAGCAAAGTGTTTGTTTGGCTCATTATGAATACGCTTCTTCATAGCTGTCTGATGTTAACGACTTTTTAATTCTATGGGCTAGCAAAACAGAGAGTGATAACGCTTTAAAATGTTGACGACTTAAAAGATATGTTGCTCGCGCTTTGCAGAGATTATTCTTGCATTACCGATGTTAAGAAAAAGCAAATTCGAAATCGCCTGAGAAAGCGCCTCAACCGGTGCTCCAAACTGGAAATTATGTATCGCTGGGTAGATTTATTTCCATTCGTCATTTAATTAATTAATACGCAAGTAGACCTTAACGCCATTTCAATTCATTGATGAATCGCTGAATTAATTCTATAGTCACTGCACTCTTGCATTAATTTTGTTCCATTATTGCCAAATTCGCAATTATACAGCCAGATGTCAACATCAAATCGTCACGAAATAGCAAATAGCGTGATGAGTTTAATTCACAACCGCAACGAGCGACGATTAGATGCAAAAAAAAAAAAAAAAAACATCTTACCACCAGGATGTTTGTGCAGGTAGTGTATTGTGAATACTCTCATTAAGATGGCAATGCATTTAGGGAAATATGCAAAGCTCTAAGTGCACTTAAACATGACCGAGCTCGAAGAATGACGGAGGTTGAAATGAAAGCCATGCCACAAAATGTTCCTTGCATCCTCTTGAAGCGAATGAGAAAATACGACTTCGGCAATAGTGTTAAGGACACTAGCCAGAAGGCTCATTTTTAATGAATTAGTTATTGATGAGTTTAATTATTTCTATTATCCTGGATACGAGCCTAGCTACAATGTTTATCCGTTTGTTTATGTTTCTATTTGTTTATGTAATCGGATCTTAGGTTTATTTTTCCAGCATTGGGCGAAAATATATGAATTATTTTCAATTAATTTGAGATTTAAAGGCCAGAATTGTTTCAGATGCCAGTGAACGCCCACCATTTATATAAGAACGATAGGCTGTTAAACAGCCACCAAATTCTTGTATTTTTTGGTACTTTAACGTAGTTTGTATTAGTTATCATCATTTTAATCTCGTTATCGGCGTTAAGGCCCAGCTTTTTACATGCAATTTTGTTTATGTATTTCGCAACATTTCATCAGATTTAAAGAACTTCGTTGCATTATTGTTTCAGTTTACGATCGATCGTTCGTTCGTTCGTTCGTTCGTTCGTTCGATTGATTGATTGATTTATTGCAAGATTAATGCCGCATTCACACCGAAGCTTAAACATGTTTAAAAGTTGTTTTGTTAAACACAGTTTAATTTTTTTTTTCTTTTTAGAAACTATTTAACCGAATATTTTTGACTTGAATGTAGCACATTGGAAATGCAAGTGAGCAAGTACTTGAATCCAATGGAAAATCAAGTTTTTCAGTGCTCTGTTTATAATTTTCATTCAATGAAAACCAGTTTAACAAAACATGTTTTGCTGGTGTGAATGGGGTATAAGATCCGTCAACTTTGGTCTATTTCAATATCGATCTGTAAAATAGCCCCCAAACACCTCGTCAACCGCGTCTTGGAGCGGCACCGCTTGGAATTAGATTTTTGGTCGCCGCAAGCGCTATGTGTCGCAAATCACCCAAATTGACCTGACTGTGCTTATTAACCAAGAAGTTCTGAAGCTCGAAACTTTGCCGAGGAATAAATATGTCTAACTCTTTTCTTTTGTTTCATAGGAGTATTTTGATAGCCTCAAATACTACGAACGAGAATTGCGAGGAACCAATATCGTTCCTCTGGCAAATAAACTCAGGGATATCTTCAAGGCAAGATTTACTATCGCAGAGCGGCTCAAAAAAGCTGTCGAAAATGCTTACGGCACGACAGAGGAACCCTTTCCAGAGTGCTGTAAATTCGACAAATCTACACTAAAGTATGATGTGAGGTTCCGCTCTAAAGTAAATCTTAACAGTATGTGTTTGAAGATCGCTGGAACTGCTCCAAAAAATCCAATACATCTAGACAGGACGATTTTGAAGGAAATGAAAGCCATCTCAGATGAATATCCTTCTGTCAAGTGGCAGTATTTTGGATCAGAACAGGGTGTCATGACAAACTTTCCAGCGTATGACGACACTGTAAAGTGTGACGGTTATGACCCTCGCTTCAGACCATTTTATGTGGAGACTGCTACGCCTGAAGCTAAAGATGTGGTGCTTGTGATTGATACAAGCTTTTCTATGGTCGGAGACAAACTAAATACAGCCAAAGAAGCTGCGAAAACCGTGCTGGATACATTGAACCCCAAAGACCAGGTTGCTAAGCTAGTTGCCACTACATTGTTCTTGAAAGGCTGGGTTTAGGGTTAGGCTCCTCCATAGAGAGAGTTTTTTTTTTTATTCATTTCCCCACTTACGGTGAGCAGGTAATCCTCTCAAGGCCAGAATAACAATGATGGAGACAGTTGTGAAATAGTGGTTGTTTTTCGAGAGGTGAGGGTACCACGTGACCATCTATCATCTTTACCATAGGTTGGTATCGTGTCATTTGTTGACAAAGTGAAAACTCCAAACAGTGAAAACTGCTACAGTAAACAACTCGCTCTTGCAATACCTCCAAATGTAAGAAACATGAAGTACTTTGTGACAAATCTGGCAGCCTCCAATGGTAAGAATTTTTGTCGATTGACTAAGAACCTATTTACCAGCCTTTAAGGCTAAAGAACAAAAGATAAAAAGTCATTTGGAACTATTTTCTGGGAAACTAGACGATAGAGTTCTGGGTTCTTGCGTACATGCAGTCATCGAAGGACAAAGCTCAAAACTTAAAACGTTTTTCACTCTGTGAGTTCACTTCTCAGGTCTCGGAGTTCAAAAGATAATGGTTTAGAATCTTCAAAAAGCCCTCGCATCACTTCTTTGACTCACTCTCTCACGGACGTTTTACATAATCAGTCTTCAATCGTATTTTTGTTGCTTTCCAGGGTTTACGAAGTTTAAACCAGCCTTTGAGAAAGCGTTCGACCTGCTGCAAGGATCAGTACCCAGAGGCTCGGGAAAAAAAAGGAAAAGGGTCATCTTATTTCTCACGGATGGAGCTCCAACGGAGGAAAAGGAAATCAAAGATGTATTTGTCACAATAAGAGACAGGAATGTGGAGCTTAACAACTCCGTCATCATTCTAACATATGGATTCAATAAAAACCAAGATGACATTCTGATCCAAATTGCCAACCAAAACGGGACAAAACATGGTGTTGCGGCAAATACATCTGTTGGAGACGTAGCGGTAATAAAAAACAACTACATTTCTAGTATTTAATGGTACATTTAGTGAAGTTTACTCTGGTCAGATTCGTACCAAAGAGAATGCAATAAACAGGTGCGCAATATGAAGATCTCAAGAGCGAGAGAGTTTAGGCCACAATTTCTTCAACCTCTCTCTGTGCTGCGTAATCAATTAATCACTTACTGTATTTAAATAACAGTCTCATTTACTTTCCCCTTAGCGTGGAAGTTACACCTACATAGAAGACATCAGAACGCTGAGAAGTAAAATGGCTACTTATTATGACCTGTTTGCTGAACAGTTTAGTCAACCAATTGTCTCTGTTCCGTATGTTGATGCTTGGGGAACAGGTTAGGCATAGTAATAGGCCTTAGAATTGGTAATGGTGAACAATAGATTTAGAGATTTGAATGTTTTTCATGGCTCACAATACTACAAAGCCTTTCTTGTTATCTCTAGTTCAAATGGTTGGTCTGTGTTCTGAATCCTTCGCGGTGGAGGAAGAGACAGATGGCTAGCTCCATTACTTAATAAACTTCTATATTGAGACAATAGCATGTAGATCTTTCGGAAAGTTAAACTGAGAAAATAAGAACATGTTTAGTTGGTTCGGTCCCCAAAGCTGAAAACAAGATGTAATTTGAACTACGCTAAATATTCCTCATTCGCGTGTTAATTTCTTTCCCAGGTTTTTCTTAATCTTCTTTTATGGTTTAGTTGTTATCGTTGCATTGTTTGCACTAAGCACCTTCCTTTTCACCTGCCGCATTATGATACTTTAACTGTTATCGTCCTTCCTGTTTGTTGTTATTGTTTTCATCGTCTTCATCTGCCTCCCTTCACTGAAATTACAGGTCAGGAAAAGAAAAGATGAGTGTGACCAGATGCATTAATCTTCCTTGCAAATATCACCCACTCTGAGTTACAAATTTTCATGGAGTTATTCAAAATTGCATTATTGTAGCTTCATCATGCTCTACTTGGTCGACTTGAATTCTTCTTCGTTTAATATCGTTTCCTTACGGTTTGTCACCACGCACTCTCCATCAATGTATTTATTTATAAACTGATGATAATTATTCTCCAGGACTTCTGGTATCTATCACCATAGCTTGCTATAACCATGGAAAGTTCATAGGTGTTGCTGGAACTGACATTAACATTGAAGACCTAATGCCTGACTTCACCAAATATTTCAAGCAAGGAAGAACCACTTATACTTTTATGATCACTAAATCTGGAAGGACCCTGATCCATCCACTCCTCCCAGCACCAGCTGACGCTTATGGGGATCCTATTTATATGGACATAAGGAACCTTGAGCGACCAGAGGCAGACTTCAAGGAAGTCTTTGAATCAATGACGAAGTATGTTGTTCATAGCCTTGCCTGGTACCGAGGTCTTTGAGCACCATTTATAATATTTCAACAAGAAAAGATTTCGTAATCAAATATGACAATTATATCAATGCTGCATGAAGCAAATGTAAAGCAGTTTACGTTCTATCCCTTTGGAAACTATGGAGTTTAATGAGCGCCATATAAATTCATATGGTTAGATTGATTCAGTACATTAACTTACGTATTAACACTAATAAATCGATACCTACAAATAATTATCATAAACATAACAGAAAAATTAGCAAATAGGCTGCAGACGTAACTTTTGAGAAAGAGCTCTTTCCTTCGTTCTAATGAGGGCTTTCGCTCGGTACATCATTTACGAAGAAGTTGTGCACTCAAGGGGGAGTCGCTGAAGCTCGAAATAACTGGACGTGAGTAAAAACTCCTATATTCGCCCAATATCCTATAAATTACGTTTAAATTCCTGATGTAAACTCATATTCAAAATCATTAATCCGAAGTTTTCATTACTTTACCAGCGGCACAAAAGGGTCTAAATCATTCAAAGCCACTCGCTATTTACCAAAAGGAGGTGTTACATTAGATGGAGTCACGGAGACGTCTATTGATTCAACTTACCACTGGTATCCTGTGTTAGAGACGGAATTTTCTGTTTGTGTTGTTATACCTCCCTCTTTAAAGAATGATGTGTTAAGACCTCTGCAGATCCCACATGGTATGGATGTTGTGAATGTTTTGTTGTTAAATAAACAAAATTCTGCACACTGTTAACTACGAATTTTTATTCTCAATTGCGTGGTTCCGACTGTGTCTGCCTGTTGGTCATGAGTTATTCTGTCTTTCTGTCTGTTTGTCTGTTTGTTTCTTGGTGCCTATATTACTACCTGTCTGTCTGTTAGTTTGTCCGCTAGCCTATTGGACTCTCTGTCGGAATAAGTTACTGACTAACTTTATTGTCGGTCAATAATCAAAGTCTGAGTGGTCTTTATTGATAAATTTATAGTAAAGAACAGATCCAAATAGATTAAATATTAATTCTGTTTTTTTCCATTAGGCTACACATTCACGTATCACAGAATAGACCTGTTACCGCCGAGGAAAGTTTGCTCATATTTCGGTAATACGACAGCTAAAGGTAAATATCCAAACAGCTGGTGGGCCTGGTAAAGATTCAAATCCTGGCTAATTCAATCCAACTGATTTGCTCTTTTCTTCAGACACCACCGTTGTGAAATTTGCCCCCGATGCCTTCTTAGACCCGTACACGTATATAGGATCACAGGAGACCAATGTAACTGTTCTGTCACTTGACAACTATATGACGAAACGACCTGGTAGCGAGTCATACTCCAAACTAAGAAGTGGTATACGAGACTCGGTGACTGCTACTTGGAAACTGGATGATATTTGGTTGCACAGTAAAACAAACTTCACACAGTACGTGATCTGGAGGTACATAGGTACAGCTAACGGTGTATTCAGACAAACTCCTGGTGGAGCCTTGCGAAAAAATTACGATCCAAGAAAGAGACCATGGTATGTGGCATTATTTTTTGAATTTTCATTCGGTTAATCATTTTTCGCTCTATTTATGAAGTTTGACCCTTCTTACTCAAAGGATGTCAATAGAAAGCATATCAACATTTTTTTGGTGAGGTCGAATCCATGTCTGGTTTGGGTAAAATACGCTCATTCCTTTTACAGAGACATATCTGCTAAAGGTTGTGTTCTAACTGAAGAGATTTTTGTGTCTATAACAGGTATAACACAGCCTTACTTCATCACGGATTACTCACGCTTACAACACCGTATTTGGATGTGGGAGGGGCTGGAGAGGTAATAACTGCAGCCCGTGCCTTATTTCACGGTGAATCAAATCACTTGTATCGGGCTTATGATGAAGCACTTGGTGTATTGGGGGCAGATTTTCCATTGAGGTATTTTTACAGGTAAGCTTACTGCAGGTAGATAAAGGGAGTAAGTTTCTAAAGAAACTGTGGTGCTGCGTCTGTGGAAGAGTATAGCAGGTAATTTAGTGTTACAACTGAGTTGAAAACGTAAATTGACCACCGTAAAGAGTAAAAAAGTCGACATTTCGAGCATTAACCCTTCGTCAGAGCGCTGATCCACAACAACGGATAGCTTGGTTTTTTTCCAATTTTATTAGCTTTTTAAATAGATTTATATAACACAACTTATCTAGTAGTTGCGTTCCATCTGCAAAGCTAGCCCAGTTGTTGTTGACATCAGTTACGTGAAGATGGTCTTCGTTAGGAAACATTCAATTAAATTTTGAAACCAAAACACCCCACCCAAACAAACGAGGCGGAACAGAAAAGATATCAAGTACTCTCGATTTTTAAAGTAGATAAAGGCAGATCTGCAAAAATTTGTGATGTTTTTAAAATGTTGTTCTTAACCAAAAGTTAACGACAGTTTTCACGTCTATTCGAATCCAAAAGGCTGCTTACTGATGCTTACCCCAAATGCAGAGAAACTGAAGACTACTCGTGCTTTATAATAGACGACGCTGGTTTCTTGGTCATGCATGAGGACTTTATGGTCCCCTCGGCCTCAGAAGAGGGTGGAGTCGAGAATGTACATATAACCGAAAAAGAGAAACATATAGCACTACACATGTTCCAAAACGGATACTTGAAGAAAAAGAAATGTCGCAAACTGGAAGACTTACAGATGCAAACATTTTATGAGGTCACTTTACCAGATGGCGGAGTCGATGCGCTCGACAATGTTGGGGGCTGTAACCGATACCAACTCGGAAAAATTGGAGGAACAAACGTGTATTTAGGTTTGTAGATAGATAAACTATTTGAAAAAGAACTCTAATCTTCTCCAAGTTTACAAATACTTTTTCTTAAATCATGAATTGAATGTAAATAAGCCACTACCCTATAGGCTGGGTGGTAGTTGAAATTGGTGCTGAGAACTTTCCTAAAATAAGCTGAGATTTGGAAAGTGTCAGGCTCATTTGGTTTTGGGGTAAAACCTTTTCAATTTTTGACACATGAGAACTACCATTTTCTGAAATACTTCACAAATCCTTTTTTCTACATCACCATTTTGAAAGTTTTTAATTCCTGGTCATTACTTAAGTCACATGTATATTTGAATTTTACCCTTACATTGACGCGGGAACACTTGAGCCTACGCGCCTGATTTTTTCTCGCTGCCAATGATACAGAATAAACAGAAACAATAGTTTTGTGCTACGTTTTTCGCAGGAATTTCTGTCAAAGACTCGATCTGTTCTTCACAAGCCGAATGCACCTGTTCCTCGGGCAAACAGTGTCTAAACCCATCCTCCTGTGAATGTCCATGTCACTCCAAGCTTGTTTTCCGGTATTGCCATGGAGAGTTTCCCAATAGCAGGTTGGAGTTATTTCAATACCTATGTTTTCGTGGTTTGATCCACCATCTATCTGAATCGAGCGTAATTCTTCGCGTGATTATCGTCTTAGTTATGATCTATCAAATATTTTTGTCGCGCGCGATTGATCTAAGCGTATCACGTGACCGAATATTCCCCAGCTATTACCCTTGTGATGATCCCTAATTTTCAAACCCTACGTCCATTACGATATCTTCGTTTAAAATTTATTCCAAAAAGAGAGAAGGTTTTATGGTTGTTGCTGAAGAAGAAGAGGCACCTCCCAAGCAGCAAATCGTTAGCCGTTCGCACACATTTCTTTTATTTTTACGCGCGTGGCAAAGTATTTGAAGGATAATAAACACAATAACCTCTATTTTGTGCCAAAATATGCTCATATATTTTTCCATGGATGTTATCTGTTCCTCGAAGCTCACAGTTTTGCTCAAGCTTCGGTTTTGGAAAACTGCTCGTATCTTGGAAACGATAACGACCGCTGTAGAAACCAATCCCCCGCCTAGCCTCAATCCGCGCGGCCATCCATACCAGTTTGACTTTCTCGCGGACCATGAAAATAAAAAAGTCTGATCTCGAGTTCTAATGCAATCGCGAGTATGTTCTTATGCCAGCCGTATTCCAAAATCGTCCGGTAAATTGCCCTTTCGTCGAGTTTCCGTTACTTCATATGTTATTTCCATCTTGTAATTAGTTCTACCGTTCTTAATTTATTATGTTCGTAATACTTTATTCAGAAAACGCTGGCAATGGCGTGTAAATAGAAGGGTTCGGTCGATTTGAAGGGAAATTTGATTTCTCTTCAATTTATTTCTGATGCGTTGGTTATGACCGCGGATAAATATCCTACATATAGTTCAAAATGACTAAAATGAAACACGCATGATTCCCTGTAACTCTGAGTTTCGTGCTTACGCACTCGTCAGACAGATTTAATTTCAATTTTAGTCATTTTGAACTGTATTTCGCTCTACTCATGTGTTTTGAGCACTTTCCAACAGCATTTGCTACTATTTCCCTCAATTATCCTACATATATATATTTTCGAGCCAAATAGAGGCCATTGTTTATTTGTTTTGCCATGTACTTTCAGTCTTCCCATTTGCCCAGCACTGGGACCAAAACAAGCAGATTTTGATTCATTTTCTACTCTTAAGAGTGAAAAATGTCTTGAAAAATGCTTTGATCCTCATTGTGGAGAGAAGGATGCGCAAAGAACATGTGATGGACTGGTAAGCTGTTATTGGTGCAAGAAAGACAAAGACGGTATATCGTTGTCAAAACCTTACTGCGGCACCTCAGAAAAATGTTTCAGAGGAACAGAAAATCCGGTTTATAGAGGTAAAAAGCTTTTCAATGTCATCCATTATCGGTAGCCCGTATGATTCGATTACGTAATTAAAAACAAAAAGAATTTCCCCTTGCGGCCCGACCACACCTTCCCGCTGATAATTGCTGAATTGCCAAACAAGTCGCCTCTTTTAATTAATTTCTTTTAATGTAAGTTTCAAATAAGATCCACTCATCGCGATCGCTCAGAGCATGTTCGAATAAATTTTAAGTTAGAGTGTAATGGAAACGTATACCCAGTCGAAGCGATTATGGCAGGTAAATCTCTCACTTGTTAGCAATGATTAAATGGCAAAGGTCCTTAACAACTATTATTTCTCGACTTCCGGTACCTTGTGGATGAACGTCGTGTTAACCAATTTCAGTTGTTAAGCTGCTAATAAAGATCAGGGTAATGTACTTGGTTGACTGAGACGATTAATCATAGTCTTAGCATTTTCTATACAACCTTATAATAAAGATTTGATAATTTTCCCATTAATTCGACAGATGATGAGCAAAATGACAAAATTTGCCAACCCTCAACAGATCGTGGATCTAAAGGTTTATCGGTGGCTGCCTCTGTTGGAATTTGCATAGGATGTGTATTTGCACTTTTGATTCTGATTGGAATTTATAAGGTGAGATGCCGTAGTCATCATTATAATTTATATTCATATACTTTTAGGAATTTTTCTTTTGCTAAATAAGAAAAACATAAAGCACGGGACAAAGGAACTATTTCTCATTCCGCATTCGTGTCTAGGATTCGAGCTTCAGATGTTTCGATTCCGGGTCAGATGACTTATCTCACTCTACAGAACACAGTGTGCGCGTCTATTTATAAATTGCTAGTCTCCTTGAAATTTGAAATGGTATCAAATAGGAGTCTAAACGGGAAATTTTAATTGAAAATGATACAGAATTATGCTACTAAAGGTGTTCTTCAAGAAGTACATTATTGCCATGCATGCAAAAAGTTTCTTTGAAAATTCCACAGTTGAACTATAATTTTTTTAATTTGGTTGCTCTTTCCAAGGTTGTAAAGTGTCACCAAAATACAGGACCACGCCCTGTGAGGACGTTTTCCACACAAAAGAGCGCTGCAGCTCAGTTAACCGAGCATGAAATGTCCCATGGGAACCAAGGACACGATTACGAGGATCCCAGAGATCTTGTGATGCTACCCGGGCCACCCTCATACAATGAAGTGCTACGACAACAAAACCCAAATTACAGTCCTCCGTTGCCCACCATTCCTGAATCAACAGATCCTGCCGACGTACAACCGGTCATTCCTGGGAGGAACGCGGTCAGGAAACAATCGGTGAACAATCCTCCTCCTGTTCCCCTGACAAGGAGACCATCTGGTACCATAGAACATCCGGGATTGTTTCAGCATGGTACTCAACCGGCCAAGAACACGAAAAGAAAGTTTTCTCTTGACAGTTCTGGAGTTCTGACGTCTAATGAAAGTCCACCACCATTAGCTCCCAGAGCAAGAGGTTTTTCTCATATCACCCCCCCCATATTAGCCCATGTTCCTGAACTGTCCACTGCCAGTCTTCCACAAAAATCTAACGAAGCAGGGGAGTTAATGTACAGCAACGCAATATCTACAGCCAGAGCTGCACGAGCACTACGTGAAGAAGAAAAGGAACATGAAGATACCAACGACGATCTTGGCTATGTAGAATGTATTCATGCTCGGGATGTCGCTGGGGAGCCGCAAGCAATTTACGCTAAGGACTCAAAATTGTAACATTCATTGCAGGATATTGTAATATAATTTGACTAAGATATGAAGTTTTTCTCTGCGTGCATGGGAGATTTTTGTGATCAATTTAAGCCACGCATGCGTTAGTACCACGATCATCATTTATCTACGGGCGTTAAACGCAAAACGATAACAACAAGCTGTTTTTTTGAGGACTTAAAGATAGACAGTGTTGCAGAGGCTAGATTTAAGCAACTTTGCAGTGCTCGGTGCTAATGTGAGATCACCACGGAATTGTTGAACCCACTTGGGTCCACATATTCTGTACCTATACAAAATGTGAACTGACTTGATGCTTTATTAAATAATCATGTAAAACGATTGCTCTTGATAAAAATGTCGAAGTTATTAACCTTTTATTTACATTTCATATGATATTTCTATTTAATGGCTTTGACCTCCTCGATTAAAAGGATCCGTTTTGATTTAAAAATGAGACTTTCTTGCAATTTACCTCACTACAACTTCTACTACTACTACTACTACTACTACTACTACTACTACTACTACTGCTGCTGCTGCTGCTGCTGTTGCTGCCGCTGCTGCTGCTCCTCCTACTGTTTCTACTACTCTCAGTGATATCGATTAGAGTAAAAGAGTTTCTTGATACAGGCTGTATCAGTCTCTAAAAGCTGTTTTCAACGTGAAACCTGTGTATCATTTATATCTTCCCCTCGCGCTGTGTGTTCTAATAAAGCTTACGAATTGATATTTATCTTATTGCACCAGGCGTGATTTAAAACTTGATGTTCTTTAACAAAATTCGCCTCTATCAGTATAATTCTACATCGTCATTTTTTACTGTCCGATGGACAAAGTAACGCATGAGCTGTAGGTGCACATACACAAGCTCCTTTACTTCTGGTTCCTTTTTAAATGTCCTGCACGGCCGCAATCTCACCGGTAAATTCTATATACCCATCAGGATCAAGGGAAATAGAACCCCCACTATCACGATGTTGAAGATTTGGTTCATGCAACGTATCTTGCGTTGCTGTGTCATCAGTAGACGACAACGCGCTGGTTGCTAACGAGTGATTCTGAGCAGGTAACATTTGAGATATGTTTCCATAAGGACGCTCTTGGTTGTCGTGAACAATAGGAGAAACAGTTTGTGGTGGTTTATCTTCCATTGAAAGCTTTTCCTCGGAGATGGACGGTTGTGGGGGTACAACAGATGGACGCTGCTTTTCCGGAATCTCAGGCAGTCTGCTCTCAATTGAATGCATTTTTATTGGTCCAATGAACCTTGCCCCAGAGGAGTGGGTCGCAGATGTGCTCACCGTTCGAGCTACAGAATGATTTCCAAGAGTTTTCCCTCTTCCGTCATTAGTAGAAGGGGGAAGGCTCGTAGTTCGATGAAAACCTCGAGTTGTTACAGTGGATAGTTTCCTTTCTGGTGTAGGTGGTGGGTTACTACTTTCTCGGACCCTTATTTCTTCATAGGGTGCTGGCCATGGAGTGGAATCAACTGAAGCTTGGTGGGATCGCCTTAGATCGTCAGGTTCTTCATAATATTCATCGAAGTCGGAAGATTGAGTCTGGGCTTCTATAGGAAGAGGTGCTGGTGGACGTTTAGTGATATTAGAGGTGTTCTCGGGGTTTTCAGGATCTATGATGTATTCCGTGGATGCGCTATTGTCCTTTCTGGTGGGTGGTTGACTGTAGCTACGAAAATGTCTTAACACCTGGGAAAAAAATTAAAGGAAAAAGATGCTAAGCTACGAAATTGGTATAAATCAAAAAGTAAAATAAATTTCACATCAGCCATTTGTGAAATGTCTATCCGTCTCGTGGTCGTCGGTTGCAAGTATTCCATTTTTCTGACAACGAAATTTAATAAAGATAAACATACAATCAACATAAAGAAAATGCAATTTATAAAATTTGAAAAGATAAAAATAGGAATGAATGCCTTTATTCTTAGTCTTGGGTAGTAACGAATAGATGTATCTTACAAATCATCATTCCTACCGTAACAGGATCAAACCCATAAAAATATATATAAAGTGTTCAGATATATGTTCAGTCCTCACCAAGATCGAAACTATTACTACCACAGCTAAAGCAGACAAGCATCCTGTGACAATCCCAGCAATAGCTCCAGACGACAACTGATTCGAATCATCATCATCGCTCAGTTTACTGCTGTTTTTTCGATCGATAGGGCTTGATGGTTTTGGACCTTGAAGATCAGTTGGACACAATCTTTGTTCAACTGTAAATGAACGGCATTACAGGAAATTGTTAAGGCGCTTTCTTAGAATAATTTGTCGATTAAAAAGGTTAAAAATCTCGTTTTATCTACTTTCAAGCGACACACGAGCAACGTCAGTCTCCTTGCAATTTCGATACGTGATCGAGCATAATGAGGTAGTGGGAACAGACAAAATTAATTAAACTTTAATTTCTCGTAATCCTGTAAAATATGAAATCTGCAGCAGCTGAAGGGTAGAAGTGGGAGTTAAACCCTAGGAGCGCTGATAAATATGATTCTCTCGGTTGACCAATTATATTCAAATAAGGTAGAGGCTGACCTTCCTTTCCTCTGAAGCACACCTCAGCAGCAGCGCAGTACGGTTTAATCAGTGGTATATCATCCTTGTCGTGTTTGCACCAGTAGCATCCCACAACGCCTTCACACTCTTGTGAAGTGTTCCTTTCACCACAGTGAGGAATGAAACACTTTTCTAACCCAGATCCGGAGGTGCAAGGAAAGGAAGGGGTAGAGTCACTCGTTGGTTTAGCACTTGGTAATGGAGGTGGGCAGATTGGGAGGCTGGAGATTGGAATGAATAAGTTAGGTGAAATTATACGCGTAATTGTGACAGCGTTGACCAATGGCTTAAACAGTATATTCCATATAATATAATACACCGATTAAAGACTGTATTCTTGATTTTTCAAGTTTTTCGTATCGGAAGTTTTTGTAACCATTTCATTTGGAAGCGCGGTCTACAGGGCATACAGCGAATTTTGATTATTGATCTTAAGGATCATAAATTGATTTCTATAGTATTGAGTGTTTCACCATATGCATGTTAATGTTAGCTTTATCAAACTGCTTCAAGGTGCCTACAGCAACTAACCTGCTTTCGGGGAAAAGGTTGCGACAATAATGAAACTCCAGGCGGGAGGTGCAAGGGCACTCGCACGTAGGGTTAAGAAGAAAGCACTCGTTATCTGATGAACAGGGACATGCCTCTGGGGGGCAAAATGAGTCTCTTATAGCAACTCCTGTGAATTTAAAAAAGTGTTAAGTTATTCCAACTGATACAGAAATAAGCAGACAAACAGAGAAGGATGAAGGAAGGACACAAAGAGAGTCAGACAGAGAGAGTCATAGAGAAGGAAAACAAACAAACAGAGAAAGATGGAAAGACGGACTCGGAGAGAACTCGGGCCTGACGAAACAGTTTAAAGTATGACATACCTAGGTAGGAATTGGTTCCTTTGATTTGTCTTAGCTGGTATTTCGAGCATCTTACATCACTTGTAAGAGTATCTACTCCAATTTTTGTCAGATTAACTTCATAAAAGCTTTGCTTCTGAATCTCATCCAGATGGCGGCACTCCTTTTTTATCAAGTAATTTTTCTTAATGAGGTCTTCGGCGATGTGTTTTTCTTTCTCTGTGATATGCACATATTGTACGTCTGACGCTGTAGCCGAGGGAAGTAAGAAGTCCCCGTGCATGATAAGAAAGCCAGCGCTGTCCATCACGAAACAAGAGTATGATTTGGTCTCCTTACATTTTGGATACACATCAGTTAGTAACCTGTATTTAATGAGATATAAATATAATGAGGTACATTATGAAGACACTTGTTATGAAATATTATTGGGGAACGTTTGAAGAAAGTGTTTATTTCAATCGTGAGACTCCATGTTCTCTCTGTTGCGTTCTTGTTTCTCCAACAGTTTTACATCTTAAAAATTTCGCGAAACGTTTTCAAGTTTGCCTGTTTGCAATTCACGGCGGTCTTTTCCCTGCTTGACTACGTGCCTTGTTTAAGGTTTACGTCAAATTTTGGGATTTTTTCTGTCTTACCATGCTTATGTTTTGTAGTTTCTTTCACGTTAGAGCAGGTATTTCCTTAAGAAGAAATTTCTCGTGATTAAGATAGCTTCTCATAGTAACAAGATGATATAACGACTATATAATAGTTATGTACCTATGGAAATATGTGATGGGAAAGTCAGCCCCCATAACTCCCAACACTTCATCATTGGTACTGTGAACGTGACTCGACTCTCCGCGATACAAGGTTCTGCCAGCGGTTATCACTACTCCAGCTCCTCCCAAATCAAAGTATGGAGTTGTAAGAGCTATCAGTCCTGTGTGAGACAGGGCGGTAAGATACCTAAAAGGATTGCAAATCAGTTCAAAGATTTAATTATGTTCTTTCTTTATAAGGATCAACTCATCCAGTCATAATAACAAATGTTTATCATCAGAGGTTGATTTTAATTGAAACGTTGTCGAAAATATGACTTTATAAATGTACTTCATAACGGTCGTTTAACCGAGCCACAATACGAATGGTGCTGGTTGTAAATATAATTTATATTCTATTTATATGGACTGTTAAGAGGTGGTCGTTGTTCAGCTGTGTCTATTAGAGTAAAGTACAAACCTGATGAAAAATAGAAGTACATTTTCAAAAGCTATGGCCAGTTTTTGATACGACACGAAGACCTGATAAACCCGATTCAACGAGTGTATGGAAGAAATGCAAGGTTAGACTCTTGTTAATGACTGGAAACTTTGCCTTACTAACCAGGGTCTCTGTCTTGGGTCGTAAAGTTTGTTTTCAATTGTGCCTGGAGTGAACCTGAAAACTCCATTTGATGTCCCAATGTAACGCCAAACCAAATACTGTGTGAGGTCAGTTTTTTCACGCAGCCACAGGTCTTCCACTTTCGATGTTGCTCTCACTGTGCCCCTGATATCATTTTTCAGGCCAGGATTGGTTACTCTTCCTGTCTCATCTTTCATATAAGCATTCAATAGCTCAATATCAGCTTTTGTTTCATCCATACCAATGTAGTTGTAGGGGTCTTTGTACGCCCCTGGAGCAAACTTGACCACTGTTGTGTCTATCAAAGACAAAGTGCATAATGTGTAAACTTGGGACCATTAAGAACGAGCAGTTTTTGAAATAAATTGGGACCTATGCAGCTAGCGGTTGGTGATCCCGGTTTCTACATGGCCAAGGTAACTGAAAAGGGTTATCATAAAACATAAATGCCTTTGAGATATTTCAAAAAAATCGTAAGCACATTATTTATACTGTGTTTTTTTCCGGGAAAACAAATCACAAATAGTTAAGATTAGTAACAATCGGATGGAAATAGCCTCGTTTACCTTTTGTCGCGGTAATTCCAAAATGAGAACATAGTTTTCCAGGATTGTATAAGTCGATTCGGTGGTAATCAAACTTGTATCCTATAGAAATAGCAGCAAGATTTAGTCTATTATTATACCTATCGTCATGTTCATGTTCCCTACAGATAAGGTCAAGAATGCGCGGTGAAACCCAAAACCAGCTAAACCATCTGAAATACATATTCGACCCGCAGACGGGAAACACGAAGAACAACTCTGTTCCATTACTAAATCAGATTTATACTTTTCCTACAACGAAGTAGGTATTTATGAAAGACCTCAATATCCTTTACAGCCTTTCTTACTATTTGCTGTACATTTTCTCCAGCTTGCTTTCAAGTTAACGTCCATGCAGAGAATGAGTCTGAGAAATACTGAATTCATTCGTAGCTCATCAAAATTTAGGCCGAGCTTAATTTGAAAATCTCTCTCTCAAGCAAGGAAAAATTGAAAAAAGGACACAGGAAGTTTATTGTAGGCAAAAAGGTTAAGTCTAGAAAAAACTTACCGCTTGAAATTGAAGGCGAACTTAGCTCATCCTTAGAATGGGATACTGGTACTACGACGCCAAGAGAGAAGTCGATGTCCTCGATTGGTGTCCAGAAATATGTAGTATTAACTTCCTTCATTGTCACTCCCTCCTTTTCTGTTCCACCTCGTGGCAAAAATCGCTTTGCAACATACGTTTTCGAACCTCCAATTCTCCTGAGTGGGCAGAAGAATATAGTGCGTGTAAAACTAAAGAACCCAAGAGTTTTATCAGATTGACCACCAGTTTCCTTATTTACGGTCAAATTTCTTAAATCCGTAAGGAATAAAAGGAAATCAAAGCCTTTAAGCCACTCTTTATTTGGAAAGATATACCTCAAACCCATGTACAAGGAATTATAAAACTAAGTCCTGTTCATTGGACATGGACTGACAGCGAGACTCATTTCGAAGTTGTGAGCTTTGCTGTGGATAAACGATGGAAATAAATGATTGAAACATTCTTGCTTACTTTTGAATTGACTCAAAGACTTCGATGAAATCTTTCTCTGGTTCCAAGGCTCTGATGTCCAAATAAACAGGCTCACCGTAAGCGTGAGTGGGCTCTGGGAGAAGAGGATGTATGAGGGTCCTACCGGAATTAGTGATCATGAACGCGTAAGTACTCTGGCCTTGATTGAAAAAAGTTATGTCTGATAACAAGTCTTCAATATTGATGTCAGTGCCTGTTACACCGATAAATTCTCCGTTATGAAAACAGGGCAGGGTAATCGACATCAAAAGTCCTGCAAAACATCGTAAATAACCAAAAAATTATATGATATCATCAAAAGATAACAAAAGAAATTAAAACAGATTAATAAAATCGAACATTGGAAGGGTTGATAGTTACCTGTTCCAAAGGCATCAATGTACGGAACAGATACAACTGGATCGAACCGGATCCCCAGCGAAAACAAATTGTAATACTTAGCCATTTCACCTCTCAAGTTGTTTATGTCTTGCACGAATTTGTATCTTCCAGGCTAAGAAACAATAATTTTGCAATAATTTTTTAGTTCTCTGAGAATAATGAATTATTGACTTTTACTCTAAGTTAATTGTGAACAATACTGCGAGGACAAAGGAAACTCTCTTCCTTCGTGTTTGCCCAACCCTCTCTCCTGTTCAAAGATAATACAAATGTTTTGTGGCAAGAGATGATGAAAAAAAATCTGTTAACACCCTAAAACAAAATGTTCATCATGGTGGTACATGTCAAAACTTACTGTGATATCACCAACAGAGACGTTGGCAGGTATTCCATACTTTGGTGTGTTTTGTATCGCTATGTCCTCAAGAATCGCGGAGTCAGCCTCTCCAAATCCATATGTTAGGATAACAACAGAGTTGTTGAGCGCAAAGTTTTCATCTCTGATGGTTTGAAAAATTTCTTTTACGGGATCAGCTGGAGCGCCATCCGTCAAGAATAAGATAACTCTCTTCTTACTCTTTCTCTCCTCCCCAGAAATTGAGTTCTTAAGCAGACTGAATGCTTTTTCAAAAGCTTGTTTGTAATTGGTGGAACCTGAAATAATTAAATAACTAATTAATTAACCAATTAATTAAAAAATAGCTAAATAATTTTAAACACACCTAGTTGTAAAATATAGAACGAATTCCCTATATAGATAAATGACAAGAAGTAGAAGGACAGGAAATATCAAAGCTTAAAATTTCCGGGACAGACTTCATGAAGAGCCATTTGATCAGATGGTGCAAGGCCGGCTCGATTTCATCTCTTTCTCGAGTGGGTAGGGGAAGGGTGGGGAAAATCGTAGAGTTATTTCGATTATAGTAGCTGGTAATCTAGCCAAAGATGTTGTTTCAGCAGGCAATTGACAATAATCTGCACGTTTTTCCAGCATCCTTTTCAATGATGTAAATCGTTTATTTTTCGTTGATATACCGCGTTTTTTTCTGTACGTATAAGACATCGATACAGGATCATAAACGCAGCAAACTGATGTAAGACCTATGAGAGTCTCCACTGATGAATCCGAAAAATATCTTTAACTTCAATGATAGTAGACCTCGTCATAAACATAGAACAGAAGAGATCACGGCGCAATTACTGTAAAGACTTGTAATCGTTTCCGTAAACAGATATCAAGCGCTAATATATTTCCTGATATATTTGAAATATGATGTGTCAAGGTTCTTACCATGTGGTATCCGGTTGCGTACGTATCTCTTCATCTCTTCGATATTTGTTGGGATCGCCTGGGCCAGCCTTTCACTGTAGCAATGGCTTTTTGTTCCAAGTTCTCCTGGTGTTGAAACGTCATCGTTGAATGACACAATTCCAATCTGAAATTAGCCAAATAGTTAATGTTATTGTCGTATACCTGTAAATAAAACTTTTTCCTCAGAACCTTGGAAAGTAGATGATTTTTTTGTATGAGGTGCTGCAAACTAGGAATTCACAGTGGAATCACGCTCAACCCGATATCATTACGGTGTGTCGGTGGCTTCAAATTTACCGAACACGATAACCTTAACTTAATTTTCCACCGGTCCTCGTTCAGAGACTTTCGCCAATTTCTGTGAACGACGGATAATGTCGAGCGAAGGATTCTTGTTTGCGAATATATTTGCTCGTCGAGTATCGTTCGAAACTCTTTACGGTGGCAAATGAACGTTATCAACTCAGTTGATAATACTAAAATTACCCATTAAACTGATAGCCTCGGCAAATGCATTTGCCGAAACCTTGGGACGAGGAACAACGCACCTGGTCCTTGGGGTTCATTGTTTCCAACACTGTATTAGCAGCCTGGATAGCGCCGGTAAGTTTTGTTGTGTCCATAGATGCACTTGTATCGATGACGAGCACCACATCTTTCGCTTCAGGCGTGGCAGTTTCCACGTAAAATGGTCTGAAACGAGGGTCATATCTGTCACAAGGGTCTTTATCGTCATACACTGGAAAATTGGTCATGACTCCTTCTTCTGACCCAAAGTATTGCCACTTGATAAAAGGATACGTTCTTGAGATATCTTTCATTTCACTGACCACTCCTTCATCTAAATAGCGTGGATTTGGCTGGGCACTGCCAGAGATTTTTAAGCACACATTGTCCATGTCCACTTTAGAACGGAATCGTACATCATATTTCAAAGAAGATTTGTTTACCATACAGCATTCTTTCTGTGGAGATACCTGAACAGACTCTGTCCTGGCATACGACTCCTCCACGGCCTTTTGAAGACGTTTGGCAACTTCAAACCTTACTTTAAATTTGTCAGACAGTTTGACGGCAAGTTCAGGGGTAATGACCTCTCCCCGTATCGTTCTTTTATGATACTGAAGACCATCAAAATAATTCTAAAAGATAGGTGAGAAGGACGGAAACCTGTTTTAGTGGTGATCTATCTTATACATTCACAAGGAACAATGCATAGGAATAAAAGAAAATATTTTGTTTTGTTTTGTTTTGCTTTTATAACGAAAACAATTTGGCTTCTTGAGAGTTTTGGGTCACTCACTGCATAAAAGGGAATATTTATAGGTTGGGTGACGTGAACTAGTTATGAAAACAGGAACTTAATTGATCAATCGTGACTTCGCAATTCCGGCACAGGAACATAAAGATATAAAAAATATATCATAATTAAACGTTTATGATCAAAAGTGACTTTAATTAAAACAAAATTCCCGAGACACCAGTATACCTGCCCTCAAGTTCAAGAAAGTCCGAGATAAAGAATTTAAAACTTTTATTGGTCCGGCATGGCGCTTATTCAAACGTGATGAGGCATTTTCAAAATAGTCATTTGTACTGTGCTGTATGATGACAAAAGAATGGGAAATAACAAATTCCAATTTCAAACTTCAACTTTTAAAGAGCAGGACTCAAACTCTAGGTCGCAGAAATTTTTCAAGATCACATAACACATTGCTGATGATGAGAGAGAATATAGAAATTTAGCCCACCTGCATTTCTTCCACTCCAAGCGCGTCCCTGGCAAACTTTTGAAGTTCTACCCCAATAAGGGAAGGATCTAGCAAACCTGAGGTAACATGCAAGGCGAAAATGGAGAGTAAAACCACGAGAAAAGTTTCCATTCGGCGTACATCCATCGCAGATCTCAAAGACAAGTATTCCGCTTTGCTACTTACTCCCTTTACCGCCCACGTCCCTCAGGTCAGAGTTTAAACGTATATTTTACGATTTATGTAAGTATTGTTCGTAAAACTAATATATTTGGCGCATGATTGATTCCATTGTTGGTCTAAAACATTTCTGTTCATAATTATAGTTTGTGATCTGCCGACTGCGCCTTTAGATGACATACTTCCTGCCAAAACGGGTCGTTTTACCCAAGTATTTTGCAAAGAACAGTTTTAAATAAGCCTACTTCTTTACAGTTCAACATTTAGACGTGTTTTCAGTAAAACTCATCGGCTTCACTGAAAAACAAGAAAAACAATTTCATGTTCACGACCTGTGTCGGGAATTTAATAGCGACAAGTGAAATTACTTTCCCTGCGCATAAACAATGAAGCATCAACATCAATGAAGCGTTTATTGGTAATTATGTTTTTTTACACCAATACATTCTGTGTCATTTTGTTTACAGGTGGCCTTAGGTAATGGATAGAAAGGTCAAAAAAGATTCCCACCGCGCGTTTAACTCTAGAAACCTCATTGCCACTTTGCGGGTGTTTTCCGATATAGGACGTACAGCTTTTCTCGTTTCACACTCATATTTACATGCCATTTTTTTGCCATTTTGTGTAGGTGATTGTGACGAACGTACGTATTTGGCTTATGTCTCATTGTTGTGCAGCCGATAAATGTAAATTTTCGATCACTTCACCAAGCAATAGCTTAAGATAACGGAAAAGAAGAAATAAAGTTAAATATCCACTTTGCAGTTTTTCTGCCGTTAACCTTATCACGGTGTAAGTGGAAGGCCATTAAAATTTGAAATATGAGTTCCTCTGCCTCTTATATTTGCAACTCCATTTTCGACTTTTGTGTGATATTACAAAAACACACCAAACTTTGTATGGCAGAAAGAGATTTTCAGGGACAGCATGGCAAAGAAAACTTGTCTAATAAATTATTCTAATGTTACCAATTGACGGTTCCGTTTAGAAACTGCCTGAGGCTGTACGACAACCATGTGCAGAGTTCATCATCTTTCTTTATGTATTTACCGATAATTATCATTCATAGGAAAAGAAAGTTGACCTCCGCGGGAACGACAGAGTAAAAGCTGAAATTAAGTCCATTAAGACTACAGGAAGTTAAAATGGAATCATATAGAAAGCTCTACCACATAAATTCACAAGGAGTGGGTTTTGGCACGAAGTACAATCACGTTCTTAAGAAAAATAAGAAAGGTAGCGGAAGGTAACTGGTGATACAAACAAGCCAATTTTTCCCTCAGCTTGAACAAACAGAATTAGCAGAGTAGTTGAAGTAGTCATTGACGTAGTTTAACTGTTTATATGGGTCATTCAAGCGAGTTAATTTGTTTCTCGTCTTCTTGTTTATTGAGTTCTCTCGATGTGATCGGCACTCCCTAGAGTTTTTAGTTTCACTTAGCGAGCACATAATTTGTGGTCCGAGTACTTTGAATAAAGATTATTAGTGAAACTCACGCTGGTAAGATATTTTTTATGCACCCGAAAAACGTTTTGCTACCGGTAACTGGCTTAGAATAATTATTTTAAAAGAATGTTTGACGTCAGAAATATTGGCTGTGGTTTATATGCTTGATTAGATTTAAAAGAGAGAACGCAATGTGGTTTTGAGGAGAGTTGGTCTAAAGCCCTTGGTAGACTGGAATAACTATTGTTTGGATGAGGCCATCTTCAGGTGTACGATTTTTTGGAGAGAAGCACAGATAATACCATGTATCGGTGACAAAAATTATCCTTTTTTTTCCTTCGTTTTTGCTATATTGAACGTCTGCATTCGAACGTGACGTGGTTTATCTTCCGCTCTGTCTTCATGGTAACAGCTGATACAAATCAAAACAATTGGCTCTTTGTAACGTTTTAATTAAGCTAGTTACAAGATTCATTTGAAAACTGCGACATAGCAGTGTAAAGTACCCTTTCAATGCTTTGAGTCAAGCATTTTGTAACGAAGTATAAAACGCTGTAGCAGAAAGATCAATCAAAATGAGTTCGACTTTCTTGCAAAAGGAACACATAAAATAAACTGTACATTTAGAATAATATTCCGCGGTAAAAAGTTATTTTGATCTACAAATGACTGTGCTTTCTGAGGTGCATAAAACAGTGAGTTGTCAAAGCAACCACATTCTTCACCCAAGTCAGTCTGACAGATTTGAAAAATTTGCTGTTCACATTTGCTATTCAGCAATTCATTACGAGTCAATACTCTTTGAAACATTGTCCGTCATTACAAGTTACACATCAATGCAAATTATGTTATTGTCAGGATCAAGAACAGTAGAGTCGCAACTCTCTTGTCTCGTAAGAACGTTTACTGGTATGTTAGAGTTATGCGGCAGCCCATTAACCTCAACAGAGGAAGGCGTCGTAGCTTTGGATGGCCTCCCGTCAGAACCTTTTTGTGTTACGTTGCTATCAGGCTGCTGCACATTATTAACTTCCTGGGTAGTGCAACCAGCATCAAATGCCGAAGTCTGCTGCTGATCCTCCGTAACCTTTTCTTCTTCAGACTCAGGGAAAGTCCGATTTTCTTTAGGAATCACTGGTGCTGGAATGAGTACTGCACCTGTCCTGACATTTTGCAGAGACACATCGCCCTGTGTGTCTGCACTGGAGGAACACCTTCTGCAGCTATCCAGAGTGGACATCACAAAACTTGTCTGTTCAGAAGAACCTCTTGCTTCTGATACAGTCGTAGGTAATTGCTTCCTTGCTGGGACAGCTGGAGGACTATCTCTGACGTTATCATAAAAGGCTTGGTTTAAACACGGTCCTCTGTTTAATCTATTATAAATATTAGAATCAGCAGACACTGGCTCAACAGGTTGGGGGATCTGCGCCACAGGTTGCTGCTGAGGAGGATCCGGAGAGGCACCTTGAGTTCCAATGACAAACATTTGTTCGGCAGAAGGACTTGTGTGCGAACTTGACTTATTTTTACAACGCTTTATCATCTAACGAAAACAAAATTGAATGAGGTAGTTTCAGAATTGAATCAAACGCAATCTAAATGAATTGTGAATCTTACGTATTGCTTAGGTATCGATACATTGGTCAAAATTACTGATGAGAAATTTTAAATGAGAGAGTGCTCTGCCAGGTGTTCAGTTCAAATACAAAACTCATACTTCTTACCAAAACGACTGCTATTAATATAACAGCTTCGATTGCCATACAACCAGTAATAATCCCTGAGATAGCTCCGTACGACAAGTGACGAGATTTCTTTTTACTGTCAGGTTTTACATCAAAACTGTGGCTTTCTTGTGTGGGATGTGAAATGAGAGCTGTGCTTGGTGATTCGCTTGGGCAGATCTCGTTTCCAACTGTACCATATAGGAACATTAAAAAAAACATTATTGTTCCACAATGACTAATAATTAGAAGAAGGGATCTTGTATCGATAGATTTTGATGGGATCCTCGTTAAGGAAATTTTCATCTACGGCCCTCTGATTCATACAATGCAATCACAGAAGCTTTGGGTTCATTCCGTTGAAAAGTTATCTGAACTAAAAAAAAAAGCAAAAGGGCACATAAAAGGTTACACGAAACACAGAAGTTCCAACGAAGGAATCAAGGCCTAACTCTCGACAAAACACAAGGAGAATGACAAGGAGAATGACGACCTCTACTGAAAGGTAAACAAGTCAACCTCAAGGTTTTTTCGCCTTTTTTTTAGGCTGGACAATTTGGAAACTACTTTCATCTCGAATACCTTCCTTTCCTTTGAAGCACACGTCAGCACTTGCGCAGTACGCTTTCTCCAATGGTATATCGTCTTTGTTGCTCTCACACCAATAGCAACCAATGATGCCTTCGCACGTTTCTGAACTGTTCTTCTCGCTGCATTGGGTAACGAGGCAATCTTCCAAGACAGGATCTTTACAAGAGTTAAGTTGAACGATGTGGCTCGGAGCACCACAGGCAGCTGATAGGACCTCCTCTGCCGAGGGTGCACAAATAGGGAGACTGAAAAAATGTTTTTGTTAAAGTTTTAAAAACGTGGACTCTATCCAAACGAATAGCTCATGAAAGCTACCCATATCATCCCTCTCTTTATGGAAGGAAATTGATAATTTCCTAGAAAGGTTAATGGGGTTAACTACCAGCTGTTGTTTATAAGCATATGATCTTTAGCAATTCTTTGTCTCTTATTTCTAGCCCTGGCTGAGAACTGGGGCACTCTAAGAGTACATGAACAATATCTTTTTCATGAGCAGAAAACTCAAACCTATTCATAGACAGTCCTTTATTATAAGCATTAAGGAAACTGCACCACTCACCAAATTGTCACCTAATGATGTCTAGAAACGAGCCCAAGATAGGTCAATGCTAACTACAATACTGGAAATCACACTTAGTTGACCAACCTGCTATCGTAAAACTCATTGTGGCAGTAATGGAAATCCAAACGAGACATGCAGGGACACTCACACGTCAAGTTGAGAGGGGAACAATTTCTATCAGTGGAACAGGAACACGGCTCTGGGTGACAAAACGAATCTCTGACAGTAACACCTAGAAACAGGCATTAAAAAGTGAGAATAGATATTTCATCTGACAGACTAACGGTGCCAGTGGTCGATTAAAGGCTGAGCACTGAATGATTGCTTGTCTATCTGTGTGACTGAGTGACTGAACAGCGACTGACTGTCTACTGACGAACGGACCAGTCATTTTTTTTCACCAGGAGGGTGGAGGGTGGGGGTGTCGAAGGGTTTTGGTTTTGTCACGATTTACCCAATCCCCTATTTAGCTCTGTAATATTCAAATGAACCCCCTTCATTGGCAGTGAGGTAGCAGTCAATTTTCAATGGTTCCCCTCCTTTTTAATCCATTGGTGACGACTGATTCCTACTCCTCTCCCCCTAAGTGATTCCCCCTAAAAGCCTTACTACATAGCATTTTGTAGTGAAGTAGGTATCTTCAATACGAATTACTGTATCTATCCACATGAAAAGATAATTGTTCATACCTAAGAAGGCATTGGTTCCCACAATTTTCTGCAGTTGGTATTTCGAGCATCTTGCACCACTTCGAAGAGTGTCTGCTCCCCCGAGGGGCAAGGAGAGCTCATAAAAGCTTTGCTTTTGAATCTCTTCCAAATGACGACAGTGCTTTTTCACCAGGTATTTCTTTTTGATGAGGTCTTCTGCAATATTTTTCTCTTTCTCCGTGATATGCACATATTGTACATCAGACGATGTGGCTGACGCAAGTAAGAAGTCCTCATGCATGATAAGAAAACCACCGCTGTCCATTACGAAACAAGAGTATGTTTTGGTCTCCTTACACTTTGGATACACATCAGTTAGTAACCTGCCAATGATAATTGTAAATGTTACAAAACATAAGGTTTAACCCTTTAACTCCCAGATCAAATTTGTATTTCTCCTTACTGTCAACCATATAATTATCATAATGTTAGTTCAAAGAATTTTAGTATTGGATCAACTAATTATCCTCAAATTGATATTTTTCTTTATTCTCATCACTTATCTGGTTGATATTGTATTGATATAGAAAGGAGAAATTCTATCTTGGTCACTTATGGGAGTTAAAGGGTTAAGAAAGAGGTGTAACACATCAATTCCTACTGCTGATGGCGAAATGTTTCGTTTTTTATTGTACTTTCGATTGATCTCGCACAAAGAAAGCTTTCAACTCGTGTGATTATCTTTTTGAATTCATTGCAAATCAATGATAAAAAAGCCGTTTTTGCTGCAGTAAACGCTCCAAAAATCGCCTTAACTCAATAAACTCTACTCTTCCTTTCTTGCTGCAGTGCGTTAATGAACTAAAGGGCTGTAAACTAAAGATTCTCTCATCCCCCCTAAAACCTAAATTGGTAAGCTCTCCTTGATAAAAGTAAGGAAAGTAATGAATCCTTAATGAGAGCTAACCAATTAGTAGTTTATCTTTGGCATTGAACTGAAATCTTAAACGATTGTGTCGATATTAAATTGCTAACACGCTATTCAATCAATCTTTTCTTCAATTATCACATTAAAAAGGAATTGAGAACTGTCTAAATTCTCCACAGTTTTCGTCCTGAACTGGAAGTCTCTTAGGATCAAATTCTGGTCTTTAAGAACAAGTGCACGATATAAAAGATGATCACCTATGAAAATACGAGAGAGGAAAGTCAGCTCCAATTACTCCCAACACTTCATCGTTTGTATAATGAAGATGACTCGGCTCTCCGCGGTATAGTGCACGGCTGGCGGTTACTACAACTCCGGCTCCACCCAGGTCTAAATAAGGAGCAGTTAGAGCAAGTAAACCCGTATGGGCCAAGGCAGAATAATACCTGAATAGAAGATAATAATGTTACTGTTGAGTATTGACTTGATTTTTGATGTTGGAATTTGTGTTAAGCTTTTAAACCCCGGATTCAACCATGGGTCAAAGTGATACCTTTTCCTGATTGTATGCATAATTTTGGTGACGTGAACTAGTCTTCCTTGCAAAATATTTCAAGGAGGAGACACTGCCTTACCATGGCCTCTGCCTTGGATCATAACGTTTGTCTATCACAACACCTGGAGAACTCCTGATAACTCCATTTGCTGTCCCGATGTATCTCCAAACCAAATATTGCGTAAGGTCAGTTTTGTCACGCAGCCACAGGTCTTCCACTTTCCATGTTGCTATTACAATATCCCTGATGTCATTCTTCAGACCAGGATTTGTTACCTTCCCTGTGTCATCTTTCATGTACGCGATTAATAACTCTACGTCTGCCTTCGTCTCGTCTTTGCCAATATAGCTGTAGGGATCCTTATAAGCTCCTGGGGAAAACTTCACGGACGTGGTGTCTGTTGATTAAATATTGAAAAGTGCATTTTAGGGTTAGTCATCAACTATTACCTTGGGGGAGGAGTGGATGATTCTTTTTGGGGATCACAGGGTATCTGTGGGAGGAGGGAGGGGGATCAATTGTCACCAATAGAGCATAAAGGGGGAATAGACAAAATTGACTGCTTATTAAATGCGAATGAGTAGGGGGGAGGGGGCGATCATAAGGATACAAGAAGACATATGGGGGCTCAGGTATGTAACTGAACCCCCCTCCGTATCTGAAGCTTAAGACAATGGCATAGAGTGGCTGTCTTTATTGATGTAACTCATTTGAATATCACGTTGTCATTGATTCAGCTAGTTTTGCTTACTCTCCCATTTTCATTCTTTACCTTTAGAAGCATTCGCTCCAAAATGAGAGCATATCTTGCCAGTATGGTATAGGTCGATTCGATGGTAATTGAATGAGTAACCTGCCAAAACAATGTCGTGAATAGAAGTTATTGTATGGTCTATTTAACAATTATTCCACGAGCGTGCGTTGGATTTGAGATAGAAGATAGCCAACGAGGCTATAATAATAATTTCATATCGCTTTCTGACATAGGCCTTATAATTTTACCATTTGGCATCTGGAGTGGTTTCAGTTGGTCTTTAGAATGAGAAACAGGAACAACCACGCCCACAGTGAAGTCGACCTCCATTAAAGGTGTCCAGAAGTATGTGCAGTTCACTTCCGTCTCTGTCACTCCTTGTATCTCTATTCCCCCTCGTGGTAGAAATCGTTTGGCAACAAAAGTCTTTGACCCAGATTTTCCTCTTTGAAGATAAAAACAACACATTCTATTTTTGGGAAACTAAAGTTAAGCAAAGGTAAGGAAGACAAATGTTTGAATAAACTACTCAGGAAACACTACCATGTGTGTGCCAGAAAGGAAGTTAGTCCTGTAGTTAGATTGAAGCTTTTCTGTAAATTCAACCTACTTTTTGATCGATTCAAACACCTCCTTAAATTCTGCATCTGGCTCCAAAGTTGTTATGTCCATAAAAAAGGGGTCCCCATAGGCATCAGTAGGGGCTGGTAGGAGAGGGTGGATAAGGGTCCGTCCAGAGTTGCTTATCATGAATGCATAAGTACTTTGGCCTTGATTAAAGAATGTTATGTCGGACAAAAGGTCCTCAACGGTGATGTCAGTCCCTACCACGCCAATGAATTTCCCATTGTGAAAACAAGACAAGGAAATCGTCAAGACTTGCCCTGAAATGAAGGTTGGGGAAAAATAGCTTTGATACGTGAGTAAGTAATAAAATACATTTTACTGGTTTTATGACGTGATGAAGCCGCGCAGGATTTCAGGAGAATACGAGAAAAGTTTTTAAATCACGAGCTGTCAGAGTAAGGTTCTCGATTGTTCTTACAACATCTCAAGTGGGTTTATCACTTCATAAAACCTGGAAAACTGAAATTTTTTTTTTCTGTTTCCTTTATGGAATAAAATAATTTTTGTCTCTTAGAGAGTATCAACTATTTTGTTCATCAAGTCGCTAATTATAGAAAAACCCGTCAAAACGCGAGAAACCAATAAAAGCGCTCGAAAGAAAACAAGCGGCGTAAATGACAACAACCAAAATTATGAAACAAATTAGACAAAGAATCCCTAAATAAACTGTAGAGGAAACTGAAAGGAAATATTGGTAGGCAAAAACTATGATTTGCTGTTAAGATGTAAATTAATTTGGACGAGGAAAAGCGAACTTTAAGGTTGAAATGTTGGTCTGTCTCCGTAAATCAGTTTTATGGACACTGGGATGGATAAGCACACTATTTAAGGGTCAATTTATACTGCAGAAATCTTCATAGGCTTTGGCAGCCAATCGAGTCAGTAACGTATCTACACCTAACCTGCCCAGTAGCTAACTGCACGACAATTACCATTTGTCTCTGATAATCATACAAATTACAAAATTAAATCAAAGGTGTCTGATTCAACATACCTAATCCAAAAGCGTCCACATATGGCACAGACACAACTGGATCAAGGTGGGTCCCCAGCGAGAATAAATCATAATAGGTGGCCATGTCTCCTCTTAAGGTTTTGAAGTCCTTAACATATTTGTATCTGCCGGTCTAAAAGGAATATAAAAAGGGTGAGTAAACCATAACTAAAAAAACTCAGTGTCGAAAGCAATCCAAGAAGGGGGTGCTGTGGTGCTGCGTCGGTGGGAGAGTGTAACAAGGCAATTTGGTATTAGCGGCTGAGTTGATAACGTTAATTGGCTACCGTTTAGAGTTTGAGGAGCTTTCAACCTTTTAACGATGGCCAATTTACGTCATCAACTCGCTTGATAATACCCAATTACCGAAATTGCATTGGTTTTACCTTACCTTGCTCTTTGATTGGTCCAAAAAATTCGTACTATTCCCCACTAATCAAATGCAGAATTGAAACCGATGCGACTTGTTCAGCGCTTCGGGTAGCTGGCTTGTTTTTATTCCGCTTCCTCCTGATTAGTCGTTGCGATTATTTTGGTTCGGATTTTTACGACACTCGATCGAAATATTCTTTAATACGCAAAACGTTATTGAGATGAGTGCCAACTTACTGTGATGTCTCCAACCGAGATATCTGCTGGTATGCCATATTTTGCTGTGTCCTGCTTCGCTATGTCTTCTAGAATTGTTTGGTTTACGTTGCCAAATCCATACGTTAAGATGATAACGGAGTTGTTGAGCTCAACATTCTTATCCCTTATTGTACGGAAAATAGAGTCCTTCTTAATATCCGAGGGTTTGCCATCCGTTAAAAACAGAATGACTCTTTTCTTTTTTTGCCCCGATTCTCCAGAAACTGAACCCTTGAAGAGACTGAATGCTTTTTCAAAAGCCGGCTTGTACTGACTCAGACCTGCAAGATTATATCATTAGAGTCCAAAGGAATCATCCAACATTGTGATTAACGAATGGCAGAAGGACAGTGCCAGATCTTAAAACATTCTAAAGATCTTTAGAATTAACTTAGAAAAGGTTGTTGCGAGTATTTAAAATGAAAATTATTTGAAATGTCTGATAATCAGAATTTGAAATACGCTTTGTCACTACTGCCTGCAACTCACATTGTAGTAAAAATAATTTCAATATTTACCATGCGGTACTAATCCTTCCACATAATATTTCATTTTCTTTATATTTATAGGAACTGCTTGTGCTAATCGTTCACTATAGCATGGAATTTTGCCCCCAGCGTCTCCTGGCGTTGACGCAACAGTACAAAATGAAACAACTCCAACCTGAAGAGATAAAATCATGTTTCATCATCACCCAGAAAAGGCAAAATCTTTAATTTTCCTAGTAACTATCCTTTAGACACGTTGGTTTAGACTCAGGGAATTTTATGAAATGAAGGACATTATATCCTTGAATAAGTCCTCCCATTTCCATCGTCTCATGTTTTATGCCTACCTGGTCCTAACCTCCAACGGGAACTAATTTGATTTGTTACTTCCAAATTGTGCCAAACTACTTCTTACCTGGTCTTTAGGGTTCATAGTGTCCAATACTGTTTTGGCAGCTTCTTTGGCAGCGTGAAGTTTTTCCCCAGTCATGGATGCGCTGATATCAATAACAAGCACCACATCTTTGGCTTCATGTGTAGCAGTTTCCACGTACCATGGTCTGAAACGAGGGTCAAACCTACCACAATCCTCTTTATCGTCATACACGGGGAAAGTGGTCATTACACCTTGCTCCGATCCAAAATATTGCCATTTGATAAAAGGATACGTTCTGGAGATATCTCTCATTTCCTCGGCAACACCTTTATCTAAATAGACGAGGTTTGGAAGGGCATTGTTAGAAATCTTCAAACAGACACGGTCCATATCCACTTTGGTATGGAATCGAATATCATACTTGAGTGTGGATTTGACAACATTGCAGCATTCCTCTTGAGGCACCGGTTTAACAGAGTCCGCTCCGACGTATGATGCTTCTACAGCTGTCTTGAGCCGTTTTACGACCTCAAATCTTACTTTGAACTTGTCAGAAAGTTTTGCAGCAAGTTCTGGAGTCACAAGATCTCCTTGCACTGTTCCCTTGTGATACTGAAGGCTTTCGAAGTATTGCTGCAAAGATCAAAGAAAACTCTCAGGCGATACAGGATCAGAGTTGAATAATGCATGCATTGTTTTGATTGGATCGTAATCAAGGTCTGTTGGAGGATAGACGCATATATGATGTCATCCTTAGCAATAGTTATCTTTTCTTTATCACATGAAACAAATAGATTCTATGTTTCCGTGCACCTGTGACGCTAGATCACAAATGACGTCAAAATGTGGTAGGAACACCCATGACACTCCCGGCTGCGCCTCGTGGGCCACTTTTTTGTCCTCTGTGACCTATTTCTGAACAGTTATACGCACGACAACAGGAAGTCTATTTGTTAAAAAATAATAAAAGGCTAAGCTGTAGAATTTACATGTCATTGACTAAGAATAACTTTTATTGTGTTATGCCTCGATCTTCAGAGCCTCCCGACGCATGTGAATGAGGTGGACCAAAGTGGCAGGCCATTCTGCAGTTGCTCGTAAAAAGTTCCTAGCTTTACGCCCTGATTTGTTTGTCTTTTAACAAACCCATCAATTAAGGGCTTAACTTTTGAGCCTTTAGGCTTAACTCGTGAGAAGAAATAACAAAATTATGATATTGAAAGGGTATGCCATCACTTCCTCTTTCGAATGCGTTCGGAGCAATGGCCGGCGGTTGTGTCACCGAAACACATTTTCCAGCATAATTGTACCTTGGAGTTTCGAACCAAGGGTTCCAAGATCTTTAGGATATGAAACTAAAATTAAAAAAAGATGCTCTGAGCTACAAACAGTCTGATTCGGAACTGTTATGTAGGTCAACGCATCGCATTTGCAATGTCGTCAATATTAGTGATTAGTCAGAGGCGAGAGGCAAGCATAAAAACGAAACATTAAGATCGTTCTAAGAACTTTTCCGAGTGAAGCTCTGAATGACTTTTATTTTATTATTAGCGTTGAGACGAGATGATCTTTGAAAGGAAAATTTTGAAAACCGTAGACAAAGTTAATGATTCAAAATTACAAGAATCGATACGTCTGATGTGGGATATGCATCTTGTTTGTGGCGCATAAATAATTGGCAGGCAGGAACTAAAGATGTTGGATGACTCAACATTTTCAGAAAGTCAACAGCTCTAATTACAAGTTTCCACGAAAAAAGGATGAAACATTACTGATATTATCTTGCAACGGTTGATGGTTATGCCAGACATCACAAGATAAATGCGGATAACTGCTTCGTTAGACATGAATGATAAACAGGAACTCGTTAGATTGTTTGTCACGCAGATGATCCGCAAAAAAAATCGAAATACAAAACTCACAAATTTTCAAAAAGTAGATAAGAAGTAACCTGTACATATCTCAATTAACGTAATCACAAATAAAGGAAGTAAATGATAACAAATGTTAACAAATAAGAAACTAACTCTCACAGTTGCAATGCAATTTAAGAAATTGGAGAAAATAAACCTTGCAAATAGATCAGGCTTCAACAAGGCTCGAATACAAACCTGGGCTTTTCTATTCTATCAATTATATTTCTTTGAAAAAATAGTCCCTGATACACCATACCGAGGGAAATTAAATATCCTATACCTGCATTTCGTTCACTCCTAGGGCATCCCTGGCGAATGTTTGCAACTCTCTCCCTATCAACTTTGGATCCAGAAGACTTGCATTTGTTTGACTCGCTAGCAAGATGCAGAGGGCTAGTAACAGTATGAAGGCTTTTCCATCTTTGAAGAAAGCTTTTCTTGTTGTCAAAGCCATTTCTTTTAACTTATCTCCGCTCTCTTCCGCTATTTTCACGTTCTGCGCTGGTGGCTCTTAAAGCAGACTTACATTTTAAGACTGTGCACTTATTTAACAATGGTATGGTAATTTATATAATTTGCGTCGTAAGAGAATCGTGTAAGACCTCATGTCACGCGACATAACTATTTTTAAAGTGTAGTACGACTCTAAATATAAGTAAAGTGAGACCGAAAAATAACACAATTGAAAGAATTAGCCTCAAAATGAAAAAGTTTGATCAAGAATGGAGGAGACCGTTGTGAGGTTGTGAATTACAGCGGATGATCGAAGTACTTTTAATTACGTAACTCTTTAATTGAAAGACCCCCTAGCGAGTAAAAATAGAAGTAATTGTAATCAGCTTAGGTGTTTTTGGATGTTGCTTGGTAGCCATGCAACCAAATATAAGAAGGGAAAAACCCTCTCGTGACTAATCGCTGTCGCGCTGGTTTAAGGAAAATCATTCTGTGCACTTAGTGTTGCTATATATGGATCTCTGTGTGTCGGCGATTAACAATTTTTTGTTCTGTGATTACAATTCGATTTTATTGACCATCAGTTGTCAACTGGTCAGTGTCCTATCCGGGATTGACGCAATAAGTGTTAAGTAACTGCACTTGATTTTTTTTTTTCACTTTGCTCGTTAAATGATGTATACGATAATTATGCTGACCAGTTAGGAGTTTGACTATTTAATTTACTTAGTATTGTTACAATAATGAAAACCGTTACCTTATTAACAGTTCATAAACTGCCCTTACAAAAATCACTTATCTCATTTTGTTTACAAGATTAACAATATTTAGTGTTAGTGCTTACTCTGCACACAATCCTAACAATTAAAGACAACGAATATTTCCGATATCTCTCCTTATTATATTTATTCATTTATTTAACTTTATTTAAACACGGATAAAACATCAGGATTTAAAGTAATCACTAAAATTGCGATAACTACATTGTTAAGATGCTAATCTACTACGAATTAAATCTAATAACAGCAAAATAAAAACAATAACGAAGTGCCTGCTTTCCATGAATGCCGTGTGATTAATTAACTTATTTATTATCAAAAAGGAAACCCCTGCAGCCGGATTTACAACTAGCAATAGTTTGAGCTTGCCGCAGATTAGTAGGTAAGCTGTTCCACATCACCGAACCATTATAGCTGAAACTTTTTTTAGAAAATTGGTGCGGAGGAGTGGAACAGCTAGTTTGCCCTCACAATTCCTAAGAGAATAGGTAGATCTGAAATTAAGAGATCCTCGCAGCCAAGAACACTACTGAAACGAATAGTTGAAAATAGGACCTGAAAAATTCAGGCCCGTACAGGATTTGAACCCATGACCTCTGCGATACCGGTGCAGCGCTCTACCAACTGAGCTAACAAGCCAACTGGGAGCTGGTCAATGTGTTCTTAGCTGCGAGGATCTCTTAATTTCATCTCTTCACCGCAGTGCAAATATATGGATTTCATATATCTAAAATCATCAAGAATAGGTAGACATTGCACTCCGATCAGTAAACATTGATTTCAGACAATCAAGGGCGAGACCATTAGGAGATTTATAGACCGTAGTGGCTGTTTTTAATTCTCGTTGGAGGCATCATATGAAGGAGAGGTCAAACACGCGCAGCACGATTCTGTAGTTCTTGTAGTTTAATAGAAAGAGATTTATTACAATTCCCCCATACGACACTACAGTAATCGAAACGAGGTTGAACAAAGGCATTATAGATGCATAGGAGCGTTTCAAGGAGAACAAAAGATCTGCTTCTCTTTACGATGCTACTGCAGGAAATTTGGAAATATGTTCGATATGTACGTTCGTTCCAAGTTAGGTTTTCATCTATATATACCATATGAGATTACGTAAATTCTACTTGTTTTATAGAATTGCCGTCAATAGTAAAAGACGGGAGTCCTTTAAAAGTATTGTTTAAAATACATCAGCTGGTGTCAAATATAACACAGCTTATTGTCAAATATTAACACTTTTTACAGCACTTTTATAGCTGATTATATTGTCACCACATATTTGATATTTGTTTAGTATGGTTCGCCAAAAACGAGAAAGGAAAATTCTTCCTGATGTCAAGAATGGTATATGGACACTGTACTAATAAATTGGAGACGAGGAAGTGAAATTTCACGGGTATTGCACATCAATTGATGTATTATACGGAAATTATAATTTACCACCAATTTCGATTTGAATTTTCTCTGTTGCAAAGTGAAACATGTACCAGAAGCCAAATCTAAAAGGTTTCCCTTTTGGGCAGTCATACCAGTGGACGGTAGGCAATTTAGACTCTCTTTTCATTGTCTTCCCCATGCCCCCGCGGCTTTTGTCCGTTGCACACAGAAGGGTAACGCTGGAATAGCTGAAATCGACAGAATTTTGAAGGAATTTTTTTTTTCTCGTTTCGATCCAAGAGGCCGCAATCCCCTTACGGACAGGAAACTAAGCGTGAACGAGATCGCCATAGTTATTTTTAACCACCTCGCACAGGATTCCGGTACAACCAAAACGTATGCTGCCCTTTTTAAAAATGAAAAAAGTAATATTTGAGATGTCCCTATTTTTTTTTCGTACATCATACTTTGCAAGGTTAATCAGAAACACCGTTGAATGCCCGATCGTCGAGTCTGCAAGGCTAAACCTTGTCTGTAGTGTGGTAATCCAGTCAAATTCGAGAATGAGTTGTTCTTTGTTGTCACTGTAATCCGACACTCGTCGCTGATCCAGGGTGGTCTTTGGCGCGGAAATTTCACATTAAAATAGCGCCATGTGATTGGTCAATGCCCACATTCCTCAAATGCATTCAGGCATATCGTCTTTCCGGTGAATTCCCAAAGTCGACTGTTGGCTCTATTTGCAAGACAATTTCGTCACTGTTTGGAGAATTCTCCGTCATTTTAACTGGTGATTTGGCTAAAGTTATTCTGAATCAGAGAGACCCCTTTTGGATAGCTGAACTGTTACGTTGAAATAAGAGTTGTCTGCGAAAACGGTCTTCCTTGGAGACAACTGGTTGCAGATTCGAAGACACTACATGGTTTACACAAGGTTTCAGGTTTTTTGCGAATAATTTGAGCTAATTCTTCGAAGATAATTCCTTCACTCGGCAGTTCAAGGTAAGGAAAAGTTAATTTGCCACTCCAGTCAAAATATCCACTCCTACGTAAGAATTTTAGGCTTTCTGTCGCGCTTTGTATTATTGCGTCCCCGTATGACATGTGGTAAATAAATTGGTGCGTGACTTCAAGATAAACGTAGACATTTTTCATTTAGTTGCTACCGCTACGGCTTTTCTCGTCACCACATGAATGATCGTAGCTCGAATTATCTTTCGATATTTTAAAATTACAGTTCTCCACAGTAGATTTCACGTTGTTTAGGAAACATTTTGATAATACCAACTTTCGTTTCAGCACCTCAAAAATCTTTGAAGTTTTGCACGTGGACAAAATTATGGCAAATCTTTGGAGAATTGCGTTATTGAAGTTTCTTTTGATCGGTAAGTTAAAGGCCAAAAATTATAAAAGCACTACACATTTTTCTTTTGCATGTTTTATTCGTTATTTCTCCCGCACCCAATGACCATTTCCTTTCTTTGACCTGATGTGAACCTCTTCTCTGACATCCTGTCGACGGACATATTAAGATGTGAGACAATTTATTTGAATCTTTTCATTCGAGACCGTGCAGCTAATCCACGGCAATGCACACTCGTGTTCCCCGTTTGCATGATAAAGTGTTTACGCAAGTCATTACTGAAGTTAAGTTCTTCCTACGATAAAAATTATGCAATTAAGATTATTTAAACCAAACTGTCCGATGTGGGCTTTATAATTTGTTGATGTTGTGGTATGGGAGCGGTAGCCTAGGAATTCCTGTGGTTTCCTCAGCTTTGTTAACGCCCTGTCAACGATAGTAACCATTTTGCCGTAATTGTCAGAACAAGTTGTTATTCCAGATGCTTGAATTCGAAGTTATCTGATTCAGGTTTCTTTCCTTGAGAAAATAACAACTGCCCTCTTTAGAATTATGATAAATAAAGGCACTAGATAAATAGATAACAATCGTTAATTCCAAGCGTAAACACTATCGACCTTTGTAATCATTTGATAAAATTTATTCTCACCTAAATCTTATGATTTTAACGACAATCTGATGACTTTTCTAAGTAAATATTGATTACTCACTGCACATCCCTCCCTTCCGCCTTTCATTTTATTTATTTACGAAAAAGAGTCAACAAAATGATTATCATTTTGTTGATTATTGATCGTAGAAACTGCCTCGCCGAAGTCTCAGTGAGGAGTATGGTTCATGATGACGATGACCAAAGAGAATGATAGTTGATTTTATTGAAGAGGTTCTTGATTGTTTAAACAATTTCTTCTTGAGAGCACAATTGTGAATTTATGGGGAACGGTCGGGAGAATATGTATGTTGATTTAAGGGTGTGAAGGGTTTAGGAACTTGGCCTCTGCTTCTTGAAATGTGATTATCTCCATTAAAGGTTTGTCCTGTAAATACTCAATTTGTCCATCCAATTTAGGATGCATGCGGATAGTTCAGAGCGCATGGAGATAGGGTAAGAGATGCTTGAGGTTCAGCCGAGAAAATCTCTAGCCACCTCAGTGCTCTCTCATGATAAATTTACAAAGAAATGTATAACAGCTAGAAGGGAGAATTGACAATTAGTTCTTGGGATTTAGGTGGTTAACAGACATTTTTTTTTTATTTCCTCATGAAGGTTGTCAAGTTTTTGGTCAAAATGGCAATACTCAATGTGACAAACGTAGTTGTTACCCAGCCACAGGGGATCTCATGATTGGTCGAAGTGCCAATTTGACAGCCTCCTCCACTTGTGGTATGACATCTCCTGAGGACTACTGTATTGTCGCACATCTTCAGGCCAACCCAGAGGAGTGCTTTGTTTGTGACACAAGCATCTCTGACTTCAATCATGAAGCAGAGAATATGATATCAACCTTCAATGGAAATAGAGACAAAACATGGTGGCAATCAGAAAATCTCAAAGAAAATGTATACCTTCAGGTAAACATTTCCACTTTAATAATCCTTTACACCTTAACCTCAGAATCTCCTGTATAATCTCCATAGTATTCTCTATAATTTTCCTTTGGTAATAGCTAGGAAATTCTTTTAACAATCCAACCTTCATCAGTTGGAAATAATACCCTTTATTCTCATGATTGTAATGGATGATTCAGCAGTATGAATGTAAGGAGAAATTAAGTGTTGGTCACTCCTAGGGTTTAACCCGTCCACTTCCATGAGTGACTAAGACAGAATTTCTCCCCACAACATCAATACAGTAACAAGCAGACAAGTGATGAGAATGTATGTAGAGGAAAATATCAATTAGGTTATAATCAGTTGATCCAATGCCAAATTCTCAACACTAACATCACAAAAGTTGTATGGCAGAAAGTAAAGAAAATTACTGTCAATATCTCGGGAGTGATAGGGTGGAAATCATTCCAATCAAATCAATATTATCAAGATCTTATTGAAATGAAATACTTTAAATTTCTACATTTTACTTTTAAATGTTTAATATCTTGTTCATGGTTTCAAATAGCTTGATCTGGAAGCTCAGTTTCACTTCACACACTTGGTGATGACATTCCGCACTTTCCGTCCTGCTGGAATGCTTATTGAAAGATCATGGGACTATGGTAGGAACTGGCATGTGTATCGATACTTTGCTGCAGACTGCGAGAAGACCTTTCCTGGAATTCCCCACAGACAGCAGAAAGAAATTGATGATGTCATTTGTACAGAGGATTTTTCTTCTGTGGAGCCATCATCAAATGGAGAGGTAATAATTCAGATGAATACAGTGTAGCTTAGGCTGTGTGGCTGACAAACAAACTCGCAAGGGGGGAGGGGAGAGGAGGGAGAGCTAAGTGTCAGACTACTGAGGTACATTTTTGTTTTACAATCTGTCACAAGAAAAAGCAATGAAATTTAAGCCAGCACACAAATCAAGCCTATTTTGATGTATACATTTCTCTTCAGTGGTATGCAACCATTTTCTTCTGATAGCTGATGTAAACATTTATTCAAGATCAGGGTGGTTTTCTTTACTGATCTCTTTGTTGATTCTCACAGCCTTTACTTGTGAAAAATTTGCTAATATTGAAGAAGGAATTTGTTGCTGAACACTAACTTTAAAAAAAAACTGTATGTCAACATTTAACCCTTTAACTCCCAGATCTGATAGTCAATTCTCCCCTCCAGCTACGACATATTTCCTCTTAATTTAGTTACAAGAATTTGGTGTTAAATCAAGACCACAACTTTTATTTAATATGTTTGAGTATTCTCATTACCTGTTTGTTGGAAAATGTAAGCATATTGCAGGGAGAAGTTAGATGTTTATCACTTCTGGTAGTTAAAGGGTTAAAACATCAATCTTACTAAAATGGAACCTTTATTTACTTTTGACTCTGTCTTCCTGTGCCTGGCCTTTTTACGCCAGCCATACATTCTAGAATTACTGGTAAATCAGTAAATTGCTGGAATAAGTTAATAACTGAGAATCAGTTGTTTGAATTTTGAATTCATTTGTCTTTTATGATGTTTTGATATTGTCATTTCTTTATGAATTTTAAGTGGTAGATTTTGTGCAGAAAAATTATAATGAAATATGATTGCATATGTTTCTGTTGAAGTGTCTTCATTGATAACTACATGTACAAACTCAAAGCTGAGAAGCCACTCTTTTGAAAACTGCATGTGGCAAAGGAAACTGGTGTACAGGTTGCAGTTCTCCTGTTTCCTACCTTTACAAAAAGCAACACTCCAAATTGCAATTCAACCTGGAAACAGTAGACAAGAAGAGCCTCTTTTTGGAAAGTCCACTGATAAATCCCCATCATTATTATCATTATTTTATTATTTATGTGTAATGCATAATGCATGTGAACATAACATTAAGTGTGTATTTCTAACAGTTTTGTACTTGATCATGTATCAGGTTATCTTCAGGGCACTTAATCCTCAAATTCCAATCAAGAATCCCTACAGCGAAAAAGTACAGAACCTGCTCAAGTTGACAAACATACGGATTAACTTTACCAAGCTTCACACCTTGGGAGACTTGGTCCTGGATCCCACACAGCCTGAAGCCAGATTAAAGTATTACTATGCTGTGTACAACCTTGTGATCAGAGGTAGCTGTTCTTGTTATGGGCATGCTGAGCAGTGTCTACCTTTGGATGATAGTGAGCAAGACATTACTGGCATGGTGAGAAACTGTGTTAAGATGTAGGTCTTTAAATCAAATACAAATCTCTTAATAGAAATACAGAAAATACAAAATTATGTGATAATTTAAATTAATTGCAATTTTTAAAAAAATTCAAGAGTAAAAGAGGTAGCCTCATTTTCTCTTAATAGGTGCATGGACGGTGTGACTGCGCTCACAACACAGAAGGGAAGAACTGTGAACGATGCAAAGATGGTTACAATGACACACCATGGCGGCCTGCTACTGTGGATGATTCATATGAATGCAAAAGTATGTATTCTGCTTGTAGTTCCATTCTAGAACATGTAGGAGACACAATGGTTTAGTAATAATGAATTCTTTTGTGGTGTGTATTCCTTCTCTTCATGTAATCTTGTTTGTAGACAAGGTATGATAAAGGCACATTGTTTTGTATTGCAGAGTGTGACTGCAATGGCCATGCTGAGGAATGCCGATTCGATCCGGCTGCATTTGCTAATTCTAATTTTACTAGTGGTGGTGTCTGTGTCAACTGTCTGCATAACACTGTTGGTCGTAAATGTGAGAAGTGTAAGCCTCTGCATTTTCAGGATCCATCCAAAGACTTTAGAGATTCAGCTGCTTGTATTCGTAAGTCCAGTCCAAGTATTTTGAATATCACACTGTAGTTAGGAAAACATCTACTTGTAGATAGTGGGTTTTCTCTTGCAATTTTATTGTTATAAACATCTCTAGATCCTGTTGTTTCAAACCTTCAAGATTTGCTTGAACACATTAAGTACTAGTATAAATTTGCCTTCTATCTCTACCTTAATTGACAAAAATACTGGATTGCCTGCAGTATGGTAGGTTGTCTAGGACACCTGGGAAGCAAAGGGCAGAGTTTTATAGAAATGCTCTCAGAAATTACATAAGCTATTAACTACTTCATAGAAATTACCAGACGGTAACAGGAGATCAAAAAGCTACCCTTCCTTTATTAGACTGCTCAGCAAATAGGTACAAGGCTGTGTATTTTTTCAATTTTTTATAAGTAATTATGTAAAATTGAACAATCATTAATGCACGTGGTGCAGCTGGTCAGCTCTCAGCCTGTAGGACCAGCACTTTCTAAGCTTGATATTTTGTTCATATTGCAAAATTGTGGATTATTGTTTGTAATGTACATGAACATGTAGCTTTCCCAAGTAACTTTATCTCCACAGAATCTTTTAAAATTGTTTTTGAAAAAATCAGTTTAAGTCCCTTCTAAGATCAGTTTTTGATGTGGATCTGATTTGTTTGTGGTCCATCTCATAGCATTGTCCATGTCATCATCTTTCATTTTATTTCTTAGCTATTTTACATCTATATATTTGTATTGTTTTATAACCTGTTCCCTTGGGTGGGTGCTATGCATGGGTCTTAATGTCCTGTTTGGGCCTTTCTCTCTTGAAATTTTAATTTCTGTAGTTTTTTCCACTAATTCTTTCCTATCCTGTTTTTACTGTATTTCTTTATTTATTGCCCATTAAAGATTTAAGGAATGATTTGAACAGACACACTTTCTCACTAGAAAGAAACATCTCTTTCCTATCCTTTGAACGGTATCTCTTTATTTATTGCCCATTAAAGATTTAAGGAATGATTTGAACAGACACACTTTCTCACTAGAAAGAAACATCTCTTTCCTATCCTTTGAACGGTATCTCTTTATTTATCGCCCATTAAAGATTTAAGGAATGATTTGAACAGACACATTCTCTTGAGCACTAGAAAGAAACATCTCTATGTACAGCTGTAACACCACATCGTCTCAACTAAAGCTGATCCATGAAGTGTACACAACTTTGCTGCTACATGTACAAGAGAGAATTTCAGTACGAATGACTTGTTTAGTATTAAAAAACAAACAAACAAACAAAATTAAAATAAAACAAACACCACCAGTAACAAAACCGGAGACATTTTCCTCCAGCCGGTATTAGATTAATCAAGTGAGATGGATGGGAATTTGTTAAGTCGAGCGGGTTGGAAGAGAAATTTTCTTTAACAAATTTAAAAGTGAGGAGCGTCATTATTGCTTTTAATGCGAAATGGCATCCTAGAAAAGCAGCAATAATGATATAATAGGTTTTATTGTGTATTAGTTATTAGTTATTCTGGCGAGATAGAATTAGATATTTTACTCTCTTAGCTTGCGCTGAAGGATTTCACCGCATATAGATAAAGTTATTGAAATATTTTTTATTATTTGTTTATTTATTGTCATTTGTTGGGTGTGTGTGTCTAGCATGCAACTGTGATTCTGTTGGCGGTATCAGCGGGGGAGAGTGTGAAGGGGAGACTGACGAGGAAGCAGGCTTGGTGGGCGGCCGGTGTATTTGTAAAAAAAACGTTGAAGGATCCAGATGCAGTCGGTGCAAACCAGGATTTTGGAATTTAAGGAGAGACAACGATGATGGTTGTACAGGTGAAAGAGCTTTATCCCTTTAACTCCCATAAGTGACCGAAACAGAATTTCTCCTTACAATATCAATACAATATCAAGCAGACAAGTGATGAGAATAAAGAAAAATATCAATAAGGGGATTATAAGTTGATCCAATATCAAATTCCCCAAACGAACATCACGAGAATTGTATGGCAGACAGTAAAGAGAATTACTAATGACATCTTGGGAGTTAAAGGGTTAAATTAATATATCAGTTGTCAGGTGGAAAGCACTGATTTTCAACAAACGGCACGGACATTTATGGAAAAAAAAAGATTTAAACCAAGCTTAAAACCAAGATTTTCTGACAACTGCCTGAATGTTCTGGTTGTAATTTTTCCAGTGCTGTGCCTTCCGTAAATATTTCGACATGAACCTTTCACGTTCCCTTAGAGGGAGGGAGGGAGGGGGGTTGGGTCTCCTCGGGCTTCCAGACGTGGGTGAAGCTTCTTTGGAGGGGGGAATTATCAAAAGGAGGTTTTAGCTTATTAAAAACTCATTGATGAGCACCTAATTGCAAGTCATTACTCTGTTTCTGACTGTTTTTAAGCTCCGGTGATTACTGTGTGACAACTGCATCCCTTTGGTCTCAAAACTTGCAATGTTCTAAACGGAAATTAAAATTGAAAAAGGCTTTTACATTCAGGCACACTTTTTAACGAATTGCTACCAAGCCAAATTAGATAATATTATTTGAGTGTGCTGTTCAGGACGGCGGGTTCTTACAGTAGCTAGTAGTGCCATTATGGTAACTTCCTAAATACCTGTTTGTCTATTATACACGCCGTTCGGTTCAGATCTGCCAGGTCCGCCAGCGTGCGTTCTGGGATATGTTTGATTATTTGATGGGGCAACACCAAGCCTGTTAACTGTTGCACGTATATTTTACCTTTCAGCTTGTGGCTGTAGTCCGCTTGGTATCTTGGGTGTATGTAACCCAAAGGATGGAAAGTGTTTGTGTAAACGGAACGTTATGGGACCAAGATGCGACCGCTGTCAGGTTGGTGTGATCGTGAACGCTAAAACGCGCTTTATGTGATCGTTCGTTTGTTTCTCCATTCGTTTACTTTTTCTTTTCTTTACTCGTGCCTTGTGGCTTTGTTGACACATGCATTCTTTCCCACTTGCGGTTCCCTTCGTTTTTTCTTGTTTTCAGCCTATTGTGCCCTCGTCACTTCGTGCCTTCGTGTCGTCAGCCTTTCTTGCCTTTGTACCCTCGTCCCTTCGTTTGTTGGGTTGTTCGTGTCTTTATTTCTTCGTTCCTTCGTGCCTTCGTGTCGTCAGCCTTTTTTGCCTTCGTACTCTCGTCCCTTCGTTTGTTTTGTTGTTCGTGTCTTTATTTCTTCGTTCCTTTGTGCCTTCGTTTCGTCAGCCTTTTTGCCTTCGTACCCTCGTCCCGTCGTTTGTTTGGTTGTTCGTGTCTTCATTTCTTCGTGCCTTCGTGTGTTGGTCCTTTCGTGTCTGATTGCTTTCGTGCGTTTTTCCTTTCATTTCTAAGTTCTTTTATCTCCTCTCTCTTTTGCTCCCAAAATTATTCATTTGGTTTAACATGTTACCCTGCATTCTTTATTTATTTGTTTTCTCATCATTCAGCCTGGTTTTTGGGGACTGAGTAATAAAACCAAAGCTGGATGCAAACAGTGCGATTGTGACGTTGGTGGTTCATACGAGAGGAACTGTGAACAAGTTAAGGGCCAGTGTCGCTGCCGTAAAGGTATCACGGGAAGAAAGTGCGATAAAGTCCAGACCGGGAATTTCTTCCCTCTACCAGATCACCTGAAATACGAGTCTGAGGAAGCAAAAATTCTTGGGGTACGTACAAAATGTGTGGTGCATCATACAAGAGTAGAACGACAAGCCATACCCTACCTGCCCTGTTACTTTTGTCTCCACACCTCCTACGACGATTGATAACAAAAAGCTTTAATGGAAGTAAGATATGTCAGAGCCCTTCTCGTTTTTGATCGTCGGAAAATCAAAAGCAAACCAGTCACAGAAGCCAATCAGAACAGAGGAGATTATCGCTCGGAGCCAACGCGAACCTTAGGTTTCGAGAGCGGGAAAACGCTAGTGACTAAGTCGTAGTTGGTTTAAGAATTGCATGTAATTGGTTGAGGAGGTAGCGGGAGTTTTCTAAACCAAACAAACGTGACTTCCGCTCTGACGAAGGGCTATCGCTCGAACCATCAGCTTTGAAACTCTTTACAGTGGCCAATTTACGTTATCAACTCAGTTGATAATTCTTAATTACCCTGTTATACTTTCCCACCGACACAGCCCCACAATTTCTTTAGAAACTTACCCCCTTTATTCAAAGGAAAAATTTGTCATAATATTATATTGATGTTCTTTTCGACAAGAACGCAAACACTATTCAAAGACATCGTCATTGAATTTGGTATTACAAAGAAAACAGTCGAAGACCGTCGAACGTTTTGTAATATTCGCGTCTAAAGACGTCAATGTGCTTCACGAGGTTCTCTGCTATATTTATTTTATTTTCCCCTTTTCCTCAGGGTCAGAACAACGGTAAAGTTGTTCCGAGGGAACCACAAACTGGAGAAGATGTGTCCTGGACAGGCGATGGTTTCGTGGAGATTAAAGATAAAGCGACTTTGGAGTATGCCGTGACTAATGTTCCCTACACGGGCGAATACAACATCTTGGTTAGATATGAACCGAAGGTATGGTTTTTAGTCGAGTTTGATTTTTGTGTAAGAAAAGAGACGTTCAGCAGATAGGACCACCTATGTGCCGTGGAAAGAGCTGCTCAGTAGCCTTGTACAGAATTATAGAGCGCCTCTCGAGTGACGTAAAACCAAAATCAAAGTGATTACATAAAGGCCAATCAGAAGAAGACAAGTATTTTAAAGAACCAATAAGAGCTCAAAACAAAAACAAGAAGACTGTCCAAAGCGCGGGAAAACGCGGGTGACTAAGACGCGATTGTTTTTTTGCTTTGAATTTGGTTGAAAGAGTGGTGCGAGTTTTCTGGACCAATCAAACATTGTAATAGAGCAAAACTAAAGCAATCCGGGATGAGTGCTGGGTACATATTATTTGAACAATGAAAGTAAGGAATTGGAAAACTCGAGACTTTTTAAACGCACAGTACATTTAAATGCGGGTATCCTGTTAATTTAGCATTTTGGTTTGAACTTTATCAAAAAGTTGTACGCTTTTGAAACACCATGACTTCCTCAGATAGGACAACTTAGTTCTCATCGCCCGGCAAGTACGTCACCTAGTTACTACAACGTTCATACAAATGTGCATGCGCAAACATTTGATCGCTGTGTCAACTTGAACGGCACAATAAATAGTACCACTTGCAAGGTAAACCTCTATGTAAATATTATATCTTGATTAACAAACAAAGTGTGTATTCTTCACAGGATTCTGGACTTTGGCAAGTTAATGTAATGATCCAACGCCTTGACGGGCTTCCATTGACCAGCGGTAAATGCGTTAACGCTACTAATTCCGATGACCCGAATTATGGAAATTTCTCAGCCATCCTGCAAACCAGAAGGCGTTACGTTCTTATGCTCCCCAGTGTTTGTTTGGAGAAAGATGTGTCTTACGTAGTTAAGGTCACCTACAGCAGAGACGAGTCCAACAAAGATGGTGTCGATAGTATCTTGACCGACTCGGTAAGTTGAAACTTGGGCCTTGGTCCTTGTCGAGTAGGTTGAAGGTTATTCAGGATGCCTTGGCCCTCTTTCACTACGTCTTATTTTGCTATAAACCTAAGGGTTCCCAAAAAATTTTACCATAAGCGGCTGCTGATGATGTTATATGTGGCTATGCCGCAAGACGACTGGATCCAAACACGAGAGCCTGGTCACAGGCTAAACAGACGGCGATGAGAGGTCTTATGGGCGGCGATAGAAAACTGGTTACTAGCTTTTAATTAAACCCCTAGAGCCCTGTAGTACAGGGGAGGGGAGGGGGAAGGGCTGATTGAACAGGGGTGGGGGTTGGTGGTTAATAAATCATTTAGAGTTAACATGAAATTCAACTTTTTTTTCCCTCTATTATTTCTGCCTAGAGGGGGGTCGGTTTTTAGAAAGGGGAGGTAGCTTCTGAGAGAGAAAGAGAAAGGCCCAGGGGGTGTATTGGAGAACAACGAGGCTTAGTAGAGAGGAGAGAGGAAACTCATTACTATGGAAAAGCGGTTAACAGGAATGGGAGGGGTCGGTAGGACACATTTAGAACGTCTTCACTGATCAAGAAAACTAGAGCCAACTTCCCAACTGGTGAGGTACAAAGCGTAACGTTATCCTAAGATTTTTCTTTTTTCCTTTTCCACAGATGGTTCTTGTTCCCTACGTAGAATCAGTTTCCATCTTTCAAGGACCCGATGGCGAACAAAGAAAAAAGGTTTTTGATCAATTCAGTTGCCTGGATTTTAACCTGGAGCCAGCCTCCCCTCGACCCCAACTTCCCGATGTTTGCAAGCAGCTTATATTCGCTATGTCATCGGTTATATATGATGGCGGAAAGCGTAAGTCGATCCGTTCGTTCTACGATAATGTTATGTAAACCCCCATCATGTGCCTTGGGTATTTGTGGGTTAGTGAGGTCGATCTTCGTTTTAACCCGTTAAACCCTTTCATCAGTATGCATTTCCTTCAAACTGTTCTTTAAACATTACCTAAGGTGCAGTCAAGGAGAATTTGTTGAACAATCAAGAGTTTCTTCATTTCCTTTATTCTCGTGACGTTATGGTTGATTCTGGAGTTGCATTTTAAGGATAAATTAGATGCTTGTCACTCTTAGAGGTTGAGGAGTTAATCAAATATTTTATTAGTTTTTTGGTAAAAGCCTGTATATATTGTACTTGAGTGAAACCTGCGTTTTTAAAGTCTGCCAAACCGCATGTTCCACATATCAATTCAATCTTACCAAAATCAAATTGATCAAATTTGTGCTGAAGGTGACAACGAGATTAGATGAAAAAGAATGTTAACAATCCCTCCAGTTTCTCACGATATCTTGGGTGGTTTAATTTGTCGTCGGTGATTATTTGCGAGAATGCGATAGAAATCTGTACAGAACCAAAACTACTCTCAGGAGAGGGAAAGGGTGACCCCCCCTCCCCCCACCCTACCTCAGCATAGGGAGATAGAGTGTGTCAGTTCAATCTTCTGTTTTTGTTTGTAGCGTGTAACTGTGATCCGACGGGGACCAAGCGAGACGAGAACGGGACGCTGATTTGTGATTCCGTGGGAGGTCAATGTAAGTGTAAACTGAACGTGATTGGCCAGAGGTGCGACCGCTGTGCTCCAGGATCGTTTGGATTCGGACCCCAGGGTTGTGCTGGTAAGTGACAAAGCAGAAGGTAAAGGTGCTTTAGAAAGGCAATGAAGACAAGAATCAGTACATTCTCCTACAGTAGACATAGCACAGTCCCGACGATTATTTTTTGTTTTGTTTCTACGCTAGTTTGTTTCACGAAAAGCCGCAACAAATTAAGCAAAAGAAACAAAAAGAGGAAGGAAAAACTGGAGGAGAGCTGATCATGCAAGACAATTTTGCCCGATTTTTCCACCGATGCAGCACCACAGTTTCTTTAGAAACTTGCCCCCTTTTAAACCAAAGCTATTCGCTATTTTCAAATCCCCCATCATTCACCTCGTTTGCCCTTCCCTTTCCTTATCGCTCCTCTCCCCTACCCCTTCCCCCTCCATCACCCTGTTACCCCTCCCCCCCCCAAAACAAAATCACGATCAAAGGGAGAATACACCTGTACTTAAATTTTTCCTTCCAATGTTCAATAGGCTGCAACTGTAATAGTATCGGGGCCTCTGACAACCTCTGTAACGCTCAGACTGGACAGTGTACTTGTAGAATCAAGGCAGGGGGAAGACAGTGCAATCTTTGTCCCCCCCGGAACTGGGGATTCCCTTTGTGCCGACCTTGCCGCTGTAATGGCCATGACACTTCCAACTGCCATCCAAAGACTGGAGAGTGTCTGGACTGTCAGCACAACACCGCTGGCAAAAACTGTGAGGTGTGCGCTATTGGTTACTATGGTGATGCCACTAAGGGTAAGTTTAAAGTGTGTATATGGGTAGGTTCATGACAGTCTCGTTTCCAAAACTCCTGGTCTCTTGAGATCGAGGTTGAGTAAGTACCCCTCTCTTTGAATCGTTCCGAGTATAACAACCGGTGCAGTTTTCCAAATATTAGTCGAACTAGTTACACGCGGCACAGATTTTTCTTGCTTCGTTTACCTTTTAACTCTCAAATCGTTTTCGCAACTGTTTAAGTCACCTTTCTTTGCTAATTTGTTTAGTTTTATCAGTCAGAGTAGGGAGAATTCTGATGAAAATTGTAGTTATCCGGTACGAGAAAGTTTCATGAAAATCTTTTCAAGGTAGAAAAGGTTCATTTTAGGGCGATCCGATGTGCAAGCGGATGGGTGGAAATTCGTTTAATTTTTTATGTCGTGGACTCATGTTGAACCGCAAGTGATAAACACAAGCCACATTTCCCATTCATTATTCTGCGTCCTCTTCCCACAGGGACACCAAAAGATTGCCGTCGCTGCCAGTGCCCTGGCGGTGGAACTGGAAACCAGTTTAGTGCCACTTGTCGCTCAACTGGACCAGACTCTTTTGCTTGTGACGCTTGTGAAGTAAGTGCCATCCTTAGCATATGGTTTGGACACGTGTGTGTCACACGCGTGTCACTCGTAGTGTGGAAGAGCCTTAGTCATCGATAATGAAGTGAACGCGTGAGCCGCCATTTTCATCGGTATCATCCTTCCTTGTGTGTAGGTCTTCCCTAACATCAGTATCAATATTCTCCATACTGTTCTCTATACATTTCTTTCGGTACTGACAAAGAGAATTGGTTTGACAATCAAGAGCTTCGTAAGGGCTTATCGAGTTCGATGACGCTGTATTTATGCTGACGCTTAAAACATCAGCTTTGGAAACACCTACGGTGGCCAATTTACAGTTTCAACTCAGTAGATAATACCAAATTTTCTGGTAATATCCCCGCTGATGCAGGAACACAGTTCCTTTAGAAAGGTACCTCTGTTGTTACCCTTTTTGAATCGATTGCATTTGTTCTCCAGGTTGGTTACAGGGGAACAAGGTGCGAAGAATGTGCTGACGGTTACTATGGTAACCCACTCGTTCCAGGCGGTCGCTGTAAGCCATGTTCTTGTAACAACAACATTGATCCGTCGAACGGGGGCACCTGTGACAGAACAACTGGCAGATGTTCAGCCTGCCTCTACAATACCGCAGGCTTCAGTTGTGAGCGCTGTAAATCGGGTTTCTATGGTGACGCTATTGCCAGGAATTGTACCAGTAAGAACTGTTTATTATGATGTATAGGGGGACTATAACCGTTTAAGTCTGTGGATGAACCCCTTGTGTGAAACTGTTCAAAGAAAAGCTATTGAGCGGTACTTTCCCGAGTATTTATGCTCTGAGATGTGGCTTTATTTTTAATTGCGTTTCTCTGAGGAGACACACTATTCCTGTCTTTTTTCAGTCCCGCGGATTTCATTGTATCCCGCGGATTTCATTGTATCCCGCGGGTATAATCCGAAGCCAGACCGTTTCAACTTTTTGACGCCAACTTGGATTGACTAACACACGTGGCCTCGATCTCATGCGGTTAGCTATGCGCTTCAGTTTCATGCAAGAGCTTTGTATCACGCTGGCTAAGTGAAGTTGTGCAGGTTGAGTCACTTCGGTCCTGATGCCTTGCGAAAAATGTATGCATGTAGATAAATTGAACCCATTTGAGCAATCGACATTAGAACTGTGAGCTGCTACACTATTTCGTGTTCGTAAGTTTAATTTTGCCTCAGATTTAATTACGTCATTCTTTTGTTTCAGAATGTGTATGTAATATTAATGGCACGGCCCCTGGTTTTGTTGACACATGCAATTATGAGACCGGCCAGTGCAAGTGTTTATCAAACGTCATTGGTATTCAGTGTGACAAGTGCGCCGATGGATTCTGGAACCTGGGCAGCGGTAAGGGTTGTCAGAAGTGCGATTGTTGTGGAGAGGGCTCGACTCAGGCCACTTGCAATCAGGTGAGTAAACCAGCAAGTAATAATCGAGGGTGCATTTTCAGTGTAGTTTACTAGCCTTTTTTTCCTGTATGCTTTTCTACGTCATAACTTAGACTTATTTTTTTGCACAGGATGACGGCCAGTGTTATTGTAAGCCTGGATATGGAGGACCCCGCTGTTGCGCATGTGAAAATGGTTACTGGGGAACACCGCTGAACGACTGCAAACGTAAGTCATGTGGAGTGGTAGAGCCGTCAACTGAGGGGAAGTAAGACATGGTACATGGCCAGGTTACCAAAGATGCTCTATCACACGCAAGACTGGGGTCTATTTTATTTAAATGTCCCTTTTGGTCAGTCCTGTTTATAAAAGTCGAAATTCCCATTCATTGTAACGGACATTTCATTATATTTTCGCCGGGAGGGGGGGAGTAAACCTGATCCTCAAAAGGCTTTGTCATATTCCCATGATCCTCTCTCGTTTCCAGTAAAATGGTAGTAAATTTCCTATAATCCCCCTTTTATACTATGCTGGCGACGACTAATCCTCTTGCGTTCCACGTGAAAACGCTACGACCCCTCCCCCCCCTCCCAAAAAAATCCTTCACCCCAACTCCCCCAGGTTATAAATAATAACTGGGATCGAACTTGTATAAAAACCATTTCTTCTGAATTACGTTTTTCACTCGTTGGCTTTTAACTCACTATGCTGTGCTCTTTGTTCAAAGTGTTCTTTATTTCGAACTGTCTTTCTCAATTTTCCCTTTTCTCGCAGCTTGTGACTGTAATCTCGCAGGATCCGTGTCCCTTCAGTGTGACCGCAACACTGGGAAATGTCAGTGTAAACAAGGTATGATTGGCGACAAGTGTGATCAGTGTGCTCAGGACACCAGCGGTAAAATGCCTCAGTGTGAAGTCTGTGGGGAATGTTATTACCAGTGGAAGGTCACGCTAGAGTCTCTGTCACGCAACATCAGCCTTGAAGTACCAAGAGCGTATAACGTCTCTCTCACTCCTCAGCCAGGTACGTTTTAAACGTGGTCGCGCAGCGTCAATCTCAAAGGAGATTTTGACTCACATGTAGGTACTATGAGATGAAAAAAAGTGTTTCGTTTATTCAAAATTCAAAAGTTCTGTAAGTATTTCATATGCGTGGCATTTTTGGCGCATCCCTTCATAAGCTAGTCTCCATTGCTCTTTTCTCCTTACCACAATGAGCAATGATAGTGAAGGAAGAATATGTGACCCATCTACACCTGAACGACTCTTTTCTAGGAAGTGGAAGTATTAACGCCTATGACAAGGAGCTAAAGGAACTGGAAGACAAACTAGAAAGAGTAGAGATGATACTTAAAAACCAAGTTACTACTGAAAATGATACGATGGCACTCGAAAAAGAATTAGACTCCATTGACATGCAACTGCAAGAGGTGCAAGACAAGGTAGACATGATGAAAAAGGACGTGAGATCATCTGAAATGCGAACAGAGGACGCCAAAACCGAGATTCAAATTCTACGCGAAAGGCTGGCTAATCTTACCCAAGGTGGAACGCAGCTGAAATCCAATGTTGAGAAGATTTTGCGCTCGGACATAAGAGGTGCTTTTGAGGAAATTTTGAAAAATCAAATGCGGTCGCGCCAGGCCGAGGCAAGAGTGAACGAGTCGCAGAAGATTCTTGATATGTCTAAAGAACAAAGAAATATAACAGAGCAGCTTTTAGATGGTCCACCTTCTTTTCTCGATCGATACGATGAAAATTCAGGCGTTCTGTTCGACATCCTTGACAAGATAAGAGAACTGCAAAAACAAGTAGGGATCCTAAATGGGGTTGTCTGCGGGTCCCCCGCCAGTAAGTGCGGTGGGTGTGGGGTGCGTAATTGTTCGTTTTGTGGTGGCCCCGGCTGTAATGGATCCTTAGATCTAGCTATGAAAGCAGTAGAAAGAGCCAGAGAGGCGGAGGCGGCTCAAAGAATGAGAGAAGGTCAGTGAAAAAGTGTTTAGTTTCCTTTGTTCATTCGTCATTTATGTGTGTACTTTGATTAACAAAAGAACCCTCGTTTTTGTAAGTTGACGATCGGTTTGGCATTTTCAATAAGTAAATTGCCCTCGCAAAGAAGGAACTTTTATTGAAACAGGCAGCCTCTTCCATACATCTTTAATGTTAGTTTATTAAATTTAGCGTTCAGTCATAAAACATCCCCAAGGTGATACTTCCTTTACCCTTATCACCCGTCTGCTTGATGGCGCATCTATACTGTCAGGAGAAATTACTCTTCGGTCACTGTTGGGCGTGAAAGCGTTTCAATCTAAGCGTGACAACATCCTTTGGTATATTTTTTTATTCTTAGCCAAAGCAAACGAAGCATTAGAAGAAGTACGAAACGCGGAAGTAATGGTAAACATGACAAAAGAAGCCGCTGACAAAGCAGTAATGCGGGCCATGGATGCTCTCGCGCGGGCTCGAAATGCAAGTGACCGCATGGATAAACTTATTCAGGTACTGCTTTTATAGGTACATCAAAGCTTTCGTTATTTTAGGACTGTTTCAGATTGTTTCTTCGAACCAAAACAGAGGAGTCATTAAGGCTCACTAGAATATAGGAAAAATGTAAGGAACTACAGTAATGCGAACTTTTAATAAACATACGCAAACAGCCTGGAGAGCGGGAAAAACTTAAGTAACAAATCGCGATTGGTTTGTTTCCGTCGCACCTGATTGGTTTAGAGGGTGGTGCGAATTCTCTTGACCAATCACAGGTTGAAAAGTAAACCAAGGAAATCCCGGATTATGTTCGACACACTCACTGAAAGTTGTTCAAGGCTGAAAATCTGTTTGATGTTCCAGGACATTTTAGATTTCCTCGACATGGAGTTTGGAGACACAGACATCGTACGTAAAATAGCTGACGGTGTGAAACAAATGAAATTGTCAGTAACTCCCGAGGAAATTGAAAAACTCGCAGAGGACATAAAGTTGGCTTTGAGCTCATTAACTGGTATTGATGAAATCTTAGAGGAAACCACAGAAAGATTAGACAAAGCTAACGACCTGAAAGAGAGAGCGGAGAAAGCCAGGTAAGTGACTTTGAAAAACTAAGGTGGAAAATTTGTTAAAGGTCGGTGACGAATCAAGGAAAACGTTATTTGTTACGTGAGTGCGATGAAGAAGGAGTCTGTCTCATTCAACGCAGTGGTCAAACGTCTGCGCAAGTTTTATTGAATAGGTAGCGTGTTTTTGGCGCCACTCGGTCAAGTTGATGAATGAACGGCAAAGCTTTTACGATTCTCAATACAAGTTGTTTGCCGAAGTTTTCTCGAATCATGGCGGCGATAACACTAAAAAATCCGTATCGCTGACAGACAATGAGGTTCAAACTTTCTTAGAAGTGGAAGAAAACCAACATACTAAAAAAATAAACCGAAAGTTGCGCATTCAGTGGCTTTGGTGTTAGCATTTCTTTCGGCTGACAATGAAAACTGATCGACAACTGGAAGATTTGCCACTAGCCGATTTTAGCCGTGTACCTGAAAGACTTCTTCTGTTGGTAAGGACAAAGTCAATAAATGAGAATTTTGTAAATTGAAAATTACGACCGTTGTTGCTTTTGCAATCATGATTCAACGCATTTTTCCATCTTAAGAGTCAGTGCCAACGCACTTTACGATTGTTATTTGAGGATTGTCGATTCATTTATTTTCATTCATTAATGAAGTCGGCTTTTCTTCCCAGTAAAGGGCTATTGTGTTTATATGATAAACAAAATAATACATGGTTGCTTGTAGATATGGAATTTCTCTTCTCGTGTTCAACTTGACATCTCACTCGTTCGCTGCACTCACTCGTGAGCTATCGAGTTTAAACACTCAAAGGGAAATTCCATATCTACGCGCGCCCATGTATTATTCTCTATTTCTCACACGAGTTGCAAACAACCACACAGCCAGTAAGTTTTACCAGCGCATAACTTTTCGGTAAAGCTCAAAAGAGAGCGGTAAATGAACAGAATAACGGTACTTGAATAAGCTTTGTGTTCGAAAAGTCTTGAGTTTTCCCTTATTTAGCAAGACGGAAGTTGCATCTTTAGTTATACATTGAAATTTTGCGCGGGAACTTGGCGCAGGGGCGGCCGAAATTGATCCCCCGCGTATGGCAGAGGTTTGACTGTTACTTTTTCTTTGATGAGACTTTTCATTGTCTTGTTCATGAAAATCGTTTAATTGGGAAATCCAGCCAATATATCCCGAGGAAAAATGGAAAAATTAAACGATTTGTTGATCAACTAAATAAGGAAGATGAAAAAAAGATGGAAAAGATTTACGTTGATTACAAACGATAATCCGTGATGTGTTGTCTTTTGTTTCAGAATGAAGGCAAAGTCTGTATCTGCAGTGATTGGTAATATTACGAATATCCTCTCGATGGCTGGGGAGAGTCAGGCGACGGCAGAGGGCGTCAATGATGCAGCTCAAAAAGACATTGAAAGGGCTGAAACTATCCTAAAAGACGTACGATGAACGTTTATAGTGTTCATTTATTTATTTCTTAATTAAGTTTTACTGAAAGAAAACTTCCAGTGGCGGAAATTGTGAATGTTTATTCTGGGCATATGGTTACCGGGTTTGACTCCGGATCAAGACCGGAGTCAAACCCGGTCTTGATCCGGAGAAAAAAACGTCTAGAACCAACGAAGAGCTTTCCTGAACCCTTAAACTCCCAAGATCTGATTGTTAATTCTCCCCTCTAGCTGCTACACATTTCCTTGTTAATTGGTTACGAGAATTTGATGTTAGATCAAGATAGCAACTTTTTAAGTTTGATTAATCTCTTTACCTGTTTTTATTAATGTATAAATGTTTTTGTACTCTTGCTTTTTTCCAGCTTCAAGCGGCGTTGGACAAATTAGAGAAAGACGTGGATACAGCTCGCGCTAACGTGACCAACATGGCCGCCATGATACCTATGGTGACAGAACAATTCGACAAGAATCAACAACAGCTTGCTAACACGGAGCAGAAGGCCAATGACGCACATGGGGAATCAGTGACAGCTGAAAAGGTTTGTGGCAGGGATATAGGCATTAATTTTTAATAGAAGAGGGGGCGAGTCCACTTTTTCAAACCCGAAGGTGGGTTAAAAATGCGAATCCTTCCCCCCTCCTCACGTACCAGGCATTGCGACTTTCTCCGCGTTTGGAAGTATTCATTGTAAATGAAATAAATTCATTCTTTTTTGATGATCATGTCCTTTACTCTCTTGATCGCACCGTGTTCCTGACGGATGATACTGTGAGGAGAAATCAGAAGCCACTCCCTCGGAGGGGCTTTATTGTTAATGGTTTGGGCCCGCTTCTCTAAGGTTCCAATAACTTAACGGGCCCATGAAGCAAAAAAGTTTGAAAACGATACAAATGAATTATCAGCTAAAGAAACAAGAGACTGGTGAGGGTGCTAAAAACTACTCCTCTCTTGTTTAAATTTTAAAATATGGTTTCGGCCGTCAAGTTACCGGGACTTTCGAGAAACAGGCCGCTGTAATGTAAGAGCGAGGAGAGATGCATCAAAGCCCTTCCAATTTCAGTGATCTAGGGATGATTCTCGGTCCTGGTGGTGAAGCTGTGCGATGAATAAACAAGCATTTTTTTCCTTCAGGAAGCAGATGAACTGATGGACTTGTTTAACCAAGCGAAGGAAAACATTGAAGATAAGGATGAAGCAGTGCAGAGTGCCTCCGAAAAAGTTGTCGACATGAAGGAACAGGCAATTAAATTAATAAAAAGTCTGCAGAAAAAAATGACGAGGATTATAAGTAAGTTTGGGCCTTTCAGATGCGTCTATTTGAGTTTTTCTTCAGACACTTTCCAGTGTAAATAACTTAACAAGAACACCCCAGGCACTGCAACGACAGTCTCATTTCCACCCATTAAGGTGTTAAAAAAAAGTACATCATATTGTATGAAAGGCAAACTAAGTGGCCCAATGATCAGTGCGCTGGGCCTGGCTGGGTCAATGTGTTGTGTTCTTGGGCAAAAACGTTACCCTCACAGGTCCTCTCCACCGAGGAGTATAACTGGTACCGGCAAATTGTCGAATTGGAAGGCCTGGTGAAATGCTGGGGGGGTAGGCAGATAAGCGCCGGCTTGGTGGATCACTTGGCTTGAGTGCCGACCCCACCCTCTTACGTTATATGATATGACACGAACTACGGATTCCAATTACTATGTGCTTTCAATTAATTCTATCAGCTCTTAGGACACACTGAGCTAAGGTGACAAAGAATTTGGAATTCACAGCTCGGTTTTTTTTTAGTACCACGGTAGAACTGATCCCCTTGTAAGAAAATTTCCTCGTAATACACGTGTTCCTTTCGCTTTTGCAGCCGTTGAGAATGAAACTATTAGCTATGAAGACCTTATCCAAAAAGTAACAAAGTTGCAAGGGGAAACGCAAGTACTTCTGGCCAAGTTAGACAGGAGATTTGCATGTTACTTCCAGTGCAGTCCGGACAATCCAAACAACCCATGCTTTGAGGATTAATGCCAATTTTGTGAAGTAATGTAAATGCTGTGGTATCCATAGGCCACTAAATTCTCCCACCAACCGCTGCCAATCGCATGGAGAATTTACCTTTAACCAGTTTTGTATTTAAAGACTTATGTAGCTTGTGTTCAGTGATCCTTTTATTTCCTGGTTCTCTGCGTGTTTTGCGTCACGTCACGGTGCCCTCTGTATTTTTTTAATTTATTTTAATTTTTGTTTTTATTAGTGGCTGTGTCTTTTGTTCTCGGTAATCATCATCTTCTTTATCGGTAACTGTCTTTTTTTCTTTCCCCTCTTTCGTTCATTCGTTCTTTCCTTTTTTGTGTATTTATGTCAACTTAAGCGGTAGATGGTTTTGCTTTAAAAAGCTCTTCTGGTTTTTCGTTGTCAGGTGTAAAGAAAGCATTTTGTAACTCTTAGAAAGTGAATCAAAATTTGATGATAACCTCGTTGATTTGATCATTGTTGAAAAATTCCCCTAGCTGACATTAAACCTTAGTGCTTTGAAAGGTTTCACTTTGTTTTTAAGGTGTCATTTGGGTTAGTCCTTCTTTCCTTTTGCTTTACGTTGTTTGTTTGTTTTTTTATAAAGTCTCAGTTGTTTTGTTCACTTTGTTTCTTAACTGTTTTTTTAAGTGTTGAATCTTGCGGTGAACAGACACGTTACATGAATGTTCGTCACAAGGTTTGAATAAAAAGGCGAACAAAATTCCTTCATGTTCGTCAAAACATGGTAATCTAAACACTAAAGAGAACGAGTGAAGATTGGCAGCATTGAAAGTCCATCCAAAACCTGACTTGCGTCAAGGAACAAGTGCATACCCAAAGACTAGTTTCTTGTTTCATTTAATTACTGACCGCCTTGACTTTGTAGGGAGTAATCTTGGCATGGATTGGAGTATTTCTTAAAACAACAGTAATCCGCAGATTTGCTTGAAACTGCACTTTTTACAAGTACACTCAACAACTTACGAAATTCTGTATTGCTATAACAATTACAACTACTTTAAAATTGAGAATTATTATATAACTACGACGCTTTGCTCAGAATGTGAAAGTTTCCAAAAAAATAAATATGCAGATTTTACAGCTTGTTTTTCCTTTGCCCTCTTTTCTTTTCCATTTTCTCTTTTCCATTTTTTCTTTTCCATTTTTTCTTGTCCATTTTTTCTTGTCCATTTTTCTTTCTCATTTTTTCTTTCCCATTTGTTTTGGTAGTTCCCTTAGTCTATTTTGTCATTTCTTTGAGGCGTTCGTAGGCCTTTATGGAGTTTGTGTGTTTCATTTGACCGTTAAAGGTTTACAGTAAAGTGTACGCTGTTCTGCTAAGTGAGATTATCACGACACTTCGAGGCGTTGAGGAAAACAAGCGGCAAGGGACTTCAAATCTGTCGAGATATGTTTTTGGAGAGGAGGAAGAGTGTAACAAAGCTGTGCATGTGTTATAAACTTCAAAGAAACAGAGCAGCTTTCCCTTTAAAACCCTCGGTTTATTTTTTGGTAACCTTGTTACAAGTTCTTCTTCTAAGCAAATCTTCTAAAACTGGAATACTACATCTCAAACGTACAGGATAAAAACGTCAGCGCAGGGTCTTCCCCCGTTGTCACGTACCACAGTCGTAGCTCTTGGCCAGCACTCATCAATGGGATCTTTAAACACTTAGCTCAAGGATAGGGCTCATGGAGTTGTAACCTGGAATTTTGTGCCATTTTCCTGCTGCGTGGTAAGAGCTCAGGAACCCCTTAGGGGGCAAAAGATTTCGATTTTTGTCATCGGTTATGACAGCGTTTATCTCCTGGTACGCTTCATAACCACAACCACAGGGTGACCAGGCGTGTGACAAGACACGTAGCCGTACAGGTGGACCAGCCTTACGCCTCCCATTTTGCCATCTACAGGAACTACAAACTTTTCCACTTGTGTATCTCTTGCACCAAAACACACGGGAGGTCCATTTGCTTTTGTAAAATTATCTGAGGAGGAACAATCAAAAGTAAAGCACAAGTGATGTGAATAAATTTGATTTTTAGGATAGAGTGGAACGAATCGTTAGAAATATGCGCCTGGCATTTAAAAATTTTGTATTAGAAAAGGTTGTTAGTTTTCATGCAAGGAAATGTCATTTAAACTGCATTGATAAATACCTCCAGAGATCTCATCCGGACATGTTAAGGCAAGTACAACCAAGGTGAAGCACAATGTCTTCTTAATTGCCATTCTGCTGTCTTAAGTTTTCTGAAATTAATTGAAACATTTGTTAGCGGCCTACAGAGTACAAATGATGTGTAAATTCAGGTTCCTTGCTCACAGCAACTCAATATTTCCTGCGTAAAGTGGAGGTACGGTGTTTGTTAGCAATCGTAAAGCTCACTGTATGGTACTAAAGAAGCTGATAATTATTGAGCGCATTTGTGTCAAACAAATCTCAAGGTCCTTAAATTTGGAACTCAGTCGTTCACTCGTTCGTCAAATATTCTTAGCTTGAAGTCGAAAATGCGAGAGTTTTCACTTAAATAATTAATCAATTGACCTAGCTGCAAATTCTCAGTACTTACTCCAAACTGTTCTCCATACTTTCCTCAAGGTTATAACGAGGAGACTTTGCCTGATAATCAAGAGCTCTAAGTTGACGGTCATTTCCCTTGTTCTCACGGCCTTCACGTTTAATTTCGCATAAAATCTAGGTCCAAAGACACTTGGTAAGAGAAGAGAAAGAAATTAACTGCAGCCTCAGGCTTTTTGAAAAATATAACAAAGGGTTACAGTCAATGTCACATGTAAATTCTTGTTTCATAACCAACTATTGCCTCCGATGTTTCTCAGTTTGATTCTTTCAAGTATAGTCAATTCACACGAATAGCCAATTATTATCGACCACACTGTCACTGTTGCACTAATCACCAAGGTCCTAAAATTCGGAACTATTTGCCAATACCTATCACTGGTTCGACTAGCTTATCTTCATTAAAAGGAAAAGATGACTGAATTGTTTTCAAATGAAATTAGTTTGAATTGGCAAAGCCACACTTCTGTAACTTAATTTACAAACATATTGAAAACCAAGGTGGCCTTCACCCTATAAGTTTTTTGGAGGTCTCCTCGCCACACCATACTATCGAATTTTTATGAATATTACCTCTGAAGCGAATGAAGTATCATAATGATTATGAACCATGTCAATAACGTAGCGCTCAATAGTAGACCTTAGGCAGCTATGAAAGCAACGCCGAGGAAGATGGCGATTAAAAAATATATTTATATTTTTATTTCGAAGTTCGCGAATAGCTAGATGTGTTTCTCATCTCTCACGGCACCACAAGTCATGAGTCTATGGGTGCAATGTTCTAAGTTGTTTTGCAAAGGACGGAATGAACAGAGTTTCAGAATGCACGTGTTTCGCTACTGTTCTGCCCATTAGTTCTTGTTTGTTTTTTTTTTTGGCCACGTTCTCGCTCGTTCTCGCCCCAATGTGGCAAAAACTGAGTTTATGGTCGTTAGCTCGCGTCAAAAAATGCAGTCTTTAAATGACAAGACAATAAATGTTAATGTAGAGGGCGTCAAAATAAACCAAACAGATCATAGCAAAGCTCTCGGACTGAACATAGATGAAAACCTATCCTGGAAGAAACACATACACGCAACTTCAAAAAAGGTCGCTTCCAGTATCATCATCATCGCTACCGTCGCCGTCGTGGTTTGTTTAAGGCCCCTAAAAGTATTAAGTCACCAGCTTTGTTAACATTTCACCGATAAAACTTGATTGTATAATTATGTTGTCTCGTGCACAGGGCTGATCATGCTTCAACTCAGATGCAAGGCTCAGTATTCGTCTCAGAAGAAAGGCTGTGTGAAGTCATTTATGTTGTTAAACAAACAGATGACACCAAACACATATTTAAACATGTTGAAAGTGATAACAACAGCAATAAACATCAAATCGAAAGAAAATAGTTGCAAGAAAATTTTCTGTGTGTTTGCTGATAAACAAAGAAGTGATTTCGCTTCAAGTTTTTCGAGAGTGATTAGAAACTGGTTTGTAATGCCAATCTAAAAACCAAGCACAACCAAGATAAATAACGATTTTACAAAAATTTGCTGGGCAAAGCAATCGTAAAATTCACTACTATGGTACCATAACAGCCAATAATTATTGAACGCATTTTGTCGAACAAATCTCAAGCAATTTACAATTTTCTGCCGACATCCTAATATTTGAAACTAAAATTTAAAAACTTTAAAACCTCTTTAATATATGAGTAACCCTTTACATCCAAACATCGATACGCATGTTCTTCAAATTGTTCCCCATACATTTTCTGAGGTGCTTACCAGGATACTGAAAACTAAGAGCTTCTTTTAGTTGGTGATCATTTCCTTTATTCTTAATTATGACCTTCGTGTTTCTTTCAGGAGTGATCATGATAATGTAGAGACAAATTGGATGCTTGTCACGATCTGCCACTCGTAAGTGGTTGAAGGGCTAACACAAACGTGGTGTATCATGGGGCTACAATTTGGTCAAAGTTCACCAGTTCATCGGTTTCGTAGTCTCAATATATTGTTGTTTAATTTTTTATGAAGGATGACAGTGATTCCTGATTGAAATTACGGAACCTAAGCTGCTTCGTTACTCGGCTTTACAGGTAATTGTCATAGGAAAATGATTGCAAGCTTTGCCGGGGATCGGGTCCTTCAATTTATAACAACGAATTCGTTACTGAACTCATTTAATTCATTATCATTGATGTCCAAGCGTATTTTAGGGCTTATTGTCTTTAAGAGATGAAAATCCATTAAACGAACTTACGTACAGCTTTTCCTTGTCAGTAAAACACGTTTGGTTTCAGAGAGTGATGAAGAAGTAACAGGCAAAAAAAAGGAAATTAATTTTTCTCTTTCAAAAATCGCATTGAATCGCACGAACCTGGGCAATAGCTTCCAAAAACCGGATAATACCGCCCTGAATCAGAAAATACTGTCCGAAACTGAATAATAGTGTCCAAAATTTGGGCAATAGTGTCCAAAAGCAAGTAATACTGTCAAATACTGGACAACAGTGTCCAAAATAGGAAAAAAGTGTCGAAAATTAGACATTGGTGTCTGAAATCAGATTAGTGTCCAAAATAGGACGCTTCTGTTTAAAACTGGACGCAAGTGTCTAAACTCGGACGCTTGTGTTTAAAATCGCACGATATTGTCTGTCACAATGCAAGATTCGAATGAAAAGGCGATCAAAATTCCTTCATGTTCGTCAAAACGTGATAATCTAAACACGAAAGAGAACGAGTGAAGATTGGCAGCATTCAAAATCCACCCAAGACCTGACTTGCGTCAAGGAACAAGTGCATATCTAAAGACTAGTTTCCTGTTTCATTTAATTACTGACTGCCTTGACTTTGTAGGGAGTAATCTTGGCATGGATTGGCTTGAAACTGCGCTTTTTATAAGTACACTCAACAACTTACGAAATTCTGTATTGCTATAACAATTACAACTACTTTAAAATTGAGAATTATTATATAACTGCGACGCTTTGCTTAAAGTGTGAAAGTTTTAAAAAAATAAATAGGCAGATTTTACAGCTTGTTTTTCTTTTGCCCTTTTTTCTTTTCCATTTTTCTTTCCCATTGTTTCTTCTCTATTTTTTTTATCGTTCCCTTAGTTTGTGTCATTTATTTGAAGTGTTCGTAGGCCTTTATGGAGTTTGTGTGTTTCATTTGCCCGTTAAAAGTTCACAGTAAAGTGTACGCTGTTCTGCTAAGTGAGATTATCACGATACTTCGAGGCGCTGAGAAAAACATGCGGCGAGGGACTTTGTCGAGATATGTTTTTAGAGAGGAGGAAGAGTGTAACAAAGCTGTGCATGTGTTATAAACTTCAAAGAAACAGAGCAGCTTTCCCTTTAAAACCCTCGGTTTATTTCTTCTTAACCTTATTACAGGTTCTTCTTCTAAGCAAATTTTCTAAAACTGGAATATTCCATCTCAGACGTACAGGATGAAAACGTCAGCGCAGGTTCTTCCCCCGTTGTCATCCTCGGTCCAGTTGGTCAAATCTTCACCGTACCACAGTCGTAGCTCCTGGCCAGCACTCACATTAATGGGATCTTTAAACACTTTTAGCTCAATGACAGGGCTCAGTGAGTTGTAACCTGGAATTTTGTGCCATTTTCCTGGTGCGTGGTGGTCGCTCAGGAACTCCGTTGGAGGCAAAAGAAGTCGATTTTTGTCATTGGTTATGACAGCGTTGATCTCCTCGTGCGCTCCAGAACCACAGCCCCAAGGTGACCAATGTGGTTTGTCTGGCGTGTGACAAGACACGTAGCCGTACAGGTGGACCAGCCTCACGCCTCCCACTTTGCCATCCACGGGAACTTTAAACTTTCCCATTTGTGTATCTCTCGTACCAAAACACACGGGAGATCCATTTGCTTTTATAGAATTATCTGAGGAGGAACAATCAAAGCTAGAGGGTACTAAATAATAAATAAGTATTAAAGATTAATAGATAAATCTTTTGTCTTGGTCATCTACATGAGTGAAATCTTAAGTATGTGCCATTGTTAATATGTTTTTTCAGTTTTTTCTATTTAAAGAAAGAAGTGATTCTACTATTTTGGCCTTTTTAAAAAATGGAATAGCAGACAATTTCGTTTATTTTTTCTTCGACTAGTTGGTTGGCAAAAAAGACTTCACCAAAGACCAAATGGAATCTCTAAGGACAGTTCTCTTTCAAAGCAGTTCATGACTTCAATTCATTTCACGCTTTTACTAAATTTACATTTGATTCAAAAGCACAAGTGATCTGAATAAATTTGATTCCAAGGATACAGTGGAACAAATCGTTGGAAATTTGCGTCTGGGAAATAAAAGTTCTGAATGAGAAGAGATTGTTAGTTTTCAAACAAGGAAATGTAATTTAAACTGCATTGATAAATACCTCCAGTGATCTCATCCGGACATGTCAAGGCAAGCACAACCAAGATGAAGCACAATATCTTCTTAATTGCCATTTTGCTGTCTTAGGTCTCCTGAAATTAATTGAAACATATGTTAGCGGCCTGCAGAGTACAAATGATGTCTAAATTCAACTTCCTTACATACAACAGCTCGATATTTCCTACGTAAAGCGAAGGTGTTTCGCTAGCAATTGTAAAATTCATTTCTATGGTATCGAAGACATTTACGTCGAATAGTCTCAAGCAATTTTCTATTCTCAACGTCCTAAAAGTTGGAACTCAGTCAGTCACTTGCTCGTCAATTCTTCTTACTTTTAAGATGAAAATGCAAGAGTTTTTACTTAAATAATCACTGAATTGGCCAAGTCGCGCATTCTCTGCACTTATTCTTTTTTCTATATATTGTTTTAAGTGAGGTTACGTCTCCCATAAGCCCGATGGCTTCCTGGGTCTCCTCGCCTCTTATAATATGTAATGCCATACAATTTTTTTTTTTTAATATCGTAAAGAAGCAAATAAATGATGTGGGTAATGAAATCGACCTCAAGGGTTTTAAGGTTCAATGCAAGCCATTTTACTTGAATAAGAAAGGTCCATCTAAGACACTCACTTTGGCAATTCAAAATCGTGTAAAGCCATTCAAAACTTACCTCGGCACTCTTCGTCGTAAAATCCTCTTCTTTAGCAGATTTCTGCTGTGTGGCTGAATCTTCATGAGCCTCTTTTATACTTTGCAAAGCCACTTAGCTTTTAATTTAAGATCGTCCATAAGCTGTTAACAGTTCATCAAGTGAGTAGGACAAGTCAAACACAGCTGGAGCACTTTAATTGAGCTCAAACGGATTGAATTTATTTGTTTGCTTTTCTGAGTGTCTTTTTATCTGTAAATGCAGTTTAAGGCAATCAGCTGTCTCTATCTAAATAGTCGCTTGATGATCGTTCAAAGTTAGGCCAAGTTTGCTGCCATTCTTTTCATGAAAGATGGTTGCTTCCTGAGCCAGTATGCATATACTCCATACCGTTCTCTATACTTTCCTCATGGTTATAACGAGGAGAATTTGCCTGATAATCAAGAGCTCCTTAAGTTGACGATCATTTCCTTTGTTCTCATGGTCATAACGTTTGATTTAGCAGTGATATAGTAAGGAGAAACTCGATACTAGTCAGTGCTTAACGGGTTAACACCTCTCAGCTTGTTCTGTGGAATTGGAGTTAGAGTCTATGCTAAAGTTTACCAAAACGTAATCTATGATCTAACACACAGATGACAACAGGGGATAATGCTGTGCAAGTAAACGAACGAAACGACTAAGTATGTTTGCTGAAAATCTCTTTGTGTTTGTTCCAGCTGATTTGATAAATAAACTTTTTGATATTTGATTAAAGACAGTTTGAAACAAATACAATTAGGGATGGACCGGAGACAGGTTTAGAGTAGTTGGCTCTAAAACTATCGTTTTTTATATGCAATATTTGTTGGTTTTATCTTATTTGCCTTCTTAAGTAGCACACCAGCTAAGACTTAATTGCAGATTGACAGTGTCAGAACCAATTGTAAATTTTTTATTGCTATCCTGAGTTCAACCTCCAGCTGGTTTGATAAGAACACTTTTTCGATATTTGATCAAAGACAGTTTGAAACAAAAACAACTCCTTACTTTCTCACCTGGAGAAAGGATGTCAGAAGATTTTGGTTGTGTCATAATGAAATTTATAATTTAAAATATTGGAAACAGTTGTTTCTTTCCTCAGTTTTCTCGTTTTGCAAAGACATGTATTTCAAATATACCTGAAGTGGCTTATAATCTTGAAAGCTTTTTCATTCGGCACGCATATACCCGTTTTAAATGAATTTCCACTGGATGTTTCGTTTCCCACGGCAGAAGGCTGTTTTTTTTTTTCTGTCCCACATTTCGACAAGCGAAACATTGTAATTACGACCAGCTTTACTAAGTTCAAATCTGGTTTTCCAAGATCAAGCTACCCTTGTGATAGAAGGAAAGCGACTGATAACACTACATAATAATCACAATAATAACAATAATGATAATAATAACAATAATAATGGTAAGGATGATGATTAACAAAATGAGAAATTTACACCTTGATTACATGAAACAAGAGTTAAAAATGGCTCCAGAAACTCTCGGCCCGCTAATCAAATGGCATTTTGATAAGTTTCATACCTTTTGATTCATGCAATGACCGTCATCGCTGGATGCTAGTTTCCTCCATGATTTGGTTCGAATTGGATACAACACCATCTTCAAAATTCTGATTAGTTTAAATGTACAGAAAATGTCAACTCCACCCCGTGGGGGGAAAGCGTGCCACTTTCCAGATTTAAAAACTTTAAAACCTCTTTTATGTATGAGTAACCCTCAAGCCGCAATACGCATATTATTGGACTAATGCAAACCCAGTGTATCATGGAGGTACGAAGTTCACCAGTTCATCGGGTTCGCAGTCTCGATATATTGTTTGATTTGTTTTAATTTCAGGATCACAGTAATTCCTGATTGGAATTGCGGAACCTAAGCTGCTTCGTTATTAGGCTTTAAAGTTAATTGTCATAAGCAAATGATTACAAACTTCGCCAAGGATCGAGTCCTTCAATTTATAACAACGAATTCGTTAAAGAACTTATTGAAGCTCGTCCATAAGCTGTTAACAGTTCATTAAGTGAGTAGGACAAGTCAAACACAGCTGGAGCACTTTAATTGAGCTCCAACGGATTGAATTTATTTGTTTGCTTTCTGAGTGTCTTTTTATCTGTAAATGCAGTTTAAGGCAATCAGCTGTCTCTATCTAAATAGTCGCTTGATGATCGTTCAAAGTTAGGCCAAGTTTGCTGCCATTCTTTTCATGAAAGATGGTTGCTTCCTGAGCCAGTATGCATATACTCCATACCGTTCTCTATACTTTCCTCATGGTTATAACGAGGAGAATTTGCCTGATAATCAAGAGCTCCTTAAGTTGACGATCATTTCCTTTGTTCTCATGATCATAACGTTTGATTTAGCAGTGATACAGTAAGGAGAAACTCGATACTAGTCAGTGCTTAACGGGTTAACACCTCTCAGCTTGTTGTGCGCAATCGGAGTTAGAGTGTATGCTTAAGTTTACTGGCACACAACCTGTGATCCAACCCACAGATGACAACAAGGGATAATGCTGTGCATGTTAACGAACGAAACCACCAAAAGCGTTTGCTGAAAAATCTCTTTCTGTTTGTTCCAGCTGATTATTATTTGATAAGTAATTAAGTAAATAAGTAATTATTTTTCACGTGCAACATTTGTTAGTTTTACCTTATTTGCCTTCTTAAGTACCATATCAGGTAAGACTAAATTGCAGATTGACACAGTGTCGGTACCAGTTGTTTATTTTCCGAGCTATCCTGAGGTCAACCTCCAGCTGGTTTAGTTAAATTTTTAATATTTAATCAGGGACAGTTTGAAAAAAATACAATCAGGGATTGGCCGGTCCTTAATTTATCACCTGGGAGTGGAGTCAGTCAGAAGATTTTGGTTGTATCACAATAAAATTTACTTGTTTCCCTCCTTAGACCTCTTCTAACTCCTCTATTAGCAGACCTCAACCCTCCTCCTCCCCTCACGAGCTGTGTAATGTTTGATCAGCATTTTCTGAGGTGCTTACCAGGAGACTAAAAACTAAGAGCTTCTTTTAGTTGGTGTTCATTTCTTGTGGTCATTTCTTATTCGTGACCTTCGTGTTTCTTTCAGGAGTGATCATGATAACGTAGTGACAAATGGGATGCTTGTCACGATCTGTCATTCGTAAGTGGTTGAAGGGCTATCACAAACGTGGTGTATCATGGGGCTACGATTTTGTCAAAGTTCACCATGCAGTTCATCGGTTTCGTAGTCTCGCTATATTGTTGTTTAATTTTTTATGAAAGATGACAGTCATTCCTAATTGAAATCCCGGAACCTAAGCTGCTTCGCTATTAGGCTTTAAAGGTAATTGTCGTAGGCGAACAATTGCATGCTCCGCCGAGGGTCGGGTCCATCGATTTATAACAACGAATTCGTCAATGGACCCATTTAATTCATTAACATTGATGTCTCGTGCGTATTTTAGGGCTGATTGTCTTTAAATTAAGAGATGAAAATTCATTAAACGAACTTACGTAGTTTTCTTTGTTAGTAAAACATGTTTAGCTTCAGAGAGTGATGAAGAAGTAAAAACGCGAAAAAAAGAAGATTAATTCTTCTCTTTCCAAAATCGCATTGAATCGCACGAACCTGAACAACAGCTTCCAAAACTGGATAATACCGTCCAGAATCAGAGAATACTGTCCGAAACTGGATATTAGTGTCCAAAATTTGGACAATAATGCCCAAAATCTAGTAACGTTGTCAAATATTGGACAACACTGTCCAAAAAAGGAAAACAGTGTCGAAAATTAGACATTAGTGTCTAAAATCAGATTAGTGTCTAAAATAGGACACTTCTGTTTAAAACCGGACGCAAGTGTCTAAACTCGGACGCTAGTGTCCGTCACAAGGTTTGAATGAAAAGGCCATCAAATTCCTTCATGTTGGTCAAAACGTGTTAATCTAAACACGAAAGAGAACGAATGAAGATTGGCAGCATTAAAAGTTCATCCAAAACCTGACTTGCGTCAAGGAACAAGTGCATATCTAAAGACTAGTTTCCTGTTTCATTTAATTACTGACCGCCTTGACTTTGTAATAAGTCAAGTAAGTAATGCTGGCGTGGATTTGATTATTTTTTAAAACAGCAGTGACCCGTAGATTTGCTTGAAACTGCGCTTTTTATAAGTACACTCTACAACTTACGAAATTCTGTATTGCTATAACAATTACAACTACTTTAAAATTGAGAAGTATTATATAACTGCAACGCTTTGCTCAAAATGCGAAAGTTTTAAAAAAAATAGATATGTAGATTTTGCAGCTTGTTTTTCTTTTGCCCTTTTTTCTTTTCCATTTTTTCTTTTCCATTTTTTCTTTTCCATTTTTCTTTGCCATTTTTTCTTTTCAATTTTTTTTACCGTTCCCTTAGTTTATTGTGTCATTTATTTGAAGTGTTCGTAGGCCTTTGTGAAGTTTGTGTGTTTCATTTGCCCGTTTAAGGTTTACATTAAAGTGTTCGCTGTTCTGCGAAGTGAGATTATCACGATACTTCGAGGCGATGAGGGAAACAAGTAACAAGGGACTTCAAATCTGTCGAAATATGATTTTGGAGAGGAGGAAGAGTAAACTTTAAAGAAACAGAGCAGCTTTCCCTTTAAAACCCTCGGTTTATTTCTTCTTAACCTTATTACAGGTTCTTCTTCTAAGCAAATCTTCTAAAACTAGAATATTCCATCTCAGACGTACAGGATGAAAACATCAGCACAGGTTCTTCCCCCGTTGTCATGCTCGGTCCAGTTGGTCAAATCTTCACCGTACCACAATCGTAGCTCCTGGCCAGCACTCACATTAATGGGATCTTTAAACACTTTTAGCTCAATGACAGGGCTCAGTGAGTTGTAACCTGGAATTTTGTGCCATTTTCCTGGTGCGTGATGGTCGCTCAGGAACTCCGTTGGAGGCAAAAGAAGTTGATTTTTGTCATTGGTTATGACAGCGTTGATCTCCTCGTGCGCTCCAGAACCACAGCCCCAAGGTGACCAATGTGGTTTGTCTGGCGTGTGACAAGACACGTAGCCGTACAGGTGGACCAGCCTCACGCCTCCCATTTTGCCAGCCAAGGGAACTTTAAACTTTCCCATTTGTGTATCTCTCGCACTAAAACACACGGGAGATCCATTTGCTTTTATAGAATTATCTGAGGAGGAACAATCAAAGCTAGAGGGTGCTAAATCATAAATAAGTATTAAAGATTAATAGATAAATCTTTTGTCTTGGTCGTCTACATGAGTGAAATCTAAAGTGTGCGTTATTGTTAATATGTTTTTTCAGTTTTTTTCTATTTAAAGAAAGAAGTGATTCTACTATTTGGCCTTTTTAAAAAATGGAATAGCAGACAATTTCGTTTATTTTTTCTTCGACTAGTTGGTTGACAAAAAAGACTTCACCAAAGACCAAATGGAATCTCTAAGGACAGTTCTCTTTCAAAGCAGTTCATGACTTAAATTCCTTTAACGCTTTTACAAAATTTATATCGAATCCTCTCAGTAAGATGATTAAAAAGCACAAGTGATCTAAATAAATTTGATTCCAAGGATACAGTGGAACGAATGAGAAATTCTGAATGAGAAAAGATTGTTAGTTTTCAAACAAGGAAATGTAATTTAAACTGCATTGATAAATACCTCCAGTGATCTCATCCGGACATGTCAAGGCAAGCACAACCAAGATGAAGCACAATGTCTTCTTAACTGCCATTTTGCTGTCTTAGGTCTCCTGAAATTAATTGAAACATATGTTAGCGGCCTGCAGAGTACAAATGATGTATAAATTCAACTTCCTTACATACAACAGCTCGATATTTCCGACGTAAAGCGAAGGTGTTTCGTTAGCAATTGTAAAATTCACTGCTATGGTATCGAATACATTTACGTCGAATAGTCTCAAGCAATTTTCTATTCTCAACGTCCTAAAAGTCGGAACTCAGTCAGTCACTTGCTCGTCAATTATTCTTACCTTTAAGACGAAAATGCAAGAGTTTTTACTTAAAAAATCACTGAATTGGCCAAGTCGCGCATTCTCTGCACTTATTCTTTTTTCAATATATTGTTTTAAGTGAGGTGACGTCTCCCATAAGCCCCATGGCTTCCTGGGTCTTCTCGCCTCTTATAATATGTAATGCCATACAATTTTTTTTTTATATATAAATATTGTAAAGAAGCAAATAAATGATGTGGGTAATGAAATCGACCTCAAGGGTTTTAAGGTTCAATGCAAGCCATTTTACTTGAATAAGAAAGGTCCATCAAAGACACTCACTTTGGCAATTCAAAATCGTGCAAAGCCATTCAAAACTTACCTCGGCACTCTTCGTCGTAAAATCCTCTTCTTTAGCAGATTTCTGCTGTGTGGCTGAATCTTCTTGGGCCTCTTTTATACTTTGCAAAGCCACTTAGCTCTTAATTGAAGATCGTCCATAAGCTGTTAATCGTTCATTAAGTGAGTAGGACAAGTCAAACACAGCTGGAGCACTTTAATTGAGCTCAAACGGATTGAATTTATTTCTTTGCTTTTCTGAGTGTCTTTTTATCTGTAAATACAGTTTAAGGCAATCAGCTGTCTCTATCTAAATAGTCGCTTGATGATCGTTCAAAGTTAGGCCAAGTTTGCTGCCATTCTTTTCAAAGATGGTTGCTTCCTGAGCCAGTATGCATATACTCCATACCGTTCTCTATACTTTCCTCATGGTTATAACGAGGAGAATTTGCCTGATAATCAAGAGCTCCTTAAGTTGACGATCATTTCCTTTGTTCTCATGGTCATAACGTTTGATTTAGCAGTGATACAGTAAGGAGAAACTCGATACTAGTCAGGGGTTAACGGGTTAACACCTCTCAGCTTGTTCTGTGGAATTGGAGTTAGAGTTTACGCTAAAGTTTACCAAAACGTAATCTATGATCCAACACACAGATGACAACAGGGGATAACGCTGTGCATGTTAACGAACGAAACGACTAAGTGTGTTTGCTGAAAAATCTCTTTGTGTTTGTTTCAGCTGATTTGATAAGTAAACTTTTTGATATTTGATTAAAGACAGTTTGAAACAAATACAATTAGGGATGGACCGGAGACAGGTTTAGAGTAGTTGGCTCTAAAACTATCGTTTTTTATATGCAATATTTGTTGGTTTTATCTTATTTGCCTTCTTAAGTAGCACACCAGCTAAGACTTAATTGCAGATTGACAGTGTCAGAACCAATTGTAAATTTTTTTATTGCTATCCTGAGTTCAACCTCCAGCTGGTTTGATAAGAACATTTTTTCGATATTTGATCAAGGACAGTTTGAAACAAAAACAACTCCTTACTTTATCACCTGGAAAAAGGATGTCAGAAGATTTTGGTTGTCTCATAATGAAATTTATAATTTAAAATATTGGAAACAGTTGTTTCTTTCCACGGTCTTCTCGTTTTGCAAAGACATATTTTTCAAATATACCTGAAGTGGCTTAGAATCTTGAAAGCTTGTTCATTCGGCACGTATATACCCGTTTTAAATGAATTTCCACTGGATGTTTCGTTTCCCACGGCAGAAGGCTGGTTTTTTTTTTTTTTTTTTTTTTCTGTCCCACATTTCGACAAGCGAAACATTCTATTTACGACCAGCTTTACTAAGTTCAAATCTGGTTTTCCAAGATCAAGCTACCCTTGTGATAGAAGGAAAGCGACTGATAACATTATAACACTACATAATAATCACAATCATAATAATCACAATAATAACAATAATGATAATAATAACAATAATAATGGTGAGGATAACGATTAACAAAATGAGAAATTTACACCTCGATTACATGAAAGCAAGAGTTAAAAATGGCTCCAGAAACTCTCAGCCCGCTAATCAAATGGCATTTTGATAATTTTCATACCTTTTGATTCATGCAATGACCGTCATCGCTGCATGCTATTTTCCTCTATGATTTGGTTTCGAATTGGATACAACACCATCTTCAAAATTCTGATCAGTTTAAATGTACAGAAAATTTCAACTCCACCCCGTGGGGGGAAAGCGTATCACTTTCCAGATTTAAAAACTTTAAAACCTCTTTTATGTATGAGTAACCCTCAAACCGCAATACGCATATTATTGGACTAACGCAAACCCAGTGTATCATGGAGGTACGAAGTTCACCAGTTCATCGGGTTCGCAGTCTCGATATATTGTTTGATTTGTTTTAATTTCAGGATCACAGTAATTCCTGATTGGAATTGCGGAACCTAAGCTGCTTCGTTATTAGGCTTTAAAGTTAATTGTCATAGGCAAATGATTACAAACTTCGCCAAGGATCGGGTCCTTCAATTTATAACAACGAATTCGTTAAAGAACTTATTGAAGCTCGTCCATAAGCTGTTAAAAGTTCATTAAGTGAGTAGGACAAGTCAAATACAGCTGGAGCACTTTAATTGAGCTCAAACGGATTGAATTTATTTGTTTGCTTTTCTGAGTGTCTTTTTATCTGTAAATGCAGTTTAAGGCAATCAGCTGTCTCTATCTAAATAGTAGCTTGATGATCGTTCAAAGTTAGGCCAAGTTTGCTGCCATTCTTTTCAAAGATGGTTGCTTCCTGAGCCAGTATGCATATACTCCATACCGTTCTCTGTACTTTCCTCATGGTTATAACGAGGAGAATTTGCCTGATAATCAAGAGCTCCTTAAGTTGACGATCATTTCCTTTGTTCTCATGGTCATAACGTTTGATTTAGCAGTGATACAGTAAGGAGAAACTCGATACTAGTCAGGGGTTAACGGGTTAACACCTCTCGGCTTGTTGTACGCAATCGGAGTTAGAGTGTATGCTTAAGTTTACTAACACACAACCTGTGATCCAACACACAGATAACAACAGGGGATAATGCTATGCATGTTAACGAACGAAACCACCAAAAGTGTTGGCTGAAAAATTCTTTTTGTGTTTGTTCCAGCTGATTTGATAAGTAAACTTTTCATTATTTGATTAGTACTTGGCTGTAAACTATTATTTTTCACGTGCAATATTTGTTAGTTTTACCTTATTTGCCTTCTTAAGTAGCATATCAGGTAAGACTAAATTGCAGATTGACACAGTGTCGGAGCCATTTGTATATTTTCCGAGCTATCCTGAGGTCAACTTCCAGCTGGTTTGGAAAATTTTTTGATACTTGATCAGGGACGGTTTGAAACAAACACAATTAGGGATTGGCCGGTCGTTAATTTATCACCTGGGGGTGGAGTGTCAGAAGATTTTGGTTGTATCACAATAAAATTTACTTGTTTCCCTCCTTAGACTTTGTGGTATTCTAACTCTTTTATTAACAGACCCGACCCCCTCTTCCTTCCACCTCCCCTCACGAGCTGTGTAATGTTTGATCAGTTCAATTTGACTCATGACGTTGTATGTGAGAAAGAAATATTGATTGCGTTTATACAAAATGTCGGAAACAATTGTTTCTTTTCTCGTTTTGCCAAGACATATTTGTCAAATAAACCCGAAGTGAGTGGCATAATCTTTAGAGCTTGTTAATAAGGCACATATATAATCGTATATGCTCGTTTTAAATCGATTTCCACTAAATGTTTCAAAAAAACAGAAAACAGGTTATTTTGTTTCCAATTCGACAATCAATCGATTTGATCAAATAAATAATCGATTTGTCAAATAAACCCGAAGTGAGTGGCATAATCTTTAGAGCTTGTTAATAAGGCACATATATAATCGTATATGCTCGTTTTAAATCAATTTCCACTAAATGTTTCGTCTCTTACGGCAGAAAACAGGTTATTTTGCTTCTGTTCCAACAATTCGACAAGCGAAACTTTCCAATTACGATCAGCTTTACTGGGTTCAAATCTGGTTTTCGAAGATCAATCTATTCTTATGATAGAAGAAAAGCGACAGATAACACTGAATAATAATCACAATAATAATGATAATAATGATGATGATGAAGATGATAAGATGATCAATATCAAAACTAGAAACTTGCACCTCGATTATCTGAAGGCGAAAGTTAATAATGGCTCCAGAAACTCTCTCTCCTGCCGAGCAAATGGCACCTTATTAAATTTGATACTTTTTGATTCATGAAATGACCGTCATCGGTGGATACCTCTAAGTTTGGTATAATTTGGCTCGAAGGATTCAACTGGACAGAACACCATCTCCAAAAACGTGATTAATTTCAGAAGTACAAAAAATGTCAACTTCACTCCGTCGGGGAAAGCGTACTACTTTCCAAATTTAAAAACTTTAAACCTCTTTAATATATGAGTTACCCTTTACACCCAAACATCAATGTGCATGTTCTTCAAATTGTTCCCTATACATTTCCTGAGGTGCTTACCAGGAGACTGAAAATTAAGAGCTTCTTTTAGTTGGTGTTCATTTCTTTTATTCTCGTGACCTTCGTGTTCCTTTCAGGAGTGATCATGACAGCATAGTGTCAAATTGGATGCTTGTCACGATCTGTCACTCGTGAGTGGTTGAAGGGCTAACACAAACGTGGTGTATCATGGGGCTACGATTTTGTCAAAGTTCACCAGTTCATCGGTTTCGTAATCTCGATATATTGTTGTTTAATTTTTTATGAAGGATGACAGTGATTCCTGATTGAAATTACGGAACCTAAGCTGCTTCGTTATTAGGCTTTAAAGGTAATTGTCATTGGCGAATGATTGCATGCTCCGCCGAGGGTCGGGTCCATCGATTTATAACAACGAATTCGTCAATGGACCCATTTAATTCATTATCATTGATGTCCCGTGCGTATTTTAGGGCTGATTGTCTTTAAATTAAGAGATGAAAAGCCACAAACTTACCTACTTTTCCTTGTCAGTAAAGCATGTTTAGCTTCAGAGTGTGATGAAGAAGTAAAAACGCGAAAAAAAAGAGATTAATTCTTCTCTTTCCAAAACCGTATTGAATCGCACGAACCTGAAAAACAGCTTCCAAAACTGGATAATACTGTCCAGAGTCAGAGAATACTGTCCGAAACTGGATATTAGTGTCCAAAATTTGGAAAATAGTGTCCAAAATCTAGTAACATTGTCAAATATTGGACAACACTGTCCAAAAAAGGAAAACAGTGTCGAAAATTAGACATTAGTGTCTAAAATCAGATTAGTGTCTAAAATAGGACACTTCCGTTTAAAACCGGACGCAAGTGTCTAAACTCGGACGCTAGTGTCTAAAATTGCATGATATTGTCCTTCACAAGGTTTGAATGAAAAGGCAATCAAATTCCTTCATGTTGGTCAAAACGTGTTAATCTAAACACGAAAAAGAACGAATGAAGATTGGCAGCACTAAAAAAGTTCATCCAAAACCTGACTTGCGTCAAGGAACAAGTGCATATCTAAAGACTAGTTTCCTGTTTCATTTAATTACTGACCGCCTTGACTTTGTAATAAGTCAAGTAAGTAATGCTGGCGTGGGTTGGATTATTTTTTAAAACAGCAGTGACCCGTAGATTTGCTTGAAACTGCACTTTTTATAAGTACACTCAACAACTTACGAAATTCTGTATTGCTATAACAATTACAACTACTTTAAAATTGAGAATTATTATATAACTGCCACGCTTTGCTCAAATTGTGAAAGTTTAAAAAAAAATAAATAGGCAGATTTTACAGCTTGTTTTTCTTTTGCCCTTTTTTCTTTTCCATTTTTCTTTCCCATTGTTTCTTCTCCATTTTTTTTTTATCGTTCCCTTAGTTTGTGTCAGTTATTTGAAGTGTTCGTAGGCCTTTATTGAGTTTGTGAGTTTCATTTGCCTGTTAAAAGTTCACAGTAAAGTGTTCGCTGTTCTGCTAAGTGAGATTATCACGATACTTCGAGGCGCTGAGGAAAACATGCGGCGAGGGACTTTTTCGAGATATGTTTTTAGAGAGGAGGAAGAGTGTAACAAAGCTGTGCATGTGTTATAAACTTCAAAGAAACAGAGCAGCTTTCCCTTTAAAACCCTCGGTTTATTTCTTCTTAACCTTATTGCAGGTCCTTCTTCTATGCAAATCTTCTAAAACTGGAATATTCCATCTCAGACGTACAGGATGAAAACGTCAGCGCAGGTTCTTCCCCCGTTGTCATGCTCGGTCCAGTTGGTCAAATCTTCACCGTACCACAGTCGTAGCTCCTGGCCAGCTCTCACATTAAGGGGATCCTTAAACACTTTTAGCTCAATGACAGGGCTCATGGAGTTGTAACCTGGAATTTTGTGCCATTTTCCTGCTGGGTGGTGGGCGCTCAGGAACTCCGAAGGGGGCAAAAGTTGTTGATTTTTGTCATTGGTTATGACAGCGTTGATCTCCTGATGCGCTCCATGACCACAGCCCCAAGGTGACCAATTTTTGGGGTCTGCCGTGTGACAAGACACGTAGCCGTACAGGTGGACCAGCCTCACGCCTCCCATTTTGCCATGCAAGGGAACTGTAAACTTTCCCAGTTGTGTATCTCTCGCACCAAAACACACGGGAGATCCATTTGCTTTTATAGAATTATCTGAGGAGGAACAATCAAAGCTAGAGAGTACTAAATAATAAATAAGTATTAAGGATTAATAGATAAATCTTTTGTCTTGGTCATCTACATGAGTGAAATCTTAAGTATGTGCCTTTGTTAATATGTTTTTTCAGTTTTTTCCATTTAAAGAAAGAAGTGATTCTACTATTTTGGCCTTTTTAAAAAATCGAATAGCAGACAATTTCGTTTATTTTTTCTTCGACTAGTTGGTTGGCAAAAAAGACTTCACCAAAGACCAAATGGAATCTCTAAGGATAGTTCTCTTTCAAAGCAGTTCATGACTTAAATTCATTTCACGCTTTTACTAAATTTACATTTGATTCAAAAGCACAAGTGATCTGAATAAATTTGATTCCAAGGATACAGTGGAACAAATCGTTGGAAATTTGCGTCTGGGAAATAAAAGTTCTGAATGAGAAGAGATTGTTAGTTTTCAAACAAGGAAATGTAATTTAAACTGCATTGATAAATACCTCCAGTGATCTCATCCGGACATGTCAAGGCAAGCACAACCAAGATGAAGCACAATATCTTCTTAATTGCCATTTTGCTGTCTTAGGTCTCCTGAAATTAATTGAAACATATGTTAGCGGCCTGCAGAGTACAAATGATGTCTAAATTCAACTTCCTTACACACAACAGCTCGATATTTCCGACGTAAAGCGAAGGTGTTTCATTAGCAATTGTAAAATTCATTACTATGGTATCGAAGACATTTACGTCGAATAGTCTCAAGCAATTTTCTATTCTCAACGTCTTAAAAGTTGGAACTCAGTCAGTCACTTGCTCGTCAATTATTCTTACCTTTAAGACGAAAATGCAAGAGTTTTTACTTAAATAATCACTGAATTGGCCAAGTCGTGCATTCTCTGCACTTATTCTTTTTTCAATATATTGTTTTAAGTGAGGTGACGTCTCCCATAAGCCCGATGGCTTCCTGGGTCTCCTCGCCTCTTATAATATGTAATGCCATACAATTTTTTTTTTTAAATATCGTAAAGAAGCAAATAAATGATGTGGGTAATGAAATCGACCTCAAGGGTTTTAAGGTTCAATGCAAGCCACTTTACTTGAATAAGAAAGGTCCATCTAAGACACTCACTTTGGCAATTCAAAATCGTGTTAAGCCATTCAAAACTTACCTCGGCACTCTTCGTCGTAAAATCCTCTTCTTTAGCAGATTTCTGCTGTGTGGCTGAATCTTCATGGGCCTCTTTTGTACTTTGCAAAGCCACTTAGCTTTTAATTGAAGATCGTCCATAAGCTGTTAACAGTTCATCAAGTGAGTAGGACAAGTCAAACACAGCTGGAGCACTTTAATTGAGCTCAAACGGATTGAATTTATTTGTTTGCTTTTCTGAGTGTCTTTTTATCTGTAAATACAGTTTAAGGCAATCAGCTGTCTCTATCTAAATAGTCGCTTGATGATCGTTCAAAGTTAGGCCAAGTTTGCTGCCATTCTTTTCAAAGATGGTTGCTTCCTGAGCCAGTATGCATATACTCCATACCGTTCTCTATACTTTCCTCATGGTTATAACGAGGAGAATTTGCCTGATAATCAAGAGCTCCTTAAGTTGACGATCATTTCCTTTGTTCTCATGGTCATAACGTTTGATTTAGCAGTGATACAGTAAGGAGAAACTCGATACTAGTCAGTGCTCAACGGGTTAACACCTCTCAGCTTGTTCTGTGGAATTGGAGTTAGAGTCTATGCTCAAGTTTATCAAAACGTAATCTATGATCCAACACACAGATGACAACAGGGGATAATGCTGTGCATGTTAACGAACGAAACGACTAAGTGTGTTTGCTGAAAAATCTCTTTGTGTTTGTTCCGGCTGATTTGATAAGTAAACTTTTTGATATTTGATTAAAGACAGTTTGAAACAAATACAATTAGGGATGGACCGGAGACAGGTTTAGAGTAGTTGGCTCTAAAACTTTTTTAACTTACGTTTTAAACTTACGTTTTTTATACGCAATATTTGTTGGTTTTATCTTATTTGCCTTCTTAAGTAGCACACCAGGTAAGACTTAATTGCAGATTGACAATGTCATAACCAATTGTAAATTTTTTATTGCTATCCTGAGTTCAACCTCCAGCTGGTTTGATAAGAACATTTTTTCGATATTTGATCAAGGACAGTTTGAAACAAAAACAACTCCTTACTTTATCACCTGGAGAAAGGATGTCAGAAGATTTTGGTTGTGTCATAATGAAATTTACAATTTAAAATGTTGGAGACATTTGTTTCTTTCCTCGGTTTTCTCCTTTTTGCAAAGACATTTTTGACATATAACTGAAGTGGCTTAATCTCGAAAGCTTGTTTATTAGGTACGTATATACCCGTTTTAAATGAATTTCCACTGGATGTTTCGTTTCCCACGGCAGAAAGCTATTTTCTTTTTGTTTCTGTCCCACATTTCGACAAGCGAAACATTCTAATTACGACCAGCTTTACTAAGTTCAAATCTGGTTTTCCAAGATCAAGCTACCCTTGTGATAGAAGGAAAGCGACTGATAACACTACATAATAATCACAATAATAGCAATAATGATAATAATAACAATAATAATGGTGAGGATAATGATTAACAAAATTAGAAATTTACACCTCGATTACATGAAAGCAAGAGTTAAAAATGGCTCCAGCAACTCTCGGCCCGCTAATCAAATGGCATTTTGATAATTTTCATACCTTTTGATTCATGCAATGACCGTCATCGCTGGATGCTAGTTTCCTCTATGATTTGGTTCGAATTGGATACAACACCATCTTCAAAATTCTGATCAGTTTAAATGTACAGAAAATGTCAACTCCACCCCGTGGGGGGAAAGCGTACTACTCACTTTTCAGATTTAAAAACTTTAAAACCCCTTTTATGTATGAGTAACCCTCAAACCGCAATACGCATATTATTGGACTAACGCAAACCCAGTGTATCATGGAGGTACGAAGTTCACCAGTTCATCGGGTCCGCAGTCTCGATATATTGTTTGATTTGTTTTAATTTCAGGATCACAGTAATTCCTGATTGGAATTGCGGAACCTAAGCTGCTTCGTTATTAGGCTTTAAAGTTAATTGTCATAGGCAAATGATTACAAACTTCGCCAAGGATCGGGTCCTTCAATTTATAACAACGAATTCGTTAAAGAACTTATTGAAGCTCGTCCATAAGCTGTTAACAGTTCATTAAGTGAGTAGAACAAGTCAAATACAGCTGGAGCACTTTAATTGAGCTCAAACGGATTGAATTTATTTGTTTGCTTTTCTGAGTGTCTTTTTATCTGTAAATGCAGTTTAAGGCAATTAGCTGTCTCTATCTAAATAGTCGCTTGATGATCGTTCAAAGTTAGGCCAAGTTTGCTGCCATTCTTTTCAAAGATGGTTGCTTCCTGAGCCAGTATGCATATACTCCATACCGTTCTCTGTACTTTCCTCATGGTTAGTGTGTTTGCTGAAAATCTCTTTGTGTTTGTTCCAGCTGATTTGATAAATAAACTTTTTGATATTTGATTAAAGACAGTTTGAAACAAATACAATTAGGGATGGACCGGAGACAGGTTTAGAGTAGTTGGCTCTAAAACTTTTTTAACTTACGTTTTAAACTTACGTTTTTTATACGCAATATTTGTTGGTTTTATTTTATTTGCCTTCTTAAGTAGCACACCAGGTAAGACTTAATTGCAGATTGACAGTGTCAGAACCAATTGTAAATTTTTTTATTGCTATCCTGAGTTCAACCTCCAGCTGGTTTGATAAGAACATTTTTTCGATATTTGATCAAGGACAGTTTGAAACAAAAACAACTCCTTACTTTATCACCTGGAAAAAGGATGTCAGAAGATTTTGGTTGTCTCATAATGAAATTTATAATTTAAAATATTGGAAACAGTTGTTTCTTTCCTCGGTCTTCTCGTTTTGCAAAGACATATTTTTCAAATATACCTGAAGTGGCTTATAATCTTGAAAGCTTTTTCATTCGGCACGTATATACCCGTTTTAAATGAATTTCCACTGGATGTTTCGTTTCCCACGGCAGAAGGCTGGTTTTTTTTTTCTGTCCCACATTTCGACAAGCGAAACATACTAATTACGACCAGCTTTACTAAGTTCAAATCTGGTTTTCCAGGATCAAGCTACCCTTGTGATAGAAGGAAAGCGAGTGATAACACTACATAATAATCACAAATATAGCAATAATGATAATAATAACAATAATAATGGTGAGGATAACGATTAACAAAATGAGAAATTTACTCCTCGATTACATGAAAGCAAGAGTTAAAAATGGCTCCAGCAACTCTCGGCCCGCTAATCAAATGGCATTTTGATAATTTTCATACCTTTTGATTCATGCAATGACCGTCATCGCTGGATGCTAGTTTCCTCTATGATTTGGTTCGAATTGGATACAACACCATCTTCAAAATTCTGATCAGTTTAAATGTACAGAAAATGTCAACTCCACCCCGTGGGGGTAAAGCGTACCACTCACTTTCCAGATTTAAAAACTTTAAAACCCCTTTTATGTATGAGTAACCCTCAAACCGCAATACGCATATTATTGGACTAACACAAACCCAGTGTATCATGGAGGTACGAAGTTCACCAGTTCATCGGGTTCGCAGTCTCGATATATTGTTTGATTTGTTTTAATTTCAGGATCACAGTAATTCCTGATTGGAATTGCGGAACCTAAGCTGCTTCGTTATTAGGCTTTAAAGTTAATTGTCATAGGCAAATGATTACAAGCTTCGCCGGGGATCGGGTCCTTCAATTTATAACAACGAATTCGTTAAAGAACTTATTTATTCATTGTCATTGATGTCCAATGTGTATTTTAGGGCTGATTGTCTTCTTTAAGAGATGAAAATTGATTAAACGAACTTAAATACTTCTCCTTTTCAGTAAAACATATTTTAGCTTGAGAGAGTGATGAAAAAGTAACAAGGCGAAAAATTCAAATTGGTTTAGCTTTAACCAAAATCGCATTGAATCCTACAAACCTGGATAATAGCTTCCAAAACTGGATAATACCGTTCAGAAAAAACTGTCCGAAACTGGATATAAAATTGCACGATATTGTCCGAAATAGGACAATAGTGTCTACAATTGGACACCTGCATGTGTTCAAAACAGGTAACACATCGTTTTGCGTATTGATTCGCTCTGATATCAATCTTGAGAAAATGCTTTTAAGAGGGAAGGACAGAGGAACTGTTCAAATCTTCGTGCAGCAAAAGAACAAGCTTGCATCAAGTCCTCAATATATTTGTAGATGTTTCTCACCGACTTAATAGCATATAATCTATTAATAGTGCGTAATCTTCGAGAAGTCTTTGCGCGGACGTCTTGCCATGTTAGACGTACACACGATGTAGACGTAAAAGCAGGTTTTTCATCAGTTACAGGAATAGGAGTCGAAAACACTTTAAGCTCTAGCTCAGGGCTCATAGAGTTGTATCCTGGAATTCTGTGCCATTTCCCACCACTGTTCGTCACAAACTGGTTTTCTCGGGTTACAACGACATTGATAGCTGCATTCACATGGACACCACAACCCCAGGGTGACCAATTAATAGAGCGGATAGTATCGCAGAACACGTATCCAAACAGGTGGACCAGCCTCACGCCTACCATTTTGGCGTTGTTTGGTACCTTGAAACTTCTGCACTACGTATCTCACGAACAAAAGCACACAGAAGATTATCTGCCTTCATGATTCAGGTATCTGCAAATAAACAAAGCAGGTCAATAAGATGTAATAGCTTTTCTTGGCTACATGGCGAATGGATCGATCATTATTATGGCCGGGGGGGATCTTGATTGTGTCTTGATAGAATTTACCTGATTCCCTCATCAGCAGTTAATTGGCAGTCAATTTTCTACATCTTCCCCCCCTCTATACTCTGTTGGCGAAAACTGATCCCCCGCCGTTCCCTCCAAAAACCATGGGATCCCCATAAAATAACCTACATCTGCAATGTATTTTATTCAGGTGTATCACATACAACTGGTTCTGACATTTAATCATTGTGCAGTTAACTGACACGGTAAAATGAAGAGAGCAAAATTGCCCTCAAGTCCAAATTGGTCCCCATTTCTCGAGGGGCCAGTTCAAAAAGCCTGAGAATCAGCGTAAGTGTTTGACAAACTTGTCAGTGTATGTCTGACAGTGTTGTAGGGGCAAACAGTCACTTGTTGAGGTTTGCATGTTAAGGTTTGCTTGTTATGGTGTTGAAGCAAACAGGATATAACATCCACGACAAACGAATGTTTATCTAGGTGAGTATTGTGCAAATAAGGAAGTTCAGGGTTGTTTATTTTAAAAAAAATGGTAAGTGTATTAATCTGAATGTATGAGAATGCTGCTTAATAGGTTAATGCATATGTAGCAAGTAGTACGTGTTTCCAAGCAACACGCCTGTAGAGAAGCCACAGTGATAAGGGCACCTTTGCCCCTCCTCAGAGCAGCTTTTGATTTCTCCAATCAGGAATATGCTTTTTAAAGCGTGCATTCAAAAGCGCGTGTAATTAGAATTTCGCGTGCTTTCCAATTTCAACTGTGACGTACCATGGCTAATTGCTTTCTTTTTTTTAAATACGAAATGTCGTTGGGTATGACATGAAAGCCTGGTTGTTTGTAAATTTTCTTGGAGCTTGTTTGCTCCTAGCAAACGTCTCAATTTCCACAGCTGAACAAAGGAACATACGGTCGCTAGAACGTAAGTGTAAATATCTTAAATTCATGATTTTTGTATGGACGGAAAGTGTTTTATTCATACTTAAGTCGTCCGTCGCCGAGCTGACGTGTTAAGAATTTCCCTTATACACTTCGGGTTTTAACCGATCCGCTCAGCGACAGGTACTTCAGATTCAAAAGGAAAGTCTTAGAAAAACATATCAGATTTACATGAGTCAAAGTGTTTACGATGAACAATTAATTTGTTATCTTAAAACAAGAAGTAATATGGTCTTTCAAAGCGCCAGGAATTTATCTGAAAGGAAGGGAATTTTTACCCTCTGAGTTCGAATAAAGCGCCTTAAGGAAGATCTGTCTCAATGGCGAACCTTTTTCTGAGAATCTGAGGACAAAAAAATAGGAAAGAAAAATCTGAAAACTCATATCGCCAGTGCAGCAAGAGGTATAAACTAGCCTGAAGGGGCTGCTATGAAAATTTCATCGCTTCCGTATCAAAAAGACCAATACTTTTATCACTTCTTGTAATTGAGATGAAACTCTTATGGGGCGATCCTAATATTTTAAGACTTCCTGTATTTAACAGACACAAACTTGAATCCAAATTGTGCCTTCCTTCAATACTACCACATTACCCCCTCCCAAAATTGCCTGAAATTTCTTATTTGGATTCAATGTTGCTTTACAGACGACAACTTTAATCAGGATTCGTTCAAAGTCAATTTTCAAGATGGGACTGCACCCAAGACTCAAAGTTCTAGTAAACTGTACAAAGTCGGGGATAAATCCCTGGTCAAGAGTGGTGAGCCTTACGGTAAGTACATGAAATCTGGTGTCGGCTCTTCTTCTCGTTTCAATCCGCCGAGGGTAGCCTATGCAAGAGAGATTTTCTCCGGCCCTGCGGCAGATTGGAGTCAGGAAAAGGCTGGGTTTTCAGACTATAAGCGAAACTTTTCGGCAACTGAGAGTGCTTCTCGATTGAGAATCAAATATTCACAACTTATGAATCAAAATGAAGATTAGTGATCAAAAGGAGTCAAGGAGATACTAATTTAAACTACCTGGAGCAAGGCGGAAGGGATCGAGTCGCAATTGGTTTTATTTTGCTATGTGGTTGGTTGTCGAACGGATTGCGATCAATCACAGATCAGTTTGAAACAGAGCGTCGAGAGCTGAGTGTCGAAGGTAATCCGGAATTGCTTTTGTTTTACTTGCCTTCTGTGATTGGCTCGGAAAACTCGCGTTATCCTTTAAACCAAACAGATGCAAAACTTAAACAAAAACAGTCAGTCAGTTAGTCATTCAATCAGTTAGTCAGTCAATCTGCAAGTCACTCAATCATTTAGTCAGTCAGTCATTCACTCAGTCTGTAAGTCAGTAAGTCAATCTTTTGTCAGTTAGTCGGTTAGTTAGTCAATCAGTCAATCACGCTTTGCATTCGCCCACGTTTAAATTCTTATACCGAAAAGGAAATCTTAATAGCCTTTATTTGATATTATGTATTGCATCATTTCTTGGGGGCATTTGCTTGCTTATCTGCTTATATATTTATTTATAAAACAGCAAGGCATGCCATTGATTGCTCAAGTAGTCCTTGCCCAGCCGAATCTGCCTGTGGTAGTTACAACGTTTGTTGGTGCGGTGGTGACAGCAGACTTCGCTTGGTGGGAGGTCTTAATTGCATTGGTATGTATTAGCAATATGGATAAAGGGGATAAGTTTCTAAAGAAACTGTGGTGCTGCGTTGGTAGGAGAGTATAACAAGGTGATGGTGTATCATCAACTGAGTTGATAGCGTAAATAAGCCTCCGTAAGGAGTTTAAAAGCTGACGTTTCGAGCATTAGCCCTTCGTTAGAGCGAATAGGCTAAAGCGTTATACCGTAAGCCGTGTAGACGGAACGGAAACAGTTAGAATTTAAATTTCATGAAATTTTTGCCATAGAAACCATTTTATGAGTTAAAGTTTAACTGAAAACAGAAGTGTGTCTCACTTCATAGAGAAAACACTAATTAGAATCTAGCTCAGTCAAAACTATCTTTTCTTTTCTGATCACAGATATAAAGAAAGGGTGTGATGACCGTACTTTTAGACCTTGCCATCAATTTGCTGAATGCCAACCTGTGTCTCGAAATCATTTTGGCTGCAAGTGTAAGAAGAAATATGAAGGAAATGGTGTGGAATGCAAAAGAAAAGGTATTTGTAATAAAATTAGCACTTCTTTCCAGGGGAGAGAAGATGGAAACACACACATTGCTTAGTTCCTCTAAGGCCTTTTCTAGGCCCTCGCGGTAAATTTCAAACTCTTTTCAGCCTTTCTCCCCTCTCCCCCCTCCCCCTTTTTCTCAAAACAGAGTGGGGTCTCAGGAAGAACGGGTGCCCAAACTGTTTTTGGTGTCACCTTTTAGGCTTTAGATTTCACGTGTAGTTTCACGTGACTTTTGATGTAAACAAACCCCGAAAGTTCGGACATTGAGTCGAGCTCGCAGCACATGTGTTCAAACTTCGGCTTTGGAAATTTTTCTTAAATAGCTTCCCACTTTCAAGAAACGTTTCTTCGCTCAAAACTGGCATCTTTCTTTTATCATTTATTTGATCGTGTGTCAAGCAAGTTGTCATTTCGCTGCTGTTGAAGCAGATGCAAAGAATGTTACGGGAAGCGTTGCAGCATGGAATAATCGAATTAGTTCTGCGTACAGTGATGTAGATAATCAGGTATTTTCGGGGTGTTAAGTGCGTAGATTGTTAAATAAAATCACTTCTGTCAAGAAATTAGTGCCCACGAATCGCTATAGAACGTGAGAAAGCCTGAATTCCCTCACAGCATTACGTATCTGGGTGTAGACTCCCTTAGCTGATAAATGTACAGATTTTTTTAACCTTAAGTAACGCAAGTGGGAAATTCTGTGAAACTCAGAACAACCTTCAAAAAGAGTTAAAGTTAAGAATAGCAGATCACAAAAGTAAAGCTGATTTCAATGAGTGTGACAGAGCTTAAAAAATATCTACAAGAACGAGGGATTTCAGCGAGCGGATACTTTAAAACCTTGTTGGTGGAAATCACCTCCGCGGTCGAAAAAATGGTTCTGCCAGTGGTCCAAATTTTGAAAAGGCGACACCACTGCTTTAGACGAATTAATAATTCATGGTATGCTAATACCCAATCTATTTTTCCTGAAGACTGTTAACAATTTTGACGCGTCCCAGCCGTTTGGATTGTACAACATTTTTAATTATTTGATTTGCTCTCATGAACTCATCGCTGGCTCTACGCTCAGATTTAAAAGGGCTTTGGCTACTGCGTATTCCTCTGTCGATTTGCCAGTTTGACGATCAAGTGTCAGAAGGGTTTTAATAATAATAATAATAATAATAAGTCTTTATTAAGCACTCTAAACAACAAACGTGTTTAGTTACAATGATATGAAATCAGCAAGTATAAAACTAATAAACTAACTAAATTACTAACTGAATAACTAATAAGAGAACAAACATCTATTAATAAAGGTCCTTTTGAAACGTTCAGTTCTGACAAGCGGGAGAATATAATTATGGCGCCTCTTACGTAGCGTATCCATTGTTCGCTCTGGTGGCAAAAGGTCATCTAAAGCTGTTGGAAAATCGCTGTCGGTGATCTTGGCCCACAACTTCTTATCTTTTAGAATGATAATATTTTCAATCGAAAAAAGCTCTTTACAGTAGCCAAGCTTAAAAGCTCTCTTGAACAGCCTGTCTATGCGACTCAGATACTTATGATAATACGCGCAGCCCCATACTTCTACAGCATATGTAAATATAGGTAGAATAAGACTGATAAAGAGAAGATGAAGATGATCCAGCGGCAGTCCATAGAATTTACAAACACGTAAGATGTACAGACGACTACTGGCTTTCGATATAATATTATCAAAATGTAAGTCCCAGTTACACGGATCAGATTGAAAAGTTACACCCAACAACTTCAGACATGGTTTACGCTCTATAGAAACCAGAGGAGCAGGTAAGGCCTTAGTGGATTTGGATTTTACCTAAGGCAAACTTTTTTGCATCTCTCTTTGTCTGCTTAACTTACCCTTTCTTTACTAGCTACAGCAGATATGGGATCAGGATCCACCGACAAAATGTAGACTACAAACGAAGCTGTCTTTCATGCACACGAACGAGTCACCTCGAAGACATGACCTCATCCACCTTTGCCTTCTCTCCTTTTGTCTAACTGCCCCCGGAAAATAGAAAAACTTAACCGGGTCGCCGTTAGCGTTTCTTACCTAGGGGTTGAGGTATCGTGAATCGTTTTTGAAGGTGCCATAAGCACGTCTCTTAGTCGTAACCATTATGTTTAGGTATACACTTACTAGACAACTACAATCGTACACGTTCATAGAGTTGAAATCGGTGTTATTTTTGGGAATCAAGGCCTCCTCACGTTCTACAGCGATTCGTGGGCACTAATCTCCTGTCAGACGGGGATTTATTTGACAATCTACGCACTAAACACCCTGAAAATACCTGATCAGATACATCACTGTATGCAGAACTAGTTCGATTATTCCATGCCGCAACGCATCCTGTAACACTCTTCGCATTTGCTTCAACGGCAGCGAAATGACAACTTGCTTGACACACGATCAAATAAATGACAGAAGAAAGATGCCAATTTTGAGCGAAGAAACGTTTCTTGAAGGTGGGCAGCTATTTAAGAAAAATTTCCAAAGCCGAAATTTGCACTCACGTGCGCGAGCTCGACTCAATGTCCGAACTTTCGGGGTTTGTTTACATCAAAAGTCACGTGACACTACACGTGAACTCTAAAGCCCAAAAGGTGAATTGGAACATGACCACACAAAAATTTCAGTAACCTGGGAACTTGACAAATGTTCTTTCCTTTTTTCTTTCATTTACTGTTTCTCTCTTTCTTTCTCTACTTCTCTCTCTAGAAGAAAATTAAAGCACTTTCCTGACTTTTCCCTCCTTTGATGATAGATCAACTGTTTTTGTGTGGTAACTTTTGACAACCTCTATGACAGAGCTTGATGACCCAACCCGTCTGCATGCGAGCAATTCACCAATAGCATTTTATCCTCACAGAAGGAGCCCGTCATTTGTGCTTGTGAGAGCACAAAAGTGCCCTATACCGTGGTATCGGCCAGTTTAAAAGTTAGAAATCCATTTTGTTTGCCAAACTGAAGCTATAGACTTACCATTTATACGCCACTCAATTCCCTCGGCCGACAAAACCTTTTAAATCTGAGTTATCAGGACTTTGAAAATCTGCCGTGTATGTGTTTGACTTTTCAAGTCGATGAAAGGTTTCAGAATTTGAAAAGGCCCTTTTTGCGTTTTATAAGTTTGGACAGTGAAATTTGCAACTTAACTTTTAACAATTTCGTTTAAAGTTATACTTTAGGTAGATCAATTATTTGGTTATAAAACAGAGCAAACTTGAGTACAAAATCACCATACATTTTTTTTTCATGATCATTTGAAGAAACCGATGCCAGGAAACGGCAAATGTCACGAAAGTTCCCTATTTGTTAGATGTTACAGATGATTATTTCAGCGTATTTTTTGGAGAGGCAGGAATGATCAATACTATAAAATCGTACAATAGTGCAATAGCAGCGGGCGATTCAAGTTTCAGATTTGATGGTTGCATTCAAAATGAATCAATGCCGAAAATACGGTGAATTACGACCTTGATGCGCCTTGCGTATAGGGGTATATGGACAGTTGATTGAAAACTTCTACTGCGGGACTCATTATGTTGCCTGGTGATAACTGAAATCTTCGTTTGAGGAAAGTACCAGTATAATTATGATCATGACTACCAGAAATATCGACTTTAAAAACTGGTATGCTCCTAAATTTTGGAACGGACACCCCCGATGTAGAAATGTTGCTTTGTCAATCAATGGGTCTTACACTTCCCCCCTTCAGACAAGGAGAAATATATAGGTGCTTTCTTAAATCTCACACTGGTGAATTTTGAAAAAGATGAATAATTGAAATTTACTGCCCAAACTAATACGGATCTTCGCACCATTCGTCATAAATGTGCCAAACAATCCTCTAAACAAGCGCTGTCCTTACCGACCAACTTTGCTATCGTGATAGTCTTAATCTTACGTTTCCGATAAATGTCTTATCATGAATCATTGCAACTAATGACAGAGTGTTCTGGTTCAAATTACTATAGCTCGGTTTTAGAGACGAATGATTTATTCAAGCCTGTCCAGACGGTATTTAGTAATCGGGCCTTGAAACAGTATGGAACAATCCGCCGCGGATTTTTTTCTTGCGGCCCAGTAGGTTTGTTTTAAACTCAAACACATAAAACTGTTTGCTACCCTTTATTAAATTATAAAGTTTGACTACAGTTGTTTGAGTTTTGTAAATAAACTACTTTAAGACGAAAACACCCCAAAACAACGCAGAGTTGTTTAATGAGTTTACGTCACTTTTGCTCCTTTTCCCTCACTGAACAACCAGGAATAACTGTTTCTATGGAAAAGTTAATCTCTCTAAGAGACAAAGTCAGCCGGTGGTCATCAGCATTTCGCCAGAACTGCGCCAATGACACTGGGAAAAGACGGAGGAAGACTTTCACGCCTTGATAACTCCGGATCAAATAAGACAGTTTGAAACAAGCATAGCTGCAAGAGATGCTGAATGTTTGTTAGGTCAACTGTCAGATGCACACAACATCCAGATGACCCAGGCTCAGTACAAGTTAATTCGAGATTTTCTACTAGTTGAGATATCTGTTGCCAAAGCTAACAAGGCAGGGGCTCTCGCGAACATGACAATTGGGGAATACAGCAGAATGGCAAAGGAAAGTGATAAATTTGTCGTTCTTGTGAAGAATCACAAGACAGACAGCACCCATGGTTCCGCCAGAATTGTTTTCTCTCCAAGATCAAAAAGCTGGATGGACGTCTTCCTTAAACTGCGTTTGAAATTTGCTACTTTTGACTGTGGGCCAGAAAAATGCGTGTTGTTATATTCCAATGGAGAGTCTACGGTTTCCAGTCAAATCAACAAAGCTATTAACTCCGTATGTAAAAGGCCGAAGTCCAGGGCGCGCCAAGCTGTAAGTTAGTTAGACAATTCTTAGTGTCAAGCGTACACAGCAGCAGCGACAGCAATGAAGCAATGAAACCTGGCGGATTTGATGGCCCACAATATTTCCACTGCTACGAGATATTATCGATTGCCAGAAAAATTTAAATCCTCCGTCTGACCTCTAAACACTTGCGTCAAGTCATGGAAGACGAAAGCCCAAGCATTTCCACCGTAGACGAGGGTGAAGCTTCCGAACACTATTCCTGAAGCAAAGACCAAGAAATGATAATAGGAGATCTGTTTTAAGAGGAAATCTAAGGGAAATCCGTGACAATAAAAACGGTGAGGGAGAAAATAGCTGAAAATGTGCAGCTGAGGGACGGGGACCCGAGGAAGATTCTTGGCAAAGTTCGAGAGATGTGTTGTTTTCCTTCCTCCACACAATCAGAGCCTGTGAACCTCCCTGACGAACAAGGGACTCTTGAACAAAGAGTGGAGAGATTTCTTGACGTCGATAAAAACCGACCTTGGGAAATACAGACCAAAACAACAGAGGCAAGTGGTGTTCGTAACCTATTTTCATCTTTGGAGCTTAATAGGCTGGGAGCTATGTTTAAAGAAATGATCACGACATCTGTTCCGATCTCAAAGCCCATGGTCAAAGGAAAAAGGAAGATGGGGGAAAAGAACTCTTACAAAAAGCCTCGTTAGAAACAATAATTAATCGTGTGAAATACTAAAGGCGCCTTAAAAGAGCATCTAAGACAGCTCAAGATTAGAGTTGTTTTCAAAATAGTTAACAGTTTGTAGGCTTGGCATATTAACTCCGCCCACGCTCCTTTAAATCGTGACGATGGCGGTTTGCTTCCTGACGCCTATTTACACCTCGTCAGAAAAAAGGCCGCTAATTAGTAATCATATAAAAGGACCTCTTGTTGCAGCGTTTAGATCACCCCTGATGAAGGCACTAGACAGGAGTGTCGAAACGTTGGGTCTATGAATTGTAACTTCTTCGGTTACATTCATTAAATCTGCAAACCAGGGTAGCATCAAACTATGTCTAGTTAACAGTTGATTGAGGTCTGGACAAATGTGTTAGATATCCAGCTTACATGCTTAAGCGCCCCCTGTTTTGGTTGTAGAAATTAATGCTTTGAAATTTTTTACCCTGTCCTCCTGCAGTTTTAAGTTCAACCTGGTAGCTAAAGATGTTGCCACCCCGGGGGATGTTAGTTAGGTCAAAACGCATTGTAATTCCAATTTTATTCTTCGGAGTAAAAGTGTCACTACATTCCTGTCGAATCTTGCACGGTCTAAATAATTACATAGTTCTGCACGCTTGTCTTCAATGTACTGTTACCAAGCGTCTGGAGATTGCTAGAGATTTTAATAAAATTCACGTTACTATGATAGGTTATACCATCTAATTTAAGTTATTGTTGAGCGGATAACGGAGCTGATTGTTTTTCCTATCTCCACGTCTTTGATATTTAAAGAAACACAGTCAAAGTGTAGATTAATATAGTGGGTTGTTCAGTAAATGAGACTAGTCAGTGTTTAGAAACAACTGAGAAATTGTATCCAATGCGGTTGGAAAAACATCAAATTTGTTTGTGCTCTGTTTGCATTGAGTCAGATAATGAACAAGGAAAATAGCTTCTATTGCACTGAAAGTGGCCTTTTTCTTTTGAGTAACATCTGGAAATGAGCTTCACATAAGTTCCCTGTCAAGGTTACCAAAGTGCGCTATTCCAGTCGCCAAAGTTCTCTGATGTCACAAAAGTTCCCTAGTGTCGTCACAAAAGTTTCCTAGTGACGTTGCTAAAGTCCCCTATGCACGTCATAAAAGTTCCCTGTTTTCGTCACCAAAGTTCCCTATTTTCGTCAGAAAAGTGCCCTTTCTTCTGGCTCTCTCTCCTTCTTTCTCTCCCTCCCTCTCTCTCTCTCTCTCTCTCTTTCCCTCTCTCTCTCTCTCTCTCTCTCTCTCTCTCTCTCTCGCTTTCCTCCTTTCTTGCTCTCTTTCATTCTTTCGTTCTTACCTTCTCTCGTTCGGCTTTCTTTCAATCATCTTTTTTTAATCTTTCTGTCTCTTACTACTTTTTTGCTTCTTTTTAAATTTTTTGTTTCTCGTTTATTTTACCTATTCTTTCCCTCCTTCCTTTCTCCGTTTTTATCAATATTCATAATGTCCCCCTCCAGTCACACCCTCCTTTCGTCACCCCCTGCCGTGCTGTTCGCGTTCTTTACTGTGCTTACGCTCTTGACCATGATTGAAGAGAAGAAAAGGTTTATAAACAAGTTAGAGATAAAGATCGAGAAGGTGGTAAATTTTTGACTCCGTCGCTTAGGCCTTGGACAAGGATAATAATCCCAGTCTTCATTTATAACTACAAGTCTCGTCTTTCTCGTGTGTTCCAGCTCAACCGACAACAAAGCCAACGAAGACATCGAAAACGAATACGTTAATGAAAAGGACGACCCCTACGAGAAAGCGAGGCCCTACAGGTGTTTTCGGGCTTGTGAAGAACGAAGCCAAGTTAGCTGTAAACAAAGCACTCGATCTGGTGATGGACAATGTAAAATTTGTTATTCTTGGAGGAATCGGTTTTGTGCTACTTCTGCTGTTTTTCATGTGCCTCTGTTGCAGGTAGGAAAATCGCAGCCCGATTCTGCGCGCATTTTAACAGACCCCTCGCTTTACCCGAGACGACCTTTTGCCCTTGAGACAACTTTAAGAAGCGTTTATATGGAGTTTTGAGTTGCAACAGCTGTCCCTTCACCAGTCTCTCTCGTTGCCGCCATCGCCATGCACGTTACATATTGAACAAAATGGTCGCCGCTGACCTAAAATACGCGCGCTCCGGAAAAATGTCGTCCCTCTGTAAGCTGTTACATACAGATGTTATTTAAAGACCTATATAATTTCTAATTCAAAAGTTCATGGTGACTCTCATATTCTATAATTCAGGAGACGTGCAAGGAAAAGGATCGAAAGGAAACTTAACCAAGTGGATTATGAAGGGCAAGGCGATTTTTATACCCATACTCAATATCAGAATGTTCCAGTGAATGACTATTTCGGTCCACTCCCACCGACTCCAAATGCACATCCCGGAAGGGTAGCCTCAGTATACCGTCCAGCTCCACAGCATCACGGAAGGGTGTCCTCAGTATTCCGTCCACCTCCACAGCAACACGGAAGGGTATCCACAGTATTCGCTCCACCTCCACCGCATCCCGGAATGGCATCCACAGTATTCGCTCCACCTCCACCGCATCCCGGAATGGCATCCACAGTATTCACTTCACCTCCACCGCATCCCGGAATGGCATCCACATCATTCCCTGCAGCTGCACCGTCCCGAGTAGCCGGACATCCTCCCCCGCCAACCCCCGCCCCTGCCCCTGCCCCTGCCCCTGCCCCCCCCTCCCCCCCCCCTCCCCCCCCCCTCCTATGACTGCTAAAGGACATCAACAAAAAGGAATAAAAACTGTTTCACAATCAAGCTTTTATTCTGATGATGAAAACTAAAACTACAAATTACGATGACTGGCTATCATTTAACAGGTAAGAAATAACAGACTGACTAAGAACATGCGACTGGTGTTGACCGTGTTTTCGTTCAGTTTCCGAGTACCGAATCCCTCTTTCTCTGCTTTCATTTAAGAAGTCGGGTTTGATCGGATACCGATGGAGATCTCGGATCCTGTGACCGAGGTCTTTTTGAATCCGGGCTAGTTATTTCCCAAATTAACCTACAGAAGACCCGTAATTTATTTTGAGTTATCAGTGGAGCGGAGACCAGCACAAGGCAAGAGCTAATCGCGAGTGACGCGTGACAAGGCGCTAGTGAAGTGAAATGACAAGGCGCGAGTGACGCGTGGCGCGTGACAAGGGGGGCGAAAAAGGCGTTATTTTTTACGCATTCCTCCTTTCGCAAGTTACTTGCGAATGATTAGACTATTCTCCAGAGGGCTAAAGGAAACATCACTTGTTCAACTCAGTCATATGCGTCTTCTTGTTTTCAGGAGTTCTTGCTGAAATGGTTCTTGACGTACATTCCTACTGTTAGTATTATACAACTTTAACATATGAATTTCAACTTTAATCTGGATCAAAACATTTTTTCACTTTTGTTTTAATCAAATATCTTACTTTTTGTCGCATATTTTTTGTATTAATTCATATGATTACTGACCAATAAACAACTGAAATCGTCTCGTAACCGTTGTGGTTGTTGTTTCCTTTAATTTTCTGTAACTATACTGATGTGAACTGATACGCGCTTTTAAAATAGATTTCTCCTCTGGGATCTTGAACCAGAAGCAAGGATTTTTGCAGGGCGTAAGTACACTTCACCCCTTTCGAAAAAGGAATAATAGTTCATCTTTAAAACTGGAAGGGCAAAGGCAAAAAGAATTTCGTGTACAGTAACGAGAGGTCCTGGGAAAGAGTACATCATATCTCGCTCCCAATGCTCTTTGCAGCACGGATGGTTATTTGTCCATTATGGCGGCGGACTTTTATTTCATTCTTCTTTTGGTTGTGTGCTGTGTGCATTTATATGTCTGCCCGTTTACCAAAGTAGAAGAAAGTTTTAATTTGCAGGCAACTCATGACTTACTCTACCATGGAATGAACATTTCCAAGGTACGTATTTTCCAGATTTTTATGGCATATGCCTCAGAAGGTTCGATCATGGGAAAACGTGTTCTTTATTTTTAGCTTTATTCGGGCTGGGATGTAGAATTTTTTTTAATGATAGCCTTTATTTTCGAACCAAAGAACATTTTTTTTTGTTTTGTTTTATAATCAGGGATTTGTCACGTTATCATTCATACATGGGTTTAGTGACTTTCGGAGAAAGGCTACGAAACTGGGTGGGAGGGTGGAGGGAGGGGAAGGTGCCTATAAGTTACTGAACTTAAAACAAAAATCAAACAAACAAACAAACAAAAAGAATATAAATAAAAGTAAAAGAGCGAAACTGCAAAGTAGGAGATAGGCCTGCCGTTCTTAGATTTATGTAAGCTTGATTAACTAAAACTGAGAGTAAATCCCAGTGTGATGGCTTCATGGAAAAGGAAAAAACTATGGAGGAGGGGGGAAGGGGTCACATATGGTCTTGGAAGGCAAACAAAACCCACAGTTTTTGGAGAATAACACCTTCAACAGCAGAAGAAGGACCAGGGTGGCTAAAATCTACCCTTTGTTATACCCTGCTATCTTCTCTCTTGCCTACTACAGGCTTTGATTCCCATTTCCTACCTTTTATTACCCTGTCCTGTACATATCAGTCAATTGTAGTGTTTAATCTTTGTTGTAGTATGATCATTTAGAGTTCCCTGGTGTGGTGCCTAGGACATTTCTTGGACCAATTGTTGTCTCCTCCCTTGCATATCCTGCTGTCATGATCCTTAAATTTGTTGGTTCATCTAAATTATGGTCACAGTATGTAGGTAACTTACATTTCATGGAATACTTCTTTGATATCAATATGACTGTTTTGCATTATTATTTAAAATGTAACCTTGAGACAGGTCATCTTGCATTTACAAACCTTTTGACCTGTCTTGCATATTTTTGTTTCAATCCTTTAACTCCCAAGATCTCATTAGTAATTCTCTTTATTGTCAGCCATACAGTTCTTGTGATGTTAGTTTGGAGAATTTGGGATTGTATCAACTTATAATCCCCTAATTGATATTTTTCTTTATTCTCATCACTTGTCTGCTTGATATTGTATTGATATTGTAAGGAGAAATTCTGTGTTGGTCACTCATGGGAGTTAAAGCATCAAACACTTTCAATACCTTTTTAACTCAAATTATTACTAATTTTTTTCTCCCACTATTTTCTCATTTTACATATTCTGATATTTTCCTCATTTTCCCCGATATCTTTTCTTTAAATTCTTTTCATCTTTGGGGTCTCAAACATGTTCTAAGTTTCATCATTTATTGACTCAAATTAGTATAGGTAATAACATGATTCTCAGTGCAATTTGGTGCTAATAAGCAAGAGAAAATTTTTTTCAAAGACAATAAAATTTCACAAGCCCACAGGGTCCACCAGTGCAATTTGTAGTCTTTGAAAAATTTACAAGTGCTTATTTGTACCAAATTACTCTTCAGATCATGTTATTACTTAATTAACTTGAAAAAGCATCACAGAAAGTCTGAGAGACAAAATTTTGACAGCTTGCACACACTATTTGTAACTTGTACGGGCTTACAACTTTGCACTGATGTTACAGGAAAAATGCACTTGTTTTCAGCCAACCAGAGGCATGTAATTTTATCATACATGTTATTATATTTCATGTAATTTTATCATGCATGTTATTATATTTAAAATTGTCTAAGTTTTCATTCTTGTTCTCTGATTTTACTGTTTATGTACACAATTTGTATTTTCTTCGATTCCAGTACGATTTTTTCTTGGTTTGCTTGGTCTTCTTGCCTTTTCAAAGTTCCGCAAATCAATCACAACCAAGTTTGGACAGGATATTGGGAAGATTATGGTGGTACTCACTGTTACTCAGTTTCATTTCTTGTTCTACATTTCAAGACCATTACCTAATACTTTTGCACTCATTTTAGGTTGGTACACACATGTATACATATATTTAACAACTCTTTTTCTGAGGCAAAGTCTGTATAGTGAAGAAATCCCTTAAAATAATGAAATAATAATATGTACAGCTACCTTCCATTTGAGGCAAAAATATGGTGGAATATTTGTTGGCAGACTTAATATCTGTGCCAATAAGGAACATTACTTGAGGAAAATTGTGAAGTTTTTGAAACCAATAATATCTAGGGACAGGTGAATGTCTAGAAACCTTTAAGTAACCCCTAAGGGTGATAAGCACCTAATTTCTCCTAACAGTATCATCCCTGATTCAAACATTAAGGTCATGAGAATAAAAATAATGATCACAAATCCAAGATGCTCTTGATTGTTCGACAATTTCTCCTTGTAATTCCCATAGTTAATGTATCAAGAACAATATGGAGAACTTACATACTGATGTTAGGGTGTAAAGGTGTAAACATCTCAATCTTGTCAGGAAGATGCCATGCTTAATCCTATTATTTGGTAAGGTAGTTTTGAGGTAAATCCAAGCATTCTGATTGGTTATTACTTGGTCGGGATTCTGCCATATAGACCATTTCCATGGAAACAGTCAAAACCTGTGTATTTTGTTTGTGAAAGCAGACAAATTCAAAGTAAACAAGTTTGGTCCAAGTGTCATACAATAAACTACTTGCAAACCAAGGGTGGAGCCATATTTGGTAATATTGGTTCTCAGCCGTTCTTTTTGTACATGCTACCACAACCTTGGGCAAGGATTCCCCAATATGGTCCAAGGACTTGGCTAATAAGAAGTTATTGATCATTTTCTTAATTCTGTCTTATCAGTTCTTTTAGCATTTCATTACTGGCTGGATCAACATCACGCCAAATTCGTTTGGATATCAGCTTTTGCGATTATCATCTTCCGATCAGAGTTATGTATTTTGCTTGGCCTGATCCTACTGCTAGAGCTAGCTACAAAACGTCTGACTTTAGGCACTGCATTTGTCCATGCAGCATCAGCAGGTGTCAGTGCTTTGGGTAAGTGGATCAAAGAGTATTCTTGTTGGAGATGAATTTTGAATCATCTCCATTGTAGCTTGTAGATTGAATAAATCCAAACTTCTCTGGGTTCTCTAGAAAGAAAAAGAAAGTATGGAAATATTTTTAATTCGCATGAGAACTTAATGGCAGTTAGAAAAATCTGCACAGTGTCAGTAATTGAAAATTACTTTATCATTAACACAGGCATAAAAGCAGCACCCAGTGATAAGCCAAAATCCAAGTTTAGCAACTCAAATTTCTGATCTAAGTACAGAATGTACAGAAATTCTGAAAGACAATTTGGCACTGTCATTTTGGATCCAAAAAGATCTAAGTACAGAAATTCAGAAAGACAATTTGGCAATGTCATTTTGGATCCAAAAAGACCTTTCTTCTCAAAACGCAAGAGGGTGTAAATATTTACCTTATGTAGAACTAAATTCTCAGAGCTAATTGTGGGAAAATACTAGGTAGTGCTGAGAATTACAATTGATCAGATCTTGGGATTTTTTTAATTTGCTTATTTTTTTATTTCATCAATTTTTTTACTTTTTCAAACTCTTACATTCTTTCAAACCATGGCAATCATACTTAGAATATTTGTCATGAGGTCGAATTTTTTTAATCCATGTTTTCATTCTCATTATTATCAGCTTTGACTGTTTCTGTGGACTCCATATTTTGGAGAAGGTTCCTGTGGCCTGAAGGAGAAGTCCTGTGGTATAATACTGTCCTCAACAAGAGTTCTAACTGGGGTGTATCCTTTCCATTTCTAATCATTTCATGTTGTCCTTCGGTAATGTTTTGAAAAGGTAAAATAGTTTCCAGTGAGGTCTTAAAACTAAAACACAACTCTCATAGCTTTTTCTAATCAGATGCCTTGGATCAGCAAAAGCTGGTGCGCTTGTTTGAAGCTTGTTTTTAATTTTTACACACTGGAAACAATTTCTACATTTGGAGATTGAAAAATTTGTGGGAGTTTTGTGAGCGAGTGAGTAATTTTCTTAATTTTATGGGAACAAAGTTTTGTGTTTCAAGATGACTTAAATTTCTGTTGGGAATTTATTTTGAAGATTTTCAGTTCAAGCAGTAGACCATTCACAAGGAGTAAAAGACAATAATAATATTTTCAAATTCTCTAAACTTCCAATTTAAACAAACAGGGAAACTAAAGAAATATTTGAATAATAGATAGCTCTCTGGATGGAAATTCTCTTGAAAGTTGCAGATGCCAATCATGATTATCACAGAACAAGACAAGTAATCTGTTTAAAGCAGCAACAGAAAACAGAATGATGTAATTTCTAGCCTTAAGCTTTAGGGAAACCCCTCAATTTTTAATATTTTACTATGTCAGCTTTCCTTCACTGCACTCTAGACCTCACCATTTCTTTGGTATTTTTATTCTGTTCTTCCCAGATGTTTGATGTTTGGTTTAGTTTTAGTCCCTCTGGGACTCTGGCGGAACAGGAGAACCTGGGAACTAGCTGCACCATGTTTAGGCTTTGTGTTTATGTATTCATTTCTTCCTCATAAAGAATTGCGGTTTATTATTTATGTTGTCCCTGTGATGAATGCAGTGGCTGCATGTGGTCTGAGCTTTATGTAAGTATCGTGAACGTTCCAATCTCTTTCCAATAAACTATTAAATGTCGCTATGGTGAAAGGGGGAGGGGAATTTGGTTCAAATTGACAGAGTACTAAAGAATGTCACAATCAAGATTCTCCCTCGATCAGTAGTCCGTATTGAGCTTTAGGAATCTTGAATGAAAATGAAAGTGAAAATTAAAAGTTTACATTGGGATGCTGAGGGAGCAATATAATCGAAGTGCAACTGCGTGAATTGTAGTCTGTTTCCTCGTGCGTAAACGAAAATGGTAAATTTGAAGCCTGGTTACTTAGGTGAAATATGATGTTATTCCGTGAAAGACACAGGTATATTTGAGAAAAACGGCCTTTTCTGCCTCAAGTTTCCGAAAGCTCCGTGGTAGAGCATCAGCAGTACTAATTGGAAAGTCGAAGGCGCCAGTGCTACTGGGAAAACTCGGAGTTCTGAGTATGCTCGTGTGTCATTCACCAAATTACATCGTCTTTCAAGAAGTCTGCCTTATCCTTACCTCTAAATTTTTAACCATCTTAAAACTGATTTTTTTTTAACTACAAGATGACTTAAGACATAGCTACTATAGGGAGGTAGGTGATCGTAAAACGTGAAAGTATTTATCTATGGATTTACTATGGTTCCTTCCATAGACTCAAGAATGAATCCAAATGGCATCTCTTAGTCTCTGGTGTGGTCAAACTTCTGACTGTGGGGGGACTCCTAGGGAGCTCTCTAGCAACCGTTTTAGCGCTGTATATATCGCATTTTAACTACTCAGGTGGTGTGGCTCTGCAAAAGCTGCATACGCTATTAGAGAACCACCCAGGTATAGTTAAAGTTATTTTGAACATTTAACCGAGAGAGAGTTATGAATGATTGATGTCTGGGAAAAGTCAGAGATGACAGACTCATTTGTTTTGGCTTCAGAACCTTGTCATGTTCACATTTCTGTCGCTGCGGCTCAGACTGGTGTTTCTCGATTTGGAGAGATCAATCCATCTTGGAGGTGAGGTTAATTTACGTATCTTTAACAGATTAGTAAGTACGATTAACGGTCCTGTTAGATTAGTTGCTCCTTATGAATCTTTTACCGCATGTTTTCCAATGTGTAGATTAAATTGTAATAGTGGATGTGCTCTTGATTGCCGTCTTGGGCCTTTCTATCCCACTCATGTCGGCAGCACTCAGATTTGTCTTTTTGCTGGTATGCCAATGCCATTTGTAGAGCATCCAAAATGGTTATTGGAGGGTTTTCAGTTCGGAACCTCTTAGGAGCGTTCGGATTTTGTAAGGTCGAAAGTTCGTCCCCTGTCGGGTGTGCTCGGATTTTCTCAGTGGTAGAGCATTGGAGCGAATAATCTGACAGCAGAAAGTTCAGACCCTGTTGGGTGTGCTCGGATTCTCTCAACGGAAGGGTATCCGAAATAGTTATCTAAAGGTCGTTGGTTCGGCTCCTGTCGGTTGCGGTCGGAATTTCAGAAGGATCATGGCAAAAGTGCTCTGATTTTTCCGTTCCCTGGTAAACGTGTGCGTCTGACTGCAGTTGTCATTTCTCATAAACGCCAGTTATTCTTTAATGAAGACGATGACGGGTTTTAATCTTATAATTTTTTTTTGCCTCTCATAAGATATTCGAAGACAGAAGGTCTGGAAAAAGGCAGCCCGGATATGCTGGTTTTCTCGCATCTTATAACTGAACCAGAATGTTACGAGCCGAAGGAGAGTCCGCATTTTGTTCTAGGAGTGGTGGAGGGACTTGGTGGTATAGAGATGGTAGATAGAATATGTATTCTGGAGAGGAAGAACTGGAGGAAAGCCAAGACATGAGTCTTTGATGTTTGCGTTTTAGGCCTAAAATAAGTAAAGAATCCGTTTGAAAATGCAAAAGACTAGCGGCAAAGAATTAATATCATTGCGTAGACTGATAAGTTTTTGATTAAATATAGACTAGGCATTGAATTGCTCTCAAAAAGATAAGTTCCTTAATGCTTGAAGATAACTTACAGTATGCAGTCGAAAAGTTGTGATCCACATCGGGAATGACTACATCTAAAGGAACAAACGGTTACTATTCATTACAAACATTTTATTCTCCAAATCACGATTAAAATATGACAAACTGCTTTCAGCCGCGAAGATCAATTCTTTACTTGTTATCTTATCTGAGGACAAAGAAATAAATAAAGGTTACAAGTTATGTATTAAAGAATAAAAAGTTTCGAAGTACTTAATTCTACATGTCTTCGTGATGTTGTGCGGGCTCTCTTTCGAGGAGTGGAGGAGAAGGAGAGGTGGAACAGCTGCGGTCATGTACAAATAAGGTACAACAAACGTATTGAAACTGGAAGGACTGCAATGGCTTAGGGCGACACCTCCCCTACCCAAACGTTTTCAGATTTGCTCTTTCTTGGAGCCTTGGAAAAATTAAACGAGTTTTGTTTTACATGAAACCAAAGCATTTACCAAAATAAAGGCAGTTCCGGCTACTTACCGGCTTCAAAGTAAAGGAGTTTACAACCAAGCAGTAAAAATACAAAGGTCTGACTATTTAAACACAGATTAGCTGTTGTTCAACAAAATCGCGTCATAAACCATTTTCAATTTAGCCGAATCTGTTATCTGAACATTAATTTTTGTGGAAATTGTGTCAAGAGGGCCGAAAGCTAACAGTCGAATGACATTTATTTAATTTAGTCAACTGTCTAGTAGGGAAAACCCAGGGCCCTCTGCTTGCGTGAAACCGCGGTTTGAGTTAAACTCCGTGTCAATAGCCGGCACAAGCTTTTAAACCACGACTTTTCCTATCACAAATTTCAATCTCTGAAGTACCTTTCCCAACTACTCACTAACTACAAACAATTTTTAAAATTTTTAATAAATGGATATTTCTTTGAACAATTGACCTTTTGTACTTTCACCTTCAAACTTAATTCTACTAGAAAACTCAGCTGAATTGCAGAGTTTTGCTCCATCGAGCAGAAACGGCGTGTTGTGCTGGTTTCTCCGCTCTAAGCTACTTCAAGAAGTAAATTAAAGATGTGCGTTTCTTTATCTTACGTTCAAGAGCCGAGATATGAAGAATTTATTGAGATTCTTCAGTAATAGACACTCCTTGATGTGAGAGGTTGAAAACAGACTTGTTACGAGGCTTGAAAAACTTAAGTCGGTGGGCGGGAGTTTCCTTTATTCTGTTGAAATTCTTCGTTACTAAGTCTTCGTACCTCTTTTACGGTCTCTTAATGTGCATTTAGAGTGGATTGTCGATTCATAAATTTCACTGTACTTTCCCTTAAAAGGAAAATGGCAGCGTTGGAGCATGACTTAAGATTTTTCAAAGGTGGGGCCACTGCAGGTTTGAATTTCCATGCGGCTTAAGTGAAGCTGATTGTGCCGCCGTCATTCGTTGTGAATCAGCGAACCTGCAGAAAGGAGCCACAGACGGAAGACCTGGCTCTGTAAAAGATTGATGCCAAGAGGGATCTTTCCATAAGCTCGTATTCACAAACCTGAATTATTTAGGCTTTCTATGTTATGCCTCGGAAAATGTTATACCTGTTTTTTTATTTCACCCGTCCTTCATAATGGAGTAGCCAAGTCATTTTGGCAGATTAGCAATTAAGAAAATGTCGAAATCGGGCTTTTTTTTTCCTCTTTTTTTTCTTTTTTTTTCGGAATCTTCGATATTTAGTTTATCTAAATTTTCTGAACAACTTCTAACCGTTCGAGAGACACAATGATAGGCTTTTTGGTATTTTTCAGTTTCAGAGTGGTTTCCTCGCCAAATAATATTTTCTGCAGTGCAATTAGAGCTGCTTTTTAGCTCTTTTCACGAGTGCATTTACGACGCCTTTATTTCTTCTTGATTCTTAATTAGCTGACCGTACGTGCAAACTAAACTTCGTGCCAAATCTATGACGTATCAGCCGATTATTGGCTAAAGCTGCTAATCCATATTCATCAGGAATTGTAGAATTTTCAGCAAACAACGTTGTCTGTCGAAGAGCAAAGATGTATCGTCCATCTGTGCCGAAGAAAAAGTTAGAATATGGAAGGAATACGACACCTGACTTGTTGGAAAGACGCCTGTGTTACTACGACAGAAGGTGAGCATTACTTTGAAAAATTTTACCAAAATATTTTGTTATGAAGCTGAGCAAGTCAGAAAGTCTTGTTAACGCGTCAACACGTGTCAGTTGCTTGGCCTAAGCGGCTCATAACCTTGTTTGATGGTGTTGGCCTTTGCAAAAGCTAAACTTATGGTTGGAATATATTGATGAATAAAGAAATTGCTATCTTTTGGTAAAACTCTAGATTACAGCTATTTAGAAAGCTCTCTTTAGTTCAATTTCTCGTAAGTAATTTCAAGCAGTCTCTCATTGCATCTCTAATTCTCTACTTTCAGGAAAAGGAATGATGTCGGAAGAATGGAATTCAAGAGTAAAGAATCTGGCCAAGACAAGATAGTGGAATCAAAACATGTACAAAAGATACTGCAAAGATAAGAACTTTAAAATTGTTTAGTATTTGTAGCAAAAATGGTGGCTGTCTAGATATGTCTTGTGTTTGTAAGAAGACTTTACACCTCGCCAGTCGCCAGCATGTCGTTCATCTTGTGTTTGGAAAAGGATGGAATTAATTGGTAAGTAAATAGTTTATATCAAGCCACCATTTTTGAATTAGTTCCTAACGATACGGACTGTGACGCAGATTTGGAGCGATCGTATTACAATTTCATTTGATATCACTAAAAACTCTGATTTGGAGGAATTCATCTCGGAAACTGAATGCGGATGATGGTCTTGATAAAGGTAGCAACCACGCTTTTGTTAAAATTGGACTGCAGAAAACTGTTTTTTTTTTTTTTTTTTCATAATTTCGTATCAGCGATCGTCTTTTTGTCGTTTGCTTAACAGTTCGTATCAAGAAAATATCTCGGTTGATGTCACAAGAAGGTGATATATGTTAAGGTGGCACGCTAACAAAAGACCTTGGACAGCAGAGGGCAAATAAAAGCCAAAAATGAAAATTTTAGGTTGAGCGGAATTGATATTCCCTTAATAGTCGAATGACTGAGCACAATTGACTTACAAACTACACTTGTAAATATGACAGTTCTGAGTGGTTAACTCAATGCAATGGCTACAAAAAGGACTGAGTTTGAAAAGCTTGTTTCCCAACGTAGGACAGACTCCTTTCAGATTTGGAACAAAAAACTGTAACAATGAACAGAAGAGAATGTTTTGGATAACTTAGGCGACGATTCAAAACTGACTTAAGAGAAAATGACGTCACTCAAAAATTGACCTAAGGATTTCACGAAACACACTTATAACTTGCCTTTAACGACTTCTGAACAGAAGAGAATGTTCTGTAAACTTAAACGACGAATTAAATCTGACTTGAGAGAAAATGACGTCACTCAAAAACTGACCTATGGATTTCACAAAACACAGCTATAACTCGCCTTTAATGACCCCTGATCAGACTGACGAAATTTAGTTTCTCAAAGAAGCCGTTTTCTGGCTAAACAACACTCACTCTGACGATGACACCTGACCATCGACTGTTTCTGTCTCGGCTTTTGATCGTTGAGCGTTAAGTAACGTAACTATAAATGTACCCAACGATGAAAACAACTTGATTTGATTTACCTATCATCGTCGACAAGATCTGAATTCATTGAAATTGAAACAATACCTTCACAGTGCCAACTTAAAACTAATGTCTACCGTTTTGTGTCATCACCTGAGGTCGATTCTAGTTTGCAAGAGAACATTGGTTACAGAGTTACCATCAGATTTTTAGTAATTGTACATTGTGTTTAGGTCTATAGTTTTCTTTGTATGTACCAATGTTCCCTTGACTTCCCACAAGTTATATCTTTAAACGCTAATGCCTGGTCACGAGAACATAAAAAGAAAAAAAAAACACGCTGAAGATAAATGCATTGTTACATAAACCAGTGAAATGAATTCCTGTTCTCGTCGTGGAATATACCGAGTTTTTTATTTTTGAGGGTGATTGGATAAAACGACGAGAAATTCCAACAAGGAACTTAAATAATGATTAGTACTACTGCCAGACGTTCACCTCTGTTCAGTTGGTACGGAGAATTATCGATTTTCATTTCTCAAGGAAAAAAGATTTCATCGGAAGACGAAGATGCAGAATTTTATCTCAAATCGTTGAAAAATGTTATTGAAGTCGGCGGAGAACAATTCACAAGCTAATTTTGAAATGAAAAAAGGCCTCCATTGTGTAACATTATTAGCGGTTCTCCCTTATCAATTCTTTCAACAAAATCGTGAAATATTTCAATAAGGTTCCGAAATAGTTAGTGCATTATTAGCGTTTTGTAAAAAAATTCATACCATTGGAAAGATGTATAATGTGCAACCGAAGTTAATTACGTTTCGTAGGAGTTTCATTTAAGCATTCACTTTTATTGTATTTGACCTCAGTACGATTACATATTTTCCTTCGATCAACATAGTATTCGCGCGAAAATGAATCTTTCTCTTTAAATTCGTATCGGAAGGATCTCCATTTAAACCTTTATAACTATTCTTAAACAAGGCCGTAGTCCCAAAGGTAATCTGTCGTTTCCACCACTGTTTTATTTACACAAGAACTGTATGCATAATGAGTACCTGCATGGCTGTGGAAATCTTGCCCAAATTGTTTGATTCAAAATTTATAGCGGAATCCAACGATTTTATTAAATTTCCAGCTTTTGTTAAGAATTCGGTGCCTCTTAATTCTGATGTTGCAATGGTTGTCATTTTGCTGGTTTATGTAACACTATTTTCTCAATATGAATTTTGAATACGAAGTTAATTAATCGGTAAAATTTAAAACCGTGTTACATTCCTCGTAACAATTAGTTCAGTTGCTCTTTAGACCAGGCATTTAGTTTTAAAATATAACAGTTTAGATATTTATTTAAGAAGGAAAAAGATCTTTTGTGCTTGTTTTCGGTGTAACACAGGACTACAGAGAAAAAAAACTTCAAAGAACTTTGGATTTTCAAATTATTGATACTTAAGTCAAAAGAGCAATTCTGAATTTTTTAATTTATTGAAGAAAGCAAGCGGAGTTACGGATAAAAATCTTAGCCTTTAGGTCAAAACTGGAATTAAACAATTTGCTTCCGCAACTATAAGTTGAAATATCAGATTTTTGTTTTCTCTGAATCACC